TTCGCTGCAGCCCGGTGATGTCCTGGTGGAGATTGAAACCGATAAGGCTCAGATGGACTTCGAGTTCCAAGACGAGGGTGTCTTGGCCAAGGTTCTGAAGGAGACTGGTGAGAAGGATGTTTCGGTTGGTGCTGTAAGTGACCCTTTGACATCTCCCTGATGGTTTCGAGTGATGGTCGTTTGCTGACAGCTGTCCCCTCAGCCCATCGGTGTTTTAGTGGAGGAGGGTACCGATGTTGCGGCTTTCGAGTCGTTCTCCATTGAGGATGCCGGTGCTGAGAAGCCCGCCCCTGCCCCGGAGGCTAAGGAGGAATCCAAGGGCGCTGCCGATGCCGGTTCGGCCCCCTCTGCCCCGGAGCCCGCCCCTGCCGCCTATGAGCCCGAGACGTCTGGTGAGAGGCTCCAGCCCAGCCTGGACCGGGAGCCCGCTATCGGCCCCGCTGCCAAGGCCCTGGCTCTGGAGAAGGGCGTGCCGATCAAGGCCCTCAAGGGCACCGGTCGCGGTGGTCAGATCACCAAGGAGGACGTTGAGAACTACAAGCCCGCCGCCACTACCGCTGCCGCTGGACCCGCCTTTGAGGATATCCCCCTGACCTCGATGCGCAAGACCATCGCCAGCCGCCTTCAGCAGTCCGTGCGGGAGAACCCCCACTACTTCGTCTCGGCCACCCTTTCTGTCAGCAAGCTGATGAAGCTGCGCCAGGCCCTGAACGCCTCGGCCGACGGCAAATACAAGCTCTCCGTCAACGACTTCCTTGTCAAGGCCTGTGCCGCCGCTCTGCTGAAGGTTCCCGCTGTGAACTCCAGCTGGCGCGAGGAGAACGGCCAGGTGGTGATCCGTCAGCACAACACGGCCGATATCAGCGTCGCCGTCGCTACGCCCAATGGCCTGATCACCCCCGTCGTCAAGAACGTGCAGGGCCTGGGTCTGTCGAGCATCTCGAACCAGATCAAGGACCTTGGCAAGCGTGCGCGTGAGAACAAGCTGAAGCCCGAGGAGTACCAGGGCGGTACCTTCACGATCAGCAACATGGGCATGAACGCCGCCGTGGAGCGTTTCACCGCCGTGATCAACCCCCGCAGGCCGGTATCCTCGCCGTCGGCACCACCCGCAAGGTTGCCGTCCCCGTTGAGACCGAGGAGGGCACCGAGGTTGAGTGGGATGAGCAGATCGTCGTGACGGGCAGCTTCGACCACAAGGTCGTCGATGGTGCCGTCGGTGGGGAGTGGATCAAGGAGCTGAAGAAGATTGTCGAGAACCCTCTGGAGCTTCTGCTCTAAAGTCGTCGTCCTGGTAGGTTTGAGCGATCGGTCCGTCGAGTGCCCACTGTCCATGGTCGGAGTTTCTTGGTATTGTCTTAATGTGTACTAAAAATCTTTTACTGTTTCTTTTTTTTCTTTGTATGACCATATTGGTCTGTTCAGTACAGCTTTGAATTGCGCAGTGCGTTTCATTTGTGTCTAGATCTACAATGCCTGAATATCCTTGTCGAAGTTCTCTTAAGTAAAGCACCCTTAAGTAAACTACCCTTACCTCCTACACCAGGGGTGGATGGACTGGAGAATCAAATCAACAGTAGTGGCAGACACAAGCCAACCACGCGGATACAAGCTTCCAGACTCTTCCAGTATGATGCGATGGACCCAGTAAACGGCGTGAATTAAGTTTCCAGCTGCCAAGCGAGCCAGAAAAGGGCGCAGTGCAAATCAGAGCAGGCCTTGGCGGGTCGGGAGCGCGTGTGCCAACTCCACCCCGTGACGGTGATGTCATTCTTGAAGGTGGGCCCGAAAATGGCATAAATACCTGCGTCGTACGTTCCATCCGGGTTCTGGTCAAGTGTAACTTTTTTCTCTCCTATACTTGAATCCTAATCATTGAACATTCTATACTGTATGTCTCTTGCATATCTGTTTCTCTGCGTCGGTGGGGGTATATTGGACTGCTTCAGTTATCGCTACCCCTCGATAGGCTCAAGTTGGCTAACGATCGCTATCTAGGCAGAATTGCCAATTCTCCTCCTTTATCTACCAACCTTCCATCACATCCACACATCCAAAATGTCCTACGCAGACGCCGCCTCCCGGGGTCCCAAGCAGTCCGCTGATGAAGTATGTTCATTCCTCTTGAACCCCCCAACCCCTCCATATCGTCCCCTCCAAAGCTAACCTCTACCCCAGGCGTAAGTCCAACCACCAAGACTCCTACTCGGCCCAGTCCCATCTCCTGTCCATTCTAACCCAAATTCCCTATACAGCCGTGCTCCCAGCGTCGGTGGCGTATACAGAGATGAATCCGAAAGCACCGCCTCCCTCGTGGACGTTGACTCCCCGCACGTGACGGCAGTCGACTCCAGTTTCCTCAGCCAAGACATCAAGACCACCACCCAAGCCGAGCGCATAGAGCGCGAAGAGAACGCAAAGGCGCAGCGAGAAGCCGCCGAGCAGCGCGAGAGCAAGTCGCGCGCCCGCCGTGGCAGCATCAGCCGCAACAAGAGCAACCCCGTCTACGTGGGCAACGCTCTGGTGCTCGGCTTGATCGGTGCGGGCCTCGGTCTCGGTGCGTACAAGAAGCATCTGGATGGCAAGCTGTCGTGGCAGCTGGTGGGTGCCTGCTCTGGCGCCCTTGGTGCGTTTGGTGTGGTGGATTACTACGTGAGCAAGTAGGTTTACCCCTCTCCTAGTTTTGTTTTTGTTTGGTCGAGAAAGGGCAAGATGCTGATAAGGTCTGTTTGTTATTACTAGGTGGTTCCTCCAGAATAAATACCCGGCGAAGTGAATCTGGGGAATTGTGGGTTGATTGATGTCATGTCTACTACTCCGTTGGCGCTTGATTTCTGCGGTTGCGGTGGCATATCTCTCGTCTGATTTGTGGTGTGATCTCGACTCTATCTGTTTCTTTTCGTTTAAGAATGGAGTTTACTGGCTGGGTATTTGTAGTATTATTAGGCAGGTTTCCAGGTCAATGACAGCATTTTGATTGTCAATGGGTGTGAGATGATCGTAGGATGCTTTATGTCACTGAGACTGTAGAGTAGAACCCTTGCAGGCTGCATGCTGGCATCAAAACAAACCAAATAGTAAAGAGAGAAACAAATGACACAATTAAATAATATCAGCTCAAACACCCCACCAGTCTGTAAAAGCAAATGAGCACATGGGAACTTCCAGAGTGGTGCATACTGCATAGCCTCACGGACCAACGGGTGAAGGCGGTGAGCAGCGTCAGAATCCAGCTGCAAGAACATGTGGCTATAACGGTGATTATTATTAGTAGCACTGGTTCGATGTCAGGACACGTTGCTGGCAGCCTCCACATATCTCAGCTTTTCTTTATTCATCTATCAGACTTTTCTGTGGCGCGTGTTGCATTTTGCATTTAGCAGATTCTGTTTCTGAAGCCCCTTGTCTTGGAACGAAGAGCTAGAAAGCTACGCCTGATATTGAATCGTCATAGGGAGTCTCCCGCTTGTGAAGATGGTATGATCCTACCAAACTAGTTGCTAAGGTTATTATATGGGATGGTTTTGCTGACTGATTGGATGGCTAGAATTCGCTGTTTAACTCCGCGCTCAAGCAGTCGTCTGCGATCCGTCGTGATCTCGACGTGTTTGCGGAATCCCCTCAGACCTCTAGTCCGGCTTTGCAGGGTAGGATCTCTCCACCACGACAGACTACACTCATCTAGGTGTAGTTAAACATATAGTATGCCGGTGGAAGCTCACAACTAGACAGGCCAAATCGCCGCATCGCTGGCTTCCCTGTCCCGAACGGTCGACGACTACTCCGCTTTATCCAAAAAAGAACTGATCCCCGAGAAACAACAAAAAGCCTTCGAGCGGACCAAGAACTTCCGCACTGAACTCACAGACTACCGCCAGCACTTCGACCGACTAAGAAAGGCTCGAGAGGAAGCGGTAAGCGCCCCGCGCACGCCCACCCATTGGGGAAAAAGGCAAGATCACTAATTGAAGCGTCGATCGACTCTAGCAATCGGTCACAAATCGCAACGAACTCCTCGGTCGCCGTCCACACAACACCGCCACGCCCGAGAACCCCTACGCGCAATCAGCGCTGCCGCAGTCGTCGGCGTTTGCGCCCTCTTCGTCGCGGTCGGGTCTCAGTTTCGGTGCCTCCCCGTCGGACTATAACCGGGAGACGCATGCGCTGCGCGAGCAGTCGTTCTTCTCCAACACGCACACCCAGCTGGATGACTTCCTAGACCGGGGCCGCGCCGTGCTGTCGGATTTGGGACAGCAGCGGGAGATGCTCAAGGGTACACAGCGGCGGCTGTATAGCGTGGCTAATACGTTAGGGATCAGTGGGGATACGATCCGTCGGGTGGAGCGACGGGCGAGAGAGGATAAGGCGATCTTCTGGGCGGGAGTGGTTATTTTCTTCCTGTTTTGCTGGCTGGTGTTGCACTTTTTGCGGTAGTTGAGTCTGTGTTGACACTACAGGGATGATTTTTTTTTTGGATGCTCTATCACTAGCGTCGGCGTTCTTGGACCTTTATTGCATGTTTGCGATGTCTCTCTTTTGATTGAATCTTTCCTATGTTGTGTATGTATGGAGGGTCAGTGGCTGTCATAGGAGACAGTCAGCTGTACTATAACATGAACATTCTTTTTCTCTGTATAATTCCTTCCACACATAGAACAGTAGCATCCTATTCAGTTGAATTGAAAACAAATATTAGAATATTGCAGGAAAAAAAGAGAAAACGTCACATCAAGATAAGATGGCAGATCAGGTGACGTGGTTGTTGCGACGACGGAGCATCGGCAAGCTGAGGACGAATCGGAAGCGCACAAGCCGATTCTCACCGGCGCTGCTTCTTCCATCCGTCCTCAGGCTCGCTCTCTCTCTCTCTCTCTCTCTCTCTCTCTCTCTCTTCTTCTTCCTTTCCTCCTTCTTCCTCCTCCCCTTTCCCATACTTCTTCCTTTTTATCCCACCCCTTCCATCTATCTGTCAGATTAATCTCTGTCATATATCATTCACAATGTTCGCCGCTCGCAGCTCTTTCAACCTCTTCCAGAAGCGCGCCTTCTCGGCCTCCGCTCGTCAGGTATGTCTTGTGAACCTCGGTCGCTCTGCTCGGATCAACGCTAACCTTTTTTTTTCCCTTCATCCTCAGGCCTCCAAGGTCACCGTTCTCGGTGCCGGTGGTGGCATTGGCCAGCCTCTGTCCCTCCTGCTCAAGCTGAACCCCCGTGTCACTGAGCTCTCCCTCTATGATATCCGTGGTGGCCCTGGTAGGTGCAACGCTGGCATCCTGTCGCACAAACAATTCCATCGGGGGCCGACTGCTAACCGCCGTCTTTCCTCTCAGGTGTCGCTGCTGATCTGAGCCACATCAACACCAACAGCACCGTCTCTGGCTTCGACCCCACCCCCACCGGCCTGCGCGATGCTCTCAAGGGCTCTGAGATCGTCCTCATCCCCGCTGGTGTCCCTCGCAAGCCCGGCATGACCCGTGACGGTATGCTCCTCTCCGCAATAATGAACCCTTGAGCCTGTACTGACGTTGTCCAAAGACCTCTTCAACACCAACGCCTCCATCGTCCGCGACCTGGCCAAGGCCGCCGCTGAGGCTTCCCCTGAGGCCAACATCCTGGTCATCTCCAACCCCGTATGTCTCTTTTCCCGCTCTGTTGCTTAATTGTTCCTTTAGCTAATTTCACCAGGTCAACTCGACCGTCCCCATCGTCTCCGAGGTCTTCAAGGCCCGTGGCGTCTACAACCCCCAGCGTCTGTTCGGTGTCACCACCCTGGACGTTGTCCGTGCCTCGCGCTTCATCTCCCAGGTCCAGAAGACCAACCCCGCCAACGAGGCCGTCCCCGTTGTCGGCGGTCACTCCGGTGTGACCATCGTTCCCCTGCTGTCGCAGTCCAACCACGCCAGCATTGAGGGCGAGACCCGCGACCAGCTCGTCAACCGCATCCAGTTCGGCGGTGACGAGGTCGTCAAGGCCAAGGACGGTGCCGGTTCCGCCACCCTCTCCATGGCCATGGCCGGTGCCCGCTTCGCCGAGTCCCTCCTCCGCGCCGCCCAGGGCGAGAAGGGTGTCATCGAGCCCACCTTCGTCGACAGCCCCCTGTACAAGGACCAGGGCGTTGACTTCTTCGCCTCCCGCGTCGAGCTCGGCCCCAACGGTGCCGAGAAGATCCTCCCCGTCGGCCAGATCAACGCCTACGAGGAGAAGCTCCTCGAGGCCTGCCTGGGTGACCTCAAGAAGAACATCCAGAAGGGTGTCGACTTCGTCAAGGCCAACCCTTAAATCATTTAATTGATTTTTGGCTTTGACTCTGCAGCTTTCCTTCCTCCCTGTATAACAATCTGTGTCTATATCTCCCTCTACCTTCTCCCTTTCCATTTGTATTCCATACGTGACATGTATTGGTTTGACCTCGGAGGAAATGCAGCTGCAGTGATCTGAACATGTGGAGGTGGGACCTGTATTTTCCTCGGCAGTTGAGAACAAAAGTAAAGAAAGAAGAAATTTCACAATACATGATTCCCCTAGTTAAAAGTTCCTCCATCTGCGTTATCACGTGTATGTTACGAACCGTAAAAGATAGTCTACTCTACTTGAACGTCGTCCTTCGTGCATCTTCATTCATGTAAATAAGTAGGTAGATTCCTCAGCTCTACTAGGTACTGATCAGTACACCAATCTGTAATGAAGTCTGATTAGACCATGATTTTTTTTTCAGCACATATATATGCCTTTCTTAGCCCATTTCAGAACAACCGAGGTAGCTACGTAGGAAGGAACAAGCTGAGCTACGTGGTGCATGTGAAATGAAATGCAATGCTTCGATGAAAGGCTCAAAGACCGAAGAAGAAAATGAACTAACTAACTATATCCTACTACCTAGGCTAGCTAGCTAGCATCGCAATGTGTACATCCATCCATCGTCCATCATCCACCATCCATCTACCTGCAACCTGCTAATTAACCAGCCCGCCAGGCAGAAAGGCAGCCAGGTAGTGATCCAACCAACCAAGCAACTAACCAATCCATCCATCAACCAATGAACCAATGAGCAAAACGAACCATGTATGCATGCATGAATGAAAAGGTAAATTGAATACCGTCAATCATGAAAGAAGAACCAGCATGTACGAAAGAGAGGAGAGGGAAGACAACCAGATAGTTAGAATGCAGATAGACAGGCAGAATCAACCAGTGAGAGAAAGCTAAAAGGAAAAAAGAAAGAAAAAAGAAAGAAACCCAGGGTATTCTTGCTCGTATCACGCAAGGAGATTCGTTCGTATTGAGGGCATGTATGCATGTATGCCTGTATGCAACATGCATGTCTGAAAGAAAGGGAGAAACAGAGACAGAAACAGACAGAGAAGGGCGAGAAGCTAATAGACAGACTGCGTGGGCAAAGAGTACAGAAAGGAAGACAGGCTAAGTATAGCTCCGCATCGCATCGATGTACCCCGTACCTCCACGGAGGTCGTGGTCGAACGTCTCGGCGACTTCGAGAACACGCTTGATATGTTCCATGGAAAGCGGGGTTCTCTCGTTGACGGCGAGGGCCTGGGCTGTGCGGACGGAGTTTTTGATCTATATCATTTGGTGGTTAGTTTGTATAAAGTATTGCATTACGTGACAGGGGGAACTCACCTGTCGTCCATTAAGATTATGCCGGGACAGTGCGTCAAAGTCCTTATCCGAGAACTCGGCCGTCTGAACACCCTCCATGGCTTGCACACGCTCCACGAACATCTTCCAGACGCTGCGCTTCGCCTTGGTGGTGAGGTCGCCGTAGCGCAGGGCGACGTGGATACGCGACTGGAAAGCGTCGTCGAAGGTCTCAACGCGGTTGGTCGTCAGGAAGAGAATGCCCTGGAAGTATTCGAGGAGGCGCAGGAAGATGCTGACCAGCGCGTTGCGGTGGATGTCCTGGATGGTGCGCTTCTCGAGGAAGATGTCCGCCTCGTCGAGGAGGAGCACCGCGCCCCACGAGTGAGCGATGTCCAGGATCTTGTTGAGCTCGGCTTCGAGGGTGCGCGAGTCCGTGCCGAGCTCGCCGGCGCTGACCATGTACAGGGGCCGTTTGAGGAGCTCCGCGATGCCTTCCGCGGTGAGGGTCTTGCCGGTGCCGGGTGGACCGTGGAGGACGGCGACGAGGCCGCGGCCCTTGCCCTGGATGACGTCGTCGATGTTCTGCGCAGCGCAGAAGGTGTGCGATTCGACGAGGGCCTTCACGATGGACTTTTGGTTGCCCGGGAGGACAAGCGAGTCGAAGGCATCCTCGTTCCAGTCGATGTCGCTGATACCGGAGATGGAGAATTCGAGCCACAACTTTTCACTGAAGGCGAAGCCGAGGACGACGGGACTGGCGATGAGCAGTTCTTCCTCGCTAAAGTCGCGCTCCGAGGGATCCTCGACTTCGTCCATGTTCTCCTTTCGGATCTCGTTGCCATGCTCATCGAGCTCGACTTCCACGACGTGCGGACGGTTTTCCTTGTCCCGGACGACCTTGTACCGGACGAGGGGGGCATCGGAATCGCGACGGCCGCACGCCTGATCGGAGTCGGAGTCGGACGCGGCACAGCAGCAGCCATCCTCGTCGTCTTCGTCGTCAGATTGGTCGAGGAAGTCCGGGTCCTTGGGACGCACGGTGCTGATCGGGTAGTTGGGGTTGATGCGCCGGTGGATGGCCGGATCAATCATGACGCGCCCGTTGATGTTGACCTTGATCACGGTCCGCTTTTTCTTGTAGAAGCCCATGCCCTTGTGGAATCGGTAGTTCATCCCGCGCAGGGAAACGAACTTCTTGCCGCGCTCGATCAGCCGGGCCTTGACATCCTCGGACTCGCGGTGGTACTTGAGCGGATAGCATCCAAGAGTGGTGATCTTGCGCGTGCCCTTGAAGGATTCCACCTCGGCGGCCATGGTCCCCATGCCAAAGGATTTGCCGTCATACTCGAGATAACGGCCTTCGATGCTGTACCACGTGCCTTTCATGAAGGAGGACTCCTTTGTGGCATACTCGATCTTGAAGGCGCGGGGCTCGTCCTGGTTGCCGTACGTGGGAGAGTACGCAATGGTATTGGGCTTAAACAGCGCCCACAACAGGTCGAACGTGATCGTGTTGTTGTCCAGCATGGGGTACAGGGTCTTCTTGGTGTCCGCGTAGTCAACGTCCAAATACTTGATGAGCACCTTCAGGTGGTTAGCCTTGAGGGTGGCGGCCCGGCGGGCCTTCTTCTTCTTCTCCGTCCTGGACTGTTGCTTCAGATCCTTCATGTACTGCCGGGTCTCCTCGAGGTACAGGAAGAGCATGTTCGGGTCGACCACGGCCGTTTCCTGCACGAGACTGACTCCCTTGACGCCGTCCATAATCTTGGACAGCGCATCGCGGAGATGTTTACTCTTGATGTCGACGACGGTCTCCATGTATTTGTTCTCCCAATCGAACTTGCGGCGCACCGTGAAGATGTACTGATCCCACTCATCCGCGTCCGGATCGTCGACCGTTTCTGTCAGCTTGAAGTTATGGATCGTGCTATCCCACACTGGATAGCATCTGTTAGTGATAGGAGCGTGGAAAGGGAGGTGCGAGGAAGGGTATTGTGCACGTACATTGATCCACCCGCTTGAAGGCCATCTTCGACGCGGCCTTCTTCCGGCCTTTGGATTTCTGGGAGCTGCCTTTATGGCCATCGGTCAGGCCGTCAGACGAGCCTCGCTTTCCGCGACCCTTGTGGCGGCGCGTGTCGGAGCGTTTGCTCCGCAACGTCGAGAGACGCTCCTTGGCGAGCAGGAGCGCCGTCTCGTCAGAGTCGGTCGTATCCTCGTCCTCGTCCTCGTCCTCATCGTCCGACGAATCCTCCTGGGCACGAAGCTTCTTGGCCTTGCGTTTGACCTTGAGTCGGGCGATCAGCTTCCTGAGCGCTTTCTCATCGACGGCGGAATCCTCCTCGTCCGTTTCATCTGCGTCACTTTCCGACTCCGATCGATATTTCTTCTTCCGGCTGGACCTGAGGTTCTTTTTGGCCCGTATCCGGGTTCGCCGCCGGCGGTTTTTCCGGTTCCCATCGGATTCGGACGAGCTGTCCGGCGAGTCCTCTTCCTCACTCGCTTCGGAGTCGTCGGAGGTTGGGCTGTCGGAGTCGGATGTGGAGTCCGACGAGCTATCCTCACTAGGCGTGTTGACGACCTTGCGGGATTTTTTGTTCTTCCTGGCGGGGCGCTCTGTCTCCTTGGCGGGATGCTTCTTACACTGGGTTTTTGTCGGGGTGCCCTCGGCGACGGAGACGGTGGTGGTCGTGTCGGTCTTGCCGGGAGTGGTGCTGGGGGTGGAGTTGTCGGCGGACGGGTCGGTATCGTGCCTGGTAGTGGCATCGGTGGAGGGGGTGGGATCCGCCATGGTCGGGTCCCGCTGTGGAGCCTCGGAAGGTGGTGTGACTGTCGGGGTCAGGAACGGGCCTGTTCCGTTAGCGCTGGGGTCCGTCGGCGGCCCGGTAGTCGATCTGGGGTTAGGGTCAGAAGAGGACATAGTGAGAAGTGCAGAAGGTGAGAAAGAGAGGGGAAGATGACAGCGGGGGAAGGAAGGGAGGGAAAAGCAGACGAAACGGAGAAGAGAAAGGAAGAGGATAGGCGATGACAGGGTATTTATGACAACGAGGGTAAGAGAGATCGTGGAGAAAAGGTCAGAATTAGGCAAAGTAAGACATGGAACAACGAAAGAACAGAGTGAGGCGACGACGGCATACTCTTAGGGCCAGCAATCCCAGGCTAGTTAATTAGGAGAGTTGGCGCCTTGCTTGAAGTCGCCTCGCAGATTGGCTGGGGAGTGCTTTCTCTCTGGGATGGCGGTGAGTTAGGTAGGAGTGAGCTGTAGGATGATGAGATAGGGAGAAAACAATGAGACCGGGTGAAAAAGAGCAGTCGCAATCAAGAGAGGTCAAAGGGAGACTAGAGCAAACAGGTTCGCAGAGGAAGAAAGAGGAAAGACAATGGCGGATTGTCGATATACTTATAGAACACACAAGGCTACCGGACCATCTCCATTGATGACTACAGGCTGGAGAAGGAAGAAGAACGAGCTGAATACGGCGCAGGTGGTTTGCCTGCGACCTTTCAAAGACAGCCTTCCCTCCGTTCGCTCCACCCAGGTCCAATCAGACGGTCATGAAATGGAAAGGCTATGACCTGAACAAGACGACCTGACTACGGACGGCACTTCCAGGAGTGCACGGGGGTTGAATTCCTGGATCAATGAGAAGCCAGACCAGGGCATCCCCCGCGACTTCTGCCTTCTGCATGCACAGCTCCTGGGACATGCCGGCCAATTGGAGGGACCAGGCTGCAGTTCGCTGGATGATGATCTTTTTTTGTTCTTGAACGGGCTGCACAGGCAGGCAGACACACGGACGGCCCAGTAGCCTGGTTGACTCAACACCCATTTAGCCCATTCGAAGGGGAGAAAGCGCTCTAAGTTGAGAGCCGCGCCAGTGGGTCGGATGCCTAAAGACGGTGACTCCCAATCAATCCAGCCGCCAGGATTGACTCACCATCTTCTGAAGGGCCTGTCCCTGGTCACCGACATTTGCAGCCCCTTCAGCCCAAACCAGGCGTCATGACGCAGACAGGCAGAAATCCCGACCCCAGCAGATCAGAAGGCTACCCGAAGGACTAGACCGCGCTCCAGTGCCGATCCTTTTGTCACACCAAAATCGAGGATCTCCGTTCCAGGAGACCCATGTCTGACGAATGGACGTATTATCCGGACTATCCAGTCCGTGCAGCTTAGTCAATACGCTGTATTTATAGGCTTGTCATGTGTGTAAAGAAGCGAGGGCATTTTTAGTACGAGATAAGAGTCAGTAAGGGGATGAGAAGTGAGAGGAAGATAATACCGGAAGAATAGATTCGGAGACTGTAGTGGAGTATACCGGGGTATCAATGTGGACCAGGGAACCTGACCAGACAATGGATGTTTTCAGCATACTGAGCTGACGAGAGCTGTGGCGTGTTGGATCCCTGTATTTTAGATTGGACTGAAGATTGGCTTGAAGAAGTGAGTGACAGTGAGAAATGAGAAAAGAGTGAGGCTAACAAGAGGATAGTAACGTGATCTGTACACCAGATACTCACTGACTTTACATACCTCAACCTATCTGTCTATACATTCAACTCTTGGTCAGACCCAATATAAACTGCTGCACATTCATATTGACAGTCTATCTAAATCCAATCACTTCCACTAAACAGGACACAGCAGATGAGTCTGGATGAGAGCATCACCACAGACATGATATTCACTTCCAATTCATGTATAGCGTCACGCGGAGCCTACTCAATAGGCAATTTTTCTGTAGAATCCGTCATGGCATTCTCCGCAGCAACGACATATAGTAACAGCTGGAGTCAGAACAATAACCACCCTGACTGATTATTCTTTCACACATTTCTCCCACTCTCCTCCAGCTAGTATCTACCTCTCCTATACCGATCTCTCCATCGCATCTACACCTTCACAATCTCCATCAAACAAGCACTACCAATGACCTTGAACGCAGAGAACACCACCTCCGCATACATCAAAGAAGAACACACTTCCAACTTCACCCCCATCAACATCAAAAAAACCCCATCCCCAACAATGGAGGTAAGTCCCATCACCACAACAATCCATCTACCCCCAAACCCACCACCAAACACCCTAACAAACCCACAACCAGTCCAAGAAAGAAACCCCCAAACCCAGTACTCCCAAGGCTAGCACTCCCAAGAAGCGCACCCATACCCCCAAGACCCGGACCGGTCAGGACAAAGCCCCAACCAACGAAACCACCCCCAGCACCCCCACCAAGAAACCCAAGACAATCCCCACCAAAGCAATCCTCACCAAAGCCAACAACATCTCCCCCATCAAAAAAGCCCTAGGCCCCATCCCCACCAGCCTCGATGCGGCCAGCACCGCCGACCAGGCCATCCTGCGCATGCGCGACGACGAAGGTCTCGGCTGGAAGGAGATCACGGCCGAGTGGTGCAAGTTGACCGGTGTGACTACTCCTATTGGGATGTCGACGCTGCGGATGCGCTATCAGACTATGAAGGCGAATTTTGTGGGTTTTACTGCTGAGGATGTATGTATTTCCCTACTTTCTTTCATTATTTCTTTCTTTCTTGCGACTGTTATCTGGATAGACTTTCTTGAAGAACATGTCATCTGTTGGCTAGGTAGGAGTGCTAGCTAACAAGAGAACAGGAACTCCGGCTCCTCAAAGAGAAGAGAAAAATCGAGCAGCGTTTCGAAACAGAAAAGTGGTCTCGTATCGCCGATGCGATTGTCGCAGACGGAGGTGCCAAGTATGCGCCTGCATCGTTGCAGAAGAAGTTCAAGCAGTTGGAGAAGGCTGCTCCTGTTTCTACTCCTGTTTCTACTCCTGTTTCTACTCCTGTTTCTACTCCTGCTCGTGCTGATGATGGTGACGCTACTGACGATGAATGATGCACGATGAAAGCGCAATGCGTTTGATGCTATTCTACCTCATCTTCATTGATCTGGATGAATGGATGGTTGGGTGTGTTTCTGGGCTTAGGACATCATACTACTGCGTGTGGGTGGTGCTTGGGGGTTTGTTTCTTTCTTTCTGATTTTGTCTTACTTTTGTTTTATTTGGCTTCTAGCTGAGGATGTCATATCGGGGATGTTGTTGGAGGGTTTCTTCCTTTCTTCTTTTGCTTTACTTTGCTTTTAACTTCGCGTTTGTCCTTCTATGAAACTATCCAGATATGTATCACCACATCAAGATCAGACGGCGCAACTACAATGCCAGAACCAGCACTACATAGCAGAATCCAATGCAATACAAAGCCCCCTAAGAAATCCCAATAAAATAGAAAATAGATCCCTGAATTTCTACATCAGAGAAAACAAGGCAAACAAACTAGCTAGTACCTAGACCCCATCCCGAAACCCACCAGTAAGTACCACAGTAACAGCCCATCAAACCACGCCGAGGTATCTATTTTGTACCAGACAAAACAAACAGAAAAGAACAAAACAACCCTAAGAAGATAAACCCATTCCATCAATCCAAGCCAAGCCAATAACAATAAACCAACAAAACCTCATGAAAAGACAAAAAAAAAAAAAAAGTAACTTATAAAACGCTAATCTCCTGACGCCACTCATACTCCGCACTCCCACGGCCCACATCCGTAGCCGTCCGTTCGCTGTCCGTCCGCATAACAGGGACAGGACGGATCTTGGCGCCGACGAAGCCGCGTCGATCGCGGCCGGTGCGGCCGCGGCCGAGCCAGTTGTGCTTCAGGGCTTTGCTGAGGAGCTCGATGTTCTCCTGGGGCTCGTCGCCGGTTTGTACGCTGGCCAGCACGCTGACGCATTGCAGCATGCGGCCGACGGTTTCGGTAATCATTTGGGAGGTGTCTGCTGCGGTGGAGGAGCGGTGGATGATGGTGGGGCGCTGGGGCGGGGAGGAGAAGGATTGGAAGATGAGCTGGTCTGGGTTGGACGGGGTGTTGGAGGCGGCGCGGCTGCGGCTGGTGGTGGTGTTCATTGGGTCTGAGGAGTAGCTGGCGGCTGTGTTGAGGAAGGTGGACGACTGCGACGAGCCGTAGCTGGCGTTGGCGGCGTCTAGGGACGCGGCGGTGCCGGGCCGGCCGCTGCTGGCGCTGCTGCTCTTGGTGGTGACGCTGGGGGTGGAGTGACCCAGGTTGATGTTGTCGAGGCTTAGCCGCGAGAAGGTGGCTTTGAGGCCTTCGTAGCGGTACAGGATGACCATGTCGCGGAAGGCGATCAACACGAGGTTGCGCACCTCCAGCTCGCAGCCGGGGTATTCGCCTTCGAGGGCGGTGCTCCAGAAATCGCTGGCCTCGCGGTGGTTCATCACCGAACCGCAGCCCTTGAACTCGAGGTCGAGGGGCAGGAACACGGCCTGGATGAAGGGCAGGATGGTGCCGAAGACCAGCATCCAGATGTGGACGAGATGCGGGACCAGCTTCTCATCCGGCACGCCGTTCAGCGTGTGGTTCAGCGTGGCGAAGCCCGTCTCTAGCAGCTCGCGCAGGTCGTCGACGATGGCGGTTGGCGTGCGCTTTTGCACGCAGCGCTGAATGTGGATCAGGACCAGCTTGTTGAGGTCCTCAATCGCGATGCGCACATCTTCCCCGTCGAAGATGACGAGCAGCTTTGCCTTGAGAAAGTCCCACGCATCTTCGGGAGTCATGTTGTTCAGACCGAACCCCTGCAGTGTCTCGCGCAACGCGACTTCCGGGAGCAACCCCGTCGAATTGCCGAGCGTGGATGACCCAGGAAAGACCCCCGGCGTACCCCCATTGACTACAGAATTAGCGATCGTTTCTTCCTGGGTGGACTCGGCCAGCGCCTTCTCCTCCTTCTTCTTTTCCCGCAGGGCGCGTCCGCCGTGCAGGAGGTCGAGCCCGCTCACCGACTTACCAAACGTCGTCGACACCACGCCGGGGGATGCAGGTGTGAAAGAGTAGAGCGACTGCGGGGCGTTGGGATCCGCCGGTCGCGAGTTGCTGGCTGCGGACGACAGCGGCAGATTGTGGTCGTTGTCCCGGTCCTTCAACTTCAACTTCTGCCGGGACAAAAAATGATGATGTTTGTGCGACTTGTCCTTGTCTTTCTCCTTGTCCTTGTCCTTGTCCTTCTCCTTCTCGGTCCCCGAAGGCTTCTCCGCCGGCACCACCGTCGTCGACGACGTATTGTTCAAGTTGTACATGGACATGTTGCTACTCGACGGAAACGTATCGGCCAGGGTGGGAGTCGTACCGCTGACGATGCGGGACAGCCCACTACCGCCCGCGAAGCCCATCTTGCTCGGCGACGGCAACCCTCGATCTTTACCCCCCGGATCCTTATCGCGACTAATCCCAATATGCTTTGGTTTGGAGAACAGCTTCATCTTCGACTTCTCCTTGCTCTGCTTAGGTTCGCGCTCCGGAGGACCCGATTCCATCCCCGGTGGCTGCAGGCCCCCCTGTCGCGGGAACACCACATTCGCAGCGGTGGTCGCTACATGACCATGGCCGCCCGCTGCGGCGCCGGTCTGATTCGTAGCGGGGAAGTACGAGCCCCCCGTGCCTGGAGGGGCCAGTGGTGGCGGAGGGGTTGGGGGCATCGTCGGTGAGGTGCTGCCGCCTCGCCAGGGCCGGGGGCCGTTGTCTTCGGAACTGCGGTGGATGAAGGTCTGGGGTCGTTTCGGGGGATGTTGCGCGGGCGGTTGATGCGATGACTGTTGTTGCTGCTGAAACATGGCGGCCTGCGCGGCGATCCGCGAGGCTGACAGGCTGGCATCTGGGACGGACGCGGTGGGAAGGGAGGGCTCGAAGAAGCCTTGCGAATGATGACGCGAGCGGTGCTTATGCGGCTCCGACGGGCCGCTGCGACCGGACGGCCTTCGCGAGGAGAGATCATTGTGCGGCATGAAGGAGGCGGAGGGTTGTCTGGCGTTCGAGGCGACGGAGGAGGTGCGAGGAAGACGAGGAGAGGATGGTGCTTGATTGACGGTTGGCAGGTTGAGGGGTTGTGGAATTGCCGAAACCGCGGTCACATTGGAGTCCGACGAGGCATCACTTCCCGAGGAGCCAGGTCGATCTAGATCGTCATCGAAGGATTTCCGGGGAGGAGAGAAAGAAGACGGGGGAGGGACGGGGGAGCGAGAGGAGGCACGCTCCGGTGAGACGGGGGAGCGTAACATGGAGTAGTAAGAGGGGGGGCTGGATTGATGGAACGATGATGAGATAATGGAGGAGTAAGAACTAAAAAAAGGAAGACTAGGCTGGACGCGGCTAAAGGGGGGACGGACCAGCCCCCATGACGGTGCGAGGGTGGAAGCAGGGACTAAGTAAGGTGAGATATGTAGGGTAGTTGGTGGTAGATGAGATGAAGAAGAAGTTATTGGATGCAGTCCAGATGGCAAAAGTGAAGGTTGGGAAATGCAGGCTGCCTGAGGGATCAACAGTGCCTGGGGAGATCGTTAGTCTTTCTCTCTTGTCTTGTTAGGGGAAATGGCCCCGCCGATCTTTTCTCGATCCCGCCTCGATCCCCGCCATCTCTTTCACAACACACTCTTGACAACAAAGACAGCAAGGAAGAGAAACATAAAATACAACACACCAGTTTACCACGCCAAATCAATCAATATCGAAACAATGTCCACCCCCCTTCGCGCCGTCTACACCTCCCCGCAATCCACCCACTCCTTCCAACACACCATCACAGCGCCGCTCCCCTCCTCCGACACCCCGTCCCCAGAGAACGTCAAAACCAAAGTGGCCTACCTGTCCGAACTGCGAAAGCTGGTCCCGGCTTTACAAGACGACATGAACGTGTTCCTGACCGCGCAGATGGAGGAGGAGAAAAGGGCCGCCGAAGCCGAGGGTCGCAAGGTGTCGGACAAGGAGGCAAAAGAGGAGGAGGCCTACGGCGAGGAGGTCGTGGAAGATGAGGAATGAGCTCATTGACTTATATTCTATACGATACGATACAGTGGGGACCGACTACGACTACGACTACGATCGCTGGTCTACGACGAAACGGGCCACGCACGATAGCGAGAACAATGTTAATATATATTAGATGAGAGAGTCCCGGGGTATCAAAGCAGAAGAACTCATGCGCCACTCCATGGCTGGGAATGCATCGATCGCGATCGTACAGAGGGTTAACACAGAAAGAGCAGAAAAGAAAAGGAAAGAAACGATAAGAAAGAAAAGAAAACAAAAAAAAAAAAATCCAACAAAAATCAGAGGAATCGACGCCGTCCCACAAATCCTATATTTCTATTTGCAATCAGGAGGCGGAGGGAACGCGCTTGGAGCAGCCGTGATGCACGACGGTATTACTAGGGCAAGTCAGCAAGAACAGCTCATCCTTCACCGCATGTCGCAAAAAGAAATTGAGGGGGGGGAAGAAAAAAAAAATACATACTCAGGAAACACATCAATGACACTCCCCCCAATCCGCCGATGGCAGATCCCGCACACCCTCTCCTCAGTGATAGTGACATGGCGCGACCGCGACGCTTTCACCCCGGAACCCTCTCCCACCAACAACTGAGCCTGTGTCTTAACATTCTGCGCCTTTTGCAAATTAGCCACGACACGAGTCTCGCTGAGAAACGAAGTCGCGGCGCGCATACGGCCACGGAAGTAAAACTCGAGGTCCTTGACGGGGAGCGTCTCAGGGATGAGGCCCAGCGCGGAGTTAGGAGGGAGCCGGGAGCCATGTTTGGCGAGTACCTCGAGCGCGGGGCCATACCGCGGCTGGTAGCCGTGGGGAGGGGTCAGATAGAGAGAGAGCAGGGTGAGGTAGATAGACGGTTTGTCCTCTGAATCGAGCGCGGCTCCGCATCGCGCATGTGTATCCTCGACGGGCGTATCCTCCGACTTGTGGAGGTGGTTGCAGTACTCTTCTGCCTTGACGTAGTCTTCGAGTTTGAATACGTAGATCTCCAGCGCCTGGCGGTGCTGGCCCATCTTGCTGAATACGATAGCGCGGGCCTCGTAGAAATCCGGATCTAGACGAGCCAAAAGTAAGCCATTGCAAAACAGAAAAAGATCGGGAAAGCCGACTTACCTTCACGGTCCAACCGGTTCAAAATCTTCGCAGGCGAGTACTGCTGGCTGGTCTTCAACATATCCAAGAACCTATCCCGCCACGAGTGGCGCTCAATCTCACTTGCGAACGGCCACTCGCCCGTCTTATCCTGCGTCAACCGATCCAGATACAGCACGAGCAACTTCTGATGCAAATCGGGCGTCATATCATTCAGCTCCGCAATAACATGCTCTAGATACCGCACCGCCAAGGCGACATCAACAGTCTTCAAGAACTCAAAGACTTGATCCCGAGGAAGCGTCTCCGCGTTCTCCGTATCCGCGAGGAAGATCTCCATGCCGAGCGCGGGGTCCTCGCGCATAGGCCACTCCGCGAACTCAAGGATAAGGTCGATGTAGTCCGGCGGGAGGTTCTGCAGGTATCCGACTGTGCGCTTGGGGCCGTGGAGCTGGGGCGCGGTTTCGACTTCCGAGTCGGCCTGGCCGAACTTTTTGAGGAGCTCGAGGGCCTCGCGGTGGAGCTTTTTGCCGTAGAGGAAGTCGATGAGGTCGTTGTGGCGGCCTGTTTCTTCGAGGCGCTCCATTACTACTTCGGGGTCGCAGAAGTTGGCGATGCGGAAGAGGGAGCCTGCGAGGGAGGGGGTCGCGAACATGTGCGCGCGGAAGAGCGTCGTGTCGACGAGTTTGGCCTTTTCGCGGAGGAGGTCGCCGAAGTCGTAGTCGCGGGTGTCTTTGGTTACGTCGAGAAGCTTCATGACTGAGTCGGTAAACTCGTCGTCGGCTGCGTTGGTGGGAGGGTCGATTATCTTGAGAGATCCGTCGGGGTTGAGGAACCGCTGGAACCGCCGCCGGACGTCGGCTAGGTAGCCCTGGAGCTCACGGACGGCCATCTTCAAATCTCTGCCTTGCAAAGGCTTGTCCTTATTCGCATCGTCTGGCTTTCCACGGATACTGCCCGCGTCGCTGCTGTCGTCTGCCCTCGAGCGGAGAAAGGATCTCACGGATGGAACATGGGTCAATGTCTTGATGCCAGGACCGTCCTCCGAACCAGCGCCATCATGGTGGTTGTGATTCTCCTGAGACTTGGGCGGACTTTCAGGCATGCCGTCCTCTGACTCGTCAGACTCCTCCGGAACAGAAGACAGCTCCCCAGCAATGAGGCTAGGATACAGCCGGATGACAGTCTCAGGGGGCGCCGAAATCTCCGTGAACAGATCCAGCGAGTCACGGTATTTCCGCGCCCCAAACAGTCCCTGTGCCTTTTCGAGTTTAATCTCGCGCAGGCGCCTTTCTTTATTGGTGAGGAGCGCATCTTCCAGCATCCCAGCAAGACTAATAGCCTCGTCAAGATAGTCCTTCTCCACAAGCGAGTCGATCTGCGTATCGTAGCTCAAGGCCTCCATCCGCCAGATAGTGCGGTCACTTCCGACCAGGAAGCCCTTCCCGGCGTGCGCTAGACTGATAGTCGGCTGAGGAATGTGCATGAAACTGGCGGACGGCAACGGCACCGACTGCAGCAGCGACAAGGTCTCCGGGTTGCGGACCTCCAACACACCCTTGGACGAATCATGCAGAGCCAGCAGAAACGGATACGAATACCCGATATCCACCGGCGCATGGCTCCACGGAATCTGCCTGCGGCCCAGCGAGTTGCCGTCAACGTCCACAAACTGCGTGTTGATATCCTTAGCCAGGAGCACCTGGCCCTCACTCAGCCGCGTAGCCAGCGGCTTCGGCGCCGTGCCACCCATGCCAATATAGCTCATACTGACGACCCCAACGCCCGCCAGCCGGCCAGTCTCCTGACCCCCAAGACCACCAATACTCCCGGGGCCAACCAAATCCGTCACCTCGGCAGTCTCAATATCCACCAAGACAAAGCTCGAGCTGAGCCCGGCAACCAGCCGCGTCCCAGACACCCACGTCAGCGTCTTAATGCCACTAACAAGCGTCATCTCCGCGGTATCCTTCTCCAGCTCCATATCGCGCCACGTCCAGAGCAGAATCTTCCTCTTCACAGCCACGACGAGCCGGGACACGATGGACGGCACGCCCGTCTCGGGATCATTGACGATATTCGACGTCACAGCGAAAGTAGAGGCGCCCTTCGTACGGGCAAGCTGCTCCTGCAGCTCGTACGTCTGCAGATCATGCACAGAGACATACCCGCCCGACAGCGAAACAAGCAGCTTAGCCTCCTTGATGAGCGCCAGCTGCTCGACCTTGTACCGCGAGAACTTCTCCAGCTCGCGCAGCAGGTCCGTCTGTTTTCTCTCCTTGCCAACAGTATCCCCGTTTCTGTCCCCTCCTGCGGTTCCATCTTCGCTATGCGTGTGGTTGTGGGTATGGTTGTGATTGTGGTTGGTGTTGGGACGGCTCCCATCCCCATCCAGAGCGTGATCCTCATATTCAACCTCATTAACCCGGTATATGCGCAAACTGCCATTATTCAAACCGACCAGAAGCCGGTCCCCATAGGGTAGAACAGACTCAATGCGCGATTTATCGCGCGGTTTGAGCTCGACGAGCGGCCGAGCCGTGAAGGCTGATAACATGGCTTGGCGGCGAGCTGCTGGTTCCGCGGACGGGCGGCCACTGGGCGGTGTTGGGCGGTACAGGCGACGACGATAGTCATGTCCTGTTTATGCGAGAAGGCGGAGGATTAGAGTAGAATGAATCCAGCTACAGGGCGCAGCCACCGGCGATGTTGAGCATATTGTCCAGAGGGAGGAAGAGCCCTGTGCTGGGTGGTATTAAGTGGAGGAAAGTCGCCGAGTTGTAGTAGTGGAAGGTGACGGGGGAATTCGAGCGATGACGGACTTTCCCGCCTCATGTGACTCGACTGCCCAGGCCCACTTGCTGCTTGGGTGGAGTCAACGAGTCACGTCCTTACTTACTACTTACTTACCTGGTTAATTATTATTTTTATTGATTATTTACTGCAAATTCCCGTACTTGACTGTCTTATTGCTAATGGTGTCATTATTCAATGTATATTATCTATCGAGTAAACGGCCCGGTTCACCTCCCGAGAAGACAACAACCGCGAGGTAGTAGTGATGCATGGGTTGAGTCTCCGACTCGACTCCATATCGATGGATCGGCTCTTCTCTATGTGGTACAAACAAGAACGCATGATGAGAAGATAAGACAAGGGCCATATGTATAGAAAGAGGTAACAGGTTGGAGTGCGGTTGGATAGGTACCGAAACGAACTTTTTCGAAGCGCGCGAGTGCCCTCGTCGCCAACGGATCATGATACAGAGAAGAGGAGGGAGGGGGTGAGATGCCATGAGGGAGAGGAAAAGAGACAGAGGCCCAGCCTACAGTAGGACAACATGGTCCAGAACAACGTCACGTCAAGGGTGGTCGAATGCTTCAGGGTTTAACCTCCGTCGGGTAATCCTGGTGTTTCGCGGAGGTGCCCTTGGCCCGCCACGTCGACACGGCGGGAATGTCCGCCTTGAACCGCTGCTCCTCGGTGCCGTATGCGCGCGGGGTGAGCTTGATGAGCGTATGGAGCGGCACCTCCATCCATGGGCTCTGCTCCTGGGGAACGTTGAGGAAGTAGGAGTAAATACAGCGGAGGACGGCCTGGTGGGTGACGATCATGATGTTTTCGCTGCGTTCCAGCTCCATGATGATCGGCTCGAGGCGGATCACCACGTCGCGGTAGGATTCGCCGCCGCGGTAGCGGTAGTTGTACTTGTCGTCGTCGCGCGCCGCAAAGTCGTCGGGGTATTTCTGCGCGATCTGCTCGTAGGTGAGCCCGTCGCAGACGCCGGAGTCCAACTCGTCGAGCGCTTTCCACTCTAGCTTCTCGAAGCCCGTCTCCGCCGTGAGGTGTCGGGCTGTCTGGATGGTCCGTCGTAGCGTGGAGGTCCAAATGACGATCTTGGTGTTGGGAGGTATCCCGGACTTCTTCATGAGACCGGGCAGCGCTTGCGCATATGCCTCCCCGCGGGGGGAGATATTCGAGTCGCCGCCGATTTTCCCTGTCAGGTTATACTCCGATTCGCCGTGCTGTATCTGAGTCAGAACCACTTCTTCAAGTTCTCCCCTGTTCCCTTGTTCCCGGAATACTTACGCGCGATAACCAGATAGAGCGGGGTTTGATGTGTAGGTTCTGGATATAGTACACCAGCCGACTCGACAGATAGTCCTTGATCTGGTTGATAATGACGGTAGACCCGACATTGATGAGCTTCACATAGGTATAACTCTTCTCATTATCGTCAATAGTCTCGTAGACCTTCTCGTAATTGCGGATGCGATTGCGGAAGTCCAAAGCGGCCATCTCAGGGTCCTGCCCCTTGTAGTCCGGCGACGTGGTCTTCACCTCGAGGATGTTGTTCATAATGAGGTCCTCCTCGTCGCAAATGGACTCGACGAATAGCGTCTCGATATTGGCCTTGGAGCAGCTCTCGTGGATCCAGCGCCGTCGGTCCCGCGTCGAATTGGTCGCGTCGAGGATCGCCACCACGCCCTTGCCGGCATCGAACCACTGCAACATGTCCTCCATGGCGGACTCGGCGGCCGCGCGTCGCATCTTCTCACCCTCGCTGTTGTGCGGGTCGAAGAAGGTGGCGCTGGGCTGGGGGGTGTTGTTTCGTCGGTAGGATCCCACGTTGAACACTCGAGCGGGGATGCCGACCCAGGCTAGGTATCGCATTGCTTTCCCCGCGATGAGACTCTTGCCTCTCGCGGGCAGACCGACCATGACGACACATATTCTGCTGTCATCGGACTGGGGTGTGTTAGTCTATTTCTAGCGGTTCGATCAAAGGTGCAAAGCGGCTCAAACAGCGGTGCAATGGTAGGTGACCACCGGCGATACGAAGCGCAAACAACGAATGCTTGCTATTCCGACAATAGGTACACAGGCCATACCCTGTACACAAAGCCAATGGGAACACAAACGGCAAGTCAACTTACACTAGCAAAGTAGCTCTTGTGGCCATTGCCCCTGCGGAGTAACGACGACATGCCGGGCAATCCAATCAATCAATATCCCAGGAGGTAAAACCGAATCTCTGGCTCCAACAAGAGTTAAATCCCACCAACCTCGGCCAAAAAGAGACGAGTTTCCGGTTAAGGCAGAGAGTGTGTACAACGTTCTTGCGTTTTCAAGAACGATCGATCGGTATTTCAATTGCGTGAGGGACTTTTTCTTTCCCGTGCCCCTATTCTTATCCCCCTTGTCGCAATGCGTCTGACGATTCAGGAACGGGTAGGAGTATGATTAAGATAGATAGAGTTCTTTTCCTGGTCGAATCGCCTTTTTTGGATTTTTCCAACCCCGGTCTCTCGGTTCGGTAGGTGGAAAAAAGGTGGAAAGGGACAGACAGATCCGGCTGGCCGTCTCACGAGAACAGGCGATTTGATCAAGAGAAGATGTAAGGAAGATAGTCACGATCATACAGAACGGAAAAGGGAGACAAGAAAAAAAGAGGGTCCAACAGGTTCCTGGAGAGGAAAGGAGGATCAACCGATCTGGCCAGAGAAAATTCCTTGAAGACCAGCAGAGTTTCAATGCGGTGAAGCCGGGTCAGACGTCATCCATGATGTTCGCGGGGCAAAGATAAGAAGTTGAGACCGGATGGATGGGCCGTTATATACCTCTTTATTCAGAATGAAAAATTGTTGAAAAATAAAGATTTCCACATCAGATGGTCTATCTTTAGAGACTCAGTTAGACTAATGGAGGGAAAAAAGTCAAGAAGATCAACCGATCGAGAATCTCCATCCATCCATTTCCCAAGAGAATCCCATTGTAAGGGACACCACGTGATGCGGATGTTTTCGTTTTCGTCGGCAAAAGCGCAGGCTGAAGGACCGACTTCTTCCGCGTTATTTTCTTCTCTGTTCCTGTCGACTGATTTGGGAATCCCGGTGGGCCCTTTCTATTTTTTTCCCTTTTTTTTCTCGGCGCGTGCTCTGGATTTACGTACAGAATGGGATTCTAGACCTGCTGCCGGTGAGGATGATGGATTATTGGGAAATTATTGATCGAGTCATTTGACTACTAACCTCTGCCTACTGCTAACTAGTACGTGTCTCCGGTGTCGTGGAAAATCCTCTTAGAGTAACTCCGTTGCCCAATAGTGGTTTCGATATTTCAATGAGTGTCTATATGGTTCATTCCATCCGTACATTGATCTCTTTTTATGATTCCCATTTTATCCACGTCAATATACGCTGCGAGGCTACTTAGTCTATGTTTTTATCGCATATTATACCATGATTATATTCGTAAGATTTACATGGTATAGGGTTGGCATTTAAATGCCAACGTCAAGGGTAATACTAATGACTATGATGACTGGCTGTAAACAGTATGAGACAATTATCTTTACAGAGCATGTAGTAGCCACATGCTATTCTTATCCAGCGTCTACCCCCATCAGCGAGGCAAATAAAGTAAGGCCTGAGATACAAGGCCGGGACCGATTATAAAAACTACAGTGTGCAACCACAACCAATCTCCAGCCAACAAAATGTGAAAAGAAAATGATCAAATTAAGAATGAAAGATCATCCCATTGCTTTTATGTCTAGTGTCTAAATTTCGTGGATCATACCCATATCATGCTGTTTCCTCCAGTCACGTGAGCCCAACGCGCGCATCCTGCCCGAATCCGACGGCGTGCGGGCCGTCAGTCACGCAACTGTTTTCTATCTGGAGCCAGAATCCGTCGGTTGTTCAGGAGTGGTGTGCGTGTTGTGGACGACAACTTTTAGCTAGCCAGCCAGCCAGCCAGCTAGCTATAATGCTGTCCAGGCCAGCACATACACGACGTCAAGCTCCTGTCACGATCATGTCGTACACCCCCGCGGGCTGCCCCGCATCGGGTGATCCATCCAGAGTTTCCTGACTGAGTCCACAGGGGGAAAGGGGGGTGTGGAGAGGGAGGGGGGGAAAGGTGAATCAGGCCTCAGAGGGACCGTTGGAGGTGTCCCGCGAGGAACCCCACCGGGTCTTACGGTCGTCGGAGTTGGAGGTGTTGGTGTTGGTGGAGGTCTCGCCACGAGCGCGCTGCACGCGCACGTTGCCACCCCAGGGCCCTTCCTTGCCGTTCAGCGCGTCCATGGCGGCCTGCGCCTCTTCCACGCTGCTGAAGTCGACGAACAGGTAGTAGTGGTCGCCGGCTTCGAATCGCTTGGCTGGGTGCGGGGCGAACAGCTTGCTGACGTTTTGGCTGGGGTAGAGGTATCAGTATGGGGATGGTTTTCATTACAGTGGAAGATGTGTGAACATACACATCATAGCCCTGGAAAAACTGGGTCATGTTGCTGCTGATCTCCTCGGCATCCGTCAACCGGGGGAGTCCGCCGACGTACAGACGACGGCTAGAGTCGCTGTTGGTCCGGGTGAGGGCAGGGGCAGGGATAGGGGCAGGGGCATCGCCGCCGCGGCGCCACTGGTCGACGCTGAAGGGCGCATTCCGGTTCGGACGGGGCGATCCATCACCCTGCTGCTGCTGCTGCTGCTGCTGCTGTGACCGTTCGCTGGAGGACTTGACCACACCGGGGCGGATCTTAACCGGACGTCCGAGCATGTCACTGCCGTCCAGCTCGACCATAGCCTTGTCCGCGATCTCCTTGGACTCGAGATCAACGAAGCAGTACGAGGGGTTCCGGCCGGTGAAGGGATCGACAGCGATATCGATCCGCTCGCTAACGCAACACACAGATCAGTTTTGCCCTTCCCAGAAAACAAATGACGGATTCCAATGCATACATGGTATACTCAGCCGCCGTGAACAGCGCCTTCACATCCTCCGTCTTAGCCGTATAGGGCATATTGCCGACATAGAGGCGGCGACCTTCATTGATCACCTGCGGCACGCGCGGACTCGGGCGACTGAACGCCGTGCGAGACGTGGTGGTCTTGGGACCAGGGGACCCGGCGCCGCTGGGGCTCTCTTCGCCCTTCATGCGCCAGTTGGGGGAGTCAAAGGCGCGGCCGTTGGTTCGGACGCCATTCTGCGAGAACGACTTGACGGGGGCTAGGGCAGGACCTGATTAGTATGGAGAAAATAAAAGAAAGCCCCCGTCCACGGGTCAATGGTGCATTAGGCCCGGACGAGCAGCACCACGGTGGGATATTTCCTCCTACACACTTTGTTCCTGGGGTTGCGGACTTTCGGGAGCGTCGACCATTGTGACTGTAGTCTGATATAGACTGATATAGACCGGAAGTAGACAGAGGAAGGGGAAATTATGGCAGGATCTGCATCATGCGATATTAGCAATGGCTCGAACTCAACTTGGAGATCTCTCCTAGTTCAACAATAGTAGGCAAAAAAGCGACAGACGAAGCCCTCGCGACCAAAGCAAGTAAAAGTATACATACCTGAGCTCAATCCCGATAAAATAGTAGAATATAAAAAAAACAAGAATTGTCCCTTCCAATCGATCGACAAAAAAAAAAAAGTAAGAAAGAAAAGACAAGCCTAAACTATCAAACCCCAAACAAATAGTTCAAGTCTTGAATAAAATTAGCCACCTTAAAAGATCTCAGACTCTCTCTCCCATACTATCTTTTCCGGCGCGTCCCAAAAATTCATTTTTTTTCGTTCTTTTTTTCTGGAATGTAACAAACAAGGCAAACTAGACAAACGGACCCATATATACTCCATAGTTTGTTTCTCATTGGCTCGTTAGCGAATCTCAATCTTTCAACCTTAACTAGTTTCCTTTTTTTTTTTTTTTTCTAGTTAAATAGCTCGACATGCGCGCTGTTTTCTCCCTTCTTTGTCTTTTTTTCTTTCTTTTACTGCGAATTAGCCAACCCAAGTGGTGAACGACATCGTGTCATTTTATGTTGTGACACTTTGTTTGTTTACATGGCCAGTCTCGCAGAGAGGACTTTTGCTTCTGCTTAGCAAACTTATGAAGGCGTAGTGGACGAGAATGGAGGAAGATGAATCACATGATTTGAATATTGAATATTCTATCTACACTTCTATGATGATGATTGATTTCACACAGACCTGTTCTGATTAAACCATGCGGACATACAATCAATGTTCAACTGCTATCTGAGAAGTTTCCCCTGCCCTGCAATATTATATATAGCAAAAATTATATATAGAAGATGAATTGAGATTACTTGAACATCAACAAAATGTGCCAAATATTTAAGATACTCTTGAGATACTAAACTATTATAAAAATTAATCATCCTGCCATACCCTACCAGACTACATACCTACTACACTCGAGTAGGCAAAGAGCCATGTCATTAGCCCGTTCACGCATTATATCCCGCGTCCGTGGGTACAGCATGTGCGTCCGCGCGCTCGTACAACACTTCCGCCCGGACGCGCTGGCGCAGGATATACCGCTTGATGAAGTACGGGATCTGGCGGAGTCCGTACTGAGCGTGCAGGCGCGTCGGCACGGAGAAGATCTGGTCCAGTTCTTCCAGCGTTCGTCCTTTCGTTTCCGGCATGAATAGGAGGATGGCGAACCATCCGACGATATTCCACGCGCCGTAGAACGAAAAGGCACCCTGGGACTTGAACGAAGACTGCAGGGATGGCCAGGAGACGGCGAGGATGAAGTTGAACAGCCAGGTGGTCGCAGTCGCCAGGGCCATGCCGTACGAGCGCACGTACAGTGGGTATACTTCGGCGGAGTAGGTGAAGGGGACGGGCCCTTCGCCGGTCGAGTAGACGGCGCAGAAGAGGTAGCTGCCCAGGGCGATACAGGCGAGACGCGCGTGGGTGCTGGCCTCTGGGATGGAGTGGCTCCAGCCGATGAAGAACATGAAGGCGGCCATCAGCGGGAATGTGGCCAGGAGCAGGTTGCGCCGTCCGAATGTGTCGATGGTGTAGACGGCTGGGATGGCAAACAGCCAGTTGATCACACCCCAGCCGAACGATGCGACCAGCGCCGTTCGGATATGGACGTCGCCGAGCATCACAAAGATCTGCGTGGAGTAATAGGCGAGGACATTAACGCCTGGATGGGTGGTGGGTTAGTACCTGGGGGGCGCTCTACTGGATGATATGAGGAAACCTACCACAGAACTATAAAGATGTCAGCGCGCGCCAGTCAGCATTGAAAGAGTCAAGGGGATGTACCTGTTGTAAAAACATGACCAATTCGGACGCAATCACAGCCCGTCGGTTGCGCGGCACGGTGATCAGCTCCAACATCTTGTTCCGACCCAGCTTCATCGAACTCTCCGCCTGCAGCAAGGTATACATGTAGTACATGTCCCGAGCCGCCTGGACTTTGTTGAAACGCAGCCGACACATGGACTGGTACGCCTTGTCGTACCGATCGCGCTGCATGTACCAACGCGGGGATTCGGGGCAACGAAAGACAAAGCAGCAGACCACGATCGCCGGAAGCATCGCGGATCCCATCATCAAGCGCCACTGAAGCCCGACGATGCCCGCAGGGTCCTTGATATCGTAAAAGATCAGATCGGCCGCGTAGCCCAGCATGATGCCAAACGCGGTCCACATCTGCCACTGCATCACCAAGGCACCACGGATGGCGGGAGGGGCGGTCTCCGCCGCGTATACTGGGACGGTGGCCGACTTGGGACCGATGCCAAAGCCCAGGGCGAACCGGGCGATGAACATATGCCACCACGTGTTGACAAAACCCTGCCAGAAGCAGGTGATGGCCGAGATGCAGCAGGTGATGAAGATTGTCCCGCGACGTCCGAACCAGGCGTTGAAAGGAACGGTGAGCCAACAACTGATCACTGCACAGCATAAATACGGGGCCGCGTTCACCAGGCCGGTCAGCCAGTCGGATGTGCGGTCCCCCTCCTTAAGACCAAATTGTAGCTTGTAGAATAATTGGGCGCCGTTAACCACCGTCTCGTCTAAGAGCAAAAGGTATCAGTCATGGATCTCGAATGCAACTGCATGACTACGCGATGGGCAGAAGGCGACCAACCCATTCCTTGCACAGCGGCTGAGACAGAGCAAAGCGCAACGACCAGATACATGGTCCATGGCTGGGACCACCGGTGTGCGAATTCATTCTGCAGCACCTCCAGTTCCTCAGGCTTCAAGCCGGGCACCGTGGCGAACTTGTCGGGTGTCTGCGCCAGCATGGCACCGATGCCAAAGGCCCGTATGTCCTCTTCGTCGCCCAAGCAGTGCTTAATCGCGAAGTTGACACCTTGTTTTCGCAGCTCTTCCTGAGTAAATCCTGCTAGGGGGTTGGCCAGTTTCGCGTTTAGGTTGCGCCGTGCATGGTCTGCCGCGTTTCCCGGAAGATGGGGAGAGATGGTGGTCTCTTTGCGAAGGTTCTCAAATTCAATATCCCTCCCATGGTGTTCCGCGATACGGTCCCCAAATGTACTGGTCTCATTCCTTCGAGGCATCTGGGCGACGTATTGAGCAGTTGTCGAGGCTCTGCTTCGAATCCGAGGATTGAAGCTGCTCGTGGGGAATCTGTATATGATATTGGATTTGTTTTGAGATAGGACAGGCCGAGAGCATAAAAAATAAAGAGAGGGTTTTCAGGACGGCAGAAGAGGACATGGACCAGGAAAGGGGGCTGTGAGCAACAGACGGTGCAGCCAAGCAGCCTGATACTCAAGTCGTACTTGCAGATCAACAAAGAGAACCAGGGATGCGACAAAGAAAGCAGGGTCGCGTTACCTTCGACCAAGAGAAGTTTCAAAACAAAGAACTATCAGCCCATGTAACCTTGGGTCTGGATCTTTGCGGGAGAGAAATGAGAAGCAGAGGAGACTCCATGGTCGAGTTCCGAAGTTCTGAGGGAAAAGTACTCAGACGAGGCGCTCTCGATCGCATCCTTGGGGGAAGGCGTATACAGTCTGGGCTGACGTGTGAGCCACCAGGCTGTTCGAGAATATCGCCCTTCCACACGTGCCTACAGTTTCTTGTCGTTTGCCCAGAACATGGGTCAGCGGTTGGTTTGCTGACTTCAGGGCTGGTGATGATTGGATGCCTGCTACCAACAACATCATATCCGTGCATACATGTGAAGACAAAGATGGTAACGCTCTTCGTATTCGATCCAATGATGATAATGCCGGGCGCAGTTAGAGGGACTTGGCCGGGGTGCATCTGACAGCGCGGGCTGAGACAGGGGGCATTGTTTCCCTCTTGTTGGTTTTACTTCTTGCTGAGAACAATCCATCGAGGACCATCAGCAGCATGAATGGAGTACCAAAAGGGAAAATGGGGAGATTGCAGGTTTGACAGTGTCGCATCTCAGAGTCCAGTCGCAGGGTGTAAAGTCTGGAGAAGAAAGAGGTTGATGGAGTTGAAACAAGTTGAGCAGAAGCAGCTCCAGCTCACGGGACTGTTGCCCCAGGCATCACATATTTTACCATCGTCTGCCTTAAATCATCTACCTCTAGGTTGTGTTTCGGGTGTTTATTGATCTACTTTTTCTATCTATTCTAGAAATGTGCTCTTACATTAGACTCGCTCACTCCTTATATCACATTCATGGCATCGAATGATCCTGCCGATCGCAGGGAATATATCTTTGTTTACCACTCCTATTTAAGAACTGACACGGTCGTGAAGTATGCATGTCGAGTAGCCATACGATAAGATCTAACACTCGGAGAATAAATTCTCAACGCCCTGCCTATCCAAACCACTGGTGCACAACATGCCTTCCACGAGATCAGATCGCATCGCTTATCAGCGGCGCGTGGGCAACAATGCGGGGAGATCTACAGCCCCATCGGATCGGATGCCTTCCGTCCGTCGGATCCGGCCCCGCATTCTTGTATACTCCGGACAAGACAGTCATTTGCTTCGAGGGACATGATATATCACGGTGTAATTCAAATCTTAATAGAAGGTTGGCGTTATGGTGTCTTATATTTGTTTGTAGTTGTGTTAAAGTTGATTACTGAAGAGATGATAAGTAAGACTGACCCGGATATAGCAGGGAGAGATCCGTGTCCATAACCTTCTCCGCACGTCGCAGCCGTCGGAACAGGATCACTGGTCCGTCCTGATCCGTGTCAAATGATATATCACGGTGTAATTCAAATCTTAATAGAAGGTTGGCGTTATGGTGTCTTATATTTGTTTGTAGTTGTGTTAAAGTTGATTACTGAAGAGATGATAAGTAAGACTGACCCGGATATAGCAGGGAGAGATCCGTGTCCATAACCTTCTCCGCACGTCGCAGCCGTCGGAACAGGATCACTGGTCCGTCCTGATCCGTGTCAAATGATATAAAGCGCCGGTTGTTCTTGCATGCTCCGGGGTGTCTTCCTAGTACTCAAATCCATTATATCCTCCCAATATACCCAAAAGCATATCCCCAAACGGCCTTGAAAATACTCCACCACATCTGTATCTAACACACACGACAATGCTTGGAAAAATCGCTCTTGAAGAAGCCTTCGCGCTTCCACGATTCGAAGAAAAGACCCGATGGTGGGCCGGCCTGTTCTCCACCGACGTGGACACACACGTGCGTGAGATCAACGATATCAACAAGATCCGCATCCAGCATGCAGACAAGCACGGCGTCGGCTACCAGATCCTATCCTACACGGCACCAGGTGTCCAGGACATCTGGGACCCGGCTGATGCGCACGCCCTGGCTGTTGAGATCAACGACTACATCGCCGAACAAGTCAGCGTGAACCCCGACCGCTTCGGCGCATTCGCGTATGGCCTCTCCGTCCATCCCACCGTCTGACTCCTCCAGCCCTGCATACTAATCGGCTCGGACCCATATAGTACCCTCTCCATGCACGACCCCCAACAAGCAGCAACCGAGCTGCGCCGCTGCGTCGAGAAATACGGCTTCAAAGGCGCCCTGGTCAACGACACACAACGCGCCGGCCCCGACGGGGACGACATGATTTTCTACGACAACGCCAAATGGGACATCTTCTGGCAGACATGCACTGAGCTAGACGTGCCCCTCTACCTACACCCGCGCAACCCAACAGGCACAATCTACGACAAGCTCTGGGCCGACCGGAAGTGGCTCGTGGGGCCCCCGCTGAGCTTCGCGCAGGGCGTCAGCCTCCACGTCCTAGGCATGGTCACCAATGGGGTCTTCGACCGCCACCCCAAGCTGCAGATCATCATGGGTCATCTGGGCGAGCACGTCCCGTTCGATATGTGGCGCATCAACCACTGGTTCGAGGACCGCAAGAAGCTCCTGGGTCTAGCGGAGACGTGCAAGCGTACTATCCGTGAGTACTTTGCTGACAATATCTGGATTACTACTTCGGGGCACTTTTCTACTACGACGCTGAACTTCTGTATGGCGGAGGTGAGCGCCGACCGGATCTTGTTCTCGATCGATTATCCGTTTGAGACGTTTGCGGATGCGTGTGACTGGTTTGATGCTGCGGAGTTGAATACTGTTGATCGGTTGAAGATTGGGCGGGAGAATGCGAAGAAGTTGTTTAGACTGGGGCCTTATAAGGATAGTTCTGCTTAGTCTAGTATGTGTGGGCTTTTCAAGGGAAAGGCTTTGTATGAGGGTTCCATGGATTTTATTTCATCATACTCTGAAAATATATATTCTAAGGAAAATGAACCTCATAACTCCCGCTTAGCACCAACCAATATATCCAAATACATTATAGTTTACACAAGAGAAGAAAGCATACCATATATAGATTGCTATGTTTATATCCATGCCTATATCAACAGTCTGTCCAAAATTCTTCACGTCTCCCATAGCATTTGATGCCGCACCCTCCGCAAGATTGAAGTCTGACACATCCTCATTCCATATTGGGACATCAAACATACCAAGCCTGACCGAAGTGTCGATTCGGTACTTCCGTGCAGTGTCCGAGATTTCACGATACTCTATCGTATCATTCGTCCACAGTGATTAGGGCATCTGGTCAATTGTTTAGGTATACCTGATCGTCAGCCCGACCATCCATTTCATTCTGGGATCCGGCCATGAGACACAACCAGGTTAATTCCTGGAGCAAACTCTGGCTCGATGGCAGATCCCAAAGAAGCCAACTGAGTGACTGGAGTGCTTGGGGACTCTACAGGAGATCCACCAGTAGCAGCACCCGGCAGGGTGGGTGGGTGGGTGGGTGGGTGGACTTCTCCTGGCAGTGTGCTGATTTTAATCGCAGGGTCTAGGGATAAAGTGCAATTATATCTCCTTTCCTTCCAAAGAGTAAATAATCGTATTGATGATTTTTGTGAATATTTGTTCTCAAGACCACTGGACCAAAACGTAGACCAACTCTTAACCTGACTGATATTCCCAACATACCCTCGTTAAGCCCGATCAAGCGGACTTTACGAACCTAGGCACTGGCTATTATTAGCACTGGTACTGACTGGCACTTGGCTCTGGCATCTTGACACTGGCTCTTGGCATCTGCAGACACTGACCTCTTTTGGGTACTGGCTCTAGGTGGTGGTATTTTACAGGATGTTCAGCTTGCTCAGGGCGAGGATTGAACTCATGACCTCGAAAGGCTGTCCGGTGGGCTCTTCCTCAGGTTGGTTGCCTGGGTTTTCGGGCCCGCGGCCGCCTGCGCCTGGCCTATAGGCTGATTTTCAGCGAAGGAGAAAGCTCCCCCTCCCTGGGCCTTGCCGGCTCCAGACGTCCCCTGTGCATTATCGGTCATCTTTATCAGCTTCCTTTGGGATTTTGCGGGTGATCGATGTACTTAGCCCATTCGGCAAGATGCCGGGCTCATAACCTGTCAAGACCACTAGACCAAAATATTGACCAACGCTTGGTCTAGGGCTTAACCTGAATGATATTTCCAACATTTGTCGCATAAGAATAATCTCCGTCCTGCTCGTCCTGTTCATCTCCTAGTCACACCAGTCTCACAATGAGATTGAGAAGTTGCTGAAACCGGGAGAGCCGGTGTGTAGACTCTGGGCTGTTGTGCCTCGGCCTGTTGGTATCTCGCGTCAAGCGGTAGCATACACCACTCTGGGTAAATGCCTGACTACCTGCAATTCTTTGTGACTTGGTTGAATGCCAAAGAATGGTAACTGCAGTGGACACCGGGTCAACACCTACAGAATGCGGAAGAAGTTCAATTTCCTGGACGTGCACAGCACGTGGCTGCTTCTTCTCGTGATAGGAGGAATCCATCTTTGTCAGAAGATGTCGAAGATATCAGTCAGTTCAAGCCCTCGCAAAGTGCCGTTCAGTATTTTGGTATAGTTATTGGCTGTCAGAAGATGACGTAGGTGCTCAGTTAGACCCGTGAGCAGCTTCTTTGTCTCATGGCCATGAATCAAGTATATATATATATATATACATATACATGCCGGTGCGAGTAGCGAGGGCTAGGTAAGGAACGGTGGATGGCCCAGCCTGAGACGACTATTCTGTCAAGTTCCTCGGTGGGTTTGAACATGATGGTAGAAAAGCCACGTGCTAAAGGTAGCGATGGGGAAGAAAACAGGAAGAAGCATGCTGTCTTTTGTCTGCTAATTTCTGGCTAATACATAGTTTTGCGTGTTATCAGAGAGGTGCCAGCATAGGGAGTGTAGAGGGCAACGTAGAGGAGTGGAAAGAAAAGAGGAATATGTCTACATCTGTCTATCTACTGATCAATGAATAAAACATAGCCCTATGATCCATGACAAATAGGTGCCAACGTGGGGATTGTGAATGGAAACAAGGAAGTGATAACAAAGGAGGAGGAAGTATACATCGTTCTGTCTACTGATCACTGACATAGAATACAATAACAAATGTGATAAGAGGTGGTTCTACGCAGGAACGATCAGTGGAAATATAGACAAGTGAGAAGAAAAGAGAATAAGCCGTGTATTCCTCTACTCAATGATATCCTAAATTACATTTTCATGTGTCACAAACGACAAGTGTCACGTAGGACCCGCAGCCTCTGTGTACGCGCCAGGAAACGGGGTTTTCCACATCGGGGTGGTCCAAACCAGCGAATGCGTCATTCCGTGCCTGCAGCTCCTGCAGTTCCTGCAGTTCCTGCTGTCTGTGGGAGAGCTCGAGCTCATCACGAGCATGGCGGCTTTTGAGCATCCGTTTGCTCCGGTTGAGGAGGTAGTTCCACACCCTGGAACCATTGGGCACTTGACTGGTCATGGGTATCAAGACTTCGCAGCGTATCCTGTCACTTGACTCGGCGAGAGTAAGGTAGTAGTCCCGGGTGCCTATGATGAAGTGGTAGATCTCCAATATAGTGTTCGTTACGGCGATGCGATCCGGGTCGGGTTCGGTCCCGGCCAGCATTTGGGCTATACGAAAAGTATAGAAATCGTCGTATAACCACGCGAAGAAAAAATTGTAGAATACCTCGAACATTCGCAGCTCTATCGGCTGGACGAGGTAGAGTTTCCTGTTCCCGCAGGATACCTGTTAGTCTTGATTTGCTGAGATGCAGATGATGAGGAAGGGAACTTACTTGACGATCGTGTCTGCGACGTTAACAAAGCGCATTATGGGCGCGACGTTGTCCTCCATCGATTTATACTCCACTTCCCGGACGAGGTCGTTCACGTTCTCCCACTCCTGTCTCAGCATGATGAAGAGATTTTCGGCAAGCATTCTCAGCCCAGCGAGCGAGGGGAGCAGTAAATGAATGTCGGCTGGGCGAAGGAAAGCTTCATAGTCCGTGCGAGGGGCCATCATGAAGCGGCGTAAGCAGGTCTGGGAGACGGTCAGCGCATGAGTGCTCATTTGACTGTACAGATTTCTATGTCTGTACAGCGCCCGCGGGCTCTGTAGAAGCGTCCTCATTTCCACCAGGAGACTCTGACGCTCATCGTCGGCACCGGGAATCGGGATGTAGGACATGATGTCGGTGTTTGAGAGGTACTCTGGCTCGGAAGACGTATCGTCCTCAGGCGCTGAGTCTATTCCATCCCCATATACCGGCTCGGGAGACATATCGCCCCCATGCACCGACTCCACATGATTCTGGGATCCGCCCAGAAGCACAGCCAGATCGGTTTCCGGAGCTGGCTCTGGCTCAGCGGCAGATCCCAAAGAATCCAACTGAGTGACGGGGCTGCTTGGGGGCGATATAAGAGATCCACCAGTAGCAGCCTCCGGGGTGGGAGGGTGGCCGTTAACTGGCCCAGACACCTGATCAGGGGTGCTAGCTCTAGCAGCCTGGTCCGGATGAGCACAAGGATTCGCTACTGTGAGCGGATTGGTGCTGGCGGTCGATTGATCAGGGCCAAGTGATGGGGATCCTGGCGGATCCCCGGGCATTCTGCTCCTACTTCTCCCTGGCAAGTGTGGAGGTAGTCTGCCTCTCGCCGGCGACTGTAGAACGACTCATGAGACAGGGCGTAGATGTAGGCCACCTCAAGAGCACATTCTATGGCCGGTAAATTTATCTCACACCCCTCGTCGTAATCCGGGAAAGGCTCTGGGCCGCATTCCACGGTAGATTGTGGTTGTGGTTGAGAGGAAGACACCGGGTTAACCTCCAGAGGATGTGGAAGCAGGTCGGTTTCCCAAACGCGCTCCACCGATGCGTTCTCGTCGTTATGAGAAGGTAGGCTCCCGGAAGAAGGAGGAGTAGGAGCCGAGTCAGATTCGTGGACGGCTCCTTCCTCCGTCTCACGGCTATGGAGAGAGAGGATGGATGTGGCCTCAGCAGGATCATCGCCCGTCCGGCTATTTGTGGTATCAGACCCGCGTCTTGCTTGATGGGGGCTGTATGCACTGTACTCGGGATTTGTGTAGCTCTCTGAATCGTTATTCTCTACATCATCCCCAGAATTATGGGAGGAGGATGGCTTTTTCACGACCTCCAGTTTCATGATGATGGAGGCTCAAGCGTGCTGGAATATGACGGATACAAAGACTATTGACCGAAGTTGTCCTTTGATAGAATTTGCGAGGTATACGATTGAGAAGTTAATATAGAGCAATATATAGATGCGATATCAAAGCAAACAGCAAAGGATACAATAGATGATTGAAAGGAGGATGGGTGAAAGAGAGACAGAATCAGGGGGAGACTGAGGGGAAAGTAACTGTTCTCGAGCATCTGTCACTGAAGTCTACTCAGTACGATTTGCCGTATTAATCCAGCATATTCACCGGAGTAGACTTCCTAGGTACTCATCTCATTATCATGATGATCAATGTCAAGCGTCATACTCTCAACAGCCTCATGTAATCAAAACCAGGGCCAGGAATGATCATTCCGAAACCCAAACCGATGGACAAGGTATGGTAGTAGAACTTGTTAACTGTGGTTCACCGGTATGTGAGGTCATTGTCATATCAGAGTAAACAAACCACTCTTGGCAGAACATACAAGCGCATCTGTTTCCTTTGGGAAGCACCTCCCTTAGGCCCCATTCTTGGGATCCATGATAATCTTCAGAATAGCTTAGCAACTGGGGTTCTTTCCCCAAGGGTCCACCTGCTTCTGGAAGCCCTTCGCAGCAACGTTCACCGTAGTCGATTGGTTACCATAGACGGGCCATTCTCCATCGTCCCTGCCGTGGTAGAAATCTAGCGTCCTTGGTTGAATCTCCTTGGCCAGAGACATGTCTTCCACAGGGGTAGTCTTCTTATCCGCGAAGAAGATATCTGCAGCAGTCAATTAGTAACCAGCGAGCCCAAAACAGATGCGGCAAACTAACTTACAGTTCAAATCCTGACTATGCACCGCGGGCGGCACATTGAACACACATCGCTGCGTCTTGCTCGCATACGCCTCCGCCAGACCCTGGGCATTGCACCCATACACTACATCCGTCGTCCAGTCGTTCACCACATCCTGGATCTCCGAGTCCGGCTGAGGGTACAAGGCACGGATCTGCTGGACAGTATCTTTACTTGCGTCTGGGATGGTTCGCCGCACAAATTCAGCGAACTCAACGGGCTTCTTGATCTCTGGCGTCGTTTCCAGCCCCTCGTCGGCCGTGTTTCCCGCAACAACAGTCTTCACGCGCGGGTTAATGCGTCCCTGGCTGAACAGCACCGTCAACGCATCTAGGATGTACTTCCCATCTGGAATTAGGCCGAACCCAATACCCGGGCCGAAGGTCGCACCCCCGGAGCTGCTGAAGACCTCGGTGAAGAGGTGCTTGTTGGTGGCGACAAGGGTCTTAGCCGGTGCGTTCCGCAGACCCTCGACTGATTTGCACTTGGTTGCCCTGAGGACCTCCTTGAATAGACTGGCGCGGCGGCTTGTGACATCTCTTCGGGGTAATAAAGCAGGCGAGGAAATGAATGCCTGGAAAGATCAGTACATTGTCGTCTTCTCCACCAATTGCCCTAAGCACCCAGGTACCACTAACCTTTTGAAAAGGCAAATCTTCTTGGCCCTCATTCGCGACAAGCATCAACGCGACCATCGTCGCGCCCGCACTCTGCCCCATAGCGATGATATTGTCTGGGTCGTTCCCAAAGCGCTCGATGTACTTCTGTGTCCATTCCAGTGCCGCGACGCCGTCGTGCAGACCGACATTGCTATCCATGTGCTCGCCCTCTGCCGACGACCACCCGTACAGGCCCATCCTATACGCACCGTCAGTGTTCTCTACGATGTTTCATAACAGACAACAGGTAACCAACCGATAATTACTGGTCACATGGATAAACCGGTCGCTCGGGCACTTTATACGCTCCATCAGTGCCATTCCGTCGACTGGTATGTCTTTACTTCCGAACGCGTATGCCGAGCCATACAGCCAATGGACAACTGGCACACGGTTGATCCGCGGGCGAACGCCCTCGGGTACCAGCACGTTCAAAAACAGGCAGTCCTCCTGGCCCCACGCCGTCCCGTTCAGCCCGGGAAAGGACACCTCCTTCGGCGCGGAGCTGACGCAGTCCGACTTGAAGAGGTGGTTTCGGCCGTCGAGGACGCCGGGCTCGTGCGGCGGGGGCGTGACGGGCTTGCAACGATGCCGTATTATTTGCGGACGTGCTAACATATATATATGACAAACCCCTTGGATGAGGCTCACCATCCAAATTAGGAAAACAGACAAAGCACCCAATCAGCGACACGGCACGAACATTCATATTCAACGATGATCAAATTGACGCATTTGCCTGACGTGTTGGAGTCAAGTACCGATCGACCAACTAACCAAATCGACAGGTAGCATTGAAGTCGATTTTAAAATATGACATATTTTCATCATCCCCTCAGAGAAAGCGAATCAAACTTTCCTCCCGCCCGCCTGAGCCTTCCCGGCGCCCGCAGTGGGGGAACCGATCCCTGGACGCGATAAGCAAATACAAATCCAGATATATTTTCGTTTCTGAGCTTGGAGCGTGAATTTTGCTGCGAGGCGTGCGAAGGAGAGTATCTTGGCAGACGCAACAGATCCTTGTCTGGTTCAATTCCAACGATGCTAGTAAGGTGTCATGGTGGGCGAGATATATCCCCAAATAGAACAAGCTCGTATTGGGGCCATGGGGATCGTCGGGGCTGCCCGGGACTTCGCTTTCGCGTGGTGCCCTATGCATGCTTTGGGCGGTCTGTTCTTCTTGGAAAGTAGTTGGCTGATCAGGAGAAGGGATGAGGTTGAATGAGATATTTTATGATGGTTTGAAAGGTAGAATAAATGTCGCATTGACAGCATGTCGAACTTGAACGGTTGGAATGTCACGGTGTAGGGCAGCCTGTGTCATGCGCTATACTCGTCTAGTTGGTTGTGGTTGATTTCAAACATTCAGGTGCTTCGATCCGTTCCTTTGGATTAGTCTGATATATGTGAATGATTCTTTAGCATATGTTACCACCAAATATACCCCAGGGTAAATCAATCCGGCGATGAAACCGTCGGTAGTTAGCATTGAGATCGCGACATAAACTGATAATTCTTGGAAAAAGTACGAATGCTGATCTGTGTTTCTTGATTTGTTGTTCAAGTGATCAACATGACTGACTATGGGATCCACGTAGTCTGAAATGTGCAGTAACAAGTTCCCTTCAACAACAAACATGTCGAAGGTCGCGTGGGATTTATGTTTGCTACTATTCGAATTCCATCCGAAATGATCATTTACTCGAACCTTACTGATGGATTATGAAGGTATATATTAAATTATACAAATGCTTTATTTAGCGAGGGAGAAGAATGACTAGTTCTATACATTAGGCACGCATACGGGTTCATGAATAACTGGTAACCACGGACGACAGCATTGGCACATTGGAAAGCATCATCATTAAGCATGGATCTTTAACTAAGCTGTACTAGATTCGTTGTTGAAGAAATAATTCCTCCGGACGCCACACCTTGGCAGGGTCTGTTCCGCAGCTGTGGCGAGACTCGCGTGACAGACTGCAGTGCTTTCTAATTGATGCTGAGTATGGCATTGGAGGGAATTTGTGGTCATGTCCGTGAGGCTTGATATTCTGCTTACATTCACTAAGAAAGTGTTGAAATTGATCCATCAATGGGAAGTCATGTCTATATTCTATTTGACCACTACAGAGTGCAATGGGAAATCTATATTTCTCAATTCCTGGACTATAAGATCAGCACAGCATCCCTACTCATGGATCTTCCCCCAGCACAATTTAACTCAACCATATATCAGAAATAACCACAAAGAATGTTGTCCAAAGTGTCCGCTCTCCCCTTCCTTCTACCCGTCGTACTCGCCTGCCTAGGCTACGAAGGCGGCATCCCCACTCCGACGGCCCATCACTCCAACAGCGCTGTCATTGAGATTGCCGCCGGAGAGGTCTTTGACGCCGGGTGGGCCAAGTACGACCGCGGATCCGGCGCCTGCAAGGGGAGCACGGAGGGCGACTGGCGCGGTGCCGTCTTCTATCTGCACGCCGGGGCGACCCTGCGGAACGTGATTATTGGGAAGGACCAAGCGGAGGGGGTGCACTGCGATGGACCGTGCACTCTAGAATATGTGTGGTTTGAGGATGTCTGCGAAGATGCTATCAGTATCGTACGTCGTTCAACCCTTCTCAAACATCGACTTACCATCATCCTGGGATGAGGATACGGCTGACTGGTCAAATCATGGCGATGGACATAGAAAAACGACAAAGCGGGCCAGGAAACGTGGATAATCGGAGGCGGTGCCTACCACGCCAGCGACAAGGTCGTGCAGCACAATGGCTGTGGGACAGTCAACGTGAGTTGTACCCGTATCTTTTTGGTCCAAGAAGAGGATGATCGTTGATGACGTCTCTGCCAGATCATCAATTTCTACGTCGAAGATTACGGCAAAGTGTATCGCTCATGTGGTAACTGCAAAAGCCAATGTAAGAGAAATGTATACGTTGAAGGGACGACAGCCCGCGATGGGGGTGAGGTCGTCGGCATCAATGCCAACTACGGCGATACTGCGACTTTGAAGAACGTGTGCACTGATGCTAGTCATCCATGTGTCATGTACGATGGGTGTGCCGGTGGATGCGAGCCTTCCAAGGTTGGGTATTGCTCTGGATAGTTACTTCACTTGGTCGGGACGGCATAACGTACAGCGATATTTCCGAACCAGTGGCTCTTGAATTCATTCGCCACAACCCGTGTTAGGGCTCCCCGTCACTTTTGATTCCCATCACCTAGGGCCTCCTGTTACTATGAAGGGACTGCCCCCAACTAGAAGTAAAGCAACAGCACCCCTAAGTTTCCTTGATAATGTAGGTGTTGTGACATGAGTTCAAGATCATCCTCTTTACTATGTTGCTAGTGATTTACGACACTACACTACGAACGGCAGGTACCGCTCCACCGCCGACCTCCACCCGGACCAACTTAGTCACTGTCACTCGCGGAGTGGGTAGCCTATGATCATGTCCCGGGGTGTTCCTGTGGAGACCGTATACAGCTATCATTGTGGCAAGGGTGATATAAGATGATATTTCTGTATATTAAGAGGTTTTAGCGAAAGAAATTAGGGTGTTGATAATTTTTTGTTTTTTACTCTATAAATTGACTGAACCGGAGTTGGGGCAACTAGGGCTAGGGCTTGGAATGGACCATTTCTGCTCTGACTAAAATGCCGCGGGACCAGGACTCGGACCAGGAGTATCACGGTGGATCAGACAAGATCTTATCATCGGATAGTCGATTATCAATCTGTCAATCTAGAATTCTCCGATGTTCGGATGCGACATTTCCCACATGGTCTGACATCTCTCCTTCCTGTTCGAACCAAATGGGACAAGAGAGAGCTGGCCGGGACCCTCGGCGCATGTCTGTCTGCCCCTCTTCACCAACCCAAGCCACCAAACTCGCTTGCACGGCTATGTTTCCCTTTTCTTCCACCTTTTCGTGGAACGGTCTCATTTCAATCCGGTTGGTCTCCCAACGAGACCAATGAACAGACTAGGGGGCGTCCTTGGCGAAGCCTAGGCGCCAGTGTCGAGTGTGCCTGGAGGCAGTAGCAGGGCCGGACCTGTCCACCTTACTCTATTGGGCCCTCTATCCATGGTTTTGGTTGGTCTGGCTGTCTCAACGGACGGATCAGATAAGATGGAAAACATTGAGGGTAAATGAGAAAAAAAAAAGGTAGTATCTCATGATGCGCTCATTCTCTCAACTCAGAGTTTTCTTCCCATTCCTTTTCTATTTCTTTATAAATCCTTCTCTCTCCCCTCTCCTCCTTTCTCGCTCGTCCCCATGCGCTTGAATCGTCCCCCGGGTGGAAAATAAATAAGATGGTCTCTGACAAAGAACCAGGCCTGTCGGAGGAGGAGAGGTCATCGTCAATCCCCGGCTTTGCTCCCCCCATACCCGCGAGCCCGGGCGTCAAACGCATCGAGGCCATTTCCTCCACTTTTACCCGTACCGATCGCATTCTTTTTTTCTTCTCCATCTTCATTCTGGCCTACGTTTATGGATTGGACGGTACCCTGCGCTACGCCTATCAGGTCCGTCTGCATATCTATCACCCGCTCCTGGACTTGGTTGCATAATGTCTAACTCTCTCGTTTCACAGCCGGTGGCCACGGACGATTTTGGGCAACACAGTCTGCTTTCTACAATCAACGTTCTGCGCGCTGTGATTGCTGTCGCCGCCCAGGTCGGTCTTCTATCTTGCTTTATTCTCCCTCTTTTACACTTGCCTGGGTATTCTTTGCGTCTGCGTTTCTCTCCACCTTGTTTACTTCTTCTTTGCGAGTTTCACGTTTCGGCGTTGCGAATTCTAACATAGATTCTAGCCCACCCTTGCCAAAATTGCTGATGTCTTTGGTCGCAATGAGGTGATCATCCTGTCGGTGGTGTTTTACACCGTTGGCACCATCGTCGAAGCCGCTGCTAAAAACACCCCAACATTCTGTGGTGGCGCCGTGCTGTACCAGGTACGACATCCCGAACGCTCGCATGTATACACACTCGCATGTATACGCATGCTGATACTCCCAGCTAGATTGGCTACACCGGAATTTTGCTTTTGGTGGAAGTCCTCATCGCCGACACGACATCCCTTCGATCCCGTCTCCTCTTTTCCTTCATCCCTGCCACACCGTTTATAGTAAGTGGTTGATTGCGTGCGAGGGGGCAACAAAACTGATGGAAATAGATCAATACCTGGGTTAGTGGGGATATTGCCTTGGCCGTCCTGAGCGCAGCAGGCTGGCGCTGGGGTATTGCCATGTGGGCTATCATCTTTCCAGGTAACTCCCGTATTTTCTATCATCAATGAGCGGCGAGCTGATATGCCAAGTGTGCGCGATTCCGCTGTTCGTGATTCTCTACCGGGGCCACTACAAAGTCAAGAAACAACAGGGCGGATACCAGAGCCGTTTGAGCGCTCTCACGTCTACTCAGGCACTCATTGAGTTGTTTCACTATTTAGACGTCGTGGGTATCTTCCTGCTGATCGCATGGATGGCATTGATCTTGGTCCCATTCACCATTGCCTCAGACGGCTCGGACCAATGGAAGACGGCCAAGATCCTGGCGCCATTGGTGTGTGGTATCCTTTGCATATTCCTGTGGGCGCTTTGGGAACGTAGCTGCCCGCACCCGATGATACCCTTCAAACTCCTCAAGGACCGCGCCGTGTGGAGCGCGCTTGGGATTGCTTTCATGCTAAATCTTTGTCGGTACCCTGCCTCACCCACTGGACCACTTAGCTGACCTCATCACAGCCTGGAGCATACAGGCAGAGTTTCTGTTCACCGTGCTCCGAGTCAGCTTCGACGAGAGCGTCACGAGCGCCACACGCATCATATCTCTATACAGGTCTGTTGACCCTGTCGATCGATCGTTCTCCCAATAATTCGTCTGACTGTTGTCTAGCTTCGTCTCTGTCATCACAGGATGTGTTCTTGGCTTCGTGGTGCTGGGGGTCCGCCGCTTGAAACTCTTCATCATGGGAGGCACCTTGCTCTTTACGGTAGCCTTTGGTCTGCTCATCCGCTACCGCGGTGGGACCGCGGGGTCCAGCCATTCGGGCATCATCGGCGCCCAGGTCCTGCTGGGTATCGCCGGCGGATTGTTCCCGTACCCAGCGCAGGCCAGCATCCAAGCCGCCACCAAGCACGAGCGTACGTCTCCCTCACCCGTAATCCCACCTATTCTATCTCACCCATGCTAACACCCAAACAGACATGGCCGTCGTCACAGCCGTCTACCTCGCCCTCTACCAATTCGGCTCCGCCGTGGGGAACACCATCGCCGGCGCCATCTGGCGGCAGGTCCTCAACGCCAAACTCACGTATCAGCTAGGCGACGCAGCCCAAGCAGCCACGGTCTTCGCCTCACCGCTCTCCTTCATTGAAGACCACCCGGTCGGGACGCCGATGCGCGATGGGGTGGTCGTCGCCTACCGCGAGACGCAGCGACTACTCTGCATCACGGGCATCTGTCTTACGGTCCCGCTGATTGTCTTTTCGCTGTTTATTCGTGATACGAGGATGGGCGACGAGCAGAGTGATCCCGAAGCCGAAGAGAAGGGCAGACGCAGTAATTGGTAGCTGTGTAGTGGGGGGGTTGATGTTCGTACAGGAGGGAGGTGAGGGATTTGGTTGGTGTGGGTTTCGTGGTACAACTGGTGCTGGTTTATTTAATTTAATTCTTAGAGCTAATATCAATATGGGAAAGTGTTGTCATGATCCTTGTTAGAGGTCTATTAAGCTACTAATCGGGTGATAGTCACTGAAAAGGATAGATATTAAGAGAGATGCTATCCTGTCCTATAGGCTTGATCGTGAATGCAACCGGTGAAATGGTTGGACCATTGTCTGATTGAAAGTAGAGCTCAATATCTTACTACCTTGTATACAGTCATCAGCTCCCCAATGGAACCCGCAGAAAAATGGCCAAAGGCGAGAACGAGGAACTAATGCTGATAGTGATGTCATGCTTGTCGATTCTTTGTTTATATTATCACACAGGGGTTGTCCTATTCTATTCTCGCCATGGAATCCCCACATCTTCTGTTGGCTCGGACCATTAATTCCGTTAGCCACGTCACGACGACCAAGTGTAGCCTGCTCGATGTGTGGGGTCGTGGAAATGCAGTTATATTGGTTAGATCGCAGCTTGGAATCCGGTTGGTGTCAGCCCTGCGGACTTTAGAAGTAGGTCATCAATGGAAATGGCGTTAACGGCCTTATATGCTGCCCAACCCTGTATGTCCGTCTTTCCAGATGCATTTTGCCTATTGTGTAACAGCCTCGTCCTACGCCTAACGATCTGAAAGGTCTGTTCGTTGATTAAGCTGACATCAGGCTGGTTTAATGTGTCACGCTTCATGATGATACCGTATGACTGGTTGGCATCAGAAAGTGGACATTAACAATGCTCTTCATCAGTGGTTCGTTTAGATAGTGGGGGTTATTTTCACGCTATGCAAGTCTCCCCGGTTGCAGGGGTTGCGGTCCTGCTACTCTCCTTCCGAATTTCCTGATGACGGCCATTGGAAGCTGGCGCAGGCCGCTAAGATAGAGCCTGCAGTGCGGGGCTTTTAGTTCGGAGGCGGGGATAACGACGAGGGGGGCCGGTCAGCAGCTTGCATGTTGCGAGGTGGGTTGTGCGTATTTATAAGGCCGTTTGTCCCAGTATCTAATTCCCAAAGACGTCAAGAGGAAACTGAAAGAACAGAAAATCCACCACCACAAACTACAATACCACCCATCATGGCCTTCCCCTTCTCCCCCAGCAACCTGCCCACCCAGCTCTTCATCAACAACGAGTACGTGGATTCCCGCAGCACCCAAAAGCTCTCAGTCCACAACCCCAAAGACGGCACCCTCGTCACCGACCAAGTGCCCCTCTCCGGCGCCGAAGACGTCGACGCAGCCGTCGCCGCCGCCGAAGCCGCCTTCCCAGCATGGAAGAAGACCAGCGCCATTGAACGGCGCGAAACGATGCTGAAATTCGCCTCCCTCCTCCAGCAACACGTCGACCAACTCTCCGAGCTAAGCCGCATCACCCTCGGCTCCCCCTTCCGCACCTTCGGCGGCTTCGAAACCTCCATGGCGTCCGAGCTGTTCACCTACTACGCCGGCTGGACCGACAAATTCGGCGGCGAGAGCTTCCCCCAGGACAACGGGTTCCTGAAGTTCACGCGCCACGAGCCGCTGGGCGTGACGGCCGGCATTGCGCCGTGGAATGCGCCCATAGGAACCCTCGGGCTGAAGGCTGCGCCGGCGCTGGCGACGGGGAACTGCTTTATTCTCAAGCCGTCTGAGAAGACGCCGCTGAGTTCGCTGGCGCTAGGTGCGCTGATTAAGGAGGCTGGGTTCCCGCCGGGTGTGTTCCAGGTTTTGTCGGGGGATGGGTCGACGGGGGATTTGTTGGCACGGCATATGCGGGTTCGCAAGATCTCGTTTACGGGGTCGATTCCTACGGGAAAGAAGGTTCAGCGTGCGGCTGCGGAGAGTAACCTTAAGCGGGTGACGCTCGAGCTGGGTGGAAAGTCGCCGGCTGTGGTGTTTGATGATTGTCACTTGGAGAATGCTGTGTCGTGGTGTGCGAGGATTACGGCGAATACGGGACAGGTATGCTATATTAATGTTATCAATGTGAAGGAAAGAAGAAGAAGAAGAAGAAGCTAACGAAACAGGTCTGCTTCGCGCCCTCCCGAGTCTACGTCCAAGAAGGCATCAAAGACCAATTCCTTGCCAAATACAAGCTCGCCCTCGAAGAGATGGGCAAAGCAGTCGGCGACCCCGACCACCCCAACACACTCATGGGACCCATCGTCGACAAAGCGCAGTTCAGCCGCGTCATGGGGTTCATCGAGCGGGGCGCCAACCAAGGAATCCTGCTGACGGGGGGGAACCGCGTCGGGGAGACAGGGCTGTACGTGGCGCCGACGGTCTTCACAGACGTGGAGGCGTCGTCGGAGCTCCTGCAGAATGAGATCTTCGGGCCCGTCGCCGTCGTCAACACGTTCAAGACGGAGGAGGAGGTGATTCGCGAGGCGAACGCCACTGAGTATGGGCTGATGGCGGGTGTCTTTACGCAGGATATCAACCGGGCGTTGCGTGTGGCGAGCGAGTTCGAGAGTGGGATGGTGGGCGTTAATGCTGTGTCGCTTGTGCAGACGGAGTTGCCGTTTGGGGGGTCGAAGCAGAGTGGGACGGGGAGGGAGTGTGGGAGGGCCGCCTTGGAGGCGTTTACGGAGACGAAGACGATTATGATTAATTTGACTTATTAGTAGGTAGCTTGCTACCGGCTTGAAAGGTCAGCCGAAGCTAGGCGAGAGATCTACGAGTATTGTTTTACGCCATGTTCACGATGCAGAATTCATGAAATATGACAAAGGATTATCATGCATTGCACCTATTATAGAGTAAGAAGTAATTACGTGTAAGCTAGACAGATATGTACGAGGGCGATGCCATGCCGCCGTCGAGACGACCGACATGGTCAAGACTGCCTTATGCATCCAATCAATAGAACCCCATGATCTCTCCCAGAACACTGCGGAAGATCCCCTTGGGATCAAACTTCTCCCTCACGGCCTTGAATCGTGCGATGTGCTAGTCGCGGTCAGCTATGATTCTACACATTATACAGTCTGGTACTCACGTCGGGGTCAATGTTCTTCTTTGCCATTTTGAATACCTCTCGGGTGTTCTTGGTCCAGTGGGGACGGCAGGGGAATTCCTCGACGAGCACCTTGGCTAGTTTTTCGTCTAGTATTATTAGCAAGGTCCTCAACGCGAGTTGAACGGAAGAAACAGAAAGGAAAGGAAGATAAGAGAGGAAACGCACAGAAAGGCTCATTAAACCGCGACCCATCGCCAACACTAGGCCGATAAGTCGGAAGATCCAACATAATAGCACCCTTCGTCCAATCGGCCCCATCAGCCGTATTATAGGTCACCTGGCCCAGGAGATCAAAGTAAGGACGGCCAAACTTGATATTAATCCCCGTGCGATAAGTCGACGTCATAATCTTCCCCTTCTTTTGCTCCTCGTCGAAGAGTTCCCGCACACGCTTCAGCATCGCATTGGCCTGCGGCATCGGGAACGCCAGCTCCATGGTGTAGCCGTGCATGCCGTACTCCCAGACGGGCTTCTGGTCCGGGTACAGTCCGCCGATCAGCACGTCGTAGTTCCAGCCGTAGACGGGCCACTCCTTGATGTCTTCGTTGGTGGTCTTTTCGCGGAAGTTGGGCTTCTCCCAGAGTCCGAAGAGGATGTCTTCTGCGAGCATGTTGGATGTTGCGAGGTAGCGGCCGGAGTTCCAGATGGAGATGATGGCGTTGGCTTCGGCTTTGGTCACGGAGAAGGTGTTTTGGAAGCCTTGTTGGTCGGATTTGTTGCTGGGGACGACGTCGTAGTAGCGCCAGTGGAACTTGCGCTTGTAGGGCCACCACTGGTTTGGTTAGTATGGCAAACATTAAGGGAATGGTAGAGAAAGTAGCAGTATGGGGGGTAGAGAAATGAGCTACGTACCCAGAAGTTTGCGGTCGCGTACGGCTCAATCATTCCGGCAATATCTCCGTCCAAGACCTCCTCGTCGTCGAGACTGCGATAGTCAGCAAATGGTTGCGACAGATAGGAGGATAGAATGCGTACGTCTTCTGATCCGCATAAACCATGAAATCCGGGCGGATCTTAAACTTCATGCGAACAATAACACCCAGGAGACCTAACGACGTCGACGCAGCAAGCCACTCATCGTTGTCATCATCCCGTTCAATATGGCGCAGCTGGCCACTTCCATCAATAAAGTCCAGAGACAAGACACCCGCGGCAACCATCGACTCTTCACGGATCGAAGACCGATGCGCGCCCATCGCGACACACCCCGCAAGCGTGATATTCCAGTTAACGAGCGTGTACCCGGCCGACGCGCCCCTTTTGTGCAAGTACTCCGCGAGCTGGAGGAAGGTGACACCCGCCTCGATCATAACCGTGCCCGCCTCCAAGTCGAAATCGTAGATATTGTTCACCTCCTCGGTTTGGATGATGACGGTGTTCGGGTCGTCCGAGCACATCGTGTCGTACCACATGTGCGCCTTTCCGGACGCGCGAACCTGCTGGCCGTCTTTGATGGCGCGCTTGACCATATCCTGGATCTCGTCCACGCTGCCGGGCGTGCGCACGGCGGCGACTTCATTACACGCGGGGAAACCTTCGCCGTCGAACGTGTTGTAGGGGCTGGCAGAGGCCCTCAGGGCCAGTGCCAATGCGGTGATTGCCGGTAAGACCCTCATCGTGGACGGTGGAGGGATTTACTGAAGTCGAACCAACTCAGCAAAACGGCATTGTGGTTTGCGGGGAAAATCGTCACCTGGCTTTTATATATGTAGCGCAAATGCAAGATCACGTTCGGCTCCTTTTCTCCTTGTTTACCGAGGTTGCACCTTCATGGCGTCTGTCATCCCCCTGTATTTGCGTCCCCTCACCGGTCTTTCTGGTCTCTGCTGTACGGGGTTTGCGGGGAACTAATTGGGATCTACCGCAAATCTTCACCCCGGGGCAGTCTGATTGGGCAGGAATTCAGGCTTATATCAAGCGAGGAATATGCCTATCCAATTAGTTGGGGTAGGATATTTGTGGATGCCTTCCTGCAAAATCAAGTTTTTACTATTCTAGTGCATCATGGATATATAGGAGATCTCTCTAGCTGTCGTGCAGTATTCCGAAGGGAGCGGCGTAGTCGTACACCTATCCGAGGAATTCCTTGGACGGCGAGTAGGGGAAGGTGAGTGCAGTTGATTCCATGTCTCTGCATAGTCCAGGGTCTTGATGTCAGTACTAATCATATATGGTATACATGGCGAGGAGTTGGGGAGCCGTAGCTCAGCAAGTCATGTCTCCTTAAGAGCATGCCAGATCAACAGGGCAGGATCCAACCGTCCCCTCATCCAGCGACGCTGGTCCAGGTAGTGGCTTGGCGTCTGCATATCACTGCCTTGAGCTGTCATGTGGATTCTTCCTGTGAATTTAGGCAATTCACGGCGATTGGAGGTGAGTGGCTCGGTGGTATGGTTATGCAACGAGCAGAGGAACCCACGCATTGTGTCATATACTCTAGTAGTCTAGCCACCAGGATTCGTTGTGAGAGAGACGATCTGTAGATATCCTGTTAAACATGATAAATGTTCGTACTAGAGGTTAAAGTGCGTTCTCTGAAGACTTGGAGTATTATAATCATTTATCTACCAGGCAGCACCCCGGAGGGCTTCTGTGCGCGAGCTTGATATGAGCATCTCATGTAGCCGCAAGGAAAAGCATTGTCGTATTATTATCTGAACAACGTTGACAAATTGGATGATATGTGACTGTATAACTCGGCGATATTAAAATAACTCAATATACTGAATGCAACTCATCTGCGGAGTAGATGAATAATTCTTTGACAAGGTTCATGAAGTTGAAGTTATTCGCAGCGGACTGGGTGGCAGTCATGTTGATGCCTGAGGTTGCGATATTTGAATGCGCTGACTCATCTCGCTTATCGGATCTCAATCCCTATCGCTTCGTATCATTTCCGATCGGGAATCGCTTCGTTCTGTATAACCGTCATGTCCCACTATGCGCGTGTCTATCTCCTGTGAAGCTTGCCGGTATGCTTGTCTGAATACGTGGCCCACTGAACGAGATGAACTAATTTTACAGACAATCCAAAGTGAAATGTATCCACAACGGTATGAATGGTGTAAATCAAGTCCCTCAGGAATCGAGTGTTGATGGGAAGCACAGGACAGGCCCCTTGCCATCGATGCAACCGCCTCAATCGCAGTCATTGCGAGCTCACCGACCCCAGGTCTGCCTCATTGACCCCCAGAAAGTCGGTCAAGCGGGGTAGAGCAGTGCAGGCATCCCCCTCGCTAAGCCAAGGCCGTCCACAGACCGTCGCCACACAGTCTACTGGCAATCAGAATGTCTGCCACTACTGCGAGTCGCCAAACCCGATAGCGACTTTGCCAGCGGCCACAATAATCCACGCCTGTGACACCTACCGCCGAAAGTTCCCGGTGGTCAACTTCCTCCACTATCCGTCGCTCATTGCGGAGGTTTCTGCTGATTCATCGGCCGTGGACCCCGTCTTTGTATCGTCCTTATTGTCACTATGTGCACGCTTCATTCCCGGGCTGGCCTCGGAAGAGGTATACGCCGACTATGCACGCAAGCAGCTAGCTCGACGGGCCTTTGAAGCACCGTCATTGTCCATGGCACAATCGCTGGTGATGATTTCGCTCTACGAGTGGGGATCTGGCCGTCCCTACAAAGCGTGGATGTATAGCGGGATGGCCACGTATATGATCCAGTCCTTGCTGAAGACAGCAGACGACAGCATGGAGCATAATCCGGATGAGTTTTACGCATCGCAGGCTCAGCAGACGCAGTATGAACAATTAGTGCGCACGTACTGGGCTCAGTTTGCCCAGGATTGCGAGCTTTCCTCCGGGGCTCGACAACACTTCGCACTCTCCTTCGACGTGATCAAGGTTCCCCTTCCTATAAGCGACAGGGACTTCAATTTCAGCCTCCACAGCCCGACGCGTTGGATGCCAAAAGACCTCAACCGGCAGTCTCTGACGGCTCCACTTACCATTGACCACGGACTAACTATAGTGACGCGGGGTTTCGATATTTTCGTGAGAATCCTGCGGTACGCCAACGAAAGCCGGCGAGGGCGGGAGTCCGAGTCCCCTCCCCACCGCGCATTCCGATCCCTCCTTGCAGAGTTGGATGAATGGCGGGCGTTACAAGACGTGACGGTTCGATTTCCCGACACGCACGCTTTGGCACACGTAGCACTGGGATATGGGGAATTGTTTGCATACATTAATCTGGTCTATTTTATGAGGTAAGCTCATATCACCAACCCCGATGTGTCTTCGCTAATTGTGCAGTGTACTGTTCCTCTACCGCGATCGCGTCCTGGCAGGCATCGCCTGGGGCACATTTGAAGGCGACGACGCATTCAACAAGCTTTTCACCGCATCTCAAAGCATCGGGGGTATTCTGTCCGAGCTGGAATCCTCGGAAACTCCCGTGATCACCCCATATGCTGGGTTCAGCGTGTTTGTGGCGGCCCACATCAACATGTACGGCACGGTTTCGCCCCACCCGTACCCCGGTGGGCGTGAGAGAGCGGAGGCGGAAAAGAAAGCGAACTTTGCATACTTGGAGCGCGTGTGCAAGTTTTGGCCTGGGGTTGGAAGGAGCTGGGTATGTTTCACCCCACCGTTGGAAGATCCTTACTGACGTCCCCAGTGGCGCACCGTGCAAGACGCGAACCGATTTTATGAGAATGCCCGCAATCACCCCGGGCATGTCATGGCCGTCGCTCGGCCGGGGCATCTAGCTCTCGCGGGGACGCTGGATGAATATGGTGATATCCGATCTGCACGGCGGCATGAGCTCCCTACGATGCGACGCCGAAGAGGAGAGACAATCTTGGACGAGAGCGATATGGGAAGACATAGTACCGGCCAGGTGCCTGATGTCCGGCCAATGGCGGAGCTACACGAGTGGGAAGCCGAGTTACTGCAGTGGCCGTTCATCGATGAGACATGGACCTCTGGATTTGACACGGGGGTGGAAGCGGCATGGCCCAATCTTGGCTAACCTACAGACCCTATTAAAAACATCCAGCGACATAGAATCATTTTGAATTCTTCATTAATTAAATAACTGTATGTATGCCGATCCCAAACGCCCGCTCCGATATATGCAAAACTTCAAATCGTCCATTGCCGTACAAATGCATTAAACTTGTCCACCTCCATAGGATCCGTCGCCCACGATGTCACAACGCGCACGACGGACCGGCCGTCATCCAACGAATCCCACACATAAAACTGGAATCTCTCCTGCAGGTCCTGGATGAGCTCTTCCGGCAACAGGACAAAAACCTGATTCGTCTCGACCCGGTCATCCGGATACAAAGCGTACCCCAACTCAACGAAATTATCCGCCAAACGCGCCGCCATGTCATTCGCATGGCGGGCCAGCTGGAAATACAGCCCGTCTCGGAACAGCTCCGCAAACTGACACCCCATGACACGGCTCTTGGCCAGCAAAGCCCCGTGCTGTTTGACGTGGAAGACGAAGTCGTCCGCGTAGGGGAGGGTCTTTTTCACGACAACCGCCTCGCCCAGGAGGGCGCCCATCTTGGTGCCTCCGATCCAGAAGATATCCGTTAACTCGGCGATATCCGCCAGTGTGGGCCTCTCATCCTCGGGATGGGCGGAGGACGCCACGGCGACGCCAATGCGCGCGCCATCCATCATCAGCAGCAGGCCCAGCTGCTTGCACACGGCAGACAGAGCGCGCAGCTCGCTCTTCGAGTAGACAGTGCCCAGCTCGGTAGCGTTGGAGATGTACACCAGCCTTGGCTTGGCCGCATGGGGGAAGAATTGATTCCGCTGGACGGTGCGCACCAACTGCCCGGGAACCATCTTGCCGCGTACTGTCCCCGGAACGATAATCGTCTTATGGCCCGCCGCGACCTCAATCGCGCCGGCCTCTTTGCCGACGATGTGTCCGGTCTCCGGGGTAAGGACCGCTTCGTAGGGCCGCAGGCAGGCCGCGATGCAGATGAGGTTGGCGGCTGTGCCGCTCGGCACGAAGTGGATGTCTACCTGGGAGTCATTGAGGTTTATTTGTTCGCGGAGGAGGCGGCGAGCGTCGGAGGAGAGAGTGTCTTGCCCGTAGGACGATTGTTGGGTTGTGGAGGAGGTGAGGAGGGCGGAGAGGAGGGCGGGATGGGCAGCTTCGGAGTAGTCGTCCAGGAAGCTGTATGGGATGTGTTGCTGTACCGCGGCGGGCATTATGTGTGTTTAATATGTTCCTTTGTTTTTCTATTTTTTTTTCTGACTCGAAGAAGTTTCTGTGGATTGGGGAGGCAAACTGTCTATAAGTACTTTGAGCTACTCGAGTAAGGTATTCCCGCGGGAATGATTTGATCGGGAATAACACCATGCAGGTTCCCTAAAACTTGTTTTGTCGAGTACAACTTACCTATCTCTGCGCTACGATACAAAGCTTGCAATTGCGACTGTGTAACTTACATGCTCCATTCCTGACCGCCGTTACATAGATGACACCCGTCAGCTGAGCATTGCTGCAATCCATACCCACATATACACATCCGACCAGATTCCGATCCTGACAGTCCGTTGGGGTACGAGTTTTCATTCCCGTCGGGAATAGAGCAGACCCACCACAGCAGCTGGTTGACTCTTGTTCGATGCCCGTCCATGGTTCTAGAACTTGATTTTAAGCATTCGAGTCATGTCCAATTGGACAATTCGTTCCAGTGCGGTCGGCCATTGTCCAATCGGTACGCAGCACGAAGGCTCCAGCGGATATGGCGGCCTTTGGTCGCTGACTATCTGGACGTAGTGTGGTTCAATCGGCTTTTATAGATCTTTATATCCCGATCACTATAAATATCTGCCGTGCTAAGTTATCTTATTGACTGGCTGCTGAACTAGCATCGGTCGGTCTGGTTTTCATTGTCTTTACTGTTGACTTGTCCTACCGGAAGATAGGATTAGTGGGAGTGAGCATCGTGATAATTATAGACTTGGTCACAGGTGTTTAAACATGTACAGTCACCTGACTGTGCTTGGCCGGTTATTCAACCCCTGTCTCTGTCTTGTTCTTGTTCATCATGATCTTATGATAGTGAGAATATCATTATTTTATTCCCTTTTCGTCGTATAATCAACCTCTCTAATAATGACTGTGACATGACATGGAATATAGTCGCAGGTAGATCTAGTTCCAGTTGAAATCCTGCTGAGATCCTGCTGAGATCATACTCAACTTCAATACCCCCTAGATACGGTCAGGCGCCTGTCGGATGTCGCTCCTGCAGATATTCGGACGTACTCGCAATATTCTGCGATCCTATGATAGGGTATACATTTCCCCAGGCTATCTCCATTCCCGAAAGCCGGGATCGTCACTGTCTACTCTTTCCCGCCGGGAAGCAGACAAATGCAGCAAGGATACAGAGAGATCCAAGGGGTCTGGCCCATCGGGAATAAATCCTAAAAGATTCCAGTACATGCCGATAGAGTACGTCGAAGATCTCGACAGATATTGTCCCGGGGGATACCATCCTTTACAAGTCGGAGACACTTTAGATAACGGCCAGTACAAACTGGTCGATAAGCTCGGATACGGAGGATACTCCACCACATGGTTAGCCCGTGATCTAAAAAAAAAAGACAGATATGTAGCCGTCAAGGTTATTACCGCTGATGCTAGTGCTTCCACGTCAGAGGCTAGTCTTATACATGCTCTTGGAAAAGCGCCATCTAAACCAGGAAAAGAGATCATTCCTTCCGTCCTCGACCAATTCTGGGCTATCAGTCCCAATGGCAAGCATAGGTGTATCGTTACTCCCCCTGCACGCATGAGCTTGTTTGATGCCAAGGAGGCTTCCACTTTCCGTCTATTCCAGCCGAAGGTCGCGCAGTCAATCATTGCTCAGCTCATTCGTGGGGTGGCATTTCTCCATAGCGAAGGCGTTGTGCATGGCGGTATGTGGTGTTTGCCAAAAGATACGACTGAAATGAATATCTGACATCGTCCTTCCAAGACCTCCACCTGGGCAACATCTTAGTCTCATTCACTGAGTCAGTTGATCAGTATTCTACATCAGAACTATACAAGAGATATGGGGAACCCGAGCCCGAGGCCGTTGTTCGTCTCGACAACAAGTCACTATCAAAACACGTCCCCTCACACGCACTCGCACCCGGCTGGTTCGGCATTTGCAGCGATAATCTCCCTCAGGGAGAGGCAAAGATCATACTCAGCGACTTTGGCGAATCATACAACCCCCCCACAACCGTTCGATCCTTCTCGAATACTCTTCCCTGGATCCAACCACCTGAAGCCCGCTTCTCAGACGAGCCCCTCTCTTTTGCGTCAGAAGTTTGGACCCTCGCCTGCACCGTCTGGGAGATCTTTGGTCAACGACCTTTTTGTGACACATTTTGTTTCACGGCGGATAGCGTCACTGCGGAGCAAGTCCAAGCTCTTGGGACTTTGCCCGGGGAGTGGTGGGAGAAGTGGACTAGACGATCGGAGTGGTTCAACGAGGAGGGTGAGTTAGACGTGAAGTATGGCGCGTGTAGAACCGTCGATATGAGGTTTGACTACTGTGTGCAGGAGCCTCGGGCAGAGGCGGGCATGGAGATGGTGACTGAGGAAGAGAGGAAGGCGTTTATGGATATGATACGGTCGATGCTGGTCTTTCGGCCGAGGGATAGGGCGACGATTCAGCAGGTTTTGAATTCAGAGTGGATGCGAGGCTGGGGACAACCCGCCTTGAGAGGCGGACTGGATAGAAGAGATATCAAAGCATCTCTGGAGAAGTAGGATGATGCTCCATCCCGAACCGCGTTGTGGAATAAACTTACAGATTTACATCATTTTCTCGAAAAACTCTTCCGTAGAACACCTTGATTGCAAGCATTCAAACACCTAGTATCTGACCCTGCAGACCATAATAACTCCATATGTTCAACCCAAGGAGAGGAACCAGAGTCAAACCACCATATATACTCCCCCTCCCCACAGAAGAATAACCCTTGATAAACACCAAAAAAAAAAAGAAGAAAAAAATAAAAAATAAAATTACCCAACCCCATCAATCCAAATCAACCATCGCACGCCTAGACCTAATATCCCCCTTCAGGAGCGCCAGCAACTTATCTTCACTAGGTTTTGACGCCCCCCTCGGAATTTTAAACCCATACCAGATCCCAGCGGGGATGCTCTCCTGGGTAGCATACCTGACGGCCATCCCATCATTGACAACCAGCGACACAGCCTCGAGCAGCTCCGACTCACCGCAGACGGTGCCAATATATGGGCAGAAGAACCAGTGCTCCTTGCCTTCCACGCCGGGTTGGGTGGCTTTCAGGGAGTTCCAGTCGTAGATGATGGCTCTGCTGTCGTTGATGGCGACTTCCTGCGCCTGGTTCTTCCAGTGAAAGAACTCGGGGGCGGGGTTGGCATTGACTCTTTTGGTGGAGTGTCTCATTTTGACGGGTTGAATTGGATAACTGGAATCAGCTTGGGTGGTAGTTCGGGATTGGGAGGATATGGTTACTTAGGTTTGTAGTTGTTTTGGGAGTTGATGATGATGCTATGAATGACTCCGGGTGGGAGTCGATTATTTATATTGTGGCAATTGCAGAGTATAGCGGAGAATGAAGTTGTTACTTTGTTGATATATCTTCTGTAGCGCCCTATTGTATAGCTCTTCTTGACAATGCAGTAACATGGGTTGTCCTTGTCTGGAATAGAATGGTTATTGTGTTTCCCACAGAGTAATGGAGGGTGTTACACACGGATCTGTGCATAGTTAGGACGAAACAAAGAGGCCGGACTTGGATGCTTTTATTTAGCATGTGGCACGAATGAAAATAAAGCCAGCAATGCATAAGTTCTTTTCTTTCGTAGATAGTAAAAATGGGAATAAAGAAAGCAATGCCCCGTTGATCGCTCGCAGACATTGCTTCTAAAGAAAGAGTCAACCTTAGGGCTCGCTGGTCACGGGACCTATAATGAGAAGCATATATTGTCCATTGTCAGACAGTGAATAAAGTATGCTATGTAAAATTGGTGTAGACGGAATCTCGCCATTCAACAAACTGTCAACTTGTATATTTTCAACAGACATGAAAGGTCAGCAAAAACAATGAGAAATGGAAGGACATGCTTAGCATATAATGGAGCTTTACATCGACTAATAACATCCATTACGTGAGACTTCTATATTTATCCCTGCATATCAAATTGCTATGAACAAAGAATAGGGCAGATAATGCAATAATTACAATGGCTGTCCGCCACTGGAGTAATGATGCCATAGAGCCTGGATCTTCGTTGTCTTTTTTGCATATTTGAATGCCACCTACAAACTACAAACGACAAAGCAGACATGTAAAAACAATCCAATTCTATAGGGCCGAATAAAGAAAGAATCATAGTATAAAAGCTCGCTAAGTCAGAACCCAAGGCCCCCTTGTAGCGATAACATCAACAACAACTCCACTCCTTCCTCACATACAACGTCCGCTTTTGAACATCAAGCCGCATGACCGCAAGTCTATTCTACTCAGTAAGAAACACCAACTAACCATTATCAACATAACCTCACATCATACAAATTATGATAGAGCAGCTACCACGGCCAGACATCTTGTCGTCTACACCTACAAGAAGTACAGCCCAAGCAACTGCATCTCACCCACGAGCGCCCCAGTCATCGGGAAAAAGTACCACGAGCCCAATGTACTGTTAGCTTTGAGGAGGCTCTACCCGCCGATGTAGGCATTTTTAGAATTGATTGCGGTGACTCGGTCAGCGCTTGTCCAGTGATTGATGTTTCGTTGTCGTCTGGTTTGGTCTCGGGCTTCGTGGAACTGGGGGATTGTGTATTGTCTAGTTTCAGGTTGCAGATGGAGGCGTCGGACTTTCTCATTGCCTTGATTGACATTTTGATGGGTTGGTTTTAAACTTGTTTGGTAAATGAGCTTAGGGGTTTGGTCTGGAGTCGTGGTTGTCATGAGAGAGATGGGGTGATTGCTGTTGTCAAGGGGAGCTGGGGGAGCTGATATTTATACACTGGATGGTGGATAGCAGGAGAGGCTTTTCGGTTCTTGCATGTAGGGCTCTTTCAAGCAGCTGTATTGATGCTATTATCATGGAATAAGACAAGGTGGTGTAGAAAGTGGAATATACTACTGAAGAAACAAAGGTTGGGCCATAAAGCACCTTTGTTGCTAGGTAATAACAAGATATACTACTATATACAAACCCAATCCGAAGAACAGGCAAAACTTTCAAAGCCCGTTCATGTAGACCAATCTTTCTAGACCAGATCAGGTTTTAGGGCAAGCCATCCCGTGATATTATACAGCGATATTAATGTTTCTTCAAAGCACCCTTGTCACCATCCCCTGCTAGTCCATTTACTAGCTTGTCGGCACTGCAACCCTAGGTGGGGATCGGCCAAGAGTATCAAAAGAACAAACACAAGAAAGCTCCACGCAATACGCCGAGAACCGACATGACCGGTCAGTGTCAACATGATCATCTCGAGTTGGCCACCCCACTCCTTTGCGGTGGGGATCTGCCCGGCCCCCAACCCCTCAGCTGCGCATAGCCTGTATGTGGCCCCCTTACGCTATTTAAAACGGCATATTCCTGAAAATTATCCTCTAGTCTCACTGACCTTACAAACCAATTATCAACTATCCAACAGCCAGCCTGAGCACACACAAAGACTAGAAAAATAAAATGGGAAGCGCATCCCCACCCCCGCACGCCCTAGTGTTCGGCGCCAGTGGCATCAACGGCTGGGCATTCGTCAACGCTTTACTGAGCGACTATCCCTCCGCAGATGCGTTCCAACACGTAACTGCCTTTACAAACCGCCCCCTGAGCGCAAAAGACGCGCAGTGGCCTGCCTCATCGAAGCTACAGCTCGTGTCGGGGCTGGACCTCGTCGGAAACGACGAAGCAGGAGTACAGGACGAGCTACAGAAACGAGTCCCCCACATCGAAGGCGTAACTGCCATCTACTTCTGCGCGTATGTCTTTGACAGTGACAACGCGAGAGAGATCGACATCAACGTGGGCATGTTGAAGAAGGTTGTCCTTGCGGTGGAGAAGCTCAGTGTGAATTTGAAGGTCGTGGCTCTGCCGACTGGTGTTAAGGTCTGTTAATGCTGATTCCTGCAATGCGTTGAGCACAATCGCCGTCCCCGTCTCTAGTAACAAAGCTAATGATTTGTTTCGGTAAACCAGGAATACGGAGTCCACCTTCTGGAGAACTTCCCCTTCGCAGACAACCTCCCGCTGAAAGAAACCCACCCTCCGCTCTCCGAGCCGTACCGCAGCGAGCTCTTCTACACTTACCAGCTCGACTTCCTCCGCACCGCGTCAGCCAACAAGCCCTGGACGCACGTCGACGTGCGCCCCGACATCATCATCGGCTTTGTGCCGAACAACTCCCTTCACAATCTTGCGCAGTGGATCGTCTTGTACCTCGCCTTATTCCGGTACATCCACGGTCCAGGCACAGAGGCCATCTTCCCAGGGACCGCCAAAAGCTGGAAGGCGTTGAGCAACGACTCCAGCCAGGATATTATCGCGCGATTCTGCATCCACCTGTCGTTGCACACGGAGGAGCCCGGCATCGCGGGAGGCAGCTTCAATGTTTCTGACAACGCGGTGCCGTCGAGCTGGGAGGAGAAGTGGCCTGTGGTCTGCGAGTATTTTGGCCTCAAGGGGGTCGCCCCGGTGGAGGGCGGACCGGAGGCCGCTGCTTTTTTAGAAGAACATCAGGATGACTGGGCCAAGATGGAGAAGGATTATGGGCTGCGGACGGGCCATCACCATGGGAAAGGTGATGATAAGAGCCTGCCGTTTGTACCGTTCTTCCTGCTCAGTCAGTTTGATTTTGATAGACAGGTTGATCTGACAAGGATGCATGCTGCTTGGGGTCCCGCTAAAGAGGAGCGAGATATCAAGGCGACGTGGTATACGACGTTTGAGAGGTATCGCGCGGCTGGGATTATTCCTTCTTTCTAGATAGGTAGTTCTTGCGAATATTGTTATGAGTTCGGAGACGCCTTGGGGTCATCAGCGGAGGTTTTTTTCCAATTCCGTTACTCCAGGCTTAACCAGGTAGAAAAGCTTGGTAAACCCAGCACGAGAGCACAGATTAAGCAATTCTTCGCATATGTAGGAAGCGCTCTTAGAGAAACCGATATAGAAATTCCAGGTTCTGCAGATTCGACGGTTCCTGAGACGGTGCAGTCCCCAGGACGTCGGTATAGTCATCGGTGAAGTTAAACAGCCCACCAAACCACTCGCTGGGGGCGCTCAGGTCAGCCTGGGCAGCAGAAGCAGCTTGTAGAGAGACATCCAGGGTCGCATCAGTGGAATGGCTTGTAGTTATATCGTCTGAGTAATGCGGTGTATGCGTCTCTGGTGTCTCATTGCTGACGCTGTGCCGAGCTTCTGTCGCGGGGTGTGTGTGGTCCGGTAGTCGAAGATTACGCGCAGTGCAATCATCTAAACACCGGAAGAACAAATCCAAGACCCAGTTTTCCAGATCCCAGGATTTTTGCAGCTCTTGGAGACCAAGAAGGCAGAGGCGCGCGCGGTGTTCTGCGAGTTTTCGTGTTGTGCCGGATGCGCGTCGGCAGTGGATTGTGTGGATACAGAGGGTGGAAAAGGCGTGGGTGATTCTATCTTGTTAGATGTGGTAGGCTGTGAGGTTCATGTAACGTACAGATGTGTCGGGCCGTGCTGCACCAGATTGTGCGACAGCATATCCTCAATGATGCGGGTGCTCCTCGTGGCGGCGTCCAGCGCGGCCTGTCCTGGCTGTTCCAGCCCCTCGTTGGGTGGATACAGAAAAGAGGACCGATACAGCAAAATATACAGGTTACTGGTAAATTAGCATAGTGATACAGACAATGAGATAAGTTACATACTTGTAAGTCATGTGGAGGAGACCTGCAAGGAAGGTGTCCTTAGGGGTTGTGCCACGGTCTAGCTTCAACTCCTCAGGGATTTGAGCTTCCCACTCGCATAATTGCTGACATAGAGCGGCACGAGAGGAAGTTACCCTCGTTGAGTGCACTGGCAGATACTGGGAGGACACGATATTGTGCACTATATCGTCAGTAAGAGTAACGGTGCAGGAGAAGAGCGGCATACGGATTCGGGCAAGTTTGGCCATCTCGACCGGATATGGAACCTCAGTGGCACACTGAGTGCCGAATATATGCTGCTCCCCAGAAACCTCATCATCCAACACATCGTCGGGCTGCAACATGGCCACTGCGCAGTCCTCATCACGAATGCGAGGGGGAAGCCCAAGGGCAGCTGCACTCTGCTGGTCCCGAATCTACTCTGGTGAGAAAAAATCCCGCACGGGTCACTGTGGTATACTCACATATAAAGCCCACCAAATCCGCTTCCACAGCTTCGCTTCACGCGGCGAATGGAACGAAAATTTAGACCTAGACTTCGTCAGCGGCGTCATTTCGCTTTACCCGTCAAACTCACATCATGTGCATGCCACGTTTCTGTGCCAAGCTGATGGCAACTCCCAGCCAGGACCACGTATCGCGCTCTTCCGATGGCCCACCGCGCCAGAAACTGAGCATAAAAATCGACTGCAGTTTAACGGTCTTGTTTGTCTCCCAGTCGGCGTCATAGAGGGCCTTGGCTCGGCTATAAAAGAGAAATTTGGCATGGTAGCGGATCGCAAAGTCCGTACGAGCGAACTCATCATCCGTACACAAACTGACACCAATGAAGAGCATAGACTGGAGCAAAAGCGGCGAGATGGTTCCCTGGGAATACAACTGCTGAACCGCAGCACGATCAAGGATGGGAAAGCAAGGGTGGAACCAATCGAAGTATGCTTTCAGCAGTGTCTCGCGCGTCTCAAGCGGTGGGTAGGAAAAGGCTCCGGCTGAGGACAGCTGGATCTCCATTTGAGCCTTGTGCGCACGCATCACGTCGTCGCGCGCGCTGGTTGAATCCAGACGCTCGGGGATGGCATAGTGTAGGCGGGTCTTGAGTGCCGATCCCTTGTCGGGGGAAGAGCGACGCCCTTCGTCGATCACACACGTCAATGGACTGGACTCGCCCAGGAATACGGTCGGCTGGGCCGAAGAGGCCGACTCGGGGGTGATCCAGGGGCTTCGGGGCGCCATTGGGATGCGCTGGGGGAGCGGACCCTCCCCGCGGGCCAACTGGGTCGCATCCGCCAACGGGGTGTCGGGCTCAGATCTTGGAGTGATCGGTGGAGGCGGCTTTTTGCGGGGATACCTAGAAACGGGTTAAACTCTATTGTAGGAGATCGTGAAGATGTAGAGGTAAAGACACGCACTTTCCTCGCTTCGACACTCCCAGCTCGCAGGGCACGTTCTGCGAGATACAGTTGTGGCAAGGCCGTTGAGACAGCACATTGCATTTGATGCGACGGCGATTACAGTGGAGACATGCCTGACGCGCACGGGAGCGTGTCCGATGTGGACTATCGGCCATGTTGTATTATACGTGTATAGTAGTATTGTCTAGAGTGATGAGAACAGGAATGTTGATTGAAGAAAGCGAGTGGAAATGATTGACGTTCCAGATAGCCGAGCCGAGTCGGCTATTTGCGTCCTGGATAGGTCTTGGCAACTAGGCATATAGGCGAGATGGGTTTACAGTGTATTCTATGTTCAACAACAGCGCTGTTGGATTTGATTACAGTTTACTGCTATTGAAAAACTAGAGAACGTTTCAGTATAAGTAATGCTGGCGCCATATTTGACAAATCTATAATCTAAATGTAATCGTGGTCTAGTAAACATACCTTCATCCACTCTGTTACAGTCACATCAATCCGAGCGCTGATTAAGAAATGAATAAACAAATGAACTCTGAGTTGGATAGTAAATAATACGAAAAAAGGGACCAAGAAAATATGCAGTATACAATTAAACCTACTAAGTACCAACTGATAGGAAGTCTGGACTAACGTTCGTAGATATAAGATAAAGTGGCCAGGGCCACGAATAATATATTCTACCAAGAATAAACCGCATATCTCTAGAACACAAATGTGAAACAAACCAGTATATACACCCAAGAAGTCTAGATATCCTCATCAATCCCCAACTCTTCTAAAATCGCTCTATTATGCGCCCCCACATCCGGCACGGCCTCCATCTGCGCATCACCCTCATCCATCCCCGGCGGCAACAAAGCCGGCACCCTCCCCTTAGGCGTATCAACCTCCGTCCACCGACCTCGTGCCCTAAGCTGAGGATGGTCCCAAACCCCCTGCATATCATTAACGCTAGCATTCGCAATAGACGCCTTATCCAGACGCTCAATGACCTGCTCCGCCGACAGCGACGAAAACGCCTCAACGATAACCTCCCTCAGCGCCTCACGGTTCTTCGACCTCCGCGAATTATCGCCAAAACGCTCATCAGCCACCAGCTCCGGCCTTACCAGCACGCGCTCACAGAATGCCGCCCACTCCCGCTCGTTCTGAATCCCCAACATAACAGTCTTGCCGTCGCCCGTCGCAAACGGGCCGTAGGGGTAGATCGCCGCGTGGGACGCGCCAGCAGGAACGGGCCCTCCCGCGCCGCCGTAGGCATAATACATGGGAAAAGACATCCACTCGACCATGCTCTCCAACATGGAGATGTCGATATTGCGGCCAGAGCGGGTGGGGTCCGACGCGCGCTGGAGCAGCGCCGCTAGAATGTTGGAATAGGCGTAGCTGCCGGCGGAGATGTCCGCGATGGAGATGCCTACCTTGGCGGGCTCAGTGCCCGTTCCGGTCACAGAGAGCATGCCGGCTTCGCTTTGGATGAGCAGGTCGTAGGCTTTCTTGTCGCGGTAGGGCCCGTCGGGCCCGTAGCCGGAGATGTTGCAGACGATGAGGGAGGGGTGCTGCGCTTTAAGGGTAGCATGGGAGAGGCCCAGGCGGGCGGCGGCGCCGGGGGCGAGGTTCTGCACGAGGACGTCGGTCTTTTGCAGGAGGCGGGTGAGGACGGCGTGGTGGCGCGGGTTTTTGAGGTCTAGGGCAAGACTCTCTTTGGAGCGGTTGGTCCAGACGAAGTGCGAGGCGAGCCCGTTGACGCGTGTGTCGTAATTGCGCGCAAAGTCGCCGACTTTCGGGCGCTCAATTTTGATGACGCGCGCGCCGAGGTCGGCGAGCTGGCGCGTGCAGAAGGGTGCTGCGATGGCTTGTTCCAGGCTGACGACTGTGATGCCTGCGAGGGGTTTGGGTTGGGAGTTGCTGGAGGCATAGCGCGCCTGGGGGAGTCGAATGAGTCTGAGAGGTCTGGGTGGCATTTTCAGTGATAGGATATTGTAATTGAGGCGTGATTGTTGTTGAGGAGAGATCTATATATGACCTCGGCAGGCATGAGGGGAATCGGGGTGGATCCGGCTATATGTTGATAAAGTGTGGGGTAAAGGCAAAAAGCCGACAGCGGTTACGTGCCGGTCACTTGGGACTCCTCCGCATTTAAATTCGCCTTCCCCGACTTATCTATCCTCATCAACCTTTCCGGAGCCATTGTCTTGATTAACAGCAATAATGAACTGCCTACGTGCTTCAAGATCACTATGCAGCCGGTTGGGAGGTTCTAACCCCCGGGTCGCGACCTCCCTCGCCCGGAGACACCTCCCGCGAACCTTCTCCACAACCGCGCAGCGTCCGCTAATGGACCTGACCGGGTTCTCCGAAGAGCAGTTGACAGTCCGCGACGCCATATCAGGCATTTGTTCCCGCTTCCCCAACACCTACTGGCAAGAGCGCGACCAGAATGAGCTCGATCCGAAGGAATTCCACGCCGCGCTGGCCAAAGATGGCTGGTTGGGCATTGCCCTGCCGGAGGAGCTAGGCGGGGCCGGCCTTGGTACGCCTCCGCACTCTACTCACGCTCTCAATGAAAAGCGCAAACAGAGCGGCTAATACGAAACAGGCATCTCGGAAGCAACAATGATGATGCAGACAATCACACAGTCCGGCGCCGGCATGCAAGGCGCGCAGTCCATCCACGCCAACGTCTACGCGACGCAGCCGCTCGCGCGCTTCGGCTCCAAGGCCCAAGTAGAGGAGACCATCCCCAACATCATTAACGGCACGTGGCGGACGTGTTTTGGCGTCACGGAGCCGAACACTGGTCTCGAGACGCTGAAGCTGAAAACGTTGGCGAGCAAGACCCCCGACGGGTACTCCATCACGGGGCAGAAGATCTGGATCACGTGCGCGCAGGTCGCGTCGCGGATGATCCTGCTGGCGCGGACGACGCCACTGGAAGAAGTGCAGAAGCCGACGCAGGGGCTGTCGATGTTCTGCATTCCCCTCGAGCGCGCGGAGAACAACGGGCTCGATATGCGGAAGATTAAGAAGATGGGAGGGCGCGGTGTTGACGCTAACGAAGTTTTCTTCGAGAACTATCCCGTCGCGGCGGATACGCTCATCGGCAATGAGAACGACGGCTTCCGAATTATCCTGCACGGCATGAACGCCGAGCGGTGTCTGCTTGCTGGTGAGGCGCTCGGTCTTGGCTATGCTGCTCTGGAGCGCGCCGCCCAGTACGCCAACGATCGGGTCGTCTTTGGTCGCTCGATAGGCCAGAACCAGGGCATTGCGCATCCGCTGGCGGATGCCTATATGAAGCTCGAGGCGGCCAAGCTGGCGACTTACCATGCGGCGCGTCTGTACGATGCGTCCCAGACGGACGAGTCGATCCCGTTCCAGTCGATCGGTGTGGCTGCGAACAGTGCCAAGTACCTTGCGGCCGAGGCGGCGTTTACGGCGTGCGAGCGGGCGGTCCTGACGCACGGCGGGATGGGATATGCCATGGAGTACGATGTGGAACGGTACCTGCGGGAGTGTCTGGTGCCGCGGATTGCGCCCGTGAGTCGGGAGATGATTTTGAATTTCATCAGCGAGAAGGTGTTGCAGCTGCCGCGGAGTTATTAAGGGGAATATATATATACGTTTAGAATACAGTACGTTGTATAATATTAAGGTATTGGTTGTGATAACATTTAGATGTACATATACCCGTCAAGCCAATCTATACCCATTTTCCAATGACTTCCTCTATGTCTATACACGAGTCGTTCCCTTCAACACCCCCTGCATGCGCGTCGAAAGCGCCAAAAACCCAGCCCCCACCAAACAAGCAACTCCCGCAAAAATCTGCAACCCGGAAAAGTTTGTATCCCCCTGATGACGAAGGATAGCACCCATAAGGGGCATGCCAGTCAGCGAGCTCACCGATATAATCAGCTGGAACGTTCCAAACCGTTGGCCCAGCGTAGCGAGGTCGCCCATTTTAGCAGCGCAAGGCATGACGAGGGACACGACGCCGCCACTGAAGAAGCCGTATGCGATAGCAAAGATGATGATGCCGGCGTGAGAGGGGTGGAAATTGAAGGGGAGCCAGAGAACGAGCATTGAGGCGCCGGTGCCGATTGAGCAGGTGGTGAGCATGTTGAAGTGGCCGAGCTTGTCGGATAAGTGGGGAGGGAGGATGCGGCCGGGGATGGAGGCGGCGCTATCGTTATGTTAGTATTGAACAGAGAGAGAGGTAGGGGAGGGAGGTAGATGGAGATGAAGAAACGCACTTGAGAATGGAGATGAGATACGAGGCGAGGCCCGTTGAGAAGCCCTTCTCCATGGCCATGCTGGTGAGATAGTCGAAGGGAGCCCAGAGTCCCCACCTGTTGAACCAGATCCGTTAGTACCATCCTTAGAAGGCAAAAGACAGTAGCATACATCACACAAAAGCATCCAAACGTATACGACGCAAACGACGTCTCCTTCAGCAGACGCATATCCATCCACTTCGCATCCCCATCCCACTTCTTCACCGGCAGACGCCGTCGCACCAGCAGACACGCAATAGCCAGCAGAATACCCACTAAGAGCGCAGCATACCGCACAGCCGTGAAGAACCCGACCTGGCTCATCACTTTATGCAAGAAGATCGGGAAGACGACACCTCCGAGACTGCTCCCGCTGGTCGCAATACCAGCCGCGAGACCACGCCGTCGCACAAACCACTGTCCAACGCAAACCATTGCGGAGGTGAAAATGGCTCCGGCGCCGAGACCAAAGCAGAGACCCTGCGCCAGGAATATCTGGTAGTATTCGTGCGCTATGCTGGTCATGCAGAGGCCCAGGACGGCTAGAAGACAGCCCGGGTAGAGCACTGGGGCGGGGCCGTACGTGTCGATAACGCGACCGTAGAGGGGCCCTGGAGCCCACATGAGGGCGACCTGGATGGCGAAGATCCATGAGATGGATGAAGGGGAATAGTCGCGTAGTAGGGTTTCCTCGTAGGTGGCTTGGAAGATGCCGATGCTGGGTTGGTTAGCATACTAGGCTATAGAAATATAGAATGAGAGGCTTACGCATTCAAAAACCCGAACGAGCTGAACAGACAGAGAAAAGAGCCCACCAGACACAGCCAGCCTTGTCTACCCTCTTCTGGCGGCAGTTGACTCTCCCCAGGGCCAGGTGATACTTCTTTGGACGACGTGGACGACATACTCGTCAGACATGTAAATCTACCGCGACGATCCACGAGACCTTTTCCTTCGAGCTGACCGTCCAATCCATGCTACTTATAGTGCGGAATCAAGAAATTCGGTGAGGTTTGCTTTTCGTGAAAAAGCAATAAAGATCCGCGGGCGCTGAGGCTGTAGCCACCCGTGTGACAGATTGGGACGGCTCCTGCAGCAGTGGCGTCGTCACTATTGAACGGCTGAGTATATTTGTCATAGTTCGAGGTGAGAATGCATAGACGGATCTTCGGAATTGATCGTCCTCGCAAATCGGAGCGAACCCAGACTAGCCCATCGTCCACGGCGATGGGATAGATCGGCGGCGCAACAATGTCTATACGAGAGAGAATCGGATTGATAGCCATGGGAATTATGATAAAACAACGGTAAACAGAGCCAGTAAACACGCCACACCAACGCCAGCCTGCAGACTACACCTCCGCGTCGCCCAATGGAATACAAAGAGTTTCTTTCGAGAACGATCGCAACACCTCGATAACGGCGACATGCCCGTGGGAAATCCCGCAGTTCACCCCCATAACGCGCATCTCCGGCCAGATGCCCTCGGGACCGACCGTGCCCGGTACACGGTCCTGCTCTTCCAACTCCACCAGGGCCCGAGTGACGCGCGTCGCACTCGTGGCTTCCCAGAAGCCCTCCCGATGCGGTGCGAGCGACAAGATGTCGAGTGCACGGTATCGCAAGGTGCGATGGCGACAGCGCACGGCGATGAAGAACAGCGGGTAGATGACGCCGAGACCCAACGCAAACATCGAGGACCGCTCGGCCTCAAGTGTATCGCGCAGCGACAGCGCCGCCCGGGCCTGATCGAGTGCCTCCTCAAACTCGGGTAGCAGATCGTCGTAGCTCATCTCCCCGCGTACGGGGTTGCGCACCAGCGCGATCTTGAAAATAATGTAGAGGAACCGGAGGACGAGCGCCATCCGCTGCTGCTCCGCGTCCAGGGTCGGTGGTAGCGCGACCATCAGGGCCTCGAATGCTTGGTACCACCGCTCGAGGACCTGCTGCACCCCCATGATCAGATTGCCTAGATCCCCGGGGCCGGGCTGATCGTCGTTGGTTTCTGTTATATCGGGCAGCGTGGGCAGACCGTCGTTCAGGTCGACGCGGTGTATGGGAAAGCTCTTCGCGTTGGTCTCTTGCATGATCCGGTTGAGGGCGGTGCTCTTCAGCAGCGCAAAGGTTCCCTTGGCCTCCTGGATGGTGTGGAAAGCGTCCGGGATATGGATATCTGAGATGCGACCGTAGACCCAGCCGATGCTGGGGTTATTGGGTTTCCACTCGAAGAAGGATATGATCTGGATCTCTAGCAGGGCGAAGTGCTCAACCAGCGCCCGTGTGTAGTAGGGGAGTTGCCGCTGGCGACGTAACGTCTCCGGCTCGGGGCTGTCATTGCTGCAGAGCTGGAGAATCTTCATCCCGGACTCGTAATGCATCTGGGCCGACTGGAATTCCTGCCGCACGACCTCGAAGCAGGTGAGGAGTAGGCACGTCGTCAGGCAGACGTCGGCCTCGTCCGGCATAAGTTTCCCGCGTCCCAGCTGGTGTCGAAGGCCCGACATCGACTGGCCGTAATACTGCAGCGCATAGAACGCCCCGCCCGGATGCCGACGAGCGGCACCCTCGATGTGCAGGGCCCCTAGGGCGATGGCCGCCCGGCGAACCACGGCATCCTCGTGGGTCATCTGCAACACCAAACTCTGCCAGAAGTACGAGGTGAACCATCCGCTGAGTTCATGCACGGTTTGTCCGCGGAAGAAGTCGAAGCAGATGCACTCCCGTCGGGTGTTGAACAGACGCAGCTGCAGGGTCGCGGGGACCTGCAAGTGCGCGACCTTGCGCGCGCGCGATGTGTTGGGCTCATCCCATCGACAGACCCATCCGGTGCGACGACAGCGCTGGCAGCTCGGTTTGGCTTCGTCGCATTTGACGCGCCGTTTTCTGTTTGCTTGGTCAGTTGCCATGAGCCTTAGACGCCTGTCGGTGGTGGTGAGTACTCACTTGCACGTCCAGCAGCCGTTCCTCGATTTATGGTGTTTCTTGCGCTTGCGGACCAGAGATTGTGACTCCATTCTGTGCTCCATAGCTCGGCACGCTCTTTGTCGACTTGCAAAACATGATTGAAGGATACCCGCATTGTGCACCGTGGAGGAGCTCCATCTTGTAGGGTCCGTTTCAGAGACATGGGGGAGACACTCGGGCATCCATCCAGCGGAAAACCCCGAACAAAGAAAGTTAAACCACCCAGACGGGTTCTCTGAATTGCACTGGTGTCTGGACCCCCCTTTTTTCTTTGGGTTCGAGTGAGGGCATGACGCGCCGTGGCTGCGCCCGAGTAGATCTATCGTCACGCTAAAGTCTGGCCCCCTGCCCTTTCTTTGTCCTCCATCAGCGGAGTCAGCGACTAAAACGACCATCCAATGCTTCCACCTGGCCGTCGACCCTCACTTTCCGATTGGCCATGATCGCTATGTTTTGACCAGTGCGACCCTGGTTTGGCCGGGGATGTAGATATCCGTGCGTGTCGGTTGATTGGCCGTTTCCTCGTGCCACTCCGACGGCCTTTGAGTTTCCCAAAGTGGAAGAGTTGATATAGTAATTTGAAGTCCGACCGGGGTGAGATCTGAGCACAGGGTCTTTTTGCATGTCAGCGCTTCACCCAAGGAAGCGACTCGATCGATTTGGAAAGGTGGTGATCGACTCTGGAAGGAGACGGGCTGTGGACGGGGAAGCGGATCGCTGCAGTGTGGACGTTGTCAGAAGCAAACATCGGCCTAAAGGTAGTGATTATTCAGATTAGCAATATAATGAAATTGAAGAATAGAAGATGATTACATCCATGATCCTAGTAGCCTGCAGACCCCATACAACATCAGGCCTTGGTGGAACGTCAGCCGCTCGTGGACTCCCGTGTCGAGATGAGCACGCACATCGTCTGTCTGACCTGTCCAAAGTCTAACGGTAGTATTTGTACTAGTGTCAATATGTTCCTGAAATTTCCTGAAAAATTACTGTTAGTCTCAGCGTCGAGCCATCTGACTGGAACCCTCACACATTCGTCCCCACCGTGGTTTGAGAGGCAACACGAAGTCGTCCCTGGCCACAACGTGTGGCCACGAGGGCCACCACGATACAGGAGATATGTCCGTTGCGCCGAGCACGGAATAGCAGTAGACTTATTGCACATATTCATTAATCTTCATCTCGGAGTGTGTCGTGAGGATGTCGGAAACAGATGTGCCGACATCTGCGACATAGACGGAGATTGAGTGTCAGACTTCCGACGTCTGACATACATCGACCAGTGATATACCCTGCCTCATGTAGCAGTGGCAGTCATAATTCTCAGTGAAGTACGTAGAAGCCTCTGCATAAATGCGCTCGAGTCAAGCTTCCGCCTGATAGCCACGTTTTCTCCACGTTGTCGTGTCTGAGATAGACGTTGACAGTGATGTCGCTTATGCACCGTGCCGATGGTCAACGGTCGAGCTTCTCCAGACGACACAGGCAGCAGCAATATAAATGACTCTTCTCTGCGCTACCCTAGGATGAAGCCAGTGTGATGATATCCCGTCGGGTACTTCGAAAATATACCGCCATGCGTATCCCGAATCTAGCCCTAACCGCTCTCCTAGTCCTGCAGGTTCAGACCACGGAGTTACTCGTCAACACGACCAGTGGACCCATCCAAGGATTCTACAACACTACGTCACGAACTGTTCGCGCATTCCTCGGTATCCCATACGCAGAGCCCCCCGTTGGCGGGCGACGCTTTGCCCTCCCAGTCGCCAAATCGCCTGTGCAGAAACCCTTCGTCGCCGACGTACTCCCGCCAATATGCCCCGGCGTGTACAGTCCCTCGAATGAGTCAATCATCAGCGTGCTGCCATATCTCCAGGGAAGCTCGAGTAGCATGTCGGAAGACTGTCTGCGCGTAAATGTCTGGGCCTCTGCGGCAGCGCACCCTAGTCGCAACGGAAAAGCTGCGGTGATGGTGTTCATCCACGGGGGTGTGTTCTACCAGGGCAGCCCCTCATCACCATTCATGGACGGGAGTTACATTGTACGCGACAATGAGGATGTTATTGTCGTCAGTATCCAGTGGGTCTCTTGTACCCCAGAACAGCCAACTGGTATTGAACAGGGACAGGTATCGTCTGACGATCTTCGGATACCCGGGTGCTCCGGGCATCCCTCCAGCCCAGCAGAATGTGGGATTGCGCGACCAGGTTCGTCGCTGTATCCAATTCCATTACAATCTTGATTAACCGCCGGCCAGCGCATGGCCATTGAATGGGTACACCAGAACATTGCGCAATTTGGCGGCGATCCGGATCGCATCTTGCTCTTTGGCCAGTCAGCTGGGGCTGTCTCGACAGACATGTATCTCTACGCAGTGCGTATCTCTCATATTCTCCAATTTCAGTATGCACCAACATCAACACCTAGTCTAACAGTTCCAGCACCACGACGACCCTCTCGTCCACGGCGCTATCCTCCAATCAGGCGTTGCAGGCATGTGGAACAACGACATTCTCCATGCCCAAGCCAATTGGACCGAGGTATCCACGGCGCTGGGGTGCGGATCCGGACAGGATACGCTGAAATGCATGCGCGAGCAGCCAATTGACCAGATTATCGATGCGGTGAGGGCATCTGGCAATACATTCTACCCTGTCCAAGACAATATCACCGTCTTTCCAGACTACTCTGTACTATCGCGGCAGGGGAAGATCACTCCCGTGGTGAGCTGTTTCCAGGCATTACCTTGCCTAGTACTACTCGGCCTGGTCATAATAAGCTAACAAAAGCCTGTATACCAGCCGACATTAATCGGCATCGTCGACCGTGAACTCGCCATTGTTTACAATCTCAGCTCCAAGGCGATCAATGAGTCCGCCATGTACGCGCGCTCGCAAACCGAATTCAACTGTCCCACGCACGAGACGGCCCAGTATATTTCCCCATCCATAACTTCTTTATAATTGTACCACAGCTGACTGTCTCTAGACTACGCTTGCAGAGCAACATCCCCACCTACCGCTATGTCTACCACGGAAACTACACCAACATCAGCCCCGTCCCATGGCTAGGCGCCTACCATGGCAGTGAGTGTTATACCCACCTTGTATTTCTAGACTAACCCACCAACAAGGCGATCTACCCGCTGTATTTGGATCGTACAATATGAGCGGGACCGGAATTGCGTCCACCCCGCGCGAGATCGCCGATAGTCGATACATTCAAGGTGAGCATGCCATGCCCAGGTGTCTCTACATAGTGATTAACAAAAGCAGATGCTTGGGTGGCGTTTGCGAAAGATCCCCACAACGGCCTGGCTCGTTTGGGGTGGCCTCAATATGATCCTACTAGTAAGTCTGAAGGACCGAAAAAACGATAAGCGACAGGGGGTCTGACTAGGATAGAAAACACACTGGTAGATCTGGCTACTGGTAGTGCGCAAGTGGCGACGTTTTCATCTCCTGATACGTGGGATCGCCGTTGCGATGGCTCTCGGTTTATTCCTGCGGTCAGATCTAATATACGGCGTTCTCGGGTTAGATATTTACCCTAGCTTATGTAGTGGATGGCTTGGTATGTGCTGGCTACTATTCCAAGGTGCTATGCCAATGGATGTTGAAGGTATACACCGAAGTCACTTTAAGAAATTGGAAGTCAATAGATTTCCAGTGTTACAAGCAGAATTGACCAACCACTTGAGACATTGGCGTAGTATACATGATAGAGACTACAGTCTTGGTAGGGCTATACCACCAAGGCCTTTTTGACCAAATAGGTTTATCACTACCATCAGAATTCTACCAGCAATCAATAACGGAACTGAGGACTCACACAACTATTATAATATTCTCTTTCTTATAAATAGACGGTGGCAGGATGGCCTCAGTACACTAGCAACCCCTTCTCTCCTCCCCCTCCAGCTATCTCAAACAATAGAGATCCAGCCGCGGTGACCAGACACCTAATTAATCTTATCCATTCGGCCAACATGGTTGAAAGCAATGAACCCCGGTGCAGGCACACGGTACCCGTCATAGAAGGGACCGACGACTTTGACGCCGCCCTCCAGGAGCCTGCAGCGCCCCGTAGCAATTTCATAATCACCACTGGAACACACCTTGACCTGGTCGCACTTGTCCAGGCAGTCATGGTTAGAGGTAGCGGAGACGACTGAAATCTCGCTGCCCCTTTCGCTCTCTGTTCTGCGTTAATTATACCATTTGGGGCTATAACATTGCGGGTGTCTTGACGTACTCTGATCGCACCACACTCTCCAAAGTTCGTCGCCAGCGGCACGGAAAACACCGCTCTGGTCGGGGCCTGGTAATAAGCAATTAGCTGGTGATTGCCTCCGGGTCAGCTTTTAACTTGTAACTCACAAACAATGTCCTGGTACGCCATCTGGCTGCCCAGCTTGGCCTGGCATTCCTGCTCCGACTGCAGGCAGGAATTCAGGGCGTTCTGTAGCCAGTTCTGGCCGTGAACGGAGCCAGCAAGCACGAAGGCGGAAACGGCAGTGGTAAACTTCATGTTAGATAGATGTTTCTTTGGAGGTCTTCAATTCTTGAGCGGCGGTATGGAAGGTGGATGACAAGAAGAAATTAGTGGGAAAGCAGAGGTATTTAAATCTCATCTGAGGATGGCTAACAAGGGTTCAGATCCCTGATTGCAGGGCACATTCCGATAATTGAAAGCTTTACATATTTCCAAGATCAAGATGTTCTGTTTCCGGAGACTTTCTCCTTCTTGTATGCGCCTTTACATTGGGAATTATTCGATCAGGTACCCAGCTGAGCAGTCTTGCATGGGTACAGCTCAATGAGTACCGTTCAGCTCTTCAATATTTGTCAGATCAATATTCCAGCTCCAAGAGCAAACACACACCATCCCCCCTCAATCAGTCCATGTACATTTAGCAAATTCCACGCGTAATATAACAGCCGCTACATCAAAATGCCGACCTACACTTTGGGAGGGCTTGACCTGGCTGATATCCTCAACAATATATTGGTTGTAAGTCAGCCTGGCACCGTCGACGCCCAGTGCAGATCCACTACCCCCAGGAATGCTCCAACATACCACGGCAACGTCTCACTGGCTACCGCGGCATCGCAGCATAGTCTATAACGCCCCCACAGGAGTTTGTACTACAAGACGTTCTCAGAATGTCTTCTGAGCGCACTATCGATCTCCGTCACCGGGACCATATCCGAGGGAGTGGGTGAACAGATTGCCTGATAGGCTTGGCATCAATGTAATGACCCGGGAATGTATGCATCTACTGCTAGGAGAGCTGGAATGTGCGAATTGATGAACGGGTGGTAGTGTATGAGTTCTATCGTTACATCTTCTCAGACGGAAACGGGGGGTGGAAACAGTGTCAGGATACCCGGCCCTAGGTGCAAGTTGGCTGTGGACTATGGATTGAGCTCTTGTAGCCAGCTGTGGGAGCCTTTCTCGGGGTATGGGCCTCGACTAGTCAAAAACATCCCCTTCCTAAAAAGGTGAACAACGGCACAATGGAACTATTATACACTAGTCCTCTAGGAGAGTGCAAGTAGCGTGGTACAACGCGTGTAATCCACGAATGTTTTGCTGTCCTGGCTGTCATATTTGACATGCTCGATGTTATCAATTATGTTACACCACATATAAGCTTTGATACCCCCTACGAGTGCTGTCAAGAATACAAGGTATAAACACCCGTGTTGATTTTGTCGAAGAAGCGAACAGCGGTTGGATGGACCTCAACGGTCATTCCTTCCGCACCCCCAAATATGCGAGGCAGCTGAAAATACGGCTCAGCATAGGTCGGCATGCTGTGCGTTCTTCTACAAGAATACTGGTCGGGAAGATTCAACGCAACGAGGTACTTGGAGTCACAAGCGGCGACAAATAATTAATTTATGGGAACGCCATATTGGACGATCCGGACACAGTTTTGGGAAGACCAGGTAGGTCGCGTCTAACACGGTTAAACGAGCTGTTGTACTATCTACTGACCTTCAATATGTCTAGAATATTACGCCATTCACGTAGGGTGTTACATGGTAAACAATAGAACCTGCTTTCCAGCGGAAGCACGCGAATAAAGAAATCACACATCTGACCCAGCATTCTGATACGAATCGCTCAGCTCTTCCATCTTATGGTCCTGCAGGAACTTCTTGAAAGTGACTGGAGTAATCTCTGGGTACTTGCGGTTGTCTAATTCGGGCTTCAAATAAGCTTGCCCGTTCGTGCAGTAGTACTGATAGAACCTGAGCGTGCAAAGTCAGTTCGAGTGATTCAGGTAAGTGGCAGAACGCTTACATTGCAAGGTAGGCAAAGATGTTCGATGGGTCTTTGTTGAAGGTTGCCTGCATTGCCTTATAAAGATCGTCTAGAGAACCCAAGCGCTCGAGTTGCGGCTTCTTCCCATAAACCTGGGCGAAATCATCCGCAATTCCATGAATTGATCTGCGGTCGCCAAGGACTATAGGGTGACAGAAGGTCAGCAGGATGAGGAACTATTGTCGATACATAATCTAGGCACGCCGGGGAACTCACAGTGCTGCAAGCCAGTGGCACTCGGATCTCTTGCCACGGCAGCGACATATTCCGCCGCTGTTTCGTAGGTTGTCGACTCTCAAATCTCGTCACCATTCCCATAGAACGACAACTTGCACTCTTCCGGATGCCAGACATTGAAATAGCCACTCCAGAAGGTTTCCATGAAGGCGCCAATCAAGACATGAACACCCTCGACATGTTTCTTAGAGTCTAGATGGTCCTTTACGTGCTTCATCGGATCCTTAGCGGGGAGCTGACCATATTCAAGCTTGGTGAAGTCGAGAGAGTAGTCGCTAGCAATGTAACGATCGACCTTTTCTGCGTCACATGCGTCAACGAGCAGCTTCTGGCCCTCTGTCATTAGAGTGTTATCGCCAAGGTAGCAGCAGATCACGACATCGCAGCCTCGGACAAAGATGCGCAGGACGTCCACATCATCCGAGGAACCTTGTACGATGGTGACATCAGGGGAGTCACGGAACTTGGCTGGCAGCTTCGAGGGGTTGCGACAGAATCCACGAATCTGCACGCCCGAGGAGCGGCACAAATTTTTCAGGACCAGACGTGCAAACTTGCCAGTAATGCCGGCAATTCCAACAGTAAGCGGCATGATGAAGACTGGGAACTTGCAATGAACAGCGAACACTAAGGTAGTTAAGGTACTATGTCAACCTGGATGTGCAGTCGGTTTATATAGGGCTTGGAATGCAGTGGAGACGTCACTGTAGGCGGCCAATCAGACCGCCGGTACAAGGTACTCCGCGAGTGGAGATCGCTAAGGTCATCGCCGATCCTTCCGGACTGTCTGATTAATTGATCATGTCAATTACCAGCAAAGACATTGTACAGTCAGTCTGAGCAATGCCCAGACACCCGGCCACCTGCTCTCCCTGGCCATGCAAGGTGAAAACCCGGAGCAGCGGGTCTTCGGTCGAAACTCGCACGTCCCTGCGGTAAACTCAGTGCCGATACGCCCTTCTCGCGTGTGCCGATCGTTGATTGCTGATATGACTCCCTATCTAGTGTCTCGAATGCCGGGCTCGAAAAGCAAAGGTTGTAGGGATGCTGACTCCATTGCAATGTGCCACTCTATTGACCGGTAGTCTGTAAAGTGTTCCAAAACGCAACCATGTGGGCCGTGTGTGCGCCACGGCCGGGAATGCCTCTACGTTTCAAGGGCCGCACGTACGCCCTTGACGCGAGAGTAAGGCACCCATCGTTGAATCCGAAGCAGTCAATGTTTTGACAACATGTTGTAGGCACCTCACTGCGGTCGAAACCCGGCTACACGTCCTTGAGACTGCACTGCGGAGGTTGTTCCCAGGCGGAGACATGGAATCCCTAACACAGAACCTACTCCTTGATGAGACTATAGATGGGCCTGAGACATATATTACCTCAGACAACCTTCGTGATAGCATCGCGTTTATGGACGGTCTGTCGTCCCAACTCAGCAGCCATGGGATGGTGAACGATGAATCGATTTCGGAACAGCCGGCACCTCGCTTTGCTACTGGTATCGAGTGCCAACCCCATTCTGCCTCTCTGGTCACCGTGGAGGAACAGACTCAGTTTGTGCACAGCTATTTTGAACGGTATCATGTTCTATACCCATTGGTAAATGAGGAGACTTTCCGCCGTGACCTCGGTAGTCAGTCGCTGCAACCTGCATTTCATTTATTGGTGCAATCAGTATTAGCTATCGGAGCTTGGCTGACACCACAGGTGCCAGAGGGCTTTGATATCAAACTCTTCATGCAAGCGCAGCATCAGTTTCAGACAATGCCGATCACAGACCAGGTTCATATTTGCATTGTCCAGGCTTTGATCTTGCTTAGCTATTTTGCGCAGAAGCAAGGCAGCGCCGAAGAGAGCGACTATTACATTGGGACAGCGCTTCGAATTTCAATTGCTCTTAATCTCCACACCAACCCTCCTATCTCGCTGTGCGAACTGGACAAAGAAGTTCGCCGGCGAGTGTGGTGGAGTGTTTATTGCGCCGAAAGCTGTTCGGCCAAGATGTACGGACGGCCACTGCTCTTGCCAGATGACAATCTAATTACCGTGAGCCCGATCTCAAATATCCATGAAAACGTTCGTAATGCGATCCCCCCCTCTTGTGCAGCTACAGCTGAGCAATCTCCAAGACCCTCACAGCGTCAAGCACAGTGTTCCCACCCCAAACCGACGATACGACGATCTACACCGGCCTGATCCAACAATCCAGCTATCATCGCATGGCAAATAAGATCTATCGCCAGCTACTTTCAACTCCACTGGTAACACCAAAGGATGTTGAGGAGGCTGAGCAGACAATCGATGCATGGCATCGCAGCTCATCATTTTGCGTACAAGTGGGAGATCGTTCCGCGCGGCCAGAATGGCACTTCACGGCTCGCTGCCGCCAGATCCTGTGCGATCAAAATCTTCGACTCCTCATTCGTCGGCCGATACTGTTACACTGGTTTAGAAGGTCCTCTACAGCCGGCGGACCCACATACCAGGACAGTGCAGGCGAGGCTCGCTGCCGCGCTGAGGGTCTGACAATCGCGCGGACCACAATTAACACGATTGCAGACTCTCTTTCCCATGGCCGCTATTCCCGCCTGACTCTAGCATTTACCCTGTGAGTATTTCATAAAATCTACTGCATGTACGCAGTAGTACTACACCGTCTACGCCTTTGTAGGTGACGCTAACAAAAATGACCAGCTATGCCTTCTTCCACGCTCTGATTGTGCCTCTCATCCACGTAAAGACAGACCCCTGGTCCCCGATATCTATATCCTGTATGCAGGACCTAGAAAAAGCCAGAGCCGCCCTTGACCATCTACCCGCTGACAGCGTCGTCCTGTCACGCTACTTCGGCGCAGGTCTACGACGTCTTTTCGAGGTGGCTTTTCAGGCGAACCACCAGAAGAGCCCGAGTAAGCCTCCTAGAGGTGAAAGAACAGTGGGCCCTCATACATTACAAGAAAGGAATAACAACATTTTTGGCAGGGAGGAGCTGGCCCTGCTAGAGGTGGGAAATCTAGGCCCGTCACGTGCGCTTGACTTTTCGGAGTGGATGCATTTATAGGTATCTTGTATGATCTCTTTAGAAAAGAAATAAACAAACAGCCCTGACTCGTCTTAATAGCAAGGTCGAGCAAGTCTTGTAGCTGATAGTATTGAATTTGCCTGTGTTGTTGAAGATGGTGCTTTCTCCAGAGACTATATGGAACCATCGGTGTTGTGTACTATTTCTATAGCTATATCTTTATGGACGGCAAGAGAGGGAGTAGTAATAAGACCAAGACAACCGCCACCCCTGTCGATTAAACTCCGGTGACCAGCTATGTAGGCCCACTAGATATATAAAGCTCACTCTATATAATATTTCCCCCCAATGGGCCAACGTTTTAGCGTAGTGGGGCAATTCACCACCGATCTCCAGGAAAGTCTAAGTGGACGTGCCTTTGCAGTATGGGAGCTATAGTACATATTGCAGAAACGATGACCGACATGAAAGAAGCGAAAATCACGCTCTTACGGAATATGCAAGGTACTACCCTAGTTTTGCTCTCCGGTACCCACCGAGTCAAACCATCTCAAGAGAGACCACCCCGTGGTCTATTTTCATGATCGGCAAAAGCATGCTGACTCCACCATATGCATGTGTATGGATATCCATGGCAAGACAGCGTTCTACTCGAAATAGCTATTCAACACCCTCGATATGCGCCCACGAACCGGGGGCACATAACTCTCCTCATAAGCATCAATCTGCTCCTTCAGGCCATTGAAGCTCAAATCCGCCGTACCGGGCCAGACGTACTTCGTCCGCTTGACAACCTTCCAGGAAACAAAGCAGACAATGAAGAAACCAATCATGGTGTAGTTGAGAAAGAAGCCAGCCAACTCCCAATGTCCTGGGAAGAAGAGATCAAATCCCAGAACCAAGGTCATGATACCCGTGCCGAACACCGCGTACCACGCCGCGAACGGCTGCGGCAGGCGGCCTTTATACGGAAGTGTTGCGCGGTCGACTCCGTTCCGTTGCAGCGACGCATGGAAGTGCAGGTATGTGATGCAGGTGCCGAAGTAGTTGATGAGGTATGAGGCCGTGAGCACGCTGACCAGCCAGTCGAGGACCTGGGCTGAACTGCTGCTCACTTGTAGAAAGCCCAATGCGGAGAATACCATGGTCACGGCGACTGCGATGTAGGGCAGCCCACGCTTGTTGCAATGTGCCAAGATGGAGGGTGCCTGTCCGTCGAGGGCCATTCCGTAGAGAAGTCGGGACCCTGAGAAGACAAGGTTGTTTCCCGCTGAGAAGACTGAGGTCATGATAAGGGCGTTGACAAGTGATGGCACGCCTCGAATGCGGAAGTTGGTCATGGAGATTACGTAGGGGGACCTGTTCGTTTTAGTTGGAATCTGACCAGGCAGGTTCGTTTTTCCACAAGAGTTGGACTTACGCTGCGCCGGTTCCACTGCCGCTTTCGAGTCTCGCCTTGAGTGTTGGGTCGTCGTAGGGGAGGACAATCCCCATACAGAGAGCACCTCCGAGAAAGAAGAACATCAGGCGCCAGACGAATGCTGAGTAGGCTTTTCGCATGACCGACCGAGGCCGCTCTGCTTCAGCTGCTGCCATCGATATGTATTCCGGGCCGACCATCCTGTTTCAGGTTACTAATGGACAGCGAGACAGCGTTTGCGTCATACGTGAAAGAAGCCTGGATCATGCAAGCAAGTAGACCGCAGAACCTACCCCCGTCGCCTGGGACCAGGTAGGATACAAAGGCGCCCTAGAAACCCCATGAGATAATGACCAACCAGCACGGGGCAGACTTACCGGGTCGTTCCAATATCTGAAACCATAGCGATCGCCTTGCGGATTGCCCCCAAGCATCGTGATGAAGGTGTATAGCATAAGTGCCAGCATAAGAAATATCTTGAAGATTGAAAGGTAGAACTCAGATATCCCAAAGTACCGAACTGTTAGAATGTTCAGACCCCTGTTGTCGATCAGCCACCCCTGCTCGTTTCCTCGAATCCAAGGTCGTCATACGCGTAGAGTACTATGCATGCCGCCACCACAGCCGCCACCGGAACCTCATCGGTCCAGTACGTGAGCAGGACATTGATCGCGACGATTTCATAGGGTATCCCAAGTGCTTATCGATCCAGAGCACGTCAGAGCGTGCAAATAAAAGTAGAAAAGTCGCAGATAACATACCCATATTCAGGAAAAAATTGTACCCCATAGCCAGCCCAAACGCTTCGTCTACCCAGTGACTGGCCAGTCGCACATATGGGCACGGTATGGGCAGGTAGCACACCATTTCGGCGAAGCATTGATTGACGCACAGGATGACAGTACCATAGACAACAAAGCCCAGAAACAATCCCGCCGGTCCCCCCTTGGGCAAAACAGCGCCCATCTGGACAAAAAGGGACGTTCCAATCGCACCCCCAACTGCGAAGAGCTGGACTTCTCGACCGCGCAGCTTCCGATGAAGATGCTGCGATCCAGCGGAGATCATCAACCCATCTTGCGGCGTCTCATCGTCGCGCGACTGCGACGACGTATTTGATGTTTTATCTTCTCCGACTGATTTTGCCATTTCTTTGTTCCAGGCTGTGGTTGAGAAAACAGAAATTGCGAATGCTCATCTTTAAGGTGCGAGAGAACTTGCCCCTTACAACTAGCGGTGTCTATCGTGCATTGTTTGAAGCGTGGCCTTTGCTGCCATTGCCCAGTAAAAGATCCGCAAAACGTCTATCATTTTATGCGATCGAGATGCAGAGCCAATGATGCCGGACAAGACAAGGGCCCCGTGCATTACCCCTCATTTCCACGGCATGATACGATGAGACTAAGTTAGTAGCATCGTGTTATCCCAGATAGTATATTAGCATGATTATCACAAGGTAGATCGATTGGATTTTTGGGTTGCCGCGGTATGTCAGCGGGAAATGCGTTTAAGTTGCAAAAGGTCCAATAATACCAGATCGGACAAGTGTTGAGATTGTTTAGAAGATGATCTGATGAGATCTCGTTCTAAAAATTGGGTACGAGACCCACCGATGTCGGGTCGGGCCGATTCCACAGTATATACTGGGGAATAACACCACTCGACCATATCCACACAAGGACCAAACAGTCATATCTAATATGTCTTCGGGATCCAAGCCAACTATCTACTCGTGTCTGATTGCTTCCTCATCTCTGCTGCATCTAATGGCAATCCATTTTGCGAGTTCCCGATCAAAATCCGACTTAGCCAGATATGCTTGATTGGGGGGATACCACGGGCAGCAGAACTAGCAAAGACGACATCCATTTCTTCCAGGATGACAGATTTGGTCTCTAGGATTACAACACAGTTAACTGTAAAGAGAGTGGCAGTGGTAATAGATCCGTAAGTAACATATACGTACTCTAATTGCCAGAATGCTCGTATTGTTATTTGTATATTGATACTCCTTTAGGCCGCCTTGGCAGCCATCAGATTCTTGCTATAAAAATCCCTGCTGTGTGTGTTGATATTAGCATCTTTGCTGAGCAGCAGCTGTACGACTTCTTCGTGACAGTTTTGAGAGGTGGCAGGAAGAACATTGCCATAATAGCCAGTCTGGATCTTGAGATTAGCACCTTTACCAAGAAGGAAATGCATGGTCTTCTCGTCGCCGTCTTTGAAATGAGGCTGGGAAGTATGATCATAATTGTCGTCCCAAGCATTGACATCGGCACCTTTGTCGAGAAGCAGTTGCAATTTCGTCGTGGCCTTTTGAGAAGCAGTTCGGAGAGAGTTGCCGTACCATTCAGCCTGTGTATTAAGAGACGGACGGCAGATCGGAACGGAACAGATTATAGTCGCAACTTCCCAGTTCTTCGCATATCCAAACTGAATATGGAGATTCTTCGAAACATAAGACATTATGAAAGTTCTCCCAGCTTCTGAATCGCCATAGAGCCAAAGCAATGCGACACCTTGTTCTTTGTCTTATCCTTGCTTGGAATTCGGAATCTTATTGAACCATGCCATAGATTCCTCGATTATCTGACCTTCACTTAACCTGGGGGGGATAGAAAGCTTGATCACGTCATCCTCTTGAAGGCCCAACTTATCAATTCAGACAGCTCGAGCAGCTTCAACATCCTGCACATGATCCTCAGAAACGGTAATGTCTACTCCTTGCAGCCTTAGTCCAAATTCTTCTTCTGGCCCCGCACAACAAATTGACCTAGGCGCTTGCCTGGGCGTCGTGTCCATCTCTTGAGCTCCCCACTGATGCGCTGGTACCCGTCGTCCTCTACCCTCGAAAACCGTGCCATATCCTACAAAACGTTAGCAAAGCCTACACAACGGAGGGAGTGGAGCCCCACCATGTGGTTTGCATGGATTGATAGATAAGGCCATCCAGCAATGATTGCAGATTCTTGTTCAACAACCATTCCGACTCCAGGAACTTCCAGTTCCTCGTAAAAACATACCAGCCTAATACGGCCATTGTTTTTTCTTATCCAATTATCGAAGTAGGTTTCGACCCCTCCAAGGACCTGAGAGTTTCTCTCAAGCGTATCGAGAATCTTGGCGTTGGTTCTTACGCCTGAGATTTTTACGATATTGGCAATAGCGTCGGTGAAAGGGGCAATATCTGCTCCGCGATGAGGGGTGCCCAAGAAAGCAATGCCCACTGTCTCTTTTTCAATCTGCATCAAGTGTTCGTCGGCGGAATGTTCAGAAACTTCCATCGCCTTTTTCACCACGAGCCCGCCCAGACTATGGGCAACGAAAATGATCTCTTGAGGTACTTCCTACACGCACAGGCCATGAGAACTTTGTGACAAATGATAGATTGATGAAAATGACCTACAGACTCATCAGCTTCTCTTACACGGGCTAGGTCATTGACCAAGTTTGAGGCGTGACTCTCGAGGGTGTTTTGCCCAACCGGCCGAAAAGATCTACCGAGATCCGCATGGTACCCAAAGGAGAGGATGCGAGCATTGGGGAGATCTCGTCGGAGTAAATTCACGGGCCAGTATTTCTGTGTCTTGGTATGAAAAAATGTTTTGTCGGCGCGGCCTGTGAGGCCGTGGAGAAAGACGATATCCACATCAGGCTTGGGCGGGGCATGTAAAACTTTAATGCCCTTGACTTTGTTCCCAGGAAACAAATTTGTGATTGAAGATACGAGATTATGGGCCGAACTGGACGAGTTCGAGGGTTTCACCTTACCAGCAGCACCTCCCACTTCATTTCGAGCAGCAGCACTCTTGCCGGTAGTCTTCTTCCTGAACTTCCTCCGTAGTTTATCGAACGCATGCATGGTTGTATGTTTTTCTATCTCTCTTTCACCCGTTTAGAGATTAAATTCAAAGTCAGATGTCTTGGTAGCAAGCCTGTGAGGGTCCCGTCAGAAAAGGAGTAGCTATCAGGTCGGGCTCGTACGAGGCGGTTGGCCACAGGACAAGGATCATGATCACGGGATATATTTCAATAATTGATCCAGAATATTATAGTGAGAGTGGCACCAAATACTTTCAAGCCCCTGTACGAAGATTTGGCAAAAATACGGGCAGGGGAGGGGGAATATTGGAAATATTTGGCGTCCCACTGTAGTCGGGACGATGATAGCACACCGTGATCGGGATCAACAGACAAGCACTCGCTAGAGCACAATAGCGCATATATACACGTGCACCCAAGAGGGATAATTGCTCCTTCACTCTTGATATCTGGAAATTCCGAGCTAATTGTGCAGTTTAATGCTGGATCATACCAGTAATTCTGTCTCACTTTCCACAAGATGGATAGACAACCTCAAAGATCACTGTGTGATAAGATACTCACGTATTTTGTTTGCAAATGTCAGTAATTGAATTGACAGTAAGCTCTCGAGACAAACAAGTTACTCTACCTCACTGTTCTCTTTTCATGCACCAGAAAATCCTCGCTTCATGGGTTCAAACGACTTCCCCTGACTTGTGGCGGGCAGCGTCGTCCTCTTTCCCCTTAAGGGCATTTGCGCTGTGGACTGGAATGTTTAACCCATGTTCCAGGGTCTCCAACTTGTCAACCCATCCAAGTCATGGTCTAATGAGGTGGGTGTGATTCGTTCTCACACAGGCGCTTAGGGTTAGGGCCGGATGATTGGCTACAACGGAGGCCGCAGCGTGGACCGCTGGCAGCGGAAATGAGAGTGGGACCGAAAGCAAACAGGCAGTATCCCTGCAAGTATACGGTGTGTCAATCGTTGGCTGGGATTGCTTTGCTATTGTAGTTCTAAATATAGATCTGTCTGTGATCAAGCGTTGTGATCATAAGAATAGCCCTAGGGGGCTAGTCATGGAAGAGCTCCAAAAGTGACCCACTGATGTCCTCTATTCCGTGCACATAGAAACACATGCATCTAGCCAATAGCTTATGTTTCAAATAAGGGAAAGAATGACCACGCCGCTAGAAGAGGTGACATGATACTTTTGATCTCTATAAATGACTGTATACCCAGTGCGCCAAGTTATAACACGACGATCCCTCCATCTCAATGCATTCTTGCACCCACAATCCAACCCATTCAACATCCCCCCTAAGCACCTCCAAATGCGCCCCGACAACCTATCCTGAGAATAAGTCGAGTCAACATCCGACACCTGGCTTCTCTAATTCCTAGAGATCGAAATCCTGAGACCACTCGGCGGGTTTATTCTCAAATACAACAGCGGGAGTGCCACCAGGATTGCCATACTCAATAAAGGTTTCTACAATATTTCCCTGCGGATGAAGTACACGGAGCGCAAACAAGGTCATGTCGTGTTACGGTTCTCGTAGCCGGGGGCTGTGTTCTTCCCTGGGGAGAAGGTTCTGAATGAGATTGCTATTATGCGGTTTCTTGCGGACCAGACGTCGATTTCTGCGCCGTATGTTCTTCATTCTGGGGCGAGGCGGAGTCCAGTCAAGTTGACGCTGTTTATTACGATGGATTATATTGGTTATGAGACGAAGATGTATGATGTGCTTAACGTGCCTGGATGTCCAGCATGGAGATTAAGGGTATAGACATAAATCGCAGGTATACAACGATAATATTCTTCATGATTCACAATTAACCAACATTACACCAAGCGGAACTAAGCCCTAACATCATGACAAACATACAGTATCCGTAACTATAGCTTCATCGAGCGATGTCCAGACGCAACGCGCGGCAACTCCTCCCCCCACGCAATACGGCAGTCCCAACGCAAATGGTCATCATCCATACGGACAGCGTCCTCCTCAGGCTTCACAATATCCCGCCACACAAGGTCACCCACCCCACCCTCACCCATCAAGATCCACCGGTTCGCGATCTCCCTCGCCACACCATCACCATCACGCTCAGCGTCGAGCGCGAGCAAAGCCCCACACAAGACCCACGTCAGAGTAAACATGGCGCGCCGGCCATCAGCAAGCAGCTGCGCAGCATGCGATGAGCTAGACACGCGCTCCAAGAACGCCGCCCACGTCCGGCTCAGCATCTGCGACCACTCGGGGCGTCGGACGAGGCCGATCACGCGGTGGACCCACGCCGAAAAGACAGGCAGGTGGTCGCCCTTCAGCAGGAAGCGTACCAGCTCGCTGGCCAGCACGTTCGTGGTGCCCTCCCAGATGGCGTTGACTAACGTGTTGCGCAGTATGCGCGAGACGTTGAACTCAGGCTCGTCTGCCTCGTCCATGTACCCGACTCCGCCCATCGCCTCCTGGCATTCCTGGATGCCTGCCACGGACATCTTGGCTACGACAGCCTTGGCGGCTGCGGTTAACACGCGGAAGACGACGGTGGCTTCGCGGCCTGCGTGTGGCAGGTGAGGTGCTGGCGCGGTGACGCCGTTGTTCTCGACGACGCCCATGACGGCTACCGTGAAGAAGCTCAGGTTCAGCGCCCCGCGGTGACGGACTTCCTGGTCACTGAGGAGGGCCAAGTGCATTGGAATCAACCACAGGGGCTCTCCGACTGTGGTGCGTGCTTTGGCGAAGTTCTTGGCGATGGAGATGGCCTTGCGCCAGGCGGCTAGGGAGCCGATGAATGTGTAGGTGCGTGTGATGTTTAGGAGGGGTGCGATGGTGGGCACGCCGCGGTCGAGCTTTCCGACCAGGTGCGCCCGCATGTCTTTGAGTTCCAGCTCGGCTGTGGGCAGCTCTTTGGTCCCGAGCTTGTTTTTAAGACGGTGGATGCGGACGCCGTTCGACACCTCGCGGGGCTGTCCGTCGTCTCCGATGATGGTCTTGCGCAGGGGCGCTAGGAACGTACTCAGATGACCTGACGACATCTTGGCGAGGAGGAGGGCGACGTTGGCGTCGGTTGCAGACGAGAAGAACTTGAAACCGTTGATCAGGTAGTCTCCTTGCGTTGGGTCGGAGGAGGGAGAGTAGGTCGCAAATGTTTCTGAATTCTGGACATCGCTCCCACCGGGTCTTTCTGTCATCCACTGACCAGCAGTGAAGAAGTCTTCGCCCCGGGAGAGCAGTCGTTTCAAGATGGCGTGGAATGGATGGTCCGCGGGCAGATGTGCGCATTGTTGGGTGAGGATGAGCGAGGCGCCGTCACTCATGGAGACAGGGCAACTGTACAACGCGGAGGCCGGTGAATGCAGATAATTCCTAGCCAGTCAGTACATGTGGTTGAAGAGTCTCCCGCAGCCCATGGGTGAGTTCATACACTGCATTCTGCGCCAGTCTCCGTTCAGGGCCGTATGTAGGCTCATACCCCAACGCGACCACCCTGGGACCTGTCAGCATTGTTCATAACAACCGGGAGGACGGATTGTATATGGAAACTATACCCATGCTTTGCACCCCATTTTCCCAACTGCTTCCATCCCTCACTTGTGACTAGGCGGTCATAATCATAACGCTGACCCCAGACATTGTGTCCTTTAACATAGGGTTGGTTGCGTTCTGCGTCCGCACTCCATTCGAGTATCTGCGGTGAGACAGCCTCAGCGCCCAATTGCTTAAGCTGAGGTTCGATCTGCTCTAGTTTCGCCGAAGGAAGATACCCTGTCATTGATCAGGTCAATTCAAATTCACATCAGGAGGTTACATGTTTACTAACACGCGAGCACTCTCTGAAAGCTTCCATCGGAGGTATAGGCATTCTGCAGCCTCGATGGACGGGTGAAGTGGCCTGTTTCTGCTGTGGCCGGGCCGTTGGAACTCATTTCGTGGTATGTACTTTACTGAACTGTCAATGAAATCAAGAGGTTGTTTACAAAAAACCCTTCGAGGGGAAGGGAAGATCGTATAGGAGTTCGGTTACGGTCGGTCATATGAGTTGACCCCAACCTCGGCTATACCCCAGATGATCAGATCAGTATCCATCCACTAACAGCCATGTTTACTTGTACTTGAAGGAGCTTAATGCCACCGCTGTCAGTGAGTTCTAATGCCACTAGTGATGGACAGGAAGTTCCAATTTTTATCTAACCTCCGACGCAGGTTACATCCGTCGCATTGCGGCTACGTCATAACTACGGGGGACAACATATACGAAGATATCTGTCTACAAAGGACAAAGCAGGACTATATTCTGTCAAGATTCTACGAAAGGACTGAGCAACCAGTTGATCAATTGGAACAGAGACTCTTCATGGTTGCATATTTTGCAAAATTCTGATTCTTCCGACAGTCACCACCAATTTCCTTAATACATTGAACACTCCTACCCCTGTCACCACCACCACCATATCAAAGGTTTGACAATGTCATCAATGGATCCGAATTTGTAGTTTTTTCATCGGTCTTGCCCAACTCCAGTATTGATGCAACTAAGCCAGTTACAGCATGATCTGATTCCAGGATCCTTCGAAGCCACCCTCTAGTATATGACAGCCCGCCATGTGGGTGTGAACCACGTGATATGCCTTATACACCGTTCCTTGCTGAATAAATCTCCATCAGACCATGCATTCTCTCCATCATTGCAAATGACCTGTCGCCACATACCCTACAGCCTTTTCAATCAAGAACAACAGACATCAAATCAACCATAGATCCATGTCTGCCTGATCCCCAAGGCATACATCCCAAAACGGCTAGCGCCGGAGACTTTCGTTGACATTCGCCCGACTGCTTACTCACCCGCTGCCTGAGGGATCAATTCTGCCAGATGCCCGAGACGAAAAGCAAACACCACGTGGATCCAGGGACAGAAACCGTATCAGTAAGCATGAATCTCGTCATTTGCTTGGTTTTTGATTATTAAATCCCTGTACCTGATATCTACTTATCTCGGGAAGGAAAAATATGATAAACTGGGATAAAAGAATGGAAAATATGTGTCCGGGTCGGTATCCACTGCGGCGGGATTTGAAATCAGCGGTGGAGCCGTCCGTCTGATAGTGTCTGTTGGAGATATAAAGAGTATTGAAGAGCCTGGATAGTGTGGATAGCACTTCACAGTAACTGTCTCCCTTCTCTCTGAATATACTATACTCTGAAACTACAAAATGCATCACCCCGATGTTGATATCGAGCCCGCTGCGGGCATCTCCTACTTCACCCCGGCGCAGTCCCCTCCAGCCGGCACAGCAGCGAGCCCTCAAACGAATGGCCAGGCCATTCCCAAGCTCTTCCAGCCTCTGACCATCCGCGGCGTCACCTTCCAGAACAGACTCGGCGTATGCCCTCCTTACTCCTCTTCCCCCTAATCAGTGCATAAAACTAACCTCCGAAAGCTCGCCCCCCTCTGCCAATACTCCGCCCAAGACGGCCACATGACAGACTGGCACGTCGCGCACCTCGGCGGGATCGCGCAGCGCGGACCCGGCATGATCATGATCGAAGCCACAGCCGTGCAAGCCCGGGGCCGCATCACGCCCCAAGACGTCGGGCTGTGGAAAGACTCGCAGATCGCGCCCATGGCGCGCGTCGTCGAATTCATCCACTCGCAGGGCCAAAAGGTCGGCGTGCAGCTCGGCCACTCCGGCCGCAAAGCCAGCACCGTCGCGCCGTGGATCTCCGAGACCGTCGTCGCGACGGAGGCAGTGGGCGGGTGGCCCTCTGACGTCCTGGGACCCAGCGACATCCCCTTCGCGGACTCCTTCCCGCACCCGCGCGCGATGAGCACCGACGAGATCAAGGAGCTCAAGGAGGACTGGGCGGCTGCTGTGCGGCGCGCGGTGCAGGCTGGTGTTGATTTCATTGAGATCCATGCTGCGCATGGGTATCTGCTTTCGTCGTTCTTGAGCGCTAGTGCGAATGGGACGCGGACGGATGGGTATGGCGGGCCGGCGTTTGAGGATCGCGCGAGGTTGCCGTTGGAGGTTGCGCAGATTACGAGGGATGTTGTCGGGAAGGATATGCCTGTTTTCCTACGTATTTCGGCGACGGATTGGTTGGAGAGTGTGAGGCCTGCTGAGAGCTGGCGCGTGGATGATACCGTGCGGTTTGCGCAGGCGCTTGTTGAGCAGGGCGCTGTGGATCTGATTGATATTAGCTCTGGTGGTGTGCATGCCGAGCAGAAGGTCAAGTCCGGGCCGTGCTTCCAGGCGCCGTTTGCGATCGCTGTTAAGAAGGCTGTGGGGGATAAGTTGGTTGTCGCTACTGTTGGTGCTATTACCGATGGACGTCAGGCGAACCGTCTGCTGGAGGAGGAGGGCTTGGATGTCGCGCTTGTTGGGCGCGGGTTCCAGAAGGACCCGGGTCTGATGTGGACGTTTGCGCAGCATACCGGTGTGGAGATCAGCATGGCGAACCAGATTCGCTGGGGCTTTACTGGACGCCGGGGGACTCCGTTTATCTTGCCGGATGTTTACAAGCAGTCGATTTTTGAATAGACTAGAGTATAGATTTAGAAATGTATGAAGTTAATGACTGTTCAATTGCATCTACATATAAATCACGATCCGTCTATCCAAAATCCTTGGTATCTATTGTATTATATAGAACGTAGATAAAGCGAAAGACGTATAGTTTCGTGATCTACCCGGCCATCTGGATACGAATCCCGATCTGTCTATTTAAGGTCTATTGGCGTCGATCATACGATTTAAAAAAATATCGATACAGCAGAGATGATACATTTAATAATTGCCCAAAATCTAGATATGAATCCCGATCTATGTCTATTCCAAGATCTATGACGTCCATCGTATAATTACAAAGAAATGGGTGAAAAAAAGAAATGAAAAAAGAAAGGCTAAATCGACACGGACAAAACAAAAAGAAAAAACTTAAAGCTTGCTGCTCTTCGGGCTGTTCTTCAGCACGTTCGCGTTCCACGGGTAAGGGTCGAACACGAGGTCGTTCACCGGGTTCTCCTGGCTGGCCCGGCGGAACAGGTCGGGGTAAACGTCGCCGTCGTACCGGCCCAGACTGCTGTCGAGCTGCCAGTCGTCGAAGTTCCACGAGTCGACCAGGGACACGGCGTGGGGGCGGATCTCGTCCAGAAGCTTCGACACGGCGGTAGTCTGCGCCAGCGAGATCTGTCGCGTCGTGACGGCGCTGGAGGAGAAGAACTCGGCGGCCTCGCGCTCGAGCGTGTGCAGGGCGTACAGGCGGAACAGCTTGTGCAGGGTGGCGGTGGTCTCGGGGCCGAGCGCGGCGCTCAGCTGGGGCGAGTTGACGGCGTCGTAGAAGTTCTTCACCACCAGGTACTGCGAGTGGGCCGTTGACAGGCGCCAGAACTCGACCAGCAGCGAGTTCCACGAGCGCTTCTCGACGTCGCGGTGCTTGAGCGCCTCGAACGTGAGGTGGGAGGCGCGCCAGGCGAAGGCATCGACGATGTCCTTGTCCTGCTCCAGGACGTCGAACGAGGCACCCTTGTTGCGGCGGGACAGGTAGTTCTTGAGAATACGGCAGGTGTCGTTGTTGGCGGCCTGGCCGGCAAGAACGGAACGAGCGGATTTGAGGAGCTACACAATCACACGATCAGCAAGGAATTGACGTGAAGAGTGAAGGAAGGAAAAACATACATAACGGGCGACCTGCTGGGTCAACATGTAGTTGTCACCCTCCCAGGTAAGGTTGGGGAGATAGTCGGCGTACCAGTGGCCAACACCACTGTACTGCGAGTAACCGTGTCCACCCATGGCGCGACGGCACACCTCGAGACCCTCACCAGCAGTGGTACTGGCCAGCGCCTTGAGACCGCACGAGGTGGCGTGCAAGTCAGCCAGGAGCTCCGCACCGGCGCGCAGCTCATCAGGGCCGGCCTGGGCAGCGCCCGCCATGCGCTTCTGGTTCTCCTCGTACAGACCCATCATGCCGCGACCGGTGAAGTGCAGCGCATACATGGTGGCCAACAGCGGCAGCAAACGAATCTGGACCATCTTGTAGTTGAGGACCTGGTTCTCACCCACGCTGCCGGTGGCGTCGCGGTCCTGGAACTGCTTGCGGACGCTGCAGTAGCGTACCGCGATGGTGACACCGCGAGCCAGCACACTACCGGCCTGCAGGACGATGTTGGAGCGCACCCACACCATGGTGCCGTAGACGAGCGCGGGCAGGGCCGGGCGGATGTACTTGCCGGTGTCCTTGTCGATCCGGGAGAAACGGGCTAACATGTTGAAATGGGGGATCTTGACGTTGTTGAACAGGAGGAATCCGTTATCCATCGTGCTGCAAATCCCGTCAGTATTGATTGACCACCCACGCCACACTTCGCAAAGAACTTACTTGTATCCGAACTTAGGTCCGATATCACCCACGTAGACATTCTCCAACGGCTGGTGCGTCTCCATATCACGGATCTGCACAAGGAACGGGTGGGGACCGTAGTTCTTGCCGTTGATGTACAGCTGCGCCATGACGACGGCGTGGTTGGCCGTGCGGCCCAGCGAGCCGATCCACCACTTGGACGCGGTCAAGCTCGGCGAGTGGATAGTGAAGGTCTTATCGTCCTGGTTCCACACCGCCCTCGTCTCCAGTCCACGCACGTTCGAACCGTGTCCCAGCTCCGTTTGGGCGTAGCAGCCGATGATCTCGTATTTCTCTGCGCGTTCGAGGAAGGCCTTCTTCTGTTCCGGGGTGGTTTGTTCCCGCAAGGTGACCTACCGAGCCATTCGTTAGCGACACGTTCCCCCACTTCAGTCTCTAAATTATGTCTTACCAGGAACATGGACGCGTGCAGGCCATACGGCGTGGGCTCACCCAGGAGGTCGTTGGCGGCGTAAAAGTCATCGTAGTTCCAGTTGTGCTGTACGGAGAGCTGTTGGAGACGCTTGCCCTTGGCGAGGGCACGCTGGATGCGCTCGGTTCGGCCGAGGGTGTGGTTCTGCGACTTGTCGAAGACCTTGTCGTTCTTCATCATGGCCAGGAGGCGGTCCTGCCGCTCCAGGGCCTGGCGGGTGTGTAGCAACTCGGCGAGCTTGTCGACATCGACGTTGGACTGGCTGCGCTCCTGGGCCAGCAGTTCAGAGCCGGGCTGGCCGGCCGGCTTCAGGGCCTTGACCCAATCGGGAGGAGACATCTTGGGGTATAGAGGGAGAGGAAGATCAAAAGGCGGGGAAGGAATAGGTAGGTGGTCAAAGGGAGGAAAAATGAAGTCTCTCCATTGTTACTTATAAAAGGGTCGGCCGAAAGGGAAATTGAGCGAACTCCACGGGGAATGATCAGGCCGAGGGTCATTGGCGCGCTAACCCATTGTGGCAATTGCCGAGGCCCATGGGGTGGCTGCCTGGGTGCCTGGATGCCTGGATGCCATCCGTTCACCTGGGAGGAATCCGACGAAAAAAGGAACGGTAAAAAAAGAAATCAAAATTAGGTGGAAAACAGAAGTTCTCTCCTCGGTTCAGCAGATCCTATCGGAAGCCCCGGTGCCGAGTCATCCAGGGATCTTCACTTTCTTGGCCCGAAAATGGCAAACCGCAGTCTATCCTGTCCTGCCATTGGCCGGCTGGGTTCCGACCCTGTTATCTGATCAAGATCGGCGGCCGCTCTCATTTACCGGTGATGACAACCACCCCCAGCTCATTCGCCCCCTATCGGGTGCGATGGGAAAGGCGTGGATGGTGTGGGAAAAAGTTCAGATGGATAGTCTGGGGTTGTCTGGAGACATCCCGATATAATCATTACGTCTATTCCCCAGGTGGGTGAAATCATTGCCTCTCGGATGGGAGGCGGGAGGCGGGAGGCGGAAAGCGGCAGCCCGGTATGCGGCGTCGAATTTTCTTCCCTGTTCCGCCTAGGCCGAGTTTGACTTCTCGCAGAGACTGTTCACCACTCATCCAGTATACTTGGGATAGAAGCATATTTTCCTACATTGGAACTTCTAGGAATAGTAATCATGCCATTAATGTGCCTCCCTATGCCTAATCAGACATATGGCATTCACATGGGTGGTAGCCATATTCAAAATGACGGAGACTACATATCCACAATCACATGTGACGCCTCCGGCCCACCCACCGTAGCCACCATTTCACACGTCTTATGACTACGACAAATCCAAAATTCTTCGCCTGTCATTGCTCTATCTCAACTTTTCCCCGTCCCCCTTTTCCCCGTATCTGTCTGGAATTACCCCCACCATGGTTGGGGCACGGTCTGCGGTGCTTGTTTGAAGAATCAATCATGCAATCTAGAACCGCGATGCTTGTGATTGTCGAATTCTCAGATCCGGATTCCAGGTTGTGTTTTCACGTGGGATGAGCCGCGATAACGTCCCTTCGATTTAGGGGTGATGGCTGAACAAGAGAGGAATCCCTTGCGCTCCCAGACCTCCGGAATGGGGGTCGACATCGGCCCACTGCGGCACCCACGATCCCAAACCTGGAGCACCCCCGACGTGGTCCCGGGGAACAATGCCCCCGCCGAAATCGGGTGGGCACCAATGCCTGTGATAGCATTAATATGCAGGAAAAGTCTGACGCCTAAGAAAGAAAATGATATTGCTTGTGGATTTTTTGGGCAACAGAGCATTTTAAAGTGTGATTGATGATGGAGTCGCTGTATTAGGGCTTACATTGCCCCATACGTTGGCCAAATTTATTCCATTTAATTTGTGCTCCCAGAATCATCGGATTCAGGCTTCTACCATACCAGTGTGTTTCAAAACACACCTCTCAGCCAACGTGGATTGATAGTTTGGGAGCAGGATCTGTTGAGTTCCTAGCTTGCGTCTCCATGTCGAGAGCGATTATCCTCGTGATCTTTGATTTTGACGAGCCGTGTCATGTCGAATGTATCAGCGATGTACATCTGTTTACGTCTAACAAGACCAACATACAATAGGCTCGCGGAAACAACAAGGAACTAGCGACGGGCAGCTGGAAGGACACCATCTCATGGGTCATCTGGCAGATACAAAATAACTAACGTTGTCTCGCGGGTTCAGGCCATGCGCGCAGACAAGCGTCTTTCCCCAAGGCACTAGCAGATGTGTCGCAGACACAGCTTTTGTTGATACCCATATTGTCTCTTGTTCTTGGGACTAGATGTCATGCTCTCAGTCTTCACTCAAATTGCTTGTAACTCTTTTTCCTCTACTTGTATTTCCTCCAATAAAGGGCTATCTCTTTATTCGAAATATAGAACTACGTACATAGTGTAAATGAGGTGTTTGATCCCAGTAACCACAAACATTTATCAAATCAACAGCAGGAAATAATTTTATACTAGAGAATATGCATTTAATCTCCCTCCATATCTGGCGTGTTGGTAGACCATTCATCATGAAGAACAGACAGACTTGCAGAAAATGCATCTATGTACTTTGCATTTAGCTAGGTAGACAGTCCTGGTGCTCGGATTTGGCCTATGGGAAGATACTAATACATAGACGTGATCAAAAAAATTACGTATATCCCACAAGTTGATATTCCAAGAGAGCACAGTACGCACTGAGAAATATATTCTATTCCGTGTTACTAACCTCTTTTTTTGAAAAACAAAACCCCCCATGTATACCCGAAAGGATGATGGATCTAACATGACAGCTACAGGGTAGATCTACGCATGCCTATCTCTGTCTTTGGTTTTTAATTCGTTTTCGAGACAGTCCCTGCAATATACTCGCTATAATAAAATCTACATTTACAACATCATAATCCCGCTTTCGTGTTGTGTGTGAAATGGGCCAGCCAACCGGGGAATATATATTTGGTATGGGATATACTGTTAATTCTATTTCTAACGACAGTCCAAACTGCCATTTCGATTCGGTGAACATGACAAACTGTATAATCAACTCTGCTGCTGTCAATAGATTATCTCATTCCTTATGATCCATGGTTGAGTGTAGACGTCGATTAGCCATGTCTTAGATTGATACCTGAGTAAACAACAGAGAGCTACCAGCGAGAACTCTATAAGATTACTGACCATTTATGATTGAATAGGGGTTTACTACCGACGTTAGTATCCAAAATGAAACATAGGTTAACTTCTCAAAGCAACTATAGCCATACTCTCATATAAACATGACCAACACAACCCAACTAATCCATCAACAACCCTACCTCATCACGAAATACCCAAATCCTATCCCACCTGTCCCAATGTCGCGACAAACTGGAAAGTCCGAAAACACATCATAAATACTCCTTCCCTCCGCCACTCATCAACAACACCCTGTATCCACAGCCTAATAAACGTCATCATAACTGCACCCTAACCCAACCCAGATAAACTCCTCCGTCTTACAGAGTAAGGCGTGTTATCCAAGTACGGTTTTCCTCCTAACGCCGGCGCACCTGCTTGGGAGCCTGTTGCCGCGAAAGGGCCTTTCGGGGGTGTTCTATGGAGGACGCTGAGTTGACTCTTAGCCATCGAGTTCATCTCGTATACGAGTGTTCGTCCACCGACGCGGTGGGCTTGACTTACCTATAAGGTCGCTGAGTCGGCGAAGTACTCTGGCCGTGGTGTTGGTTGGCTGTGATGATAAGTAAAAGAGCGAGGGTGTTCACTGAGACTGCGAAGGAACTTGATCCCATGGTGTGTGGCTGTGTGTGTGTCTGTGCGGGGTATCAATGGACGGGGATCTGAGAGGGGTCGGGCTGGGTTTCTGTCTATTCTTCAGCTGCCTCGTCCTGCGTGGTGGCTGTGTATGGAGCACTGATATAATAATCAGGCGAATACTGATTGATTGTGTTTATGGAATGTTGATTGTATAGGTTGGGGAGATGAGATGGAGGGTGTGAGGTTGGTGGATTCATCGATGATCGCTCTGATACTGGATACTTGTGTCCCCCACTTCTGTACTTGCTAGCACGCTGTATATTTTCCACCAATCAGTCCCTGTCTACTGTATAAAAGGGCTTGCACGTTTATATAAACAGTCTCCAATATACCCACCTAGCCCTACTCCATGTACTCCAACTTGACTCTGTAAATCAAAGCCTCATAAAATGTGCACAAACCCCATCCTCCCCGGCTTCAACCCCGACCCTTCAATCATCCGTGTCAACGAAGACTTCTTCCTCGTCAGCTCCTCTTTCGAATACTTCCCCGGGGCGCCAATCTACCACAGCACCGATCTCATACAATGGACGCTGATCGGCCACGCCCTAACGCGGCCTAGCCAGCTGCAGATCCACACCCCGGAGCCTGGGGGCGGCATCTGGGCCACCACGCTGCGATACCACAAGGACACGTTCTATATCACAGCCGCTAAGTTCGATCGGTATCGTCCGCAGGACGACGATCGGGTCTGGCCGAGGGGGTTTTATGTATCGACGACCGATATATGGGACTCGGCGTCGTGGTCGGACCCGGTGTATTTTGATCAGGTGGGGTTTGATCAGGATGTATGTGCTATACTCCGTCTACCGGACCATAGATTGACTCATCTGTGATTGGAATATGTAGCTTTTCTGGGACGACGACGACACTGTCTATCTCTCATCAACCTATCGCAAGTTGGCCCGCACGCCCGGCGCAAATCTCAAAGACTTCGCCATACACATCTCCACCGTCGACCTAGCCACCGGCCGCTCAACCTCTGAACCAAAGCTGATCCGCGAATCCGCCTCCGGTGTAGCTGAAGGCTCGCACATATTCAAGCGAGGCAAGTATTACTACCTCTTTACGGCGGAGGGCGGGACAGAAAGCGGCCACTGCGAATGGGTCTGCCGCAGCAAGACCTCGCCGTTTGGGCCGTGGGAGGACGGGCCCAGCAATCCGCTCTGGCGAAATGGGGTGACCGATGAGGTTCAGAATACGGGACATGCGGATATGGTGGAAGATGCGCAGGGACGGTGGTGGGCTGTTTTGCTGGGGGTACGTCCTGTTCGGAGGGGGGATCAATGGGAGGAATCTGTGTTGGGTGAGTCAACTCCATCCTCTATACATAATATTGAATCATCCACGTCCTCCTCCCAATTAACCAAAAAAGGCCGCGAAACATTCCTCATTCCCGTCGAATGGTCCAACGACTGGCCTATATTTAATGGAGGCCAAAAGATCTCCCTCACAAACACCACACCCCATCTCCACCAAGTCAACCCCCCGCCCCCACCCACCTGGCGCGACAATTTCGACACACCCACCCTCCAACTCGGCTGGTACAGAAAGAACACGCCCATCTGCACAGCAGAGTATTCACTCACCGAACGACCAGGCCACCTCCGCCTCCACGGCGGGCCATACAATCTCTCCGTGCCCGCCAGCCCGACCCTCTTCCTCCGCAAACAGACTCACCGCATGTGCACCTGGACGACCAGCCTTTCTTTTCATCCTACCTCTTCTAGTACTGAAGCAGGTACCGTCCTCTGGTGGAACTACTTTACCTATAGTAGCTTGGGAATCCGCCGTGCAGCAGACGGGCGGCGCATCGTGCGGTTGCGCCCTGCTGACGGCCAGCATATTGACCGTGTCTTGGAGGGAACAAGCGAAGGAGGAAACGTGCAACTCATAATCGAATGCGGTGACCACTACCGCTTCGGATTCCGAGAAGAAAGTCCAGACGCCCACCGAGGCCCCGAGGCCCCGATCAACTGGATCGGCGAGGTCTCGAACACCGCCATGACAGTCTCCCCTCCTGTTGGGATGGCCTTCACGGGCATGATGCTCGGGCTGTACGCTTTTGGCGAGAGACAGCCGTGCTTGGTTCCTGCTGATTTTGAGTATGCGGAGATGCGATGATCTAGACTTGCTGATGGCCGGTTAATGGCTGGTTGAAGGGGGCTGTCCAATCGAGGTTACCGAGATTGTATGTTCTGGGACTGAACACTGTAGGTATGTAGGTATGTAACGAGGCTGCTGGACAGGTTGAAACCCTGCTGTTTGTCGTGAACAACCAAACGGAGATATCAACTGCTGCTGCTACTGTCCTATTATAGTATACTACCTTATTAGCCTGGCTCTACTCATATACAGACAGTGTTACCGACTGTGTGGTACAACCGATCACTCGGTACTTTGTCTTATACTGGGCACTGTACTTTAGTATCTACCTATGTGGCAGGCTACCGTCTTTGGCAGTCTGTGCTTATCCCCCTGCATAAAAACGCATCAGAATGAAGAATCCTACACACACACCACTACTAATTCACTTCTTCAGTCACAGGTAAAACTACCAGGGAAGTGTACTATCCCTGCATCAACCCCAACCGGGCTTCCCTCGAGGTAGTCACAGCCTCGAAAGTAAAACGTAGCACACAATAGCCCGGGCCGACACAGTCAATCCGTATCCAACCTTCGAGACAAGCCACGCAGCAGCCAACCGAGTCAATCGAGAAACCAACCAACCAACCAGCCAGCCAGATAACGAATTCTCAGAACAAACAGTTCTGGTTTCAGCGGGTTTTTGCACATTTATTTCGTTAACAAAGAAAAGAAAATGCCTATTTAATGAATAATAAATAATAAACCCCAGTTGAACACCACTATTGAAGCCGGAACGCTAGACCGTTCTACGCCACCAAGCGAGAGTCAGTATTTACGTCGTTTTGAGAAAGAAAGAAAAACCCGGCCATTTGGTGATAGAGTTACGGATTTGGGCCTACTCCCGTGGTTACCGACGTCAACGGGCCACACGATACTTTGGGTCCTCCAATGGGGGAATTTCTAAGGTCGGTCTCGGGGAGTTTACCTCCGACTACCTAATTATAGTAGGGGTATTACAGAAGGTAGATAGTGAACTAGAAGTGTATGTATGTTTTAATTGCTATCTTGGATGCATGGCCGTAAAGGTAAATCCACCATGTCTAACCCAGGGTCATCGGCTGAAATGATGTATGTGCAGAGTTGACATGTGTGTGTGTAATGTGCAGGTACGATGCGCGAGTATCGGTGTAGTAAAGACAACAAAAAAAAAGAGGGGAAAAGAAAAAAGATTTTATGCAGTGCTGGAGTCACGCCTCGGCTGGGTATTTATGTAAAAAAAAACAAGAGAATGAACACGATTGATATGAAATATCCCGCCCATGAATCGGATGACGAGCCGTATGTACGAGGGGTATGCGGTGTCAAAGAAGACTCGGTTACGCTAAGTCGAGGGGTATGCAGTCCAAGTAGACTCGCTTACTCTAAGTCGAGGGGTCAACGGATCGTTTGGTTACTCCCGCCGTGAGCACAGGCGACTGAAGCACCTTCTGCCAGTCGTGGACCATCTCGGTGTTGACCGTCGAGAGGGAGACCTCCCCGCCGGCACGCGCGATCATTTCGTCCTCGTACATGGTGATGGCGTCGGCGGGAGTGCTCTTTCCCGTCAGAAGCTGGTTGGTGGCCTCGACAAGTTTGGCGGCATCGGTGATGGAGTGGTTCAAGCCCTGGCCGCGTTGGTAGGTCATGGCGTGCGCGGCGTCGCCGGCCAGCGTCACCCGCCCCCCGTGGTTATCCCAGCGGTGGCCTGAGGCGCGCGGGTCGAAGTCCGTCAGGCCCATGTACCAAACCTGTTGGTCGTCCGGCACCCATTCGAAGGCGCTTCGCCACGGGTCCGTAAAGCATTTGGAGAACTCCTTGACCTGCTGCAGTCGCTGCGAATTGGTCCAGTCGGTCGTGGCATCTTGCTCCTCCAGCGTGCAATTCCAGGAAATGTAGAAGAAAAAGGTCCACGTCTCGGGTTTGTCCGGGTCCTCGACGTCGTGCATGCCAAAGAACGCGAAGTACCCGGCGGGGTGGATGCCGGCCAGGTACATGGGGTGAAACCCGCGCAGGAATTGGGCCTGCTCGGCGGTAAAGCGAGCTTGCACAAAGGTCGCGCAATACGGGAGCTGGCGGATGCGCCCGGAGTTAGGGCCCAATAGCTCCTGTCGCACCGTCGATCGGGCGCCATCCGTGCCGACCACGAGCGAGGCGGTGATGGAGGTATTGTCGTCGAACAGGGCGGCGGCCAGCTTCCCGTCGTCCGAGAATGCGAGGGTCCGCAGTCGCTTCCCATATTGAATGTCTAATCCCTGGGCCAGGAGCCCCCGCAGTTTACGTCGTCGAAGGCGATAGAAGGACTGGACGGGGATCGCGGCCATGCATTCTCCGGTCTGGGCGTTGAGGAATTTGATACAGTCATGCTCGGCGGGAGGCTCACTGGGGTCGACTTGCGCGGACTGGATGTGGGACCACATTTCGTCTGTCATAAGGCTTCTCAACGGGTCCATGCCCCAGTGGAGGCCCATGTTCCAATCTCGCGGGTGCGCATCGATGCTGTCATGTTTTTCCACCACGATACACGAAATTCCCGACTAGGTCTTCAGGTGAGCGGAGTCCATCACGGTTAGAAGATAAGGTCGACCCACCTGTTTGAGTCCTTGAGCCAAAGCAAGTCCCGTCGAGCCTGAACCATTAGTAGTGATCGAACGGATGATAGCTTTCTATTGATCCTTACCAGCACCTATCACCAGGACCGAAGTAGTGGGGTTTTTCGGCTCGGCGGCGGGAGAGGCCACATGAGAGTTACCCTGGGGATCTGAAGGTTGTTCTGTTTGCTGGCCCTGTGGCTTCCCAGCGACCAACGACCAGAGCCGTCGGATACGGCCCATGGCGAGGATGAGGGGTAGAAGTCCAAAGATGTGGCCAGGAAGAAGAGACAAGAGGGAGGCACAAGGTAACAACGGAGCAGGGACAGCGTTGTAAGACCAATCGATCGGAACGCGTAAAAAACAATGGGATTGACAATGCTGGTTATTCCATGGTGCCAAGTACTAGGCCGATCGCTCTAGACTAGACCGATAACGTGAGAGATTGGAGGAAATTGTGGTTAATGGAAAGGAAGAAGACTGAAACGGGAGACACAAGATGGATTAAGTCTAAGATAAGGTATAAAGTGAGAAAAATATACCCAGACTAATGACAGACTCGGGGAAGGAATGGGAAATAATCCAAGCGAACCTCTGGCCACAGATACTCTACATTCATCGCACGGTCGGTTTTAGACCAAGTCCAAGCCCACCAGGGGATGAGACCCGGTTTTCCGGTGGAGCTCTAGGAACAGACCATCCTCATGCCATGGCTCCGGGTTGACAGTACAGCTGGCCAGTCCGATGGGTTTCACCTTGCATGGTTATTGTGACGAGGGTCAAAATACTAATTTTATCAAGTACTGGTTACCTCTGGATGGTACATTGCTAGATAGGTCGGCACCTACATGGTACACCCTCTTCATCATCATTCCAACGGTCTTTCGTTTGATGTGGAGATGGATCACGGGTCTTCAAACCAGATTGAGGGGCCAATCGCTAATGGGGATCCGCTCTCTCCACCTGACCGCTTCAAGAGCCATGGCCCCACCACCGTTGTCTTCTCCATCTGTCGGGACATACTTGCATATATCCAAGGGACCATTGTGGCGGGTGTGGTGGTGGCCAAGGACAACACCTTGCCTTGACCCGATGTGTTGGAGTTGTTGAGTGACTCGATTCTATATACCGCTATTCACTAGGTCTGATACTTGCCAGTTGCCACTGATTAATAGTAACTATATATGGAAGCATGCTAGTGCATGCTTCACCTGCACTGATGGTTGGCTGAGTCTGCACGTGTAAATTTATTAGACACCCCTCACTTTACTAGGATGTACCCAGTCTTGTATGGTGGTAGAGTACTTTCTTATTGCCAGGACTGCAAGGAGTAGAACATTCATTATAATTCAAGTGTACTATGATCCCACCGTGGCTGTCTTCATGCAGCATGACGGCTCTGGCCGACACCTGTCATGTGATCATCCAGGGGTTTAATACGGTATGCTTATATGGACACATTAGTGTGGTCTCATGTTGAGTGACAATTCTGAAGAACTATCCAGAGTGAAGACTCACTGCAATATGAATAGATAACTATAAATATCCTTTTAAAATCCATCAAGTGTGAATTCAACTCCCTTGATTGCTAGAAATAAGGTTGAGATATGGCATCTCCTATGGATACTATCATACTCCACTATGGTACGAAACTGAACCACTTCTCGAGTTATGTGGAACCCATTGCGGTCTGTCCTTTAACTTTATCTCCTACCATCATACAGTCCTACTCCAGAAGGGGATTTATGTAACCGTGCATTGGACTAGAATTTCAAGGAAGATGGTTAAAACAGAGGAATAAAACATGTAAAACACATGAGTACAGAGTGTTCGGTATTTACCGACTAGTTATGCAGGCCATCAGGACTATTGATTTGGCCGTCGTCACTTATCCACTCTTTTCCCCGGTCCCGGTCGCTCTCCATCGCGAACCTCCGATCGTAGATCTACTCGTTTTGTCTTGAACATTCTGGATGGGAATAGCTCTTTGTAAATTTGGGATTCTTTGATCAGAGTTGAACTTCCGTTTTTCAAGGATTCCTCCCTGTCATTTCCCCCTCTGATCAGGATGGACTTGATTAGATCATTTGCATTGTGCCGGTCATTGAATTTCCCCGTTCATCACCGAGTATAAAGTTAATTACCACCTCGTACCTAACCTACTCCGTACCCCCAAGCCCAGTTTCCGTTCGCTGGTTCCCCCCCCCGTCGTTTTATCCTACCCGTGCATCTCCGCTGTCCGGTCGCGCCGTTCTTTGCTCCCTGGTCCCTTCCACTGCATGAGCTCGCCCCCTCCTTCCCGTTTCCAGTTAACCCAGGATCGACAACCTTGCCATGGTCACCTCTTCTTGTGACGAAGAAGACTCTTCCTTCTCTGACACTTCCAGTGCGGCTTCAACCACCACAACAACTCCACAACAACGCGAATCGATCATCCAGAATATGCTCACCTATTATCCGACCGATGATGATGGGGATGGGGATTCGGCGTATGGGGAGGACTCGCTGATCGGAGATGATACCATGACCTTGGATTCCTACATCACCGACTATCGATACGAATTCGGTCGTCGCTACCACTCCTATCACGACGGCGCCTACTGGGTAGGCCGGTACTGCTGAGATGGATCGATTCCTGGCTAACCTCCCCGGCTTCAGGGTCCTAACGATGAAATCGCAAACGAACAACAAGACATGGCTCATCACATGTACTGCATCACCTTAGACGGAAAGCTCCATCTCGCACCGATTTGCGAACCTCAGGTATCATCCTTCCCCTGTCGCCGGTCGGCTGGAGCTCGTCTAAGCGAACGACCACAGGAAATCCTCGATGTGGGCACGGGAACGGGGATTTGGGCCATGTTAGTCGGCGAATCTTCCTAATCGATCTCATATCTTGACCAGTTATTAACCAAGTCTCCAGCGATATGGCCGACGAGTATCCAAGCGCCAAAGTCACCGGTGTCGATCTCTCGCCCATCCAACCCGCGTTTATCCCGCCGAACTGCGTCTTCGAGATCGACGACGTCACCCTCCCCTGGACCTACCCCAGCAACCAATTCGACTTTATCCATGTCCGGGAGCTGTTCGGATGCATCCCAGACTGGGACGAATTCTTCCAGCAATGCTGGCGGTGCCTCAAACCCGGGGGCTACATCGAGGTGGTGGAGCATTCGGTCGAACCGATCTCCGACGACGGCACCGTTGGTCCCGACCATTTTTACAATCTATGGGGTCAGACGGTGGTCGAGTCGGGAACGCGATTCGGCAAGAGCTTTACGATCTGGCAGGAGAGCGCATCGCGTCTCGAGCAGGCAGGCTTCATCGACGTGGTGGAGACGACCTACAAATGGCCGATGAACGGGTAGCTTCACCTTCCGTCGCATTCTCAAAGCCTTGCTAATTTGGATAGCTGGAGTACCGATCGGAAGATGCATGAACTGGTAGGTTGTGTTTATCTGGCTATTAGGATGAGACCACTAATATATACAGGGCCGATGGAACCAGCTCCGACTACACGGCGGCATCGAAGGATACATGCTCCGCCTACTCACAACCGCCCTACATTGGTCCTACGAGCGATCGCAATTGTTCCTCGCGCAGATGCGAGCCTCGCTCAGAGACTACCGCACCCACGCCTACCTCCCAGGCACAGTCGTATACGCACGAAAACCGCAAGAACCTCCATCACATCGCGCTTTTTGAATTGAGACTGGAGTACAGGTAGTTTATCAGGGATGGTCATTGGTTCTGAATGGTTTCCGGTTGTAATTTTTGTTGGTTTCTTTGGTTGAGCTTTATACCCTTGTTGATATTAGTTTATGAATTATATATTCAGATATGGATGTGACAGGCAGTTATACACTTTAACCATCCACATAAAAAGTCTTATACCTACGCCTCTTCGTAGGACCCTAACCCCGAAGGATCATCCCACCAGATAGATAGATAAATAAATAGACACACCTCGGCCCATCTCCACAAGTCGGAAGAATAATCGAATGTGACGCGACAGAAACTCTATCCAGTCCGAAACTCTGATTTCAGCTTCGACACGCCATCTCACCCGCAATAGGGAATCTCAAGCGACGATCCAGTTGGCGTGCAGATTTCAATAGACATAGCTCTTGGCCATGGATCCATCCCATCCACTTGAGGTGCGGTCCGATCCAGCTGACGCGGATGAGATCAGATGGTCTTTGGGATGGAAAGTGGGAGGATTACACGGGCCTTGAAGATGACTCTACCGTGGGTTGGAAATCGGGTTTCCTCCGCGGTGTATGGATGGATGGATGGATGGATATCTTGACTATTCTGACTGACTCCAGAGGATGGCGGACGCGTCATCTCATACATACACCACTCAGCACAATATCTTTGTATCCATCTAGATAGATACTTCTGTATGAAGCATACCCAAAACCACGCATATGCATTTCTACGCTTAACTAACCCCTCCCACATACATACACATAGACATAAAAACGATCAATTTCTACAGGTCAGTAGTAGACAGTAGACTAACAGTACAACCTCGGACCTTCTCAACGGTCCGCCGTGGAACGAACGAACTTTACCCCGAGCGTCTCCAGTTCTCCGCCCACTGACTCTACCTACTCCCTTTAGTCTTCAAAAGATAAAACCTGACCAGCCGTATTCCTCAACCAACTTTGCCTTTCCAGTTTCCACGGGTAGCAGTAGCACACGCGGATGGACGTTCGAGCGCGCGTGACACTTTGATTCGGATATCCACGGTAGTATCATCTGTTGTGTAACTTATTACTGTCTATCTGTCTGCCTGCCTATCCATCTATCTGCAGGCCGGGATGTCACGTCCTATATGCAATGAAATGCATTGTGCCACTCCACTCTATTTCCAACAATGTATGTAAATCACGTGTAGTATAGTCACATGATACCAAAGCCGCGCTAGTGAAACCTCGCGGCGACAAAAACGCCAAAATCCCACCAAAAACAGGCTGATCAGTTTCCAGAGGTGTCGATTCGAAAGTGATCGTTTTTGGACCGTTGTGCAAAGTTTCTCGGATTTAGAATTTGAGGGGGTCTTTCGATTCGTCTTGGTTAGCTGATTACGATGGTATCTTTTTTTTTTTTGCTATTTGGGGTATTTGGGCTGGTATTAAGGGGGAAGTTGGTCGGGATGGAGGGGCGGTCGGGTGGGCGGTGGGATAGTGTCGGCATACACTATCAGTCACGTGATTGTGGAGATTCTGGGAAAGAAAAAAAAAATGTTTTGCAATTTTGTAATGGTCTGAAACTTGATGGTTAACAAGTTATCTGATGTCTATTTCCAGTAATAGGTAGTATAGCTGAGCTGGAAGGATAGTCCTCAATAGCTATCCCGAGCATACCAAAATTACTGAAATCGTACCTGTACGGAGGTTTGTTGGGGCTTGGACTTCCACTCAACACTATGACGTCATTGGTGGCTGTTCCTGTCGAGGGCTCAGGTTGTCAGAATAGTAACAACCTGATTAGAACTTCCTATCACAAATCCTATAAGCCCAAGTCATAGAATTGTACCTCATATCACCATATACATAGATTCCATCTGCCGCTTTAAGCTCAAACCGGGGTCGAAACCCCACTTGGACTCCAAATTAGTCAGGGCAATCTCCCCGCATCCATACCCAATCACCTGTATCCCGACTTCAGTCCTCTGGATCAGACTGGACACCTACACTCCCCCTTCCATGGTTTGACCAATCTACAGACACGCCCACGTCCCATGCAGTGTATATAAGTTTCTCATTTCGAAATCCATCCACCGAGGCCACAATGTCGGCGTCCAAACGCTCTGCGTCGGTCGACCTGGCCGATCCGCCGCATTTCACCTCGACCGACTCAGACGCGGCCACCGTGACAGGTAGGACGGGTCCAGTTCTTCTAATCCCCCCATACCAAGCTAACAGAAACAGACGATGGTCGAGTCAATGTAAACCTAGACTCCAGCGCAGGCAAAGCAGCGCTTAAACGCGCCCTCTCACTCCTACCCGCTACCAGCGAGGAGCCACCGTCCCCGCCTCCCGACTACACGCAATCCACCCCCTTCGACATCAAACTAAACATCATCATCCAAGTTGTCGGAAGCCGCGGCGATGTACAGCCCTTCGTCGCGCTCGGCAACGAGCTCCAGAAACACGGCCACAGAGTCCGAATAGCCACGCACAACACCTTTGACACGTTCGTCCGCGGCGCCGGGCTAGAATTCTACCCCATCGGCGGAGACCCCGCAGAGCTGATGGCCTACATGGTCAAGAACCCGGGGTTGATACCCAGCGTGGAGAGCCTGCAGGAGGGCGATATTAAGAAGAAGCGGGTTATGGTCGGTGAGATGCTAAACGGCTGCTGGCGGTCGTGCATCGAGGATGACCTTGTGTCTGGGATGCCGTTCGTGGCGGATGCGATTATCGCGAATCCGCCGAGCTTTGCGCATATTCATTGTGCGGAGGCGCTGGCGATTCCGTTGCACTTGATGTTTACGATGCCGTGGAGTCCGACTACGGCTTATCCGCATCCGTTGGCGAATTTGAGGTATTCGGGGAAGAATCAGAAGTTTGCGAATTCGGTTTCTTATGGGGTTGTGGAGTGGTTGACTTGGCAGGGGTAGGTTTTCTCTATGTGTGAGATGAACCTGGCTAACCGCTGTAGGCTTGGTGATGTGATCAATACTTGGAGATCGACGATCGATCTCGAGCCGGTGCCAACAAATGAAGGGGCCACGATGGCGCAGACGCTGAAGATTCCGTTTACGTATTGCTGGTCCCCGGCTTTATTGCCCAAGCCTATAGATTGGCCTGCATATATTGGTATGTTCCCACATGACGCGTTCCTTGAGAAATGCTAATTGTCAGATGTGTGTGGCTTCTTCTTCCGCGATCCGCCAAGCTACTCCCCTACCCCTGAGCTGGCAGCCTTTCTCCAGAATGGCCCTCCTCCGATATATGTCGGGTTTGGAAGCATCGTCTTAGACGACAGTGTAGAAATGACAGCGATTCTTGAAGAAGCCGTCAAACTTACTGGTGTCCGGGCCATCATCTCGCGAGGGTGGAGTAAACTCGGTGGGGAGTCTTCTTCAAACATTCTCTACCTCGGCGACTGCCCTCACGACTGGCTATTCGAACGTGTTTCGTGTGTCATTCATCATGGTGGTGCTGGCACCACGGCATGTGGCCTTCGCTACGGCAAGCCCACTACTATAGTCCCGTTCTTTGGAGAGTGAGTTGACCCAGATCTGGCAAATGTTCCTTCTAACAGTCCCAGTCAACCATTCTGGGGCAAGATTGTGGCCGCGTCGGGTGCCGGGCCCGATCCCATCCCACATCGCTCTTTGACAGCCGAGAATCTTGCAGACGCAATTCGCTTTTGTCTAAACCCCAGCACGCTTGATGCAGCCGAGAATCTAGCCATCAAAATGCTAGAAGAGACAGGTGTCGCAAAGGCAGTCGAATGTTTCCATCGCAACCTTCCGCGGGAAAAGATGAGGTGTGCCGTTTTGCCGGATCGGCCGGCGGCATGGGTGTACAAGAAGAACAAAGGAAAGCCCATATATCTCTCCAAGATGGCTGCGCAGGTCATCCTCGACTACATGCGGGTCGACAAAGAGGATCTGAAGCGGTATGTGTTGTTCTAGTCCCCGCTGGTTCGTACTGACCCTGGTACCCAGACACGAGATCAAGCCAATCGTGCTCCAACACCGGCGATTCGATCCCATCTCCGGTACGACGTCCGCTGCCTTCGAAACCGGAGCGGGCCTCGCAAAGGCCACAACGAATATGTTGTGGAAACCATACCAGGAGATCCAGCGCGGGCGAACCAGCAGCCGACAGCCTAGCGTTACCCGATCGCTCAGCACACCTTCCCTGTCCCAGACAGAGCCAGAGAACCCCGTGCCCGAGAAATCATCCACCGCGCCACCCAGATTGAGCACCTCTCCCACCAGGATCGACTGGATGACGGCGGCGACCGCAGCCGCCACATCCGCCAAAGGCGTCGGCCAGTTCATCGGCAAATACTACAAAGGCATGGCGGTGGACATCCCGCTCGCCACGACGGAAGGCCTCCGCGCTATCCCCCGGCTCTACGGCGAGGAAGTTCCCGAATACGTCGTCCGCGACTGGAAGTCCGGCGCTGCCGCGGGAGGGAAGAATTTTATCCATGGGATGCGCGGCGGGTTGACAGATATGCTGACACAGTCGTACCAGGGTGGGAAGGACAAGGGTCCCCTGGGGGTGGGCAAGGGCTTCCTTAAGGGCACGGTGGGGCTTGCGACGAAGGTCCCGTCTGCTGCGCTGGGCCTCGTTGCTTACCCTGGCCAGGGCATCTGCAAGAGCTTACATAATACTATACGGTTCCAGACGAGGAGGGAGATTACCGCTGCGCGGTATAGAGAGGGGGTGTTTCTTCTTCGGGTGGAGGGCGGTTCGTTGGACCAGGGGGATGTTGTTGATTTGTTTGAGGTTTTGAGGAATAGTGCGGGTGATTTTTGAGCAACATCGTCTGGTACTGATGTTGGATGCGGAGTATATAGTAAATATAAATGCAGGACATGGTTTAGAGCAATACAAATGATCACAGCGTTGTATCTGTCCCGATATGAGTTCAAAGACCGGAAGTCGCGGAACATAGTGGACTTGACAATATTTTCATTGATATAGATGCCCCACAGTGGTTAACTCCGCGGACCTCCCTAACTCCGGCCCATCATCTCCCCGCAACGTCAGCTCACATCTTTACTCCTTTCACCTCACTAGTCGCATCTAGCTCTACCACTGCATTACCTAGCAATCCATCTCCCATTACATCATGGACCATGATATCGCTACTACAGTCTCCACCCACAAGCCAGCCGATGACTGGTCGGGACTCAGCGATCCGCAAGAGAGGCGCAGGAGACAAAACCGGCTGAACCAGCGCGCACATCGTAAGCTCATGGTCCTCTATAGTATTCTATTTGTCTAAACTAACCAAGACTAAACCAGGAAAACGTAAACAAGCACAAACAGACCCCACAGGCACAGACACAGAGAACGACAGCACATCCAAACCAGCCACCAAAAAACCTTCCCCCACCACCAACGCCCTCTCCCAACCCATCACCAACCCCAAACGCATCACCTGCCCCCACCCCGACACCCTCGCCATCCTCCTCGCCCGCTTCAGCCGCACCACCTTCGACATCCCCCCACTCACCTCCCCAACAGCAGACTCCAACCTCCTAACCCTCAGCAAAGCGAACGTCTTCCGCGCCTTCGCCCACATCATCACCCTGCTAGGAATGACCCCCCACAACGACTGGATGCACGACGACGCCCTCTCCCCTTTCAGCACGCAAGGCCCCACCAGCGCCAAAATGGTCGACGCCTCCTCCCTCCCGCCCAGCCTGCGCCCCACCCGCGTCCAGCGCGAGTGCCCCCACCACCCATGGCTGGACTTCTTCCCGTTCCCGCGCATGCGCGACAACCTCATCCGCGCGGGCGACGGCTTCGACGACGAGCAGCTGTGCGTGGATATTATGGGATTTTGGGACACTAACTCTGCGGCGTCTGTCGAGGGGTGCAATCTGCTGGTTTGGGGGGAGCCGGCTGATCCGCGAAGTTGGGAGTTGACGGAGGTGTTTATTAAGAAGTGGCCGTGGGTGATGAGGGGGAGTCCGGAGCTTATGGAGTCGACGAATTATTGGAGAGGGAGGAGGGGGGAGAAGTTGATTTTTAGGTATCTTTGATTATATTTTTGGGGGTTTTGGTTTTAGGATGGGCGAGCGAGCGTATAGTACTGCATTGCTTTGGACTTTGTATAAAATGTGATAGCATAGTGTGATGATTTCAAATATATTATGGTGAGAATTGAAAAAGTACAGTGAAGCGTAAGAAAGAGAACAGGCAATCAGCTCTTCCAAGCTTACCCCCAAGAAAGCAAATCAACACAAGATACATACATCCCTCACCCCATACACAAACGCAGCCACTAGCTACTAACTAGCCACTCCACCCCAACCCAAAAAGGTTGACTAACACTCCGCCAACGGCTCCGTATACTGACAGCTCTCACTCGGCCCCTTAGAGATCTCATCCGGCTCCGACCCATCCTCCTTACCCTCATACGAGATGCAGATATCCTTGACGTCGGTAGCGCATGTGTCAGTGATGGTGGCCACGTCGCCGAAGTTCTGGTTGACGCCGACCATGGACTTGCCGTCGACGGCGATGACGTTGGAGATGGTCACGGTGCGCTGGTACATCTCGTCGCAGTTGCCGCAGGAGCGGTACAGCTTGCCGAAGTTGTAGACGGTGAAGCCGTCGATGGTGACGTCGCCGCCGATGTTGTGCTTTCAGATTGTTAGTGGTGTTTATAATATCGGGGTGGGTGAGGGAAAACGCTCACCTGGATCACCTTGTCATCTGCGCCTTGGGCTCCGCCGCCGGAGATCTTGAAGGTGCTTCCTCCCTTGAGGGAGAGGGCGTCTAACTCAGGTCAGTTACATACCATCTAATGGGTATATAAGAGTGTGTAGGATAGGCAAAATACTAACCCTCGCAAACAGCCTCCCACCAAACATTCTCAACAGTGCAAGACCCCTTACAGTAGACACCCTCAGACTGATCAGGTCCGATAATAGCGTTCTTAAGGGTGCCTCCCTCCTGGATGATAAAGACGGTGTCATCTTCTCCGCCCTCGGACTGCCCCGAGCACTCGACGCCACGGCCAAAGGTCTGCATGCCACCATCGTAGATCTCGCCTTCGGCGATCTCGTACGGCTCATCGAAGGTCTTGGAGCCCTTGGACTCCGGGAGTGGGAAGGTGTAGCGCTTGTTGAGGGTTGAGGCGAGGGTGGTGGAGGCCAGGAGGGCCAGGAGGGTGGTTTGGGGGAGCATTTTGGCAGATGATAGTAAATGAAGTGTAGACTTTATTTTTGAAAACTTGACTTGAATTTTGATGGTGTATCGTCGTCAGTTGATCCCATTTATATATACTGATAGTTGAAGACATCCGACGTATATCCAACTCCCCACAAACCCATCCCGATCCCATCTCTGGACGGAATTATTCTATCGCCCTTGGCGCGTTTCAACCCCCAATCTTTCCACCACTGTCTACGCTGTAAATCTAGACATGATGAAACTGGGGTAGTGTGTCTTGACCGCATCCACCGTCCGGCCTAGTAATCGAGCTATGGTCTATTCATCGAATGTGGCTTGCTCATTCTGCCGCGGCTTCGGCTTTTCTCCGTAGCCCTACATCATCAACCCTATACCGACTAACACCCCTGCGGGGGTGTTGAGCCTTCTTGGGAGGCTGATAGGTATCATTGGTGGCAATTATTCTTCCTTGAGGATATGCCGTCGTTGGTCGGATTTACTGCGTGCGAACGCGAGCCCTACACATAGGACGGGATCGTCTAGATATACAGCAGTATAACATAGCATAGCATATTGCTCAACCGTGCCAAAATGGATCAGGAAGTGGTTGATCCACCTATAGTGGAGAACTGACAATCCGGGTTGTCGGTCTGTTTCTTCAGGGATGCAGCACGTTAGAGAGATATTGACGGAGGGACGGGAACAGAATATTCAACACGGAATAATTGTACCTTGTCGCGTGTAGATAGGACGTGCTCCGCCCACTAATCGGAGTGGGCTGGGCTAGCATGGATGGGACGGGGTAGAGGGACTGGGTTGTGAGTAGCTTGGAACGGACTCGAATGATCGCCAGGGGGAGTACCAGGGGGGTACTAGGGGGAACGAGTTGTAACGTTGTGGGTTTGGGGTGATTTGGATGAAACGGTTCTTGCGCCGGGTTGTGAACTATGGTTGATAGTCTGCATTGACCATGTCAAATTTTTATTGTGTTCAACTCGTGTTCTAAGTTTTGTAGTGAATTGTAATTTTTGGTAGATTGTCTTGATAGTAGTAGCACCGTAAACACCACGGTTTCTCAATGGTCACGTATATCTATAGACAAACAAAATGCCAGCTCAGCTCAAATGGCTCTATACAATTCCAACAAATCCAGTAAGCCCTCTTGTACAAAAGTACGCCAATAGTCCGCTGCATTCGTATTCGCAGGCGACAGGCGTCCAGCTGAAGATAACTTGTCTCCAGTATATCGGACTGGATCGAACCGCCACGGCCCATGTAAGACAGCCGCAGCGCCTTCACTCGTATCCATGTTCGTGTTGGCGCCATGTAAGACCATCGTCTCAAAACTCGGACAATCACCGAGGAGTCTCGTGGCCGCTGGGACGGGTCGTGGTGCTGTTTTCAACCCCCATCTACCCCGACATGCACCGATATAGGCTGTCCTTCAAACGGCGGAGGTAGTTTCGGGCGGGATGTGGATGTGCGCTCGGCGCAGGAGGTCCTCATAGTTGTAATCGACTGAATGCGTTGCATTCCCCGTGTTATCGCTCAAGTAGTCTCCCTCCGCGCGAGGAGAGCCTGGCTCTCGGTGGAGACGTGTGGGGTAGGAGACTGATCATGGACATGGATCTTGGTCGATTTCTCTTTCTCGTCGATATAGTTCTGGGCGGAGATGCACTCGACAAAGGTGATCTCGCAGGTGGCGGCCGCAGCCACGATGAGGGAGATGCCGATAGTGATGAGCATGTTGATTGTTGGAGGGTTGTCAAGAGTATAGGTATCGGTATAGGTATAGAACAATGACTATAGTATCACTGTAGTATCACTCCGAGAAGAAAAAACAGAGGAATCCTCCCCCCTTATGTATCCTCAAAAAGAAGAGAATACCTTATCATGCATTACGTGGAAGCCGGACTCGCGACGGAGGAATGCAAGCATCGAGAAACAAACTAAAAAAAGATCATCGCGATCAGCAGGTCCCTCCAGCCAATGGAAAAACATCCGGGCGCAGGTTTCTCTGTCTCTTTCTCTCGCCGAAACCTCCTGCCACGCCACTTGCTGGCGTCATCATCTCGCTCCAAAAATAACAAGGAATTATTTTCCCCCCCTTCGACTTTTTTCGGTTACATATCGGGGATCTGTCAAGACAGGTTCGGAAAAGTGTCAACACGACCCCAGCCATTTAGAGTCTAGTCCAATTATACTGTTTCATTCCCCCATCCCCTCGACGTTGTGGGTTTCACCCCACCACCGTGTTTTTTGTTGGGTTTTGTCTACTCTTACGATCGACTTGTTGAACTAAAACTAAGGCTGGGCGTGGCTTATTAGCCGATATACGGATAGCTGACGTCAGTCGGAGACTTGCGAGTTCTCGTTCGTACGGAGTCCTCCGTACGCACTAGATCGACTTGTGGCGACGATACTATTTATGATAAGAGGCAACTTGATGTTCATGTTTGCCTGCGACAAAAATAGGACGCGTATCGATCGTACTGTCGGAGTTCCACCTCCACACGGTCCACCTCCACATTATACTACCGAGGGTATATCCCCGTGTTTATTATTTCTCTAATCTCGCTGAATGATATGCCAAAGCATCGAGGAGAATCGTTTATTAAGTATGATATTTACAATGTACCACAGCTCAATACAAACGCCGACATCGTAGCGCCAAATTTAGTGAGGATTGCGGTACGACCCTCCCCCTCGACGCGCCTGGGGATAAAGGAGTCGGCAGGAGAGAACAAAACGCTCTGCTCCAACCAGGCTCCTTCTCAGACGACATCGAGGAGTTTTGAGGGTCAAACTCGTTCTTCGCACAGTGACTAATCAGCACGTCATGGGATAGGATCGTGACAACTTAAAGTAGTGCGATAGGAGTAAAGGTACAGAACAGCTGGGTCGCAGACCACCATACTCCCGGCTATTGGTCTTTCCTACGTTCCGCGGAGGCTTCTTCCTCCTCATCATCAGGCAACGGTACGTCCATGACGCGTTCGCCCGCTTTCTCCAACGTACGTCGGCACCAGCTGCGGACACCTTTGTACACCGCCTGGAGCGGTCAGCAGGGACCAGATGTCGGCCAGGAATGAATGCACCTACCCAGAGAAAGGTCATCACCCCGAAAAAGATGACCACCCAACTGATGGACGCGGTACGATTCCGCCCGGTGTTCCGACCGCCGTTGAGCAGGACCGACGACCGCGTGTACCACCATTGCCATGGAGACAGGGCGAAGATGGCCTTGACGACCGACAGCACCCCCAACGACGCCAGGCCTTTGAAAAAGTGCTCCAACCAGGAGGATCCCGTCTCCGGGGCCAGCGAGTCGGGCACACTGGGCTCCCAGAAATCCGAGTTATACAGGGTCTCCATCGGATCCACGTAGAGATTGATGATCGGGTCAGCAACAAAACCAAGCAAAAACACAGTCAACATTAGAATGGCCACCGTCAAGCCCAACTGCGTAAAGGTACTACTGATCCAGCGCGCCCAGGTGAGCCGCTCCAGCCGGTATTGGAACCCGCACGTCGGACACTGCCAGAAATTCCTCTTGCTGTAATCCGGGTCCGCATGGCGCCAGGCCTGCAGGCATCCTTCGTGGACATAACGCGAGGATCCCTTGCACTTGCACGGGCTCACCAACCGGCCGGAATCCGGGTCCGACGACTCGTAGACGACTCGCGGGCCGGACTGGAGGAAGTCCGGGATGTGTTCGGACGGAGGCAGGAGGGTAGGGAGGACCGTCTCAAGACAGATCCGGCAGACCCGAGGGGGATAATGCTTTTTGGGAGTCTCCTGCGCGGGCTCCCCAGAAGACTCGGACGCGTCGCTGCGATTGTGAGTGTCTGGGGACTCTGCCTCCTGACTAGCTGGGAAGCCCTGCCAGGTTGGCTCATTGAGCGCGTCCATTCTTTGCGGTAGTTTGTATTGAAATCATAATACCAACTAGGTTTCCCGTAACCTAGTCCTATGCAGTATAGGATAGCCTGTGGATTGTCAATCAAAGATACAGACAGATCGGTAGTGGGAGATTGTGTGACGAGTGAGAAGAGAAGGGGAAGAACAGAAAGGAAAAGCGGGCACCGAACGAAAAGGTGTCACTAGTTCGGCTGCTCGCGTAAGTGTCACCGGATCAATCAATTGTCCGATGTCAACAACATCAACCATCACGGAATATCAAAGAAAGATAAAACAGCCCTACATGGTTTGCGGTTGAGATTGATCCTTATTCATCGCGTGGAGAACCGCTTCAATTACGAAAATGACAAGAGCAAATCTATTCGCTACTGGAACAGAATGGGGTCGCGTAACTATCCTCGACCTTCTCTATATATAATGTATCACTCAACTGGATCTGAGGACTACATCGCAAAATATCAATTGCTTTGTCAAATAACTACAAAGCCCCCCAGTTACAGATATTCGTGCTCCTTGCTCAAATGTGATATCTTGAACGGGATTATCGCGCTGGGGAGAGTAGGTCCGAATATCCAGATATGTGCCAGTAGATGGCATGCGCTCGACAATCTCACTTTATCATCCTTGATACACTCGAGCACCACGTTGACCACTCTGCTGACTGACTGTTTGATGCTCAGGGTAACATGTGTGCCGTTCAAAAAGCAATGGACTTTTCGTGGTCGATGATCTTGAAACGCCTATTTGAAGAGAGATTGCTGATAGCTCTTGGGATGTCATTAGCCTCTATCGTATGGCCCGGTGCTCTCAACCGCAAAAAGGTACACCATAATCTGTAATCCGAAGGAGAATTGCGGTCAACAAAATCATGTTCCATCTGGAAAGCATAGATTGACGGGGAGGAAACACTACAAGATTCTTATACGCGGCCACAGGCTCATTCATCCGCAGATCTTCTCAGTCAAGTCACTAACTACAGTAACTATTACTAATATGTACCTAGACTTTGCGTTACTGAGACTCTCCAGGTGACTCATACGCACCAGCTCGATCTTCTTCCTCAAGGTGTGGTGACCAATTGTTCCTTATGTCGATTAGAAGGATAGCAACGTTTTCTCCTCACCTATCCCGCCCAACGGTCCTGGAGCCCACGGAGTCCGATAATACCGCAGTTGCTGTTCGAAAACTGGCAGGGGGCCGTGATGAAGGATTCGAAGAGCAAACGAGGACGCGATCCCCCAAGATATCATCTCAGCCACTGCATCAGAATATCTAATTGGCAATTGGTCGGGCCTGATATGACTGATATCCTGACATATCATGTTTGTTGAATCATTTGATAAAACCGCTGTCATGGGGGACATGAAAGAGATCTTGTACCAGAATCGATGGATATAAGCCATAATAATCAATCGGAAATGGGGGAGGTGAAAGATGAGGTCTGGTCACTGCGATCCGAGCTATTCTTGAAAAGTATACGAGTTGCATACTTACATAGTGCTGTTTCAGACTCCAGTCATTTCAAAAAAACAGTTCATATCAATTTCGATGCGCGACAAGCTCCGGATGGCAACAAGAAACCACCTAGACCTCATACTAGCTAGGATCAAGCCCCCCACAGCGGCAACTGCCCCTCGTGAGAGGATGATCAAAGAACTTGCTAGCTTTGTCCTGTCTGAAAAAGTTGTGCACGTCCGTGGAACACCTGCAAGTGGGAGGACAGTCTTCGCTAAGTTACTAGGAGATCATTGTTTGCGCGAAGGATTGGAAGTCTATTTCATGAGAACATGGCTGATTCTCGATACATTCGACCAAAATCCTTTGAATCTATTGGACAAACAGAAGGCCATGCTTCGAGATACATTCCTGGTCTAGTTGACCGAGACCCTCTCTTTTCCAATGCTGTCATCATCATCGATGGAGGTCCAACTTCATACAGTGATGCCATGCTATGGGATGGAATTTCCAAAAGATTGATACTTTGGTAAAGAAGAAGACGCCATGTTCTATATCTTTTCTGTTCTTAAGGCAGTTTGTCTGCAGGGATTTTAAGACAATCAAGGGCACCCCAGTTATTCTGAATCCCGAGCAACGGATTACATCGACCTCGTAGGCGAAGGATTCAGCACCAAGATTCGGTCCGTCTTTTACTCAAATGGAATGTTATGATGCTGCGTCCCGAATAAGCTCTAGACTACCAAAGCATTCCAGACTCGAGGAGCGGTTCTTTCAAAAACTACTGCTTTGCCCTCTTGGGATTGATGTGGCTGCCCTTGCCCCGACGGTCTAATGCAGAAGACTTGCTTTCGCAAATGCATTCGATAATATTCAAGGCTCACTGAGGTGGTGCTACCTCTCGAGCACCTCTTGACACTAGACTATTGTTCTCTGCAGCCCCTAACAATGCCGGGTCCCAGAAACAGAGTTGATATCAAGTAGTAAGATTAAAGAGATATGATTATGTTAGACTTTTAGAATAGTTATAAGTTTCACAAATCAATCTTGTATAAAGATAGTTTGTAATATTCCGTGATGATATGAAAAGTAGGTATAACTAATCGTGACTGTTGGCAACCCATAGCACCCGTGATGCATGATTCTGTCTAGCTGTGTCTGCCTATCCTCGCAGCCAGCTTTTCCCATCTCCCCCCCATTCAAAAAACAGAGGACTGCATAGAACACTTCCACCTCACCCCAGCAAAACACAATGCGGGGAAGCTATTCTGGCAACTTACACGAGCTACATGAAGCCTACTCATTCTTGTCCTCATCTGTCAGTTCACAAATCCCGAGTATCCCGCCCCGCTTTCTTTCATCCAATAGAATAAGCAACCAGAAACATGCAGACCCCGTCTAAGCCAATCCATTCTATCTCAAGATGCAATGCGCCTGGGTCCGTTCATATTCTTCCGCGAGCCAGAGTCGAGCGCTTCAAAAGTACGGACAAACCTACCAGGATTACGCGGCGTCCTTCCGTTTGCCAAGGGACCCAAAATCCGGCGCTTCAATGAGCGACGACTTGCCTACTTCATCACATTACTACACGACTTCCAATGAATAGCTTCGGGAAAGTCGACACCGAAGCCAAGGTGGCTGTGGAGATGGCCAGTAGACATACCTACAAGCCAAGGGGCTAGCGATGTCTCTTGCGGGGTTACAAAGGTATCTGAGGACGTGGGCTCCATGCTCAGGACTTAAGAACTAAGTTGGTGCGGAGACTTATTGCTTCTCGATATGGTCTAAAATAGTAGCTCATGAATCATGCAATCTTAGAAGGGTGGATATATGCTGTCCCAATCAACGAAACTTGGTGAGTATTGTCAGGGATCATAACATGCCCTCGGAATCTAACCACGCAATGGAGCTCTCTGGTAGTTGCCAGACTATCTATTCCTGCGCTGAAAGCGCTGAAATAGTTATCGGAAACTAAATTGGTTCCCGCTGTCTGTTATCCCCACTATCCAAAATATATCCCAACGGGGGCATCTGCAATTACCCACAATGACTGGAGGAAGATCATGGTGGAGTAACCCCACTCGGAGACTGCGTTGGACGGCTACCTTACTCTTTTAATCAATGAGCATCTAAGCCCTGAAATCCTTCTAACTGCTATACAGAGATTATGCGGGGATTCGCACCCTAGCTGGTTTCCCCGCAAGAGTGACAGCCAACGCTGATCCGCGTTAGCGGCGCCATGGCTATGATGGTGCATTTGCCATGCTATGATCAGTAATGGGGTCGTATAGTGAGAGGAACCATACTTACTCAATGTGTCAGTGCTCTACTACATTCCCGGACTCTCCTGTTCATCAATATCAATCACCATTGATCAAGCGAGGCTCACTGATTCGACCTAGTTTTATCAGCCTACCCATTCCGACTTGAGCTTTGCTTACGAGCACTCAGACGCACGCTCACGGAGGAATAACATTGCACATCGCCCCTGTATCAAACAGACCATACAGCGTCATTGCTGATTCAAACACCCCCACATGCGGGGGAGAGCGGAGAAGTTCCCAAGGTCTGTGCTGTGATCTTTCTGTCCATCGTTCTAGCCTTCAGCACCTTGCGGATGGATTTATCTGCTATCCGGTACGCGAGACACAGTGGCTTCGCCCGCATGCGGGGATTCTACCCCATGTTTGAAACCTAATTCAAGTGATTCTTGGTGATATTTGACTTCCTTGTAGCCGACATCATTGTGGGGTAGGATGTCCGCAGGCATATAAATCCCCCCGTGGATGCCTGGAAATCCGATTGTGATCGTCCCATCTCACATGTCATCAAAGTACATGGTTTAAGAATTTGAGTCACAATGACAATTCCAGATGAGGTTGACATCATCATCTGCGGTGGTGGTAGCTCTGGATGTGTTCCAGCAGGCCGTCTCGCCAACCTCGATCACAGCCTTTCCGTCCTGTTGATCGAGGCTGGTGAGGATAACCTTAACAATCAATGGTAGGATGATCTCACCCCACTGTGTTGCGTTTGCTCACTATCTTCAGGGTCTACCGTCCGGGGATATACCCCCGTAATATGAAGCTCGACTCCAAAACAGCTTCATTCTATCACTCTCGCCCGTCAGAACACCTCGATGGGCGTCGGGCTATCGTTCCATGTGCCAACATCCTTGGAGGTGGAAGTTCCGTCAACTTTATGGTATGCTACCACGTCCTCTTCTTAACCCATTAGTTATACTAAATTGGTATTGTATTAGATGTACACCAGAGCTTCGGCCTCGGACTACGACGACTTCCAGGCCAAAGGCTGGAAAACCGAAGAGTTGCTGCCGCTGATGAGGAAGCATGAGACGTACCAGCGCGCGTCTAACAACCGTGACTTGCATGGGTTTGAGGGGCCTATCAAGGTGTCTTTCGGGAATTATACGTATCCTATCACGCAGGACTTTCTTCGGGCTACCGAGTCCCAGGGCATTCCCACCACGGATGATCTGCAAGATTTGAAGACAGCGTAAGGTCACTCCTCGTCATCTTCACAAATCTGTACTAATTTCGACATCCTCTGTAAAGTCATGGAGGGGAGCATTGGTTGAAATGGATCAATCGTGACACGGGTAACCACCTCCACCATCATCGATTGAAACGCATACCATCTAACAACCACAACAGGAAGACGCAGCGATGCGGCCCATGCTTACGTCCACAGCACTCGGTCGAAATATTCTAACCTGCATCTCAAATGCAACACCAAAGTGGACAAGGTGATTATCGAGAACGGCCGAGCAGTGGGTGTGGCGACAATTCCCACGAAGCCTCTCGATGGCCAGGATCCACCTCGCAGGATCTTCCGCGCTCGCAAGCAGATCATCATCAGCGGTGGCACTCTCAGCTCGCCTCTGATCCTGCAGCGCTCTGGCATTGGCGACCCCGAAAAGCTTCGCCGCGTGGGCATCAAGCCCTTGGTCAACCTGCCTGGAGTGGGGCGCAACTTCCAAGACCACTACCTGACATTTTCGGTCTTCCGAGCTAAGCCAGACGTAGAGTCGTTTGATGACTTTGTTCGCGGAGATCCTGAGGTGCAGAAGAAGGTCTTCGATGAGTGGAACCTCAAGGGTACTGGCCCGTTGGCTACCAACGGAATTGACGCCGGCGTGAAGATTCGGCCGGAACCGCAGGAGCTGCAAGAGATGAAGAAGTGGCCTACGCCTGAGTTTGTGAAGGGCTGGGAGAGTTATTTTAAGAACAAGCCGGACAAGCCCGTCATGCACTACTCTGTTATTGCTGGGTGAGTACATACTTACCTATCACTAACCACATCCACTGCGCATTCGCCTCTAACAGATAAACAGATGGTTCGGCGACCACATGCTCATGCCCCCCGGGAAGTTTTTCACCATGTTCCATTTCCTGGTATGACACCGTCCTTTATCCCTCCTTAATGTGCTTGATGTCTAACAGACGCAGGAATATCCCTTCTCTCGCGGCTTCACCCACGTCACCTCTCCAAATCCATATGATGCTCCCGATTTTGACGCTGGCTTCATGAACGACAAGCGCGACATGGCGCCCATGGTTTGGGGATATATCAAATCCCGCGAGACCGCGAGACGCATGAATGCTTATGCCGGCGAGGTGACGGGAATGCACCCTCACTTTTCTTTCGACTCGCCAGCACGCGCACGCGACATGGATTTGGCGACCACCAATGCTTACGCGGGTCCGAACCACATCTCTGCAGGGATCCAACACGGTAAGATCTGTCGCACCGACCCTTCGTGACAGGATTGAATACTAATTTAATATAAGGATCGTGGTCCAACCAACTGGAGCCAGGAAAAGCACCAGCTGAAACGTACCTCAACTCTAACAAGCACGAGGCCAGAGAATCCCTGCAATACAGCAAGCAAGACATTGAACACATTGAGAAATGGGGTAAGTCCCTCAAACCCAGTGGCACGACTCGGATACATTCTAACCATTCATCTTCAAGTTCAACGCCACGTCGAAACAACATGGCACTCTCTCGGAACATGTAGCATGGCACCCCGCGAAGGGAGCTCCATCGCCCCACACGGCGGCGTTCTCGACGAACGCCTGAACGTGTACGGAGTCGAGGGCCTCAAGGTCTGCGACCTGTCTATATGCCCAGACAATGTGGGATGCAATACTTTCAGCGTACGTACCGTCTTACTCTTTTTCCATGACTGGCATTGGCTGACGAGCTGGTGGTTTCAGACGGCTCTGCTGATCGGGGAGAAATGCGCGATGCTGGTGGCGGAAGATCTGGGTTATTCTGGGGCTGCTTTGGACATGAAGGTTCCGCCATACCATGCTCCGGGTGAATTTGTTGGTCTTGCGCGGCTCTAGGATTAATTGTAGTTGGTTGTTGAGGCCATGTGGATAGGGTTGCCTTTATTCTGCGCGTTATCGTGTCACCAGAATGTTCTCCATAATTTTTATTATTTCTCGAACAATCAAGATCATGGTCCACAGAGTGCCGAACAAGCTGGTTCATGGGTTGTAATATCAGTATAATATAACCAGTTGTTATCTCTACACGTTGACGTCTTTCAAATGTGTAGAGTAGAGTGTCTTCCTCAGGCAACAAAGGTGCCCAAGGTCATTACCCAAAGCGGCTAGCGCGCCCCCTCTTAGTCAGAGGAAACCGGAAGTGCGTCAACATCCTGCCGCCTGCTTAACACCCCGACGACAGCAGTCCCAACAGCGTCACCTCCGATATTCCCATCTCAATTCCTCCATCGTCATACTGTGATCGCCTCATTTCACTCTCTATCCTCCTCCTTTATTTCCCTCTTCTTTCCTCCAAGCTTGTGGGGGACCAGTCTTCTCCATGGCCGACCGTTATTCGTTCTCCCTCACCACCTTCTCCCCCAGGTAAGAAGGAGCTCTCTGGTATATCCACCGATTCATCGCTGATCTTGTCAATAGTGGGAAGCTGGTTCAGATTGGTATGACTGTTGCTTCTGGGTGTCATGTGCTTTACTAATCGCCATGCAGAGTATGCCCTCAACGCAGTGAACCAGGGTATCACAGCCCTTGGTATTAAAGGTATGTCATCCGTATCCTATCCACCATCACCATTCATGCCCAATGAACCCATGAAATTAGAAGGAAGAATCTAAATCTAACACCCCAAAGCAACAAACGGCATCGTTCTCGCCACAGAAAAGAAATCCTCGTCCCACCTGATCGACCCTCCCTCCCTCACCAAGATCTCCAACATCACCCCGGACATCGGCATGGTCTACGCCGGCATGGGCCCCGACTACCGTGTGCTCGTCGACAAGGCTCGCAAGGTCTCGCACACCAACTACAAGCGCATCTACAACGAATACCCGCCGACACGCATTCTGGTGCAGGACGTCGCGCGCGTGGTGCAGGAGGCCACCCAGTCCGGTGGTGTGCGGCCGTACGGTGTCAGCTTGTTGATCGCGGGGTGGGACGAGGGCGTCGAGCCTGAGGCGGCGGCGGCGGCCGAGGAAGACGTGGAGGGCGAGCCTAAGAAAGCGACCGGAAAGACGGGTGGTATCCTCAAGGGCGGCCCGAGTCTCTACCAGGTTGACCCTAGCGGTAGTTATTACCCGTGGAAGGCGACGGCCATTGGCAGACACGCGACGAGCGCCAAGACGTTCCTGGAGAAGCGGTACACGGAGGGTCTGGAGCTTGAGGACGCGATCATCATTGCGTTGTTGACGCTCAAGGAGACGATCGAGGGAGAGATGAACGGCGATACGATAGAGATTGGTGGGTTATTGATTTCTGCTGTTGTGGGAGACCTGGACAAGTGACTGACGTGATGTTTTTAGGTATCGTTGGGCCCCCGGCCGACCATCTGCGAGGCTACCAGGGCGTCGAGGACTCCCAAGGCCCCCGCTTCAGGAGCCTGACCAAGGCCGAGATTGAAGATTACCTGACCAACCTATGAGGGGTGGTGGTTGTGTTGGAAGGTGACTACATGCGATGGAATCTAAAAGGCAAGGCCAGATGCTAGCACTCTACTCTAGCAGAGTCCGCAGAGCGTTTGGATTGTCTGTTGAGACCGTCACCTGGGGTCCGGGTGGTCTCGGGTGAAACGACAGGTTCTGACATGATGACTGGTGAGGGCTTGATCGGAGGTCTCGCCCGTAATACAGATATTTCAGAGATTATACGGAATGAAACGATTGACAGGTTATTGACTGGATGGCGTAGATGGGATGTTGTCGTAGACAGCCAGCCATATTCTGCCCTGGTTGACCTATGGTCAGGCATTTGCGTGTCCTTGCTGTTGGATTCTGGACGTGTAAAAAGCCAAATTACCAATTCCCTCACGAGATAGTAGCAGCACGAGCGCATATGTATATCTTCGACAATACCAGATTCAAGCGCGCCATCACGCCGCCACCAATATCCCAATCCACACCATCAGGGGATCATATTCAGCTGTATCTACCCTCATACCACCCACCTACCTACCTACCCAGGTACCCTGCAGTATATCCCAAACACCCTCGAAGAAAACACTAAAAACCAACAAACTCCAAACCTAAATCCCACACAAACCCAATCACAACTAACCATGGATCCCGACAACGGAGACCAGATCGAAGAGCCCGTCCCAGCTACGGAGTAGGGGTTTACCAGAGCTCAAGCCATGGGTGGTTCCAGCCAATGGAGGGAGGGCTGGAGAGAAAGTCCAGGAGTTAGGTTCAACTGGGTTCTTTGTTTACTTGGATGGGGTGGTATTCAGCTATTGCGATGTTTCTTTGTTGGTTTGGACGCGTCGTTTTTTTTGATAATTTGATCTGCTCTTGCACTGTTGATTTATATTTGTTTTCTTCTTGCTGTACGGGGTGTATTGGTGTTTTTGAGATATGCTGATAGTATTATTCACTTCCCTGGTATAGGTGAGCTTGTTGTGGCTGGCTACATACATAGAGATGAGTTGGGTTTCTTATATCTGCGAATGGGAGATCCCCGGTGGCTTTATACCGTCGTATGGATAGACAAATAATAATCTCAATTCGATGCCTAATACTGCTCTTTTCTTTTTTTTTTACACCTTGTTCATTGCTGGTTATCTCCTATTCCTCTTCCATATCTTGGAACTAGCGTCAATACTCATTAGACTATATATACCAATGTCGATCCATCCGTTGGTGCCTATATCTGAGTCACGTTCTTGACCAGATTATTATGCCTGGATCTGGATCGGTCCCTTTTTTATTTTGGATTCTTTTATTGTTTTGGAACCTGAACCCCCATTCTTTGCGTTTCATTCACTTACCCAACAAAGTGTATCAAACCATCGGGCATGGACCACCGGTTCATCGGGCTAGAGTTTGAGGAGGATACCGCCGGGGTGGTGGCAATTTAGTGGATATTACATTATATTGGATTAGGACAGTGTGGGCACGATTTATATTGTGGACGGACAGACGGACGGAGGGGGTTGTGGTGGTTTTTTGATGCTGAGTTCGTGAGTGTCCCGCCCATAGATGGGATCGCTTGGATTGTCGTTTATTGGTTGTGCTTTTATATCCCTCCTACTTACCATCAAACAGACATCGGTATACACTTTCCAATATCTAGGATGGGCGATTCCGCCTCCGGTGTCATCCACGACCCTCTCACCGGCGCGGTACTCAAAAACGATCAACTGGATGGTATCACGGGGGGGCTGAAATACTCCCACGACCTTTTAAAAATGCTCCACGTCTTCTTCATCACAGTAACGTGGTGGAACGCGATCGAGCTGATGGTGCTAGTGCTGTCGACTTTCCGACGGCGGAAGGGGCTGTATTTCTGGAGCCTGGTTCTGACGAACTGTCTGGGGGTGGTGCCGTTCTCGCTGGGGTTCCTGATCCAATTCTTCACGAAGGTCAATGTTGCCGTGTGCACGGCTATCGTGTGCGTCGGATGGGTGTTCATGGTGACGGGTCAGTCGATGGTGTTGTACTCGCGGTTGCATCTTGTGCTGCGCGACAAGGTCGTGCTGCGCCTGGTGCTGTACATGATTGCCGTGAATTTCTTCCTGCTACACGTCCCGGATATTGTGGTTTCGTGGGTGGGTACCTTCACTGAGACTTCCAAGTTTATACGCGCTTTTAACGTCATGGACAAGATCCAGATCGTGGGGTTCACGGTGCAGGAGTTTATCATCTCTGCGCTGTATATTTGGGAGGCTATTAAGCTGTTGCGGCTGAGGCCTGATCGCCAGGACCGGAGGATCATGTACTATCTTGTTGGTATCAATGCCGCGATGCTCGTCATGGATTTGATCCTAGTGAGCGTCCAGTTTGCGAATTATTTTGCTATCCAGTCCACCCTTCAGGGGATGTTCTATAGCATCAAGCTGAAGCTTGAGTTTGCTGTGCTGGGAAAGCTGGTCGATGTCATTAACCATGGGTGTAGCAGGAATGGGTCGCTGGGGTACGCCATGCAGCTCTCGTCGTTGGATCGTATCGATGAGCAGCCGGGCGTAACAGCCACAGCGTCATCAGCTATGTCGAGTGATCCGAATGTTGATGACAGAAGACAAGGGATTATGTTGTCGGAGGGTAATATTTTCGTGACCAAGGAGTTTTCGGCTTGGGTGGAGCGGCGGCATCATGACAACTGTATTTTATAGTCTTCGTTGCTCCTTCCTCCTGTTCACGAAATCTTAATCGCTCCTTCCGTTCTTGTAATTTCACCTTGACATGCAAGGCCGGCTGAAGAGGATGTGTATTACATGAGCGATGGAGTCTTCGCAACCATGTATAGTTTTCTTCTTTTTGTCGGGCCGGGCCTTGTGGTGGATTAGTCTTTCCCCAGCAAGCCGGGATCATCACCTTCGACCCATCCAAACTCCTCATCGGAGTCCTCATCTTGACTATCCGCGACCTCATCAACCTTCCGTTTCCGCTGGCTAGTCGACAACGCGCCAGCAGATTCCTGCACCTGCACCGCGTCATGAGAAGGAACATTTTGTTCGACCCCTCGCAGCCCATCCTAAGCAAAATCAGCAAATCGTCCAGCCCACTCTAAAACCGCAAATACGTACCGTTTCAACCACAAACGGGACAATATTCTCCTCCACCCTCACCGACAAAGCCTTCCCACCTCTCTTCATCACCTCCGCAAACCGGATCCTCCCAGCCACTTCCTCGCTGTCGCCCGCAGGAAAATCACGGTACACCACAATCCGAGTATACACGCCGTTCTCCCAAGTCCCACCAGCAAGAACAGGACACAGCATCGGGCGCGGTTGGCCTTTGATCCTTGTGTGGGTCTGATCGACTACGAGCGCGACAAGACGGTGCGTGGTGGCCAGCTTGACAAGGTAATTGGCTAGCTCGCTCGTGACATTCCACTTGCGGTTCATGAGCCACTGGATCTGTGCATTGTCTGTAACTTTGGCCTCCGCGAGGCGGGTCCTCAGCTCAGTTGGGTTCGGGAAGTAGGCTGGGAATGGCTCCGACACCGAGTCGATGACTAAGAGCTTGGTATCCTTTGGTGGAAATCCATGCGGCGGGTGAGTTAGAAGTGCCAGGAGATGGGGAAGGGAGCGAGCGCGAAAGTAGGTTAGATTGTGCATGAGTTCTTCTGGGCTCTTGGATGGAGGCCCTTCTTTGGCCCCGGAGAGCATCTCGCGGAGCCGTTTTCGGGGGAGCGGGGAGCCAGCATCTACGAGTAGTTAGAATAGCTTTCTTTCAAAGAAAAACACAAATACTTACCTATCCAGACTACCCTTTCTTCATCACGGAGTACATTCGCTGCGATATTCAGTCTACATCGACCGGGTTAGAGTCTCGCTACGCATGAGGTGGCAGGCAAACTCACGCCAGTGACGTCTTCCCAGCACCCGGAGGCCCAAAGATTTCCGCAACATGTCCACTGGGAAGTCCCTTAGACGCCGTAGATTCCGGCATAGGCTCCGGGCCCGGCGGAGTCAAAGCCTTGTCCAGTTGAGCAAGACCGGTGGAGATTTTAGCAGTGGCAGACGCGCCCGACGCGTGCAGAGACTGTGACGCCGGGAAGGAGAATACGCGTTCTGTCCATTATGAGCATGCGTGTTGGTGATAGGGAACCATTGTAGACTTACGCTCCTGGCTGGGGAGACCGAGATAATCTGGTCCGTTCATTGTTGATTGTGGAGGAATCCGATGTTTATAATAGGTAAAATAACAAGAACTCGTGCTGAGAGCTCCTTGTCTCTCGTGTTCAGGGCCATCAGGGATTGCGTCCGTCTTCCATCACGAAGCAATGTAAGAAGCGATATGTAGGTTGGCAACAATAGACATCGATGACCCAATTACATTAAGCGCACGCTACAAGTCATCGTGTTGGTGCCAATACACGTGACTGTCCCATCAAAACTGCCGTACATGTGTTCAGCTTAGTTAAAGTCCTTCAACAACATCCGATGTGGTGTAATGGTTAACATCGCCGTCTCTCACACGGCAGCTCGGGGTTCGATTCCCCGCATCGGAAAATTATTTTGTTTTTTTCTTCTTCCTTATTAGAAATTATTCTTGGACATACAATCCTCAACTTGTATGATCGTTATATTTCTTTTTGATTTTTGCCCCAGATGAAACGAAGGTCGTACACGACATCTGCATTGATTCACCTCTCCCAAGGGGCGAGAATCATTAAAGCAAAATACAGATAAGGTCATGACAGACTGGAACTGAGAATCGTATAATCCGGAGACCAGTCCTTCGCCAAAATACGCCCAGTCCTAAACGCCCAAACCCGAATGTTTCCCATCAAATGCTCAATATGTGTTGAAAGTCTGGGCCCAACAGCGACAAACAGTTGCCACTTCCCCCCAATGTCATGCTCAAAGGAATACCTTCCGCGCTTCTCGGGGATGGCTTTCGCTGGGGCAGTATGGACACTTGAATCGGCTCCCCTTGCATAAGCGTTTGAGCGACTCCTCTGCGATCACATGCCCACAGGGCATCATCATCGGAGGGTTTTCGTCTGTGGTCTGCTCTTTGGAGACGGGGCAGACAAAGATGGAGTGGAATAAGTACGAGGGTGGAAGAGGGATTTCGACCTATTACCGCAATTAGCGACGTGCAGCGACGTAATAAGGATGTACTTTGCCTACCGGTAGCTCATTTTGCGATGTCCACTCTGTCCGCTTCGCCTTCATGATCGTTTGTAGCTTCAGTAATGTAGGAAGGGCGATTGCACCAGCAGTCGCAGCGATGTACAAGGGAGAGTCTGCCGAAAGTCCAAGCAACGAGCAGAACTCCCGCGTGAAAGATTGAGCCACATCAGCCCACGCTGACGGGTTGTTGAAGATGTTTTGATAAGGCGAGTCTTGGAGGTTTGGACAGAACGCCATTGCCCCCATAAGCTGCTGGACCTCTCGCAGGTAGCGGGGCAAGAAGACGTGGAACTCGCGCCGGGCGTATTCCAGAGCTGCCTGTCGCCCGGATGCAACGGGGGTCTGTGGGATCTGCCCACCATGGAACAGCCAAACGAACTGCAGCCGGCACAGTTCGAATTCTAGGTTACTGCCTCGGGCTTGTAGAATCTCCTTGTTGTCCCTTGACCACTGGATTGCGGGGAGCAAATTGCTGTTCTCCTGTAGCTCATGCAGGATGTAGTACATGGTGGCGAACTGTTTCCGGACCTCGTTTGAGGGCACTTCTTCGGGATTGAGCAGCGTCGCTGCATTCTCAGGTGAAATCGTTTCGGACCCCGGCTCTGGTACCCCCGTCTTCTTCTCTGTCATCTCGGCGAGGAACGTGGAGGCGACGGAAAATTGACCTTCCCGTAGAAGGTGCATGGCGATGGCTCGGTTGATGAGATTCTCGTGGGATGATAGGACGTCATGTTCGGTACTTGGGAGGGGTCTGTCTTTGAAAAGCTAGGAGCTGTCAGTTGAGGACCGAACCTGGCAATACGTAGCAAAGGGACCTGCTACCTTATCCAGCGATTTCGAGTACTTGTTCAGACCACTATGGGTCTCTTTAAGACTATCGTTGATTGAATCAAACGAGGATTTGACGGGATTCTGCAGCTTGGCCAGGGTGATAGACGCCTGGCTCGGATCTAGGAAAGTACATTAAATCAACCAGCTATCCTAACCACATGGACGTACGACTTCGAAGAACATACCAGCTGCGATCGCATCCCGCGCAGACTGAAGAAGATCTATGGTGGATTGAACATTCTTGGTCCCTTGGTTGGCTTTCAGTCTTTTGGAAAGCCTCTCGTGCTCCTTCTGAACAAGGTCCATGGTGGCAAGCGGGACGTCTGAAAGCGGAGACCAAGTTACCGCTCTTTGTCAGGCGGAGTGGAAATAGCCATAAGGGGACTCCAGGTCGATCGGCACTAGTATGGGAGGTGAAAACTCCAGAAAGAGTACATATGAAGAATCGATAAGAGACTATCTCCACAGGGTCGGTGCCCGGGATCATCAATCAGGTGGGTGGATGAGAGAGCCTAAATCCATCCGGCGGCCCATTACGCCATAGGCAAGTCACGTGGACGAACAGTCCCGTTCCACATTGACCGGCTCCGTTACCCCTCTCATCATATCACAGCTCTCTAGCCGTATCACAGTTCTCCAGCCAGTGAAGGAGTGAAGACTGCAGGGTTGGAGCAAACAATCACCATGTCTTGGAGGGTGCAGTGGGCAAATATGTTTCATGGAAGGAGAGAAGCATATGGCTCAAGTTGGGAGCTCAAGGCATCAATTGATCGGCTTGATGTACTACTGCTCTGATTTCGTGTCTTTGTTAGGAGACACGTTACTTCTTCCAAAGGCATTTTGATTCTGAAGCATTGAATTTGTTTTTGTTATTCAAGTTGTCGTGTGACATGGTATAAACACCCCCCTGTATGGTCGAGTTCTGAAACCGCCCCCCCCAATCTGGCGTACACGGACCAGTCGAGTAGGCCCGAGACCTAGCCTTGGCGGGGATTCACACCTCAGGCACCAGATATGGCTTACAAATTAGGGAGCAAACATCAACCAATGAAACGCGGAGGTTACAGGCTCGCTTACGCTAGCGCCATGCGGGTGCCTTGGCGACACTATAAAAGGGGAGCACCCCCCGCCCCCCTTTAAGATTTTTTTTCCTTTCTTTTCCCATCCTGGTGCAAGGGTTTTACACGTGTCAGTGAGGAGACATCCGAGACCGTGTTTTTGCTAGTTGAAAACTACCTAGTTTGACCACTCCAATTGGCCTTCGGGTCGGTTGGGAATTTTTGAATATAAATTGCCCTGGCTTGTATATTATACGAGCCAGCCACAGCTCTCACTGAACTTGAGATGCTGGAAAGAAACTATTGATCTTCTTTTCACTGCTGTTGTCATCCTTGTGGTGGCCTGTGGAGAAGAGTTTTTCGATGTATATCCTGCTGTGAATAGTTACATCACATAAATCGTAGTCCAAATATACTGTCAGCCCAGCGTCTCTAATTCATGATGTTCATGCTTTATTAGTCTGATAGTTGGTGCCCTGTACTCATCGTTAGTGCCATCCGCGAGTGGACTGACGATGCTTGGGTTGCTTTCATGGATTGATAGAATTCTGGCTCTATCATCTATTTTCCATTACAATGTGGAATGATGGTTTTGGACATGGCTAAACTGTTATTTACTGAAGCTTTTCATCACCATAACATGGCTATCATTTGGCATCAGCAGTCGTCCCTACAGTAGATAACCTTGGAGTAATCCTTTCAGAAAAGGTGATCCAAAGTAGACAGTGATCCTATGAACTTGAAAAATGAGAGGCATATCCTTGACAAGATACAATACAGCTTCTGCTATTACGGATAGAAGACCTGACTTTCCATATAAGACCTTGTTTGGTACGCGTCTACCGTAGAAACATGCCTCAGGTACAAATACCTCCGAGTGGATGATCAGCGGTCCTTTGATCTCTTCCTCAGTTCTTTGGACACAATATTACCAACGTTGAAGTTCTTCATCCTTTATTCTTTCATTCTTCTCCCATTTCCCTCTATTAATACTATACAATCAACCGCCATCTACACCGTTCCTATCATGAGCAGGATTGATTTCTCCCAATCCCTCCTATCCATGTTGTTATCGGGTCCTTAGTGTCGATCAGCCTCTCCAATATCGGCCCACGATTCACCACCTCCACGGTACAGTGGACCGACGTTGATAGCAATTGATTTGCTAAAGACCTCATATTAATCTCACTGCAGAGATATTTCCTCTTCAAGCAAGGATACCCGGCTCATTGGTTCGCTGGCATAGCACACCATGGCCGCGTCAAACAAATCGTCCCGGAGAAAGACCTCCAACTCCTCAGCTGGTCGCAAAAAGCGTCGCTCAAAGCCGCGCCCCTGGCCCCCGGTTTCAGACGACCCGCTCGAAAAGGTATGTCGCGCAGATATCTCACTCCCGACGAGCCCACATCGTTGCTCTTACATGCCGCTCCCGCAGCCGATGGACTAACGCACCTGCCAGATCTGTTTCAAAAAAGAGCCCATCCCAGAGGGATATGTCTTCGTACCCAAAGGAGACGTCTACATTACTCGGAATTGCCGGGTTAAGACCAAAGAGTCTAAGCAAACGGTCTACGCAGTCTATGTAAGCCGACCAGTTCTGCGCTGTGAACACCTTTCCGCCACGCAGCATTATCGACACTAACAGGTCACAGGACAAATCCAGCAAATGGTCGCTGGGTCTCCGCGTGCCGTCCGACATTTATGAAACGGTCTCTCAATCAGCGACCGAGACGGCGGATTCTCGCGCCAATGCTGTCAAGGTTCGCGACGAGCGGGATCAAGCGCACTCGCGCCAGCTCCTTCGCACCCAATTCCCGCTCATGCCTGAAGATTCCCTGGAGAAGATTCTCGATCATGCGTTCCTCAAGGGCTCCGGCCGTGTGGGACGAACGGCGATGAAAACAGATGCGAAGAAGGCCAATCTCGCCGTTGAGGCATACATTCGACACAATCTCACTCCCTACGATGCCCTTCTCAACGACGGAGAGGGGCGTACTGAGGCCAGAAAGGCCGTGTGGGACACGGTACGAGCTATCAAGGCTACGTGGGAGAGGAAATCCGTTGAGTCAGTGGATGTGGTGGACCTTCGGAGCCCGACACCGCCTGATTTGGATATGCAATCATCTGATGAGGACTGCCTAATGTCCTAGTTTGAGTGTGCACTTGGCCACGCCCGCGTCGGCGAAAGGTTGAATGACGTTACGATGAATCGAAATGACGAATGAAAACCACGAGACCGAATGCAGAAGGAGAATAATACTTCCGTCTATACACCATATATCACGGAAGGCTACAAACGATCACCAACGGCTCAGGGCGCCTCGAAGCCCGACTGCGACTCCTGCAATACCGAATACGAATCGATTTGCGAGATTGTGGGAATTGAATCTGACAACAAACCAGGATTTGCATGCTCTGTGGACGCCCAGTGTCTGACGTCGTCGCCGTCCAGCCCCAGCAGGTTAAGCAACGGGTCCGGCCAATCCGAGCTTCCACTGGAACCTATCGGTGTCATCGGCTCGGACGCATGGTTTTGTGTGGCCTTGATGAAGAGCTGGGTCACCACGCGTGCTCCAGATGAAGCCATCTCGCTGACCTCGGCGAGCATCTGCAATCGACGGAGTTCCTGCTCCGCCGCTTGGAGTGCCTTGCCGCGCGTCAACCGTCCAGCCTTTACACCCAGAATCACGCTATTATAATCGCCTTGGTCAAAGGGGAAGTCCGCGTGGCTGCAGAGACCGAGAAGGAGCACGATGGCCTCAAATGTGTTGAAGATTATGGCCGCAAAGCGCGTGTGGGAGCCGCCAAACATGGCGTGCAGTGTCGTGACAGCGTTCAGCTCCGCGAGGGCTGCCAGGGCCAACCGCCTCTTCTGCAACTGCAACAACACCTGTTTGTAAAGTGCGAGGCGGGCGGTCTGGGCGAGCTTGAGCAGCAGTAGCGGACGGAAGTTCCAACAGATGGAATCGAAGATGGCAATGTGGAGTAGCTGTCGCTGCATCGGTAGCTTGGACAAACGTGCGTCCCACTAGGTGTCCGGCTCCAGTCCAAATGCGGGGGGTACCGTCGGTAGATATTGGGCGCAGAACCTCTCATATTGTTGTTCGCCCTGCATCGGGTCGTACTCGACATTGCGTCGTGGTCCGAAGCTGCGCCAGAATTGACCCAACTACACTTGCATGAGGCGCTCGGTGAAAACCTCCGGTGCGCTGGCGTCGGTGCAGATATCTGGCACCAGACGCAACCGGGGAAGGGCCTCGGCCACTAGATTATCGGGGAGAAACGAGATCCGATCCAACTGTCGAGATAGATGGCTGTCCAGGACGTAGAGACTGCAGAGTGTCCTCCGCTCTATCTCGCTTTCCAATTTCTGCGCGCCATCTGCCCCGGGAAGAAGAGCGTCGGCGTGAATGCCCGCTTTTTGGGCCGCGCGACTGGACGAGGCAATGCCTTCCCAGAATCGGTTGATTCGGCCCTCGCACGAGAATTTGAGAGCGAGGAATAGGGTGTGCTGAACGCGCACCAACGACCCTTTCCAATCAATAGATAGGCAAGCTTGGGCGAGACTGTCCCCCACCTCGCTGCAGGCGTTGCTGATGTCGGCGAGGGAGACCCCGCCGATACAGTCCACCGTATGGGAAGGGGCCGGGAGAAACTGTGCGGCGTACGAGCCAACGCGGAGGATCAGCACGGCAAACTCGGCATCGGCCACTGTAGACGGTTGGCCTTTGGTCCACCATTGCTGATTCACCAGAGACCCCGACAGCACACATCTACGGTTTCACGATCATAATGGCCATCGGCACCGGCATCACCATGCAGCTAGGTTACGCCGTCGCCAGCCTCAAGGTTCCCCCGTCAGACATCTTCAGCGCCATCAACCTGCAGAACGTCGCCCAGATCGGTGCCACCGTCCTCTGTCTCGTCATAGCCGGCCAGGTGTTCCAGTCGACGACCGTGCGGAACTTGACTGGCGTGTTGGCAGGACGCGGGTTCAGCGAGACGGAGATCCATGGCGCGGTGGCGGGGACACAGAGTCCACTGTTTGAGAGCTTGAGTGGGGATTTGAGGGACGATGCTGTCGGGGCTATCACAGCTTCTATGCAAAGGGCGTTTGTCGTTCCGTTGGTGGCGGGGGGTGTGGACTTGGTTGGCTCGTTGTTGATGAAGAGGGAGAGGTTGTTTAAGTAAGTGGTATATCGGATTTGTCGGTTGTTTGAGGGTTATGGTTATGATCTGAGAGGATGATAAGATAGATTGATGTAAGTCATTTTTTCTGTAGGCAGATGGCCTCTATAGAGTATGTCGACGGCTAGCTCACAGTACCTTGAAAGTAGGGAAAGAGTTGTCTACTTGTAATGATCATTATTGCACATCTACAAAGAGCATAATATACTATACGTTTTGATGATTATGACACTTGGATCCTCTTTATGTATCACCAATTTTCAGGCTCTAAGACTATTGATCTAGTTTTATCAATTTTTGATTTCTGCTAAAAGTCGCTGTACCATTTATGACATCACTATATATATATAATACACGACAAACGTAAGGCATGTAATGATTTGAAGGGGGAGATTCACTAAGCATATAGGGCCTATCCTATTTTTTCAGTACTAAGATGTGTCAATATCCTGAGTATATGCCCACTTTCAATGTGTTGGCCACTGCCAGAAAATTCAAGCCACCGAGTTAAGTACCGGATAGTCTGGCATCTTCCACCCGCCCTCTTCTTCCGGCGCAAACCGCGCAAGGATGCTGGGAATGCGCAGCAGACAAAGCAGCCACGCGATCCACTGGATAATAGCAACACCCCACCGCGATTCAGGCATGAACCACCGGACGAAAGTGGGATTTATCTTCTGGACTTCGGTGATGAATGGCCTCAGCGTCTTGTCGTAGTTTTCCAGCGCCAGCGGCAGATTATCAGGGTTGCGGCTGATCTCGCCAGCGAGAACGTAAGCCCCGACGAGACCGACCGTTGTCCCCATGCCAGTAAACGGCGAGGGACAGTATCCGGCATCGCCCAAGAGGACCACGCGGTCCTTGTGCCATGTGTCGGTGCGGATCTGAACGCATTCATGGCAGAAGAAGTCGTCTGCGGTTTTCATCTCTTCCAGGAATCGGTCTGTCTCCCATCCTGCGCCGCGGAACCTTTGCGCGAAGAACGCCTTTTGTTGCTCGACGGAGGCTTTTGATATGCTGTGCAGCTCTGGGGAATCGTCCCGGAACATGAGGTAGACGCCTGTTTCGGATGATTCGGGGGATCGGCGGAAGATCAGTCGGCTGCCGGGACAGAAGTAGACATTCACCATATTGTTGTCGGTCTCTCGCCGGGGGATGTAGAAGTAGGCGATGTAAATCCCCATTCGCCGGTAGGGGTCGGGCCCGTTGGGCGGTAGGATGGCTTTTCGAATGCGAGAGTTTTGGCCGTCTGCGCCAACCAGGAGATCGAAGGTGTCAGACGTGTTGTCTGAGAAGTGAACGGTCACCCCATTCCCATCTTGCTCGAAATGTTCGACGGACTTGCCGAATATGTACTGTACGTTGTCTTTGGTCGCGTCGTAGAGTGTGCGTACTATGTCTCCGCGCATAATCTCGTACTCGGACGTCAAGGTTTGCGCGCCTTGGCCTGATGTATTCGCCATTGAGGTCGCAATTACCTCACCCTGCGCGTTCACGCAGCATGCGCCTCCTTCGCCCACGCATACGTCTCGGATGGTCTCGAGAAGCCCCATGCGTCGCACGGTCTCAATTCCCTGACCACGCAGGTCGATTTGAGCCCCCTGGGCTCTGAGAACGGGGAAACGCTCGACGACGACGACTTGATGCCCGCTACGAGCAAGGAACAGGGCCAGGGCTGGGCCAGCGCAGCCTCCGCCGCAGATGAGGATTTTGAGAGGTGCCATGCCAGTGGATTCTGCTTGTGAAGTTCGGTTTGGTACGAGATCAAGATTGTGAGGGATCACTCGTCATTTATAGTAACCATCTGGTAATGCTTGAACCATTCTAAGTAAGCAGACTATTAGGCACCAATGATTCACATATATGCAGTCTCTGTATAGACCTAGCAGTCATAGCTCGGCCCTAAATCCTGGCCGAAGCCCGAAGTCCGAGTCCACAGTCGGGTTTTTATCCTACTAGAGTTCGCCGGGATGCTGCAGACTTGACCTCAACCGGTGCCCGCGCATACCGCATACTCCGTATAGCACTCAATATTGTCATGGTTGCATTGTATGATCTGCATGGTATCCAAAACTCGGAGTTGAAGCAGTTGTATGTAGTTGCAGATGGAGAGTTGGCAGTTGCTTCACCGCTTGCTTTCCCGTCTTCAGGTGACGTAGGCAGCGCTCTTTATCGCTCTCTCTTGCAACAACCTTCCGATTCCTTCACTTCCCTCCCCCAAACAACATGTCCCTCGCCGATTTTCCACACTTGGTCCCTCCTATTCATATTTGACGTTCTACACGCTTTACTTTCTCTCGGAGATGCTATCGGTCTTGTCTCCCTGGCGGATCGTACAAGAAGACCCCTGGAGGGTCCACAGTTGACTTTGCTTCTGAATCTAGCCCCCTGAGAAGGACCGGGCCCATTGTTGAATTTCTTCTTTTCTTTCATGATATGACCTTTTAGGAGACTCTCTTGTGGCAGGCCCGCAGATTACCTGTTCCTCGACATGCCACAACCGACCGTTCCGTCCAGCCCGCAGGCAGTTCCCTCGTCGACCGTAACTCGCGAACCGACAAGGACCTCCGCCGGCACCAAAGAAAGCATTCAGATTCCTCGCCAGGGTCACCAAAAACTGGTTTTCACCGATCCCATCGCCTTCCGCTACCTCGAGGAGGACCCGTCAACGTTCGTGTTGCACCGGCGCACGGTCATACAAGGCTACGAGATATATGTGGTGGAGCAGTGGGCGTGTTCTCGAATCCACCCGACCTTTATTATCACGACGTATACGGGAGAGCCGTCCCACAAGGTCGTGGTTGGCGTGCTGAGTGTTCCGACGGACGAATCGACATGGTCCCCGCGGCTGCAATTGTACTTCAACGCCGTCACACAATGCCATGGACGGCAGAGGGAAACCCCGCTAGGAACACTGATCATCACGGATCTTAATTCATTTCCCTCGGCCTTGACGGTCATCCCGATTCCCGATGGAGACGTCGTGCGGCATCGGCAGGACTTTGTTGTGAATGAGAATCTAAAGCGACTGAACTGTGCTGGCCGGGCCGGGTTGAAGTTACAGCGCCCGACGGCAGCGACCGTAGCCAAGTTTCACCAACTCTACCGCACCAGCGAGAGAGTGCCCCTCTACAGTGCTGTCATCGAGTTGGTCAAGCAGTGCCAGATCGCCTTGATGATGTTTGGTGATTTGGCCCCGGCCTATGTGGATGGACTTCTGTGTGATGTCACCGAGGTTGCTATCAATGACTGGTGGACGGACATGGGCATCGACTTGTACAACATCGAACCCAGCGACGGCATGTTAGGCCCCACCACTGTTGCCGCCCTCCTGGGGACCCTGATGGGCGCGCGGAATCGGCTCCATGCGTTTGGGGCTCCGGTTGGGAAAGATGCGTTCGATATTTCGAACCTCAAGCGAGGTATCTCGAGTTTTCAAAAGTCGCAGAAGATCCCGCGGACGCGAAGACTGGACCGTCACACCTTGGATAGACTCCACCGAGCCACCGCCAAGGCAGCCAACCAGGAGGGCTGGACGGACACGGTGAAATCGACCATGGCGGAATTGGGTGGGCACGGTGGAGAGATGGTGATGGGTATGGTCCGCGGTCGAGAAAAAGGCGGCATTGCCGACATTGAAACCCTCGACGTGGACAACTTTGCGCAGCTGGTGACCGGGGCAAGGGCCAAGTGGCTCTGGAGAGGCAAGCCGCGCAAGGACGGGCTGGACAGTACTTTTGCGATCGATTCTCCGGCAGACGATATGACGTTGGCGACCGGTGATCAGGGTGGTTATCTTTGGACGAGCTTCAAGCGACGGTCGAACGAGGACTTTGCTCCGGACCGCCTGCCCGCGGGGTCTGAGTACCCATCAAAACCCCCGGAGCTCTCGCATGCCTCGGACGAAAAAGATCAAAATCTGGGCAGGATGATGCGACGGGGTGTCAGCGGGAAAGTGTCCGATGCGCGGATCGGCTTTGGCCGGTTCAAAGATGCGGTCGGATTTCGATCCCATCCTCAAAAGCCACTGCGGGATGGCACCGAGGTTGTCGGCGACACGGTGTATGACTTGCCGGTGGAAAGCGATACGGAGGGGTCGCACTTGAAAGCCGTCGCCGATGGAAACTACACCGAACCGGAGAGTATGCCTGGTCAAGAGGCACCGGTCAACGGGGCTGGTAATACCGTCGCCGAGCCAGCGCTGAATGTGCTTTTACCCAAGTCGTCTGATGCAGGCCCCCCAGCAATCAAGGTGGAGACTGTAACAACCCCCGACGAACCACCGGAGCCCGCAAATCGACCGGATAACGAACCAGATGACCTGGAGCGCTGGAAGACAATGTCTACCGACGTATCGGTTGACAATCGCGAGCCGAACGAGTCTGCGATCATGTCCTTGCGGCGTCCGCAGAGCTGCAATGAAGTCCGGCGAGAAGTCGAACAGGAACGACCCAGCGACCACTGGCCACGCCACTTGTCGTTCAGCACGGTCGAGGAGGTGGTCCTGGGGTGGGGAGACCTCGGAAACCGATCCCTTGACGAGAAACCCGATGCTCCCTTGGAGGAAGCGATCATGCACGAGGAGAACTTAACGTCTGATGTGCGGATCTTCTACTCTCGACTCCAGGAGTTGGGCGGCGCTACCGTCCCGTGGGTCGAAAAGCAGGTGGATTCCGTGGACGAGCTCAATCGGATTCTGCACGAAGACCATGAAAAGATCAACGCAAAGTACATGGACCGATTGGAGCGATATCAGAGCCTGCGAGATCAATCGTGTGACATTCTCACCGAGGAGCACTCGGGCATCACGGATCGGATGCGCCAAGTGGAGCTGATCGGAGCCAAGTTGGATTACGAAGTCCACGCGCTGGAGTCGAAGGTCGAGGACGTGGAGACCGGTCTGACGGAGTTCGAACGACATGTGAATGACATTGAAACACGCATCAAGACACTGGTCCGCGGCGACGAGGAGAAGCAGAACACCTCGTGGCTGGCCTGGTTGTCTAGGCTCGCTGGACTTTCGACACCATGAGATGACTGCGTTCATGTCATACATTTTTTGTATATCATTTCTAGTGTACATATATATTCCGAATAGACATCCGATATGCGCGCGATGAGCACACCACGCGCCTCATATCACGCATATGACATCCCCTTGAAACCACCTAAAACCAAAAGTAATATATCGTATCGTGATTTGCACCCGCAGACCGATCTACAACGAAAAAACAACAAACCGAAAACCAACCGAGTGGAGACTCAAGCACAAGACAAACAAGCAAGAGAAGTAAAGAAAGAAGAGGGAAAAAAGAATACATTATACACTGGGCCCTCTATCGGTACAAGCCCACATCACCAAGAGAGAGAGGTTTTTACATCTGCATGCCCATACCGCCCTGTCTGCTGGCAGCATCGCCCTGCATCTTCTCGCTGACCTTGATGTTGACGTCGAAGAACTTGCCGACGCAGCGGTCGAGGCAGACGGACTCGCCCTTGTTCAGCTCGCCTTCGCGGTAGTCGTTGGGGATGCATTTCTTGGTGCAGGACTCGGTGAGACTGAAAGTTTTTGAGTTAGCCGATCAAGAGTCGGACGATGTGGGATTTGAATCGTGGATATGGAGGAGCGCTACCGGTTGAACATATCGGAGATCATCTCGACTTCGGTCTCTGCGGCAGCAATCTTCTCTGCCGAGGACAGCTTGGGGGGACCGCCGAAGAGGAAAGACATGGTGATTGTTGGAGGTGGAGTGGGGGAAGTATTTAACTATGTTTCCTGTTAGTATGGTAATTCTTCGGACAGCTCTTGGGGGTAGACCAAGACGGACAAGTGGATAGATAGATCGTGAATGCGTTGAAGGTGTCAGTATGATGAATGAGGTTGAAGTCGCAGTCTTTCTTTTTGGCAGTCCCTGACCGCCTTTCCACACCGCCTCTGCGGATTTTTCTGCGGCTTTTCGGCCAGTCTCCTTTTTTGTTCCGCACAACAACCTCTTGATTCTTTCTGGATTTTGAGGATGGGATGTGAGCTCCCTGCGTAGACCGGTTTTTTCTTTACTTCACATTCTTCGCAATGATGTCTGTTCGCCCCCGGTGGGCGCTACAGCTGCGAGGGAATCTGCGACTCAGGTAAGGCTTAATATCCCCTTGTTGCCCTTGCCCATCACACATTTTTTAAAGGATGAGTTATTCCCTACATCAGAACCGCTGCATTGAGTGCTTGCATCCAATGCAAGCTATGAAACTGAACGGAGTTTGCACCTCTCTGACCCATTTACTTCACTTCGATATTCATGCCCGCATACAATTGCTAGAAAACAATATGCTAATGCTATTCGTCGTCCAGTGCAGGCTTTTCCCACGTAAAACACTCTTTTCACGCGCCTCTGCCGCGCCGGTCCACCCAGACAAGGTGTAGCAGTACCGCGTCTCCGGAGAGAGCTTTCCAAGACCGGCTGCGGGAAGTCCAGAACGCCTACGCAGAGTCGTACCCCCGTCTGGCTTCCGACTCCCGGTCTGTGAGCTGCGCGGAGTTCCGCGAGCGGTACAACCAGCTAGCCAACAATGAAACAGTAGAAGACCAGTCGGTCATAGTGCATGGTAGGTCGTGCCCGGGACGGGCTCTACAACGTTCGTCATTGTATATGTACTTAGATTAGTAGGAAGGATACGTACCTATAGACTTGCTGGAAGCAAATTGATATTCTTCGACTTGGTTCAAGATGGCCACAAGGTCCAGATTATGTGCAATCTGCGTCGACTCGAGGGGCTGTCCCGGGAGGAGTTTAAGAAACTGTACCGGCTTCTTCGCCGGGGTGATGCCTTTTGTATGTTCTTCTCTTTCTCTCGTCTCCTGCATGGCTGGGCTGAACGACCGCAATAGCTGTAACAGGTAGACCGCACCGGACCGGACGAGGCGAGCTCACGGTCGTGGCCACAGAGCTGCCCCAGCTCCTGGCCCCCTGCCTGCACGACGTCCCCCTCGATGCCACTGAACATGAACACTCGCCTTACCCTCGCCATGTCCAGTTCCTGGCGGACAAGACCGCGGCGGATACGATCAAGGCCCGCTCGGCTATCATCCAATATCTCCGTCGGTTCTTCCTCGACCGATCCTTCATGGAAGTCGATACTCCCATCATCGGAGCAGTGGCTGGCGGCGCCATCGCCCGTCCTTTCTATACAGCCGCGACGGAGTTTCCCGATCGGGAGCTGTCGCTGCGCATCGCGCCAGAGCTGTGGTTGAAGCGTCTGGTGATTGGCGGATTTGATCGGGTGTTTGAGATTGGTCCTTCATTCCGTAATGAAGGTAAGCTAATTATCTGGTCGATGAACGATCTGGTTGTTAACACAGGGCAGGAATTGATAAAACACACAACCCAGAATTCACGACCTGTGAATTCTACCACGCCTACGCCAACCTAGAGGACCTGATGACCATCACAGAGAACCTCCTCTCAGGCCTAGCCTCTCACATCCACGCCCTCAACCAAGATAACACGCTCACACCAACAACCGTCGACTTCACCGCCCCATTCCGCCGAATCGACTTCATCACCGGCATCGAGGAAAAGATCGGCCGCAAACTCCCCGACCTCGAATCCGCCGACGCCCTCGACCAAGTCAAGCACATCTTCTACGACCTCTCCCTAACCATCCCCGAGAACCCAACTCTTCCCCGACTCCTAGACGAGCTATGCGGCACATACGTCGAACCAGACTGCATCAACCCGACCTTCATCATCAACCCGCCCGAGTGTCTCTCTCCACTCTCCAAGTCCTTCGTACACCCGACTACAAACCAGCGAGTCGCCGCACGCGGCGAGCTCTTCATTGAGGGTAGAGAGATGGTGAATACGTACGAGGAGGAGAATTCGCCTTTTGAACAGCGGCGCAAGTTCGAGGACCAGCTGCGGTTTAGTCGCGATGCGAAGGAGCCCGGTGAGATGGATGAGAGCTACCTCGCGGCCTTGGAGTGGGGTCTCCCGTCTACCGGGGGGTGGGGTTGTGGCATTGATCGACTTTGTATGCTTTTCACGGGAGCCAAGCGCATTGGGGATGTTTTGCCGTTTGGGAGTTTGAGGGCTGTGACACGGAAGTCTTGAATGATGTAGATGAGAATGGGTTATATAGGCCCATGTCACATTTTGTATAGATAGTCCCGGACATTGTACTTTTAGATTAAATTCCACTACCATTACATCCAACTGGAGTATCAGTAGAGATGTAGCTGTAGTATGGTTGCATGAAGAAGTCAACATGGTGATCATACATACCAAGATATAGCAATGCCAAGACTTGATCGCCGATCCGATCCAATTAACCGTCCTGATCAATCCCATGGACTCAGAAATATACTCCGGACTTCGTCCACTGCCAACCACTGCAGAAACCGATATAAATGTTTAAATCCATCGCCCGCACAATCCCAGCCAGGCCCCTGCTGCGGCGCATCCCGCACACCCGGTCGCGGTCGATCGCAGACGGCGGCCTGCTATCCGGCTTCCTGCTCCCCCCGGTCCTCTTCGTCGGCCTGGGGGTCACGCTCTGGACGCAAAAATGTATAATGATGGTTCTGTTCCAGAACAAGATCATCTACATGCCCAGTATCCCGCCGCTGTCTAAATTCGAGACGGCGGGTGACTACGCGACTGAATGTCGTCCCGTCCGGTGGACAGAGGATTCGCTCGTTACGAAAGACCGCGTCCATATTTCTCTTTTGCTCGGAGAGATGCCGGATGAGGCTACGAAGACACCTCCAGAGGAAGTGGAGCATGTCGTTGTATTATATTTCCAGGGGTATGTCCTCCCTCCCCTCAACATCTCGGACATCCCCAGCTCACACCCCCAGGAATGCATCATCCCTCCCCCCACGCCTCCCATTCCTATCCCAAGCACTGAAAAAGGCCAAACAGCCCCCCTCATCCCCCCACCGAAAGATCACCATCGTAGGCGTTTCCTACAGAGGCTACTGGACCTCCAGCGGCCGGCCCTCCCAGCGCGGCATCGAGATCGACGCCAAGGCAGCGCTGTCGTGGGCCCTCCACAAATACGCCCACCTGCCTCGCGTGAAGATCGTCCTCTGGGGCCAGAGTATAGGCGCCGGTGTCGCGACAGGCTTAGCAGCAGAGTATCGTGCCAATCCGTCCGAATTTGCGACTGACGATTTACGCATCCCGATTAGTGGACTCGTGCTTGAAACGCCTTTCACTTGCATGGAGGACCTTCTGCTGGCGTTTTATCCGCAGAAGTGGCTGCCGTATCATTATCTGGGGCCGTTTTTGCGCTCGCATTGGGATAGTGTTCGTGCTGTGGAGAGGATTGCTGGTGTGGGTTTGGACGGGGAGATGGACGCCCAGGACGGTCCCACTCCCCAAATCCTATTACTCGAAGGCGAAAAAGACGAAGTCGTCCCGGCAGGAAACGCAGAAATTCTAGAACGCCGCTGTCGCGAAGTGAAGCTAGACGTACAGCGGAAAGTGATTCCCAGAGCGCTGCACTCAACCGTCATCATGGACACAACCGGCCAGCGTGCGGTGGCAGACTTTCTCAAAACGATTTAGGTATGTTCTTTTCGACCCTTTCGCCTCCCCCTTAATTAATTTATTGTAGTAGATAAGCCGGCCGTCCGTCGGTAAGCGCATAAATGGAGAGTCGGAATTCGGAACGGGCCGTACGTTAGTTTGCGCGCTGCGTATAAAAGCGCCAACGAAGTTCGTTTTTCGTGCGGGGAAGCAATCTCTTTCTCCATACTACTCTGGGCACTCTCAAGTGGGCTTTGTCGATATGGGTTTGGATGATATTCCGCAGGCCCAAGCGGTCACTGTGAGTTTGAAGGAATTGACTGAGGGTATGCATCGTTTTTACTTTATTGAGAATAGTACTGATGAGTGATAGGCACCGTCTCGTTCGATACCCTCACCGAAGCCTTCGGTCCCTCTTCTCTGGGCATAATCGTCGTCAAAGACCTGCCGTCTGAATTCGCGCGTCTGCGCGCACAGGTCCTCTCCAATGCATCATATCTCGCCGCTCTACCAGAGGAAGAACTCGGTATGACTACCACCTTATCTTCCACTAAAACAACCACCACAAACCAGCACCCCACATCTATATCACGGCGAAAACTAACACTCAAAGAATCCCTAACCTCCCCCCAAGCAAAATACCTCGTCGGCTGGTCCCGCGGCAAAGAAACCCTCCGATCCGGACACTTTGACACCCTCAAAGGCTCCTACTACGTCAACTGCGCCTTCTACCAGGACCCGAACCTGCAGAGCGCCCCGGCAGCCGACTTTCCCGATTTCCCAGAGTACACAGCGCCCAACATCTGGCCGCCTGTGGATAAACTGCCCACTTTCAAAACCAGCCTGGAGGAGCTATGCACGCTTATTATCGACACCGCGGCGCTCGTTGCGCGCGCTTGCGATCGCTTCGCCGTCGCTAATAACATCGAGGGCTACAAGGAGGGGTATCTTGAGCGGGTTGTTAAATCCAGTTTGACTACCAAGGCGCGACTCCTTCACTACTTTCCTTCTTCCACCACCACCACCACCACCACTCCCCAAGATAATAAAGAAGAAGAAAAAGAAGAAGGCGACGACGACTGGTGCGCAACCCACCTCGACCACGGCTGCCTAACAGGCCTCACCTCCGCGATGTTCATCAACGAATCCACCGCCTCCCTAACCCCCTCCACAGGCGGCACACCCCCGCTCACCGAACTGCCCACATCCCCAGACCCAAAAGCAGGCCTGTACATCCGGTCCCGCACAGGCGACATCGTCAAGGTTAACATCCCGCGCGACTGTCTCGCGTTCCAGACGGGCGAGGCGCTGCAGTTGATTACGCGCGGGCGGTTTAGGGCCGTGCCGCATTTTGTGAAGGGGGCGAGGGGGAACGGGGAGGGAGGGGATGTGGCGAGGAATACGTTGGCGGTCTTTACGCAGCCGAATCTTGGGGAGGAGGTTGATGAGGGGGTTACGTTTGGGGAGTTTGCGAGGGGGGTTGTTAAGAGGACTTATTGATTGTTGTTATTTTATCTTCTTTTTTCTGTCTTTGTGGGTGAGTTGTATATCTGGAGGAGGTTGACTGCATAGATGGGTACTGCAAAGTTGATGTGATCATGATTGATCTGTTTGTGTGGGTTAGATATCGTGTCCATTATGTATTTATGCTATTGAATACTTCCCTGCACTGGACAAGCTTGATGTTGGTATTAAACATGCTTTGGCCGCTTCGACTCCGGCACCCAATCCCCCCCTTCACTCTCCTCAGTCCCACCCCGAAGCTGATCCAAACGCGCCACAAACTCCTCCTCATCCTGCTCATTCATCTCCTCATCCCCCTCACTCTCCCTCTCATCCTCCCCATACATGCCCTGCCCAGACCCCTCCTCCGCCTCACTAACAGTATTACTCACATCCGTCCCTCCCAACCCCGTACTAACCAACTTACTCAACTTCCCCACCTCCGCAAAGCTCGACTTCGGCTTCGACGGCCGTCCAGGATCACCCGGGATCTTCGCCATGCGCATATCAACGGGGTTCGCATCGCCGTCGATGATCTTCAGGTTCGCCCGCCACATCTTAACGTCGCGCGTCTCGCTGTAATGGCCCACATCCTCGCCGTTCAGCGAGTCTATCGCGAGCGTCTGCGTGCGGAAGTCGCCCCAGAACCACGTCTTACCCTCTGCAATGCGGTGGTCTGCCCGTTGGGAGTATGCGCGCGCCTTGGAAACGCCGGCGGCGTCGAGCGTGCAGTCCAGCGTGCCGAAAAGTAGCTGCAGGGCGTCGGGCTCGTAGCATCGTCCGATGATCATGTCCTGGGAGACGGTTATGGTTTTGCCTTCGTGTACGCGGTACCAGCTGCCGTGGTCGGTCATGCCGAGGGTTTGGAAGACGTCGGCGACTTGGTCTGGGTTTAAAGGCTGGGGGTGGATGTCGTGGCGGGATTTGGGGGCGTGTTTGGCGTAGACTTTGCCTGAGATGCGCACTTTGTATTGCTCTGCGAGTTGGGGGGAGGTGGGGTCTTCGATGCAGTTGGTTAGGTGGAGGGTGATTTTGTCGATGACCATTATGTCTACTGGTGGGGTGCGCAGGCGCACGGCGTCGCCGATGGCTAGGAGCTCTGCGCCGATGAAGATCCCTCGGCAGGAGATGGAGGCGTTGGGCCAGGTTCCTTGGAAGTGGTATTTGTCGAGAAGGCTGAAGGAGGACATGATGGTCAGGGCGTATTCGATCGATGGGTGTAGCTGGGGTCGGGGGATGCCTTGTAAGAAGACCTCGTAGGCGTTGAACGGTTTGATGCATTTGAGAGGGACGTATCGGTAGTGGAGGGAATAGCTCTTGTCCATGCTGAGGGGGTCAGGGAAAGTCTCCACGCGAAACCCGGAGTAATTGATGCCTGAGGATTTAGGGGCCGTCTCTACCAGGTCTTGAAGCATGACTTCTTCCTCGGGGACCTGGCCGACGACGCCAGCCCGCCATTCGGGCGTTCCGTTGTACCGACCATCGGTAGGAGAGTAGATCTGGATGCTCTTGGTTGCCGGGTTCCACGCCAGCTCGCCCTCAAACCCAGTAGTCCAGAGAACAAGCTCTCCGACACGAGGAAGGTAGGCAGGCTGCATGTCCAGTTTTTCAAGGTACTCATCCAGTCGGGGCCGCTCTGCTCTCCAGTCCATACTGGCGGTTTCCTTAATCGCTGTGCTTAAGCTCCCACGCTTTCTGAGCTCTGCAACAGCCATCTTGAACACGTCTGGCGTCCCTTCCTTGTCGACAATGCCGGGCTCTCCGGAGTGCACAGGTCGCCCCGGTGGTCTGCCGGGTGGTCTACCTACCGGTCTACCAGGAGGCCTACCAACGGACTTCCGACTACCAGCAGGCCTCCCAGGGGGTCTTCCGACCGGTTTTGGACTCTCGGTCGATTTTGGAGTCGGCGTACCCATCGGCCTCCCCATTGGTCTCCCCGTCGGCCGACCACGAGGTTTCCCGCCCCCTATACAACAGTTTAGACTGGTTGGAAGATGGAAGTAATGGTCGAACTCACTTTGATCACGCTTCGCCATCTTCTCACACAGCAGACATTCGCAGGGACCAGCCCCGCCCGTCATGAGATAATAGAAATGCGGAAAGAACTGAATAGTGGAATAGAAGTACGAGCCATACGGGTGGCCGTAGAGAAACCGATCACGGATATCGGGATTGGTTCCGCGCGGGCGATCAATGAGAGCATATCCTTCCGGGAGTGTGTCGAGGACATATTTCATTCCTGGACAAGTCAACACTGCCCAGAGGGGAATATAAGACAAAATAACATGATGTAAAATGGGACAATTAATGGTTGAAGCCGGCTACGAGGATCAACACGAAGTCTACAACGCAGTAGAAACAACCAACAAAAGTATGTTCTCGAACAAGCTTGTCTTAGTTCATAGAAAACTACTAGTATACGTACCTGCCTCGGCAGCCCCCGTCTTCTGCAACCATAACGAAGCCAGCTTCTCCCGATAAGTGTGATCATCCGGTAGTCCAAAGCCCGGCCCCGTGGGCCAGGTGTTCTGGTCTCCATCGCTGAACGTTTGATCAATGGGGATGACCATGAAGTTCTCATCGTCGCCTGACCCCGGGGAGGTGGACATGTTGACAACGCTGAGGAAGCTGCTTCAAGTGAGGATTTGGAGAAGCGGTCTTCTTTGTCCTAGCGATAGTAGGGAGTTGGCATAATTGAAAAATCGGTACGAGGGAGAGTAAAGGAGAATAAACACTGTGGAAAAAGAGACCGTCTCATCTGTAAATCCAGAATGCAAGCTGGATGATGGAGAAAGTAGATCAAGATCATCCGTCCGGCGGTCTTGGCGCCCTTCCGACTGGACGGAGGTCATGTGATCACTACCATATACTCTAAACCGTGAGCACCAGAGAACGAGATGCTAAATAAAGGCAAGAAAAGTTCATACAAAAGATTAAATCAATGGCTATAAATGTCTAGCTAAATACATAGGGTATACCCTGCACAACAGTATCCAATCAGTCGGTCTCGGGCTGCAACTCAGCCACCACAGCCTGGCTATCGTCCTCGGACTTCTCCACGTACGGCGGCGGCGCAATTTCACCATCCGCAGCCCACACCTTGTTCAGCTCGGTCTCAATCTCCTCGCGGCGCTGCTTCCACTCGTCCACCTTATCCAGACGCTGACGCAGCTCTTGCAGCTCCCGCTCCACACCCAGCTTCTCCTTGGCGGTGCCGATCTGCTGGAACTCCCACTGGTCTCCGGCGGCGCCTAGGCCCAGACTCAGGTTGTAGGTGTGATACTTCTTGAGGGAGGCGCGGGTAGAGATGGTGATCACAGTTATGCCCCGGTCTTTGGCGCATTGGTACAGGAGGCCTTCGACGTCAGACGAGACAGCCGAGGTGCCCTCGTCGAGGAAGGCGTAGCGCGGCTCGTGGTAGAACAGCCGGGCCATGGCCATGCGTTGCTTCTCGCCGCCGCTGAAGACGTCCTTCCATTCTTTGCGGGCATCCCATCCGCCCTCGCGCGAGGGGAGATAACCCAGGTGCGCGTCGTCCAGGACCTTCTGCAGTTGAGCGTCGGTGAACCCGGCTTCGCGCATGTCGATCTCCGTGTGTGGGTAGATGACCTGGTCGCGGAGTGTTCCCACGCTGAGGTAGGGGCGCTGGGGAAGGAACATGATACCGTCTAGGCCAAAGCCGCGCGGGCGGCTCACGAGTCCGCGGTAGACGGGCCAAAGGCCCGCGACAATTCGGGAAATCGCCGACTTGCCCACGCCGTTCGATCCCGAGATCAGGAGGTGGTCTCCGGAGTGCACGACGAATGACAATGACTCGAGGAGCTCGTCTCCACCCATGGGGTAAAGGGACGGAGCAACGATGGGGACCTGCTCCAGACGCACACCGTCGAAGCCGTTGTGAATGGTACCTTGCACATCAGCTAACGAGTACAACTCGGCGTGTGAATCCCGCGGCGGGTAGTATGCGTCGGCATGCACCCGGTGGAGCGTCGAGATGAGAGTATAGACTCGGGAGGTGTAACCAGCCAGTTCCGAAATGTCCTTAATACTGTACATCATCCGGCCGCCTGCATCTGCCAGGGACAGCATCAGGCGTTTATTAGTAATGAACTCCTTCATGCGCCCGCGCTCCCGGCCAACCTCCTGGGGCGCATCGATCATCTCCAGCTCACCACCCATGCCACCCCAAGCGGGCAGGAAGACCGGCAGAGAGCTGACCAGGTAGCCAAAGGCAGACCAGGCGTATTTCAGAATCATATCCTCGATCATGTTGTATCGGATTTTGAGGCTGTAGATCCTCTCCATCCACAATTGAAGATCCTTGAAGCTTCTCATGAGGAAGACGCGCTCGATGTCGGCCCCGCCGTAAAACGAGATCTCCTCCGCATTAGCGAGCAGCCGCGAGTGTAGCCCTCGGAAGTCACCCTCCTTCTTTCCTTCGACCGCTTTCAGTTTCCCAAACGGCGGTGACAGCTTCCGTAAGACGACAGCGGTGCTGAAGTACGCCGAGAGCATTCCCGTCAGGGCCAACGGGCCTAGAGAGCGATACAGTTGGTAGTTGAAGACAAAGAGATCCACCAGAGGCTTGCCCATAGACGAGTAGAGGGACGCGGCGGCGGAGCAGAAGAGGGTGAGGTCCTGGGTGATGAACTGATCGGGGCCTTGACCGATGCCCCCATCCAAGTTCATCAACCGGTAGTAATTATCATCCTTGGTCAGATAAAGATCGTGGATATACCGCGTGAGGCGGGTTCGGAAGGCGATAGACACCTTGTGCTTGAGGAATTTGATCATCGCGTTGGTATAGGACGCGAGCGTCCCGATACCACACCACTTGACCACACCCCATGAGAAGGATCGACCATTGCCCGCCACCAAGTCTCTGACGATCTCACCGTCCAGCCGCGCGATAAGCAGCGACAGGTATGTCCGGAGGAGCAAGAAAACACCGTGTCCCATCAACAGTCCCGTTTCTTTGCTGCTCCAGCGGGGCACCATGATACTTCCCAAACTGAGAAACTGGTGCAGGAAGGCCAGATTCAGACCCGGCTTGGTGGTCGGAGGCGGGATCTGACTGGCGGACTCGCCCTCGCTCGTGCGGGCCGACCGGGGCGGATTCAAAAACAGTCTCCGGTGGGCATCGAAAGTGGTCAGTTTTGTTGGGGATATCTTGATCTTCGAAGTCGAGTCCCGGTAAGGGACGTAAATGGTCCGCGTCCCATCCTTCTCTCGGATCCCGGAATTTCGGCGGAGTAAGCGTCTCCCTTGGGCGCGCTCTTGGGATCTCGATCGCAGCCAGCTGTAACCGCCATAGCTTGACGAAACGATGGACAGGAACAGGGCGACTGTTGCGAGGAGTTTGGTTATCTTGGAGGAGCGGCTGAACCGGGAGCGAAGCAGTTTGGCGTAGTGGGAGAAGAGGCTCGCAAGGGGATCCTCCCGCGAGCGTAGCGTTGACTGGGCGGCCATTTCGAGGTCCGATGAAGATAATTCTCGGTATACTCTTGTGTCGTAGGTAAGGCCTCCGCCTTAGACTGAGTGCTCTAAGAGCCACCAACCCCCTAGAGCAGGGTGTCGGCCATGAGGGAGGCCTCCAAAGGATACACAGGATACACTGGGGGATGGGGAGGGGAATCGAGGGGTCACAGGTTGGATGGAAGTCGTTGCAAGGATATTATTTAGAAGTCAAGCCGGGTGAGTTGGCGACGGACAGAGTCAAGCATCTCCCGGGTGAGGAAGTTGTCGATCGGACAGTCCAGGGTTTGGGTGACGGCATCGCATGTGAACCTCGGCGTCCATAATGCGGAGGGACCAGCTCACGTGTATAGCCGGATGACTAACCGCAGAGGTCATTCAGCGATCAGCTACATGGGATGACTGTGGCCTTTTCAAGCTAATCTCATAGATATGAGGCAGATATTTCTGTAATATGTATAATATAAGATGCGGGGGTTCAGATTTCTATGGGTTGGGCACATTTGGCTGTATACAAGCGGTGCTGATGTCATTATTCATTTTCCTGGGTAATATCCGTCAGTCGAACAAACAAATAGTACCAGTATATGCGAGTGCAGCTCAATGGACTTATGGATCCTACTAAAATGTATATGCCGTACTTTGGTCGATGTTCGGCGGTAACTAGGTGCAGACGAAAATGAGACCACAGAGTGAAGTGTGATATTACACAGGCTCTGGGAAAAGATGCCGCGAGGCCGAGGCTGACAAGACCATTGGCTGTGGTTCCCCGGTAAGCGCCCGGTTGCCAGAACGGTCAAGCAGTGGAGGAGTCAGGAGGGCCGACCCCCAGGTTATATTGCCTTAGTGTCTTTAGTAGAGGTCCAGGAAGAACAGCTATTCGTGGGCCCTATGAAAATATTTGTCCTTGCGAGATCATCCTAAGCCCTCCTTTTAGTATGATTTCCTGCCATCCCTGGTACTACCCCGGGGATATTGTCGTCAAATCAGGTGTCATCTGGGGTCGTCGCGTAATGGTTGATTCCTCGTACAATATGGTTACCAGTACGATACCAACCGATCTTATGAGAGTATGCAAGACCGGTGTAAATATATGCACCATGAAATGACAGGATCTATGGATTACAATACAAACCAAGGAGACAATTGCTTACCTGTAGAGGGTGAGTTCGTCCACGGTCTGATCTCGGGTTCCACGGGTGGCACTAGGGTCACAGCACGAGGCCGCGCCCTTATGCGGCCCATCTCCCGCCGGAGGACAAACTTCTCGACAAGGTAGGAGATGAGAGCCTAAGCGATGCAGCTGACAAGCGGCAACTCAAGGGGGGTTTTAGAGGCCCTGCCTGACCTTGCAATGCAATGAAAATCAATATCTGACTCTGCGCACCGGAGCAGCGGTTACGCATTCTCGAGCATTTGGTTTCCCTGTCACCGATTGACTGTTCCCCCACATTATTGAAGGCATTGGAATGCTCTGGTGTCGAATTCCGCCAATGTCTGAACCATGATCACGCTGGAGGGAAGGACGGAGGATCCTGTCACAGCAACGGGAGCTTGTTTGGCGTGACATTCCCGAGGACGCACAGCGTGATACAGGATAATTGATACGGGGTGGTGGGCAACTAGTGCGCCTGGGCGGGTCCGCCATGGTCTCTCCCATCATCGGTCGACGGGAATCTCATCAAACGAACGCCTTCTTTGCTTGAAAGCTCTGCACGGACCTCAGAAGTCCATCGAGGTTCCTGATTTGCGAGATAGGTATGAACTGATTTCCCTCACGATAGAAGCTGGAGCCCAAATCAGATCGCCTGTCTGAGGGATACCGGATGATGGTGGAGAGTGGTATGGGGGCGGGCAAATCAATAGCGACGGAAAAAGTGGGCCACTAAAAAAAGGGCAGACGGCGCGGTTTCCCATCTCCCTCCAATGAGAAAGGGAGAAACAGCGATAAACCCCATCCGCAGCAGGCGCAGACCCATAGGGCACACGGCTTGGTCGTATTTAGACTGGAGAATCACGGTGATGGGTGATTGAGTCGGGAGGGTCTGGACAAATAGGAGGCTGAGAAGGCGGAATATCGTGAGGAGCTAGGATACCTTAATACTAGGATCTTAAACCAGATGGATAGAATCAGATCCCGTTGGGCTGAAAATAGCAATGATCGGCTCAATAGCTGTAATATTGACAGGCCTGGTAATGGAGGATCACCCGTCACCTGAAATAATTATAGTAAACTCCAGATATTGTCACGGGTGGAAGGGGGGAAAGGAGATGGAGGGCGGATGATCATCCTGATGATATACCTTGTCTTATCAGTTGGACCAGGGGAATGAGATTGCAGACTATGGAGATATCATGAAATTGAGGGAGGGTAGTGCAGCCATCCATACCACCCAATATAAAGAGAAATAATAAGATAAACACAACAAAATCAACCACAGGAAAGAGTCTCACGCCAAGCTTGTTTGCATCAATCTTCGATGTTGCATCGAATTATCAACCCTGACACTATTCGTAATTTCTATCAGCCGGCCACTCTGTACCCCTGTTTGAGTATCACCTGGTAACATTGATACATACCACCGGGTAGAGACTGTTTCGATAGATGAACATAAGGCAAGTTCTTTGATTTCTGATTACTCCAACTGAATTATTCGTCTTAGTGTCAGTTTCTTATTGTGTCTCCATAAAACATACCTGATTTCTCCTGGTGAACCAAAGTACCAGGAAAAACTCCGTCAGTCGACCCCAAGCGCCTGACCCACTTGGCTGTGTCTTGCAGTCCTGGGTCCAAGTCTAGACTGTAACTTGTGTATTTCCCTTTCATACAGGACAGTGGTAACATCCAGACATCTACATGACTCAAGACACCAAAGTATGCTCCTTTGTAGAATAACACCAGGGGAATGATATTGAAAGGGAGAATTATCATTCTAAGGTAGATTGTCTTTTCATTCTTCCTTCTCCCTCCATGGTTTCTACTTCCTCCCTTGTGTTTCGCAACCATTGCACAGGGCTAGTTAAGGAGGAATAACCATTAGTAACCACTTCATACCTGGGTTTGTTTCCAGTCCCTGTCCTCCTTTATGCCCTTCTTTTCTTCCCTCTTCCTTTTTGACATTGGAAGAAATCTAAAGCAGGGAAAATATATCATTCACAAATCATACTATAATACCCACCAGCTGATGAGGTCTCATACTCTCCTTCTCATCTCCTCTGCCTGCTGACTGGCAACTGGCAATACCAACCAGACCAAGAATACCCACTGGAACGAAAATTACCACATTACCAGGCGGAATTTCACCACCCCAGGAACCGCCACGTGACCCGCCCCCCCTCGAGCCAAATCGCCCCCCAGTCTTTTCTGACTCTTGACAGTCTTGAGTCTTCCCAAGTCTGGATTTGCGGCGTTGCTCTTTTTACGCCGAACAACCACGATCTTTTATTCCCGAACTGGTCTCATTCCACCTTATCTTCCCCCCCCCTCTTGATCGGCTCCTTTTCCCTTCCTCCCCTGGTGACTGTTGCTCCAACTCTCTCCTGTCTGATCTCTCAGTTCCCCATGAGTTGTTAAACAGTTGATTATCACTCTTGTTGTCTGGTGACCATCACTCGGGCTTGAGAGAGTCTCTGGGCTAATCGATATCCTGCCCCGTACACATTGGAGCCCGGCCCCCCCCCATTTGCGACTCAACACCACTCTTTCCTTTCTCCCAACACACACTCTCTCTCTTCCTCATCGCACAGCCGTCGCATCTGCTTTCCGGTCTATTTTCAAAGAAAACAAAGGCCAAGAAAGTAGGCAGTGGGAGTGCTGGGCACTAGCCTCAATTCAGGCGGTGGTCCGGGAGCCAGAATCTCCTGCTGTGGACTAGACTAGTACAGGACCTAGTGCCTACTTACCACGACTAGCAGCTTAAGCCAGAGCAATCGACCGCCCTTCCAACCCCCCAACTCCTCATCCAGGAGGTGCGACTTGAGCTCGCTCTACTTTCGAGCCCGCCCCATCTTTTATTTCTTTTTCTTCGGTGGATTCCCGGCGGTCATCTACCTCGTGCGCTTTTCCCCTCTGTGCCACTCCATTCCAACCTTTTGAGGACCGTCTTGTCTTCGCGTGAACCTCGCTCTGCACCCTCCATGCCCCGAGGGACCTCAGAGCGGGATTCGGTACCATCCAACCCTCATCCGGCCGTTGAAGAAGCGCCCATGCCTGTCGCGACGGGCCCACCCGTATCAAGTAAGCTCCTCGTCCCTTCACCATCAACTCCCCCTATCCTTGCGCCCGACGCCCGCTAATTCATCTGTTCTTTCAGCTCCTGAATCGGGGCCGCAGGAAAATGATACCCTCGCGAGTGCGTCGCCACCGTCAAAGTTGTTAGAGACGCCTGCGGACCCGGCTCAGAACCCCGAGGCTGCGTCCACTTCCAGTGGCGCCGGCACCTCCAGGAGACATCTACTGTTACCCATCTCGTCGCGGGTGTCGTTGAGAGCCGATCGTCAATCCACGCCCGACCAATCGCAGGATGGGACCCACGACGATTCCGAGAACACGCTGCGTGGCTCGCGGAGGAGTATTTTAAAGGGCCACCGTGATCGAAGCCGGGGAAGTAGCATGCGATCCCGGCGGCAGAACCAGGAGGAGGCCAGCGTGGAGGAAAACAAAGCCACGGCGACCCCCGAGTTGCGCGATGCGTCGACCGATCGAAAAAGCAAGGTCTCCTACCGGATTTTCGCCTTCCTGAGCTGCTGCTCGTCCAATGTCGATTCGGAGGACAATGCGATTCCGGCGAAGATGAAGACGCCGCCGCCGCGACAGCCATCGGTTTCTCACACCCAGCCCACGCCCGAGAAGGCCGAGACCAACGCGGGCGACGCCAGCACGGCCCAGTCTAAAGAACAGAGTTACTTCAGAGACGAAAAGCCCAAGTCAACCGTGACACCCGATCAGCCACCGTCTCCGGTGGCGGAGGAAGCGTCCGCAGGCCCCGACCGCGGATCGCAGCTGGACGGCACGGCGTCCACGCCAAACCCGCCGGAGTCGACGCAGTCTCCCACCCCGAATCAAAAGGAGGTCACTGTGGTACCCGGGCTAGAAGAGGTCCCACCTCCCCCTAGCCCCGCAACGGTCGAGAAGCCCGAAGAACAGCCTCAGGATCTCGCCGCCTTCCCGGGGCCGCCACGGAACGGAGAGAGTGCTCCCGTCGGCGTGCATGCGACACCCGATGATGAAGAGGTCGGGCCCAAGGACGAAGTGAACTATCCCGTGCATCATGAAGACCAGACGCAGACGGAGCTACCTCCTCCTCCGCCGCTACCCCTAGGCCCTCCCGGCAAGCAAGCGCTCGTGCAGGAGCGGTCTCACTTCCTGCTGCCTCCCGCACTTCCTCACCTGCGGGATCGAAAATGCCTAGTACTGGACCTGGACGAAACCCTGGTCCATAGTAGTTTCAAGGTAGGCTCCGTATCTGGGAACCGTCTTGAATACCCGACTAATCACCGGCAGCAGGTCCTTGAACGTGCTGATTTCACCATTCCCGTCGAGATTGAGGGGCAGTACCACAACATCTATGTGATCAAACGGCCTGGAGTCGACCAGTTTATGAAGCGAGTTGGAGAGTTGTACGAGGTGGTCGTGTTCACGGCGTCTGTCTCCAAGGTGTGTATCTCTTGAACTGCGGGTTTCTCGGGTTCTTGCTAACATCTTCTAGTACGGTGATCCTCTATTGGATCAATTGGATATCCATCAAGTCGTCCACCACCGGCTATTCCGCGACAGCTGCTACAATCACCAGGGCAACTATGTCAAGGTTCGTGGCTCGAGTGCCATCCTGATCATCGGTTTGATTATAGGTTGTTAATCTTTTTCATAGGATCTCTCCCAAGTTGGTCGCGAACTCCGAGATACCATCATCATCGACAACTCCCCCACGTCCTACATATTCCACCCCCAACATGCGATACCCATCAGCAGCTGGTTCTCTGACGCCCACGATAATGAGCTTCTCGACCTCATTCCTGTCCTCGAAGACCTTGCCGGTTCGCAAGTGAAAGACGTTAGTCTGGTTCTTGACATTGCATTGTAATGTCTGTAACTCTAGCATGTCTGGCATTTCCACACAGCGTTTTTGATTTGAATATTTCCCCCCTACATGCACAGCCCGGATCTTAGAGGCATTTCTTCCCTTTCCTTTGTTCGACTACTGGATCTGTCGGCCTCGCCCTGTTGGTAAGCGTGCGATCGACAGCGACGTCCGAGTGTATGTGTCTTACTTTTCTCCCGTTCCCCTGTGATAGCCATGTCTTTTTTTTTTTTTCTGCCACGCTCCCAGCGAGCCGATACCTCGATTCCCTTTTGATTTTGTTGTTCATTCCCATCCCTGGCCATTCCCCCTTCCAGTTCTGCTTCCCTTGTGTTACTTTTTCTTCCTTTCTTTTTTCCCTTCTTGCATCCCGCAGGCGTCTGTCTTGGCCCCTAGCCAAAATTCTTCTGATATCATGTATACACGCGTGATTTACTCTCTTTTGATTCTCATCTGTCTTTTTTTATCCTCTTCCCTCCCCCTCTGTTTTTATTTCCCTTGAGTGGGACCGAATCGCCCCGAGCGGCTTGAACTACAATCAAGATTTCCTTCTCAGTATCTGTGATCACTATTCAAAACCCATTGTGTTTTTTCTTTCCTCGATTTGTACAACTCGATTTGTTAGGAGTGTTCCCTGCAAGGGAGGGTACGTCCCTGTGATCTCCACCCACCTGTCCCCGTAACTCCTGACCAACCACCTCGGATGTAACCATCGCGGCAGAATCCAACGATCACCGAATGTACATGTATAGTAGTACACCTTGAATCCATCCAAATCCAGTAATCCATACCAAGTCGGTAAACTGCTCACAGGAGGTGATGTGAATGCGGGGGACGGGGGCCACAATGCTATCAGGCAAATCATGATGACGAGCCATGGGCAGCAAGGCGCGGTAGGTTGGATAGGTAGGTATCTTACATGTCTCAGTAGGTGAGAAACGATGGACACCCCGCGGTCCAAAGTCACCATCCAGGAGGTAAAACAAATGGCCAAGCCGCGCAGACATCAGGATCAGAGATGTATTGTCTTTCCCTTAAGCGAGTCGAGCAGTGACTCCAAGTATATGTTAGAGTTGGTTAGTAGATAGGTCTATTCCTATGTCATGCTCGCTTCTTAGTATAGACAAGATAAACCAGGTCAGGCCTCCTACTACCTTTAACTTGAGAACTCCTCAGAGTGCAGATGTCGAGCCTGTTACTTCTTATCTAGTATAGACTTAGATCAGGCATCCTACTAACTTTGATTTTAGACCTGCTCAGAGTGCAGATGTCAAGCCTGTAACTTCTTATCTGGTATAGACCTAGATCAGGCCTCCTACAAATAAAAGCCTTCTTGAAGTGCATCTTTCAAACCTGATACGTCTTAGCATAGATCAAGCCCCCCACAAATCAAAGCCCTCAAAGCTGGTAACTCATCACTCGGTCAGTTATCGCGCTTCATGTCACCTTCTCCTTAATCTATATATCGAAACATATAGGTAGTGGACATAACGGTATATAAACAGCCAAAACCCCACCGTCTTCCACCAAAAATCACACCTTCAACCAACTCCCTCCTCTCAATACTTACCTCTACAATCCAACCATCCAACACCAAGCCCCACCATGAAATTCTCCAAGATCCTCGCCGTCATCGTCCTACCAGCGTCCATAGTCCACGCTGCCGCCGTGGCTGTAGACCAGGAAAGCACCGGCCTCGAAGCGCGAGGCTGCAAATGGAAAAATTGCGACGACTGCTATGAGAACGACAAGTACTGTGTTTTCTGCAACAACGGCGGCGGTATTGGCGTCTCTTGCATTGTTTGGTTTGTCTTGCTCTTTTTCATGGCCCGGGCTTGCCTGTCTTGTTATAGCGAGTAGTATTTCTAACTAGAAGGTTTTATAGCATGTCCCACTGTGATTCTTGCTGCTGAGCGGAGTGGCTGGTACGGGGGCTTTGGTATGGACTTACCACCTACATATCTCCTGGGGGATACGTCAGGTTGGGGTGGTCAAAGCCCTAGAAGAGACAAGAGAAGGATTTCATGTTCTGTTATATGACGAACTGGAAACTCCCTGCCTTGTTTGTTGACTGGTTATCTGTGTCTGTATTTAGCTACACTCTTTAGTATATCTTATTCTACTCTTTATACTTGCATAGCAGTGATTATAACTACCAATACGCTGTACTTAGGAAAGTTAAATATAATAGGTAAGGTTCTATTCATAGTACACTTTTAGCTAATCCTCTCGCTATTGTAGGTTACAAGATAAACTTGTCATGCTTGCACTTCTAATCGGCATGTTCCAGGTAAGAGCATGTTAGGCAGCAGTCTCAAGAATCAGATAATGATAGAACTGCGTCAGTCTCAGACACCACAGGCTTATCCAGCCATGCTAACTTCACTAAAGTACTCCCAAGCCGCTCTCACCCCGCAAACTCATGCAGGGCCCCCCGAGAGCGGGGGCAGCATCCCCGCGGGTCCGCCACGATCTAGGCGGGGTCGGTGACCTACAGTAGTGGCGAGTCACCCGGCGGCTCTACCGGTTAGATTGGGGGCCTTGATTGGAAGAGTCGCAAGTTTGGATCCTGTAGATTTTATAGAGCTATATTAAAGAAATCTAAGGTCTCTCTGAAAGATTTACACTGTTGCTATAAAGACGCATTGAATTAAAAGTCCCTCTTACACATCTGTCCCTGTTTGTCTTGTCAGTTTGAATCATATATATACTACGCGTGCTATGACGTTTGCGTACGGAATAGCCTATTTAGCTACGTACACATCTCAATTAGTCCATAATTTTTGTATAATCAATTAAAAAATGATTATAAATATCAAAAATCTTTCAATAATAATATACTTATATATATCAAAATAATAATATAAATGAGAAAGTCTTATACAAACTCAAGTATCTTCGCCTGAATTGTACTCACCGCCCGGTCTAAACTCCGAGCATGGCTATCAGGACCCTCCACCATCAGCTAACCCGCTAGCTTCTCACCTACTGCGCAAGGAGCTTTCCCCCGCATCGCATCGCATCACACCACCACGTCGAACCCCACCAGTTGACCTACACGATAGACTCTACGAACGGACAGATCAAGCCCTACACAGAAAGGAAAAGAGAAGAACAAAATGAAAGACAGCAAAGGATGGGACGGCAAGCTGCGCGTCGGCGATGGCCCCAAAGCGATCATCACCAACCCCGAAGCCCTGGAAGATCCCGATTACTCGGATGAGGATGCGCCACCTGTGGAGGAGATAGAGGCCGACGAGGGTATGTTGTTGTTGTTTTCTCCTGGGATAGGATTGAATGGAGGCGAAGTGGGGTTTGGAGGTTTGTACTGACGCGCGAAATTTTGGTAGATTTGTTGGTGGATGAGGATGTCGATACTGAGGTATGAGAACTCGTCGCTCGTCACTTGTCTCGTGGGCTTAGTGTTCGAGCTGAGGCGCTTGAGAGACTTTTGCTGATGGGAGTAGGAAATCGATTTGGTACATTTTCGCATTAGCTCTATCGCTGCGTTGCGGTTGGAGAGGTTTTCCAAGGTCAAGGTTAGTCTCTTTTTTCTTTGTTCTTTAGACACACTCGCTTTATGTGCAACCTCTCTATGATCTGGACTATGTACATTGGGCTGACTTTACAAGCGTCTCTGTCTCCGACAAAATCAAATCCAACGGATCGCGTTCCCCACCAACGTCGCGCAGTCGCTCATCGAACTCGACCTCTACGATAACCTCATCGGCCACGTCAAAGGCCTCGACGAATTCACAGACCTAAAGAGTCTCGACCTCAGCTTCAACAAGATCAAGCATATCAAGAACGTGTCGCACCTAACGAAGCTGACGGACCTGTACTTCGTGCAGAACAAGATCTCGACGATCGAGGGGCTGGAGGGGCTGACGCATTTGAGGAATTTGGAGCTGGGCGCGAATCGCATTCGAGTATGTCGCCCGTCCCTGGTATAGGAGAGACTATGCTGACGGGTTAGGAAATCGAAAACCTCGACTCGCTCAAGTCGCTAGAGGAGCTGTGGTTGGGGAAGAATAAGATTACTGAACTCAAGGTATTACCTTCCCTTTCACCCCCGCCGCGTGCGCAAAGAAATATCTAACAGATTAGAACCTGGATTCTCTATCAAACCTCCGCATCCTCTCCATCCAATCGAACCGGCTCACCAGCCTACAAGGGCTCTCCAAATTGCCGAACCTCGAAGAACTATACGTGTCGCACAATGCCATCACCGACCTCAGCGGCCTGGACGCCAACTCCTCGCTGCGCGTCCTCGACATCTCTAACAACCAGATCTCCAAGCTAGAGGGGCTGTCCCACCTGACGCAGCTGGAGGAGCTGTGGGCGTCGAACTGCCAGCTGGCGAATTTCGACGAAGTGGAGCGCGAGCTGCGCGACAAGGAAAAGCTGGAGACGGTGTACTTCGAAGGTAACCCGTTGCAGATGCGGGGACCGGCTGTCTACCGGAATAAGGTGCGGTTGGCTATACCGCATATCAAGCAGATTGACGCGAGTACGTTTCCCCATCTGGTTTTGAAAAACATGAGCTAACCTGGGACTACTAGCCTATGTACGAGTTTAACCCGGCAAATTGGACCGAAAGAGAGGAAAAGGCAGGACTGCAATCAGGCATTTTACACGTGGGCATCTATATTAATGATATAATGACATATCTATACGAACAACAAGTAGGGGTATCAAATGTAACAGCATCAACAACAACAACAATAACCAAACCACCCAACCCAACCACAAATCAACCAACCCTCTTCCTCCCAAATGAAAAGACACATCCCCTAGAAAGAAGCAGGATCATCCCCCTCAACACCCCGACCCGACCCATTCCCAGAAGAGTCGAGACCCTCCCGATAAAGCCCCAAAAGACTCACCCCCCCCAACCTCTCCACCTCCCCCATAACAGCCCTCTTCACCCTCCCACTCTCCCCCCTCTTCCTCGGCCCCGGCTCATCCGCCAACGCCGCAAGCGGCACCCCCGTATTGCGCATGAGATCCACATGCTGCGCACAGCGCTCCTCCACGCGAAAGGCCGTATGGAACGGGTTCCGACGCAGCGAGGACTCGTGGTTATGTCGGGATGGTTGGAGCGTGCATGTTAGGGTTGTTTGCTCTGGCTCTGCTTGTGGGGAGGAGACCCCGGGGCGGGATGAGACGGGAGAAGAAGTAGGATTGATGGGGACTTGAATCGGCGAGGCCTGGAGGGCGGTTTGTGCGGCGGTGGGGGAGTCGAAGATGGCGAGGGTCGTGCCTGTTTGCGTGGTGGTTTTGTTGGTGTTTGTTGTGTCGTACTTTTTGTTTATATTTATATTAGCCTTTTTCCACATGGAGAGACGAAGATGGGAAGAAAGAGAAGGATACCTTTAGATTGCGAAAAGTAACCACTTCTCCGAATCGCTGCAGCGCGGCGAGGATGAGACGGCTTTCGGCGAGCGTGCGCGGAGACGGCGACGTGGTGATGTGGATTGATTGGGGGGCGAGACGGGTCATTCTCTTTCTTGATTTCTTTTTTCGTTTTCTCTTCCTTTGAATTGTTGATATTGTCTTGTTGAGTTGGACAGTGGATTGGAGAATTTGGATGGAGTGCGGAGGATTGGAGATGTCTTGGCGTTTACCTATCGCAGATAGGGTCAGGTGACTTGGGGTCTATACTACACTACTATACATACAAATATACGATATAACTAGACAAAGTTCTATACTTACCTTATTCAAGAATACTTATTAGGTATCTAAAGAAACTGCATTGAGGAAGAGTTTGTTGAAGGCTGGGTAGAGAGAGTGGTTGTCTGACAAGACCGTGTGCCCCAGCATCATACAGGTGAAGGCAGAGAATCAAGCGAATTGTTTGACGCGGTAGCAACTAGGAGCTCCAGTTTCCTCGAGAGTAAATCCAAATCTCCCAACCTCCTGGTGCAAAGCTGACGCATCATCATACTATCTCAGCCGCTGCACCAAAAATGCAGACCAGCCCTATAGGAGGGCTTGACTTGATTGATATACCAATATACTAATATCAAGGCGAGTGACATCCTGGTCGTTATGGACAAGGCGGCGGATACTTGGGAAGTAGCGATAGATGCATCTCCAGACCTCTCCGTGCGCACGTCACTCATCAGCATGAAAGGAACCTAGAGCAAGCGGGATGATGTGTACCGCATCAAGGAGGCACAGGTGTCGTCAGGCGAGTTCTCATGACCTTTGAGCCACGTTCTGGTAACAGCAGAGCAATACTCATTACACTCAAGGTATTTCTGCCGCGTGTCCATTTGGCGTCTAGTGACGGACTCGGACTCGAAGTCCAGGCTGAGTTGATCCTCCGCTGATTACTCAATTCCCAAACATAGTGACGGGGTGAAAACTGGTGTGCTCCCACTTTATGCACGCACCGGCCAAAGTTAAGTCAAATCGATATGCTTATCGAGTTGGCGTAGTCTATTGTCATCGTAGCAGATAGCAAGTAACTCTCAATGACCGCCACACCAAAACGTTGGTAAACGTTTGGAATAGGGCTTAACCTGGCTGATATACCCGATAGTATTCTGGTGTGGCTGCAATATATTAGCAGGTGAACTCCATCTGGTCGTCATTCTCTTCTTCGAAAGTAGCCTCCTGTCCGAGCAGACACAGGTAGCTCGGGTGGCTGGATTCTGCCTTGGCCACTAGACCTCCATAGTAAATGTGCCTGTTCACACCATCGAAAGTGGTCCAGAAGACCGTCTTGCGCATATACTTTGTCTCGAGCGTCGTACCCCCATTTTGTACCCCTGGTGCCGATAATATCTTTCTCAATGGCAAGCTGGCACCCGGCACATGAAACTCCGTGCTCAACACTGCCAGTTTCTTTATCGTAATAGGGAAGTGCACATGACCCCATGAAGTTAAACTTTTGATGTCGGTCAGAGCTCCCTGGTTGGACTTGCGGAAGTGGGTGCGATTGCGGTCTGGAAGCTAAAGCAGCCTGGTGAAGAGAAACGAGTGTAATGCGGGAATTCTGCACAGTTTCATTCATCGAGTATATTCCAGGCAAGGACTTAAACGACCTCAGTTGACCTAATTCAGCATTGGCCATGTGTAATTGCTTTCGGACCGAGGCAAGAGTCCGCACTTGTGTCTCCGGGGACTCCTGGAGGCATTTGAAACAGCATCGCGTCCAAGCTAGTATGGATATAAACCCGCTAAATTCGCCACAGAGCGTGCATGCCTTAGTACATAATGCCTTGTAAAAGTCGAGTAGAGTAATGTCAGTGGCAATTCGTGTTCGTAACAAGGCGCAGAAAAGGTTCAGTCCATGCGAGACAACCGTATGATACTGCTTGAGGGAGTCTACCATCTGCCTTGATCTGAGATTGATCTGTCGAAATCTGAACAAAGAATACATGTCTAGAAGGTACAAGGTGTCAAACAGGAGCTCGAGGGGCAGCCGATCGAGGGAGCCAAGTCCAGTCTTTGAAATCCGCTGGAAGGGTGTTGATATTGACGGACGAATCTCATTGTGTTCCCGATGTGAGTACCATATTACGGACAGGCAGAAGTCTTTACGGTGATAGGCAGTGGTTCGAATAATGGCGTCAGCTTGTTCTTTGTCGAAGCGAAATTCGGTGGCAGAGCAATATCCGCGGGGCATGAGCGAAGCCATCCTTGAGATTTGGTGGTACGCTTTAGTGAAATGTGGAGTTCGGCACGGACCGTGAGGCTATAGTGCCCCCTTGAACGATCCGAGGAGGCTAATGTGTCGTTCTGAACGACGTGATCATTCATGAGAGGAATGGCCATGAATAATTGCACAGGGATTTCAAACTGCTAAAGTTGAGACGGAAAGCCAACCAAATTTGAGAATAGTAAGTATTTACTAACTCAAAATTTCAAACCCCTCAAGTCTTGTCGGAGTTGGACCTCAGTAGTCGCAGTAATGAATAGAGAGGACAATAGTATAAAGTGTTTTGGTGGGGGTGGGTGGCTCAGTGGGAACTACGCAAAGTGGGAAAGTTTGAGTCATCTTGTCCCATTTGGACGTGTATCACTTAGCCTTTTCTTTCCAACAACCCCTATCATAAAAAGACCATCAGTATACCATTAACAGCATGTGCAACATATCTCACTCGGCCTCTGAGAGTGAGAGCCCGAATTTATCACAATGGATCCCTCAAGACAAAGTCTGTCAAGAAGCATTTGAACTGGCACGATCTGTTCTACCCCCAGCCGTCCTCAACCACAGTCTCCGTGTCTGGGTGTACGCCAAATGGCTCGCTGAACGGATGCAAGAGAACAAAAAAGAGCTCTCAATCAATCCATCCCTCTACAACCTCCTCTTCGTGGCCTGCATCCACCACGACCTCGGCTGCACAGATCGCTACAACGGCCCTGAACGATTTGAGATTGAAGGCGCAGATGCCAGTGTCGAGTTTCTCAAGCAGTTCAACTTCAACCAGGAAGAAATCCAGCTAGTTTGGCAGGCGATTGCCCTGCACACGACTTCGGGGATTGCGGAACGGTCTCATTCCTTTACTCGACTGGTTCGACTGGCCGTTCGGACGGACTTTCACTCTTGGGATGAAGTCGACGCGAAGTTTCAGAACGAAGTAGAGCAGTCTCTTCCGAGATTAGAGATCGAAAAGGTCCTGGGTGATGCGGTTGCAAATCAAGCTATCAATCGTCCGAACAAAGCACCGCCGAATTCGTGGCCCGCGGCTTTGGTGCGCGCCAAATTAGAATGGCCAGACTGGGAGGGAGTGAATAAAGGTTTTTGATGTGTTGACTTTGGGATATATCGGAAATATAATTTGGCGATGCCTGCCTCATTTTGTCCTATCTTCATTGGACCATGATGCGGTTCAACTTCAACTTCTTTATGGTGGGACTATTCAATTCCTCTCGTTGATCATTATATTGGGTGTCTACGTTCATTCTAGTCAAACGGGCCCAATGACACATCCTAAATTCTTTGAACGAGCGCTGATTGGTTTCCATGGAATAGCTACTGAAAAATGTGGCACATCGCGAAAAGCAAATTCAGCATCATTGTAGTAAAGACCCCACTGATGTTGCCGCTGGAATCTGATCTGCACTATGAACTCCACTCTAACGGACCTGTGGATCTAAAAGGATTCTTGGCTCTCTGAAGGATTCTTAGCCCTGACCAAGGAAGTCTGCGATACTTGGTTAGACATGATAGTAGGATCTTGATCTGCAGTGCTGGATTGACCTGGTTTATACCCAAGTCACTGGAGCGAGATTTGTTACTGTGATAGCAGGCTGTGAGAAGTATAAAATAGATAAGTGCATTGGTGCACGGTCTCGTTGGATTGACTTGTCCTGGTTGATTTGCTGGGGTTATTGACTACCTAGCTAGGTGTGTGTAGAGGATAGAGGCCTCTTGGCTGATTCTTAGGAAGTTGGATAACTGTGGAGTTTATTCTTTCTATCTGTTCGTGTAATCTCTTGGGCTTGACTTTTTCTGCATATATTGAAGGGTTCATATCTCAGCATTATTATATTGTGCAATTGTTTCACTTGAACGGATCTATCTAGAAATGATAGATGGTTGTAATTTTTAAATGCAGTGGATCTCTACTTGCGGTAGTGTTTCTTATAGACATACAGATATCAATACCTAACCTATAGGTAAGACGATTGATACTAAAAGATACATAATTCAGCACAACATCACTTGGGCGTGGGGGTCAAATATAAACACATAACGTCATTTACATCAATAATGCACACAAATTAGAAACAGCAAGTCAAATATACAATCATCTGCCCTTCAATAAAAGCAAAGAAGCTACGCCTTCCTCTTCACACGAATGCTAAGCTCAGAAGGCGGCACAACATTTCCTCCAATCCATTTATTCTGCGGCCTCTGGGAAAGTGGCTCGACCTCGTAATTCAGCAGCATAAAAGCAAGGAGCATTTTGAGCTCATATACGACGAAAAACCGACCGGGACTATAAATGTTAGCGAATGGCTTACCAGTACGAACGCCATAGAAGAGAAGAAACATACCAGGCATGTCGTCCATGGGAGAATGACAAGAAATCACCACTAGTCGTACTCATTGATTCCGTCTTTTTCATCTTGTCCAATGCGTCCCCAGAAGACGCGGACGCCTCCTCGCGCGCCCTGGAGAACCGAAACGCATCGTACTCATTCGGACTAGGATAGATTTCCGGATCGTGGTGGATGGAGTGCATGTCGATACCGATATACGCGCCTTGGGGGGCAGTCCATTTCTCCGTGGGATTGGTGACACCCCCGGCGGGCATGACTTTTCTCATCGCGTTTCGCGTCATGAAGTTGCTCACCCGCATGCTTTCCCGGATGGCGGAGTCGGTTCGCACGAGCGTAGCGAGCGAGGCTTTGGTCCAGACGCCGTTGCATGCTGCGTACGCATGTTCGATCTCTTCCTGCAGGCCTTCTAGGACGCCCTTGGAGGCGCTTGTACTGAGGATGTCGATGACGGCGTTGGTGATGGTGATAGTCGTGGTGTGGATCGCGGCGAAGTTGATGGGCATCAGACGACGGGAGATCATGATGGGGTCCATCTCGATGCTGTTGTTCTCCGCTATGGCGAGATTGATATGCCAGGTGATGTAGTCGCTGGGCTGCTCCCAGTCGTAAGTTGGATCGTTGCGCTTGCGCTCCATGTGACGTAGCCGCTCTTCGATGATGGGGATCGTGTATTTCGCTGTCCGCGAGTAGTGCCATTGATTCCGCAGCGAAAGAAGGCGTCCTATGACCGGATGAAGGAATTTGGGCAGCACCCTCAAGATCGCACCGTTGACGACGACATCCGTTGTGTACTTCATCATGTTGGCGAGATACTCTTTGTTCTGACACACGGGCGCCCCGACGAGCATGCGATTGGAGGCCCTACCCACAAAGGTCATCATGCTGTCCATAAGCGGAATTGCTTTCCAAGCTTTGCGATCGGTTCCCCAGGTATCCTCGAAGGTGCTCGCGAGCTCGTCCCAGACCTCGGGAATTACGGACTGGAGATTGCGCGTGAGGGACCGGTAAATGACATGGTCTTGAAATGGATCTTCAAGGATGTATTTGTCGAGGAAATTGTAATCGCCACCCAGCGATTCGCTGTGGTATTCCGCTGCCGATAGCACATTGTCCGGCTGTTCGAGGAGCCATCGTAACGATGATTTTGGGACGAGAATTTCCGAAGGCCCGTCGCATGCGGGGAAGATGTAGCTCTTGCCTTTGCTGCTATACTGTTGTCCCACGTTAGCATACGACCTGTTTTTCGCTTGCTTTTGATCAGAGAGTACCTTCTGATATCCCTCAGCCAGCAATTCTCTGGATCTGGAGATGCTTTTTATAGTTGCCCTCAGCGAGGAGAACGCTTTCGAATTATCTCGGCCGATCCATGGTAGGTCATTGGGCAAAGACGACGAGGCAAAGAGAACTATCCACAATACGTAGACTGTCAGGGTGAGTATGAGTGGTTTAGCAACCTGGGAGTTACTGAGGGCATCCAGTATAGCCTCCATAGCGTCCGGCTTGGGAAGGAGAGAGGAGAAGAGTTGTTGGGAGGGGAAGGGAGGGGCCAATTCTAGGCATATCTCGCGGTCGTGCTGATTGGGGCGAAGAATTAGTACCTGGCGTAGTGCGTGCTCCTAGGTACTAGCTTGAAGTAAAGTAGTCGAATTAGTCTCTACGCCAATGAGGTTTGAATGGTCTTGCCCAAGCCGTTATTTATCGTCCTGAAAATGGACCTGTAACTTCCAAGATTTTTAAACGGCGAAAGCGTATGGATGGGGCTGCTTGTCAAGTACTTATGACCCTGTTCATTGGTTAGTTGACCCACAGAGATCAGCAATGCAACACTTTCTATGGGATTGGTGTTGTTTGTTGATTGCCCGAGCCAACTCTAAAGCGCTGTAGGTGCGGTTCATCCATGCAGGCGATAATATATGCGAAACTTATGGCAGTCTTCTGGGCTAATGGGAGGAATTTATACACTTGTTATTTCAATAGAAGAAATTATGATATCAAGGAATCTTTGAGACTCCGTTTTTCTCAGACGAGTTTTCAATGATATAGAAACTAATAATAAGATCCACCATCATTATATACAGTGCCATGTTAGTATTTGTTAGCATGTCCTATCTTGACCATTCGACCAACAACACTAATTAGCGAGTGGTGAAATTTCCGATATTCAACACTTGTTCTCATTGCTCCAATCACTCAGTCATTCTAATGGTAGTTTGTTCTCCGTACCATAGGGCTCAGCACTAGCATAGTGAGAATGTTTGTCTCTGAGACGGCGACATAGGATTGAGATTTGATGGACCTATTGAAAGACTGGTTACAGATAGCAATTTTGCGATCTTGGTACTGCCATCTGTAACAAGATGCCAAATGCAAACCCCTGAATGAGCATCGCATACCACAACAGCTAGTGCAGCTATGGATAAAATGGCGTGTCGAGTCCACCATCCTGCTTATGACAGTCATCAAAAGCCCTGCAAACCAATCCCATGTCCTTGGGCCTCGAATGTAAGTCTCGTACTGTTTCTCCAAACGCTTTCCCCAACCTTCCATCAGTCTGCTCTATATCCGTTTCTCATAAAACACGATAATTCTTCGAACCCCTGGAGCAATGTTCTCAATATAACATATACCCAGTTTGGAAGGGTGTTGGCCAGATACCCACCGCCTCCATGCCAGGATGGGGGAGTGGGGAACCAAAGCGCGGGCAGGGCGACGAGACGACTGGTTGGACAAGGGGTCCACGCGATATCTCCAACTCGCTATAAATCGACATCTCCCACATTGTTCGCCCAAAGCTCTATATTCCAGTTATAGCTGTTTAATCCACTCCTTCAATGGAAAGCGAAAGCAGCCCACCAATATGGCACACGTAATTTCCTCCAAATTGAGTGTGTAGCCGAATGCTTCCCCCTACCACGACACAGGCAGGCCCGCAGTGAGACAGGCAGGCGCAAAGGTTCGCGCAGTTTGTAAAAAGCATCTTGATGCTTGCCAATGTCTAAGAGCGACCCTTCCGGAGGTCGATTGTCGAAAATGTATATATACTACCCGGATGGCTAGGCACGCTTCATAGCTTCCAGATATAAGTCGGGGCTAACCATTCTATTGTCTGTTAGTATATCATAGTCATATTGCCGAAACATGCCAGGAAGAGGTGTGAGACATACCCTGACCAGTTCATTGTATAGTTTCAATACCAGAAGATAAAAATAAAAATAAGAAACAAAAGACAACCGCAAACCACAACCCTCATGTCTTAACGACTACCGCATGTCAATATATACCTTGAACGCAAGCGCCACGAGGAAACTCACCGGAAAGGGCATAGGGCACGAGGCCGGCTGCGATGAGGCTGGCGGTGGAGACGTTCAATGTCGCGGGCACCCGCAACCGCCATCCGCCGGCAGCCCGGAGGTGCCGACGCGGCTTCGGCAGCCCAGGAGAGAGTCCGAGTAGCCCTGGCCGCATGCTCAGGGTTCAGCTATACGTCATTTTGCCCACCAACGTCACCATAGTAGAGGTACCATATACCCGGCAGCAGGGATGGCGAACATTCTGACAGAGACAGGTCGTGGACTGCCGTAGGTATTTGCTGTGGGAGCGCCCACTGTTGCTCTCCCTCGAGATTGTATATTTTAGAGAGGTCTTCTACCCCTAGACGAGAGATTTGACGGAACTCCAGAAGGAGACAACCTTTTATGGTGAGCCCTTTGGTTTTGCTGGAGATCTTGTTAATACATGGCCTTATAGTGGGAGGGACAGTCCATACTCACGCAAAGTTATATACATGCTTTCCAATATTTATTAAGGTCCATGCAGCAACAACGCAATGATCATCCACATGTGACCAGGCTCTATAGCAGAAAGATATATATTCATGAACAGATCTGTAATAAAGAGTATCATGATCATCCTGATCTAAGTAGGTTGATCAGACCACCAAATATATATAGCAGACATGCCGATATATTGCAAAGTATACAGCTTGTAATGGTACCAGTTGACTAGATCATTGGAGGATTATGTAGATATATGGAGGAAGACGATTGGTGATGAATTACAGTTGAAGGAAAAATCCCCCCAGTCGGAGATCCCCTGCATTCACTGCGATGGCCTTTGATCAACCCGACAATGAAACTTCTTTACATTCACTGGGCATTAAGTTGGTTGTGTTTCAGTGTAGTCACTTGGAGAGATAATGAAACAGTATGTATGTCTCAGCTACTGTCCACTAGTGACGTCTAAGTGTCTCTGAAGGAAGACATTGAGCAATAAGTACATCTAGAAACTCTATTTTTAACGCTAATTTCTACATCAACCTATGAAACAGTATCCTTGCCACAAAGTGCATAAACCCATACAACCAACTCGGTAAAATTTTCCACAAAATCCAATTGCAAGATCATCACGAATCAAGAACAGAACAGTCTCAGTCCAACACGGAGCGATGACGGACCTTCGCCCGGGGTCTGCGGCAACCAGACCTATTAGATTTCCCCGGTGTACATTCTGTAACCAAGGATGCCAAAAAATCAATTACATCATAGATATCTGGTTGTTGGAAGCGATATGGGTGTATTTACCCGTTTAGCCGGGAGTCGCATACAGCCGGCGGGCGCATTCCCTTTAGCCTCAAGCAAGTGCCGCCGATACGGACGACCGGCAATTTAGTTGGTGGAAATAATTATCTTCCTTTTCTTCTCTTCTCAGTTTTTTCTCCTCTTCTTTCATTCTCAAGAACTTTCAATCCTGTGCATATACTACACAAATATTCAAAACTCAACAGACAAGATGACGGGTACGATCAAATTGAACAGCGGCTTTGAGATGCCCGCCGTGGGCTTCGGTCTGTGGAAAGTCGACAACAACACCTGTGCCGACACGGTCTACAATGCTATCAAGGCCGGTTACCGTCTGTTTGACGGCGCGTGCGGTAAGTCTCCAAGCGCAATATCCCCAACACAGAAGTCCAGGTGGGGGAAAGAAGAAGAAATCTAACGAAGACAAGACTACGGCAACGAAGTCGAATGCGGCCAGGGCGTGCAGCGCGCCATCGCCGACGGCCTCGTCAAGCGGTCCGAGCTCTTCATCGTCTCCAAGCTCTGGAACACCTTCCACGAGAGCCAGCACGTCGAGCCCATCTGCCGCAAGCAGCTCGCCGACTGGGGCGTCGACTACTTCGACCTCTACATCGTGCACTTCCCCGTCTCCCTGAAGTACGTCGACCCGGCCGAGCGGTACCCGCCCGGGTGGATGGCTGCCGACGGCAAGACGATCGAGCCGGCCAAAGCGACCATCCAGGAGACGTGGACGGCGATGGAGGCGCTCGTTGGAAAGGGGCTGGCGCGCAGCATCGGCGTGAGCAACTTCAGCGCCCAGCTGCTGATGGATCTGCTGCGCTATGCGAGCATCGTGCCTGCGACGCTGCAGATCGAGCACCACCCTTACCTGGTGCAGAGCCGTCTGGTTGAGTATGCGCAGCGCAATGGCATCACCGTGACTGGGTACTCGTCGTTCGGCCCGTCTAGCTTTGTCGAGCTGGAGGTGAAGAACGCGGTGGATGCGACGATTCTGTTCCAGCATGAGACTGTGAAGAGCATTGCTGCGGCTAAGAAGCGCACGCCCGCGCAGGTTCTGCTGCGCTGGGCCACGCAGCGTGGGATTGCCGTCATTCCCAAGAGCAGCAGCTCGACCCGCATGGCCGAGAACCTGGATGTCACTGGATGGGATCTGGAGGAGAAGGAGATTGAGGCTATCAGTGCTTTGGACCGGGGTCTGCGGTTTAACGACCCGTTGAACGTGAGTGATTCCGACCTCCAGTCTTATTGAATGGTTGCTGACTTTAGTAGTACGGAATGTACGTTCCGATCTTCTAAAAACGTGGTGTGGATACATGAGAGCATGAACTCGTTGGCATTGGAGTGGAAGTCATGAATACGGCCTTTCTGTCTATTATGATCAATAAATTTCTGAATACATTTTCTTTTTCCTCTAGATATACGGATACACCGTAAATAAAATCCAGATTAGTCGAAAGTAGAGGATGATCACCACGCAAGGGAGGCCGCGGACCACAATAACGGCAGTACCGGGTCTAAGTGAGACACGGTGGAGTGAGCTGTTCATCGACAGGAGCGCACAGCCCGCAGGAACCTTTGTCCACTCATTACCACCCACATTTCATCATAATACCTCAATTGATGCCACATCATGTAGGAAGCGTACTTGGTAATTACCGGAACTCCACCGCGAGGGCTGGGTGGTGTGGCTGGCAGCCAAGAACCCAAGGAGGCTGGTGCGACACGGGCACAGCCACAGCCACAACCGGATGGGTTATCTAGGATAGGATTGACGGAGGTTGCAGTGGTTCAGTAATCAACATCAATCAACTTGGTGATTAATCAATCTAAAATCTGTAGACCGGTTGGTTCACACGGTGATGGGTGGGGATTTCCGACTCCAGTGGTAATTGAGATGAGACGGACACCGTAGGGGTCTGGTGGAGTCTCATGCACTGGGCAATATAACCGTAGGCCGACGGATGCGATCTCATGGGTGAAAGACCCCGAACAACTAGGTGGCTTTCCGAGGTTGTACGGAACTTTAAGCGGAAGTGCAGGTACTCTGTACCTTGCCTTTTGAATGAATAGGAGACAAGCATGTATGAATCGGCCAGTTGGGAATCCCTGACCGTGAACACGGAGGACTCCCGTACAGATGCTATAAATAGGGCGGTGATCGGAGAGGCGCCCAGAATGATGTGCGCGTCTTGCATCCTGTCGTCTCGCCGACCTCTTGACGTATGAATTCTTGACCTGCGGGGGACCCCTGTATTAGAGCTTATATTGAATAAGACATATTACTGAATCAGTGAATACAGTGAATTGTACCGTATAGCTCCATTTCGACAATACATCCTGAATTTTCCATGTCAGACCCAACCACACAAAGGAGAAGACACAAGAAAACTGATGGGGACGCTAAGCTGCTAGTGAGAGAAAACCACGGGCGAAGGAAGCCCTACAGATTTCGAGAACCGCCAGGCGGAAATTCTGGGCCGTTTCACCACCGGCCAGACCCACTCAGGGGTTTAATCTCGATACATTTAAGGCTCCTCTGAGTTGGTAGTCGCCTTTCTATTCTATTCGAAGATTGGGAAAGGTAGTAAATAAATCAATAGATAAAATCATACGCTCAAATTCATACCGTATATATCATAGAGCTCAATAGACTGAGAACGGATGGGCCTTTGTCTTTCATTAATATAGGCAACCAATAATGCGGATTGAATAAATTGGATCGGGGATAATTATAGCATCCCCCGTTAATTGTCACTCCTTTTTGCTGTGAGAATGGGAGCTCCAGACTAGAGAGTGGATTCAATCAAGTCCATAGGAATCGTCAGAATCATGGTCATGAGAATCATTCCCGCTAAACTATTCAATTGATAGTCCATGGGGAAGAAAAGCCGAGCAGTCCGTATTCCGTAGACCGAGTGATGAGTCCAGACTCCAGAGCTGACCCTGGATGAGCCTGGAATGGACCCAGCCCATTCCCGGTATCCTTCTGGGTATCCTTCTTGTTACGGTTATTTATCCCCAGGCACCTGTATTTACTATTTCCTCTACTGATTTAGGGTTGTTGTTGTTGTGATTGATTACTTTGAAAGTACACGGTACTTTCTTCATCTTTTCTTCTGCTCCTCCACTATCCACTTGTTCTATCCTCCGTTTCTCTCTCCCTCTTTCTTTCTCTCTTTTGTTTTCTCACCTATACTGTCTTTCTCCATTCCCTCCTTTCAGTCACTCAGGACGTGACGCTCACTCAGCTTCAATGCTCGGACGGAATCCTCTCAGCTGCCACTAAGACCGCCGTCTCCCCGCCCACAACACACGACGTTTCACTGGGGGCTTGGCGCCTCCCCCAGCGATCGCTTCTGGAGCATCAAAGCAACTTCACTCTTTTTTTGCTGTGCTTTCTACACTTCTCTCCTTTGCGGTCCTGATTCTTTTTTTTTTTTTCTCCTCCCTCCCTTCGTCGCTCGTTTTTCGATCCCCCCCCCCCCCCACTAGACCACAGAGACTGTCAGCTGTCCGGGTCACACGAAAATTTTCTCGATCGGAGATCAGACCCCTGACGTTCTAAACCAGTCGGGAACTACAACAAGACACCCTTCCGGCTGCAGCCAACTTCGTTTGTCACCTGAGGGTCGCCCCCTCGTCCACCTCTACCATACTCTGTTGAGCCGCCATTCGGTGGTCCAACCGTCATATTGTATCCCGAGTCTGAACCTCCGGCGGACTCGAGCTCCGTGACGGAGCATTTCGTCAACATTTATTCCAGCAATTCACGGGCGTCCCTCCTCGGAGGATCATTTGATCCTTCGTTCCGAGGGCCGGGCGGTTTTCGCGCGCGAGAAGGCTACACCAATGTTCCCCCCCATCCGCCCCAACGCAAAATGTACCGGCCCAACTCGCTCTGGACGTGGTCGTTCGCCATCGTCACCTTGATCCAGACCATCATCACCTTGGGATTAGAATGGTTCGTATTCGATGATGCTCTTCCTTCCCCGCCTCTCCGGCCCGTACCCGCCCGCTGACCACGTGCAGTTATGTGTTTGCGAATTTCCAACTCCAGTTGAAACCGAAAGCCCAAGACGTGACCGCCTCGAAAACCATCCCCACCTTCCTCGCCCTATACAGTTTCGGATTCATCTACGAGCTCGTCCTGGTGTACGATGCGCTGCGCCTCAAAAATACCATTCAGGTGATCGGGCTATGTCTGTGCAATGTCGGGCTCTTGATCTACGGGGCGGTGCAGGTGCAGCAGATCAAAGAAGCCGTGGGGGTCTTGACCGTCAACAAAGCGATCGATGAGCACATCTGGGCCGAAACCGAACCGTTTTTGATCATCATCCCGTGCGTGGTGGCCATGGGGACGTTGCTGATGATGATTGTCGCCTGGAAGTTGTACGATGAATTTGCGTGGTCCATTTACAAGCACATCAGCGCGGACCTGCGCATGAAACGTCGATATCTCACTTATCAGGTTGGTTGGTCCGGCGTCTGCGGTGAGGAGTGGAAACTGACCGATTGCTAGATCTACATCGCTCTGCTGAAGTTCGATTTTTTCTTCTTCCTCGGATTCACGGTCCAGTTCGTGGTGATCGTCACCAATCGGGCGGATATCGAGTTTGGTCTCACGCTGGCGGCGGTCCCGGTGACCATTCTGATTCTAGTGTCTGCGGCCTTTTTCGTCCGGCGCGAAAGCTCCGTAGGGATGATTATCATTATCGTATGTTTCCCGATGACCTCATCGCGTTCCGTCCTAACAATTCTCTAGCTCCTGTACTTCGCCGCCATGGCCTACTTCCTCTTCAAGCTGGTCCGCATGTACGCCCCGACAACCTTCCTCGAGTACCTGCCCGCCCGGCGGTCTCTGACCTTCTTCGCCATCATCACCTTGGTCCTGATCGTCTTGACCATCGTCAACGCCTGCATGTGCATGCACAATTTCCACAAGGGCTTGAAGCCGCACATCAACCGGAAGAAGGGCGGCAAAGAGACCGAAAAGACCACCGAGCTGTCCAACGTCGCTGGCGGCCAGGTGCCTGCTCGGATGATGATCGATTGAGCGAGCCATTCTGCTTTTGATGCGTGATCAGCGCGGATTGTATATGCCGCACATGCGCACATCTGACCTGTCAGAGGGTTTCTGGATATTCAATTTGGAGCGTGTTTCCCTGCATATGATACCTTGATCGCGTTGATTTAACGATTTTCCTTTCCCCATTCTTTTTATATTTTCAGGTCTTTTTTTTTTTCGCGACTTTTTCTTCGGATTCCGTCCTTGCCTATCTGCAATTTATCCTTCCTCAATGGCACCAGTTCTGTGCGATTGATCACCATCTGTCCTTAGCCTCATGTCGCATATTACGATTGTGCATCTTCAATTTATATACTGTATTTACAATAATCAAATAGATCGAACAAGATTAAACATTGACGGGTTGGGTGTATAGAGAGGCAGCGTATCTAGAGTTGAGAGGAAAACATAGTGCCAGAATCGTTGATTAAGGTGTTCATTAACCATGGATTTCTCGACACTACGCAGTGTGTATTAATAGCGTATTGCGGGAATATAATACATGCTTAGAAGGGTATGGTTGGTGGTCATGGCTAGGGTGTGACAGTACAATACCACACCTGACTAAGGGTAACAGCGAGCGTGGCCTCTTCGCCTCGTCACTCCATCTCCATCAATTCGCCCGTCGACTCTTCTCCCTCCAGCCAGCTGCCTCCGTGTCTTCTCTCCTAGTCCCTTTCCTTTCAATTGCCCATTTGCATCTCTTCAATTGTACTTTATACCCTTTAATATCTTCCCCTTGACAACTCTATCTGCTTTCTCTCCCCTCGATCTCAAAATGGTGAGTGTCATTCAACCGCTGATCGCCCGCAAAACGAATCCCATCCATCTGTCCTAGCCAGAGAACACCCATCACGATCATCGAGAATCACATTTAATTCTCCAGACTCTGCAACAACCAACTAACACAATTCTACACCTACAGGCCTCCCCCCGCGCAGCCTCCCCTCTCACCTCCGGCGCCGAATCCGGCCCCGACAACAAGGCCCCTGGCTCCGGCGCCGCCGCCGCCTCGGGTTCCAGCGTCAACCGTCCCTCGTCTCCCACTCCCCCGGGTGGTCCCCGCGCTGCGCTGCGCCGTCGCGCGGCCGCCGATCACAAGGAGACCCTGCGCAATGCGAGACCCAGCTCGACGCGCTCGGCTGGTGCCGGTGGCTCCTCCGGTACGATGCTGAAGCTCTACACTGATGAGAGCCCCGGTCTGCGTGTGGATCCCGTCGTCGTGCTGGTTTTGAGTCTTGGGTTTATTTTCTCGGTTGTGGGTTTGCATGGTATGTTATTCACTTCGATATGGGGGTGATGGTTGATGGGTGTTGTGGAGTGTTGTGCTAATGTTGATTCTTTTTGCTGGTAGTTATCGCGAAGATTACCCGCAAGTTCTCTGCGTGAGCATGAAATGCAGCTCATTTATCCGATGTCGTCTTTATGCACTAGTCGAGCGGGCGATGTCGAGTGAGCAGCGCGGTGTTCTAAACCGTGGCCTTGCTCCTGACATGGCGTGGCTACTAGCTGCTACGGCAACGACATCGGTGAAAACGTGTCTACAACCTTAATCCTCATACTCATACCTTCAATCGCATATACCCCCTTGGTGTCTCCTTCCCCGCCTCCGCCTTACCCCGGTGCCATATCCATATCGCGGGGCAGGGACCGTTCCTCTTGAAATCGTTCTGTTTTATTGTCTGCAAGTTTGGCGTTGAAAACCTGTCTGCTGAACAGGTGGGAAGATCTGAGTTCGCTCGGGTCGTGTGGCCGGTGATTTGCCGGCCGTGGGGATGTCGTGCTGGGGAGCATGGACGGACTGGAATGGAATGGATTGGCTATGTATAATACCAGTGCTTGCAATGGATGTTTATCCTGTCTGTTTCATTTGCTTTTGGATTTCTGAAGCTGCCGTAGTTTACCATAATTGTCACTGTATATCATGCTGTCTGATGGCCCATTTTGAGCCAGGGACATGCGATCTGGTGACACTATCCTGTTTCGGGAAGAGAGTCTGCCTGGATGCCTTAGCAAGTGCCCTGACCACCATCGTGAACAAGGACCTATATTCAAACTTTTACCTCCCCGATTTACCGTTCCATGATTTTAATCCCAACCGCGATGGAACTCAAGGTGATGGACGAGGTTTCAATCGATGCTGAAATACACGTCCCAATTAATCGACGTATTAGTAAAGCGCCCTCCCAATTCTATAGACCGCGGAGATCCCAACAATCCATTAGTTTGGACTTCACAGGCTAACAGCGAAAGACCTTTATCAAGACCAACCACACCTCCATTATCTCATCACAGCCCGGGCATCGTCCGAGATGGTGGCTTTCCAAAGGACTGTCGAACCTAGGCCATTGGCCTATCTGATTGATATCGCGGTAGTGACCAAGTCCGATCCTTATCAACCTCAGGCTAGTGAGGCCAATCATCGGCGATCGACCTCAGATAAGACTCTGTCTGCGAGATCAGACCGGCCAATAGCGATTTCCATAGGGTATTGATAAGGATTGAACTCTATTCGGGTTGTTTTGCTTTTGTAATGGGTTTTCGAGGAGGTTTTGGTGGTGTTGTTGCTAGGTATGATCTTGGTTTGGCTGCTGGGCGCATTATCCTTATCATTGGTATCCTTCTCTAATCGAGGTTCATTCGTTGATGACGCTTGTGCTACTAAATTTTTGACTCGATTGGATGGAGCTTCTCGATATGCTGGTCTTACTGGCGTTTGGGGAATAAATAAAAGAAAGATGGGCCCTCTGGTTTGCTATATACTTCTGGGGTCATAGGCTTGAACTGCCGATGTTTGCAGCTTGACTATAATTCTACGAACAACAGCAGGCTGGCACACTGGTCTATTGAATCAATCTATTTGTGACTTGTTGTGGGATACCTGTTTGGTATTGCAACAAGAACGCCATTGACCAAATAACATACATTCGGCAGCATGGCCGAAGATGTGGCTAGATTTGTTGCCCCTCTCTCACAGGGCTTTGGCTATGGTATAATTATTGGACTGGGACTTGCTTTTGCTCTGTTGATGGTCTTCATTACTTGGGCTTTGAAGAGGTAAGTTTTGTTCCATCGAATCCCCTCTCCTACCCTGCTAATGACATTGCAGATACCAGTATGAAGTGCAAACCTCGGAAATGTTCTCGACCGCTGGACGATCCGTCAAGTCCGGCCTGGTCGCCGCTGCAGTCGTTAGCAGCTGGACATGGGCCGCCACACTTCTCCAGTCTTCTGCCGTAGCATATCAATACGGAGTCTCGGGGCCGTTCTTCTACGCATCAGGTACACACGGGAACAGATAGAGCACGCTTGGCGAGGAACGCAGTTACTGATCTTGACAGGCGCCGTTGTGCAGATCATTCTATTCGCAACCCTCGCGATCGAGCTAAAGCGACGAGCCCCGAACGCGCATACCTTCCTAGAAGTCATCCGCGCTCGCTACGGCACCACCGTACACTGCGTCTTCATCGTATTCTGCCTGATGACCAACACCCTTGTTACCGCTATGCTTCTTACAGGTGGCTCCGCTGTCTTGACTTCTCTGACTGGGGTGCACACCGCCGCGGCCTGCTTCCTCCTTCCTATCGGTGTTGTGCTGTATACGCTATTTGGTGGGATTAAGGCGACGTTCATCACGGACTACTTGCACACGGTCGTCATTATCGTTGTAATCTTTATTTTCGCATTTTCGGCATACGCAACGAATGACAGACTGGGGTCGCCGGGGGCTGTCTATGATGCGCTCGTGGCGGCCTCCACGCGGCATCCGGTGGAGGGAAATGCCCAGGGGAGTTATCTGACTATGCGGTCTAAGGAGGGTGGTATCTTCTGGGTGATTAACCTTGTGGGGAATTTCGGGTTCGTATCCCTATGCTCTAAGGGAAATACCACTAATCTTGGGGAATAGAACGGTGTTTCTGGACAATGGGTACTACAACAAAGGTATGCCACAGCCTCCAACGAAGGATACCGACAAATCTAACCTTATCAGCCATCGCTGCCAGCCCCGTGCACGCCTTTCCAGGATACGTGATCGGCGGCCTTTGCTGGTTCGCCATCCCCTGGCTTTGCGCCACCACGATGGGCATCTCAGCCCTAACACTGGAGGGATCCCAACGACTCAGCTCAGACGACGTCACAGCGGGTCTCGTGTTACCATTCGCCGCCGTCAAACTTCTGGGATACAGCGGAGCAGTCTGCACGACGCTGATGATTTTCATGGCCGTGACGTCTGCTTTTTCGGCCCAGCTGATCGCCGTATCCTCGATCCTTACCTACGACATCTACCAAGCGTATATCAACCCCGCTGCTAAAGGAAAGACGCTCGTTTGGATCTCGCACATGTCTTGTATCTTCTGGGCTGTGGTAATGGCTGCATTCGCCACGGGACTCTACTATGCGGGCATTGGCATGGGATACTTGTATCTGCTCATGGGCGTGATTATCTCGTCTGCCGTGTTTCCCGGCGCAATGACCTTGTTATGGAAGGGGCAGAATTGGATTGCCGCAGCGGCTTCACCAGTGCTGGGCCTCGCAGTATCGCTCATTGCATGGCTTGTGACAGCGAAGACCGAATCGGGTGTATTAACAGTAGCTACTACCGGAGCGAAGTATGCTCCCCTCTCCCCTTACTCTCCACCCCCTAAACGAACAACACTAACAAAAACCCCACCAGCTACCCAATGCTCGCGGGCAACGTCGCCGCTCTCCTCAGTCCAATCATCTTCTCCCCAGTCCTAACCTACCTCTTCGGCGCCCAAAACTACAACTACGCCTCAATGCGCGCCATCCGCAAAGTCGACGACAGCGACGTCGCAGCCGCCGCCCACATCGACATCGAGCTGATCCCCGGCGAAGCCGCATCCCCAACATCGTCGCCCCCCGACGAAGAACGCAAAATGAACCAAGCAGCCACGTACTCGCGCGCTCTGACCATCGCTATGGTGCTGTGCTTTCTGCTGCTGTGGCCGATCCCGATGTACGGATCGAGTTATGTTTTCAGTAAGAAGTTCTTTACGGGGTGGGTTGTTGTGGGACTGATTTGGTTGTTTGGGACGACTTGTGGGGTGGTGGTTTTTCCGCTTTGGGAGGGGAGGGCGAGTATTGTAAGGACGGGTAGGTTGATGTGGTTGGATTTGATGGGGAGGGGCAAAGGGAGAAGTGTGCTGGAGGGTCGTGGGGAGAAAGAAGGTAGTAGTATGGAGGGAGTAGAGACGCCGACGGAGGAGGTGAGTGGGAAGGTGTGATGCTTATGCTTTTTCCTCTATCGTATTGTTTTAATATTTATATACCCTTACTACACTACTGTCGTATATATTATACGACATTCCGCAATCGATGCGCCAATCAAAACAATATTAATAGTTTATTCCAGCACAAACACAACAGGTATGGAACTCAACCAAGACACAAAACTCCCCATTCAACCCACGAACAGAACAGAATAAGGCCATAAAAGCAATGGTATCGTCCACAGACAGACAAACAAGAAAGAAAGAAATCAACACAACAACAACAGCATCAACAAACTCTGTAAACAGCGCATGAAGCATCCCCTAGCAACGACAAGAGAAAAGCGGAGGAAGTTAGGCATAGACTATTTATACCCATACCCCTGCTGGCCCTGTCCGGGCCCTCCCGCCCCAGAAGCCACCGGCGGCCCCTGCTGCTGCTGCTGGGGCGGCGGATGCTGCGCATACTGGGGATAATTGCCGTAGAAGCCCGGTGGGGGCGGGCCCGGTCCGCCGGGGATCCCTTGTGGAGGACGCGTCTCGGGCGTGATGTCGGGACGGTCTTTGAGGTCTTGGGTGAAGTTGCAGGTGTAGCATCTTACTTCCTGTTTTTTGTTAGTATGGTGTATATTTGGGGGTACCTAGGTAAGTAGGTAGGTAGGAAGAGGGATTGATAAGTACCTTGTATTTACCCATTGAGAGGGGGATTGCGGGCTGGATATCATTATTTGTTAGTGGGTTTGGATGGAGGGGGTTGAGGTGATGGTAGGTGGGGTTGGCGTACGATGAAGCAGATGGTGAACCAGGGCCTGTGTGTATATTAGTATTCAATTATCAATGTTTTCTTTCTTATCTCCATGTAGAGGGATATGGATGTATAGACATACCATCTTGTCACGCAGTGTCCATTGTAATGCTGGCCTATCATTGGTCAATTAATCAGGGGCCGTTCATAAGTCGGATGCCTAAGGCCGGTCTCGTCTCGGGCCGGACATCACATCACGTTCATGCTCCCTTTCCCAGGTACTGCCGACTGGCGCTAATACCCAGACAGGGGGAGCTGTATCATAATTCGATATGATAAAAGAAGAAAAACTCACAGTTATAGCAGTAGGCACGCACCTGCTCATACCCCTCCAGCATGGAGCTGAACTCTGCCCGGTCTGTTAGTAATGCTGTCTGTAATCAGGTGATAAAGGGAGGGTGTTCCTGGCGGTCAGCGCCGCGGTCGGCTGGCACATACCGTGTGTTCCGAATGTGATGCAGATGGCCATCTTCCTGGTTCTGATTCTGTTCGATCCAGAGGGTAATAGAAGGGTCGATATTTGGTCAGTCTTGGATAAAGAGGTGATTGAGTGACAGGCTGGGCAGGCTGGACTGGGAGGTCGTAGGTTGGAGGCAACCCTATTTCTTGGTTAGGACGGAGACGGAGGCTGACGTGTGGCGGCAGTGGCTTGGCGCTTGGCGCTGTGTTTCTTGGGCACTATAGGCTGCGCCGTACTGTTATTGACAACGACAGTTAGGAACTATCAGGCTTTGTTTGATTGATGGTGGTAGAAATATTGTTGGACAATAAGTAGACAATTCACTTTTTAGTGGTTATGAGGAGAATTGACAAATAATGGGCCAGGTGCGAAGGCCTTCGCAATGGCTACGAAAGACGTATCTGGATAATATATATCGCATTTTCGAACAAACCAATATATCATCAACTATATTCATCGTGCACTATGCTTCGACTTCAAAGCTCAATATGTTCATGAGATTATGATTACTATAGTACATGCAACTCGGAATAAATGAATTGAACCATAGGGTATATGAAAGCCGTAGCACGTAATTTCGCATCCTGCTCCCACGTCTTTGTGCAGGAGATGACATGCGATTCCTAATACGCCAGCAATGCCGGGTCAGTACCCCAAGCGCCGAGAGCGAAAAGTGTCATGTGTGAGGCTTCAATTCTCATCGCCTTTCCCTCAATATCTTCGTTAGGGATACTAGGGAATTTGCCAATAGCTTCCATAGCGTAGCAAAAAATGCGTAATTGCACAGCAGCAGTCTTCCCTTTCCATTCCCTTTCCAGGCAGGGTTCTTCAAACCTCCTGGGAGTCTTCCGGTGACAACTATCCACCGTGTTACTTGCAACATCATCAATCTCCCAAAAGGTGACAGAGTAGTAGATGGCGTTCTGCCTCCACTCGCTTTCACTATTGAGTCAAAATTTTAGCCATAGTATCAGTACAATATATACAACTAGATCGTATATTTCATCAATAGGGAGAGAAGAGTAGACATACCTGGTGTGATAATTGCATTGTTTGAGTAATTTGCCAGAAGACGTAGATTGTCTTGATGGAGTCTGGAAGCGATGTATTTGCAAACAACACGCTTTCCATCTGAAGGTAGATAATCAAAGAGACTTTGTATAATCGGTTTCGTTATATCGTTGGAGTCATGACTATATATGCGTCGATTATTACTTTTGAATTCAAGTCATCAGAAACTGGCTGAGTTGAGGCTGTAATATCGGGCGACGAGTGGGTTATTCAAGTCATTCAGGCTCTGGGATAAGTTTTCATCATCCATCTCAGCAAATTTAGAGATGATTAAGTTGGACAAAAGAACTCCTAAGGCTTAGTTTAAATCATATCATGATAGGCATATAGCAATAAAAGTAAGCAGGTTGACAGTTGATAACCTATTACCAGGAAGAAGGTGATTTTTTTCTGATCTCTAGATTTCGTGATTTGAGCTTCAGACTTATTTATTGGTTATTTGTAATGTGTAAGAGGATCGATGAAATGGTCATAATATTGATGATCTTGATGATTCTTATGACTATGAAAAGGTTGCGAATAGTTGCAAAACATGAAGAGAAAAAACAATCTGTAGGGGAAAGTTCTGCAAGTCAGCTGACATGTTGGCCGATTGCATCTCTCACAATCCAACAAGCTTCAGATCGAAATCTTGGTGACTTGCAATGGGATGAGAGAGTAGAGCCAAGAGAAGCAAGTTTAGAACTGTAGAAGGTACACTGGAACGCAGTGAATGGTGTCGGATACTGTTTGATGCCTCAGGTATTAATTACCATAGCAGTCGGAGTTGATGTTGTTCCGTTCCCGATTAGCTGCTGAGCAAAAGCAGCACTCCACAGGCCTACTAGAGTAGGGAGCGAATGCGCCGAGGTGCTTGCAGATGCTTGTTCCGTAGGTATCAGGAATGATTCAGAGTGGAATCAATTCTATTTTAGGAGAACAGGGAACTTTTATGCAACCTTTGATATATCCAATTTAATCCTCACGTGCTGTATTTTCTTGAATTATTATCGTCCCAGCAGTATGATTGGAGCGAGATCTACCATACTACCACCAGGATATATAAACACTAGGAGCTACGCACGTAACAGTCTATCATTGAATGTTTTAGTCAAGAGTTCAGACCCAGCTCCGGACATCGAAATTGATGATATAATAAAGAAGAATAATTGCAATGAAATGTACTACCACGATCCGTTATCAAGAAACCCTCATCCCCTGATCCATCCACTTCCCTCCAATCACCCCCGCTCATTGTGTCTTGAAAAGGAGAATGGCGCAGTGTCCCAAATAGAAATAGATGAAGTGTTTCGTCTCTGCCCATCATTAGCCAACGCTATATTGTTTCGACCAGACCACCTACCGTGTGTCACAAAGCTGCCAAAGTTCCGCCCCACCACGCAATGCCATGTCGCTCCTTTGCGCGAGTCGAACTGTAGGATGTAAGTGGAAGGATTTGGAGGGTGGCGCGGGATCGCGGACTTCTCTCTTGATATACTGGGCAATATCCTGCTGTCATCAGTACAAAGCTTTCACTAGAATGTCACATTCCAAGATATAAACTCACCTTCTCAACGTGATATTTGTCCATTGCCTCGATCGCTACCCGGTGTTAGTCCCCGCGTTGCATCCTAGCCAAACAGTAAGCAAGCACATACCAAGCTCCACCGCCTCCTGCTGCATGTCCTCGGACTGTCCCTTGTTAGATTGATTCTCAATTTATGTTGGATTGTCCTCACCATGTCAACCGACTTGATTTGCGCTGGCGAATGTTAGCTGTTATTATGACGGAAGGGCTCGAACAACCACTCACGCTCCAGCTTATCCTTCTTTTCAGTGGCCATGTTGTCGGTATGAAATAGATATAATCACGGAAGAGACTGAAGAAGAGGAACACGGACTGACGGGATTGAAAGGAGAGCAGGAGTGATAATAAACCCAAAGGTGACCTGTGTTGATTGCGCAGTGACGGGAGAGCGGCCGCATGGACTCGCACGGACCAGCAATCCTTCACCGCCCTCGGCACTAATTTTTTCTCCCGCCATAAAAAGAAAAAAAAGTTTTTTTTTTCTCTTCCGGTTCCCTTCATTCTTTCTTTCCCCTCATCTTCCCAACGGGCATCATGGAGAGCACACGGGTTTTTGTCTCGGGTCTCCCTCCTACTTTCTCAAATGACCAGCTACGGAAGCACTTTGCTACTCGCTTCCAGGTCACCGATGCCCATGTCCTGCCTAAACGCCGCATCGGCTTCGTAGGCTTCAAGAGCCACGATGACGCTCAGCAGGCAGTTGGCTATTTCAACAAGACATATATGAAAATGTCGAAGATCTCCGTAGACATTGCTAAACCAGTATGTCTACTCTTTTGTCCCCTACCGTTTTCTCTGTTTGCCCCTGTCCCTCGCTGACCCGTCGAAGCTGGTCTGGAAACTGACCATATTTTAGATTGACTCCGAGCCGGATCACTCACATAAACGTGCCAAGGAGAGTAGATCCTCCGATGCAACGGATACGCTCAAACGTAAACGGGGCGATGAAGATGCCCCAAAGGACCCGAAACTGCAAGAGTATCTTTCCGTAATGCAGCATTCGTCCAAGACCCAGACCTGGGCTAATGATGATAACGCCCCCAACCCTTCCGAGGAACACTCACCTGAAAAAGACCAGCCTGAGGAGGAGGAGGACACCCAGGACCTCACCTTTGTCCAGCGCAAGAAGGCTAAATTTGGGGAAACTGAACACCGCACACCTTCGGGGAATCAGGAGAAGGAAGAGCCAGAGCCTATGGTGGTCGATGCTACCGGCGAAGCTCACGATGAGCAACAGACGGAGCAACAGAATGATGAGGAGAAAGCGCCTGTCTCGGACATGGACTGGCTTCGGTCAAAGACGAGTCGTCTACTGGGGTTGTTGGATGAAGACGAACAGGCTGAGTTTGAATCTCGCGAACCGCCGAAACCGGCCGTCCAAGAAGCAGTATCGGATTCAGAAGAAGATGCCCCGCGTGTTGAGAGTGCGCCGGTGAAGGTTGATGATACGCCCGCAACACCTGCCGCTCCTGAGGTGGAGGTTGATACGAATATCGAGAACATTCGTCTCTCCGCTCGGTTGTTTGTACGAAACTTGGCCTATGACACGACGGATTCTACGTTAGGGTCAATCTTTGCACCCTTCGGCACAATTGAAGAGGTTAGTTTCACTCCCCTTCTATTTTCTATATCTCCTTTTCCTTTTTTTTTCTTTTTTTTATCCCATCCCCGACCGCTCGCGTGATGAACATCCTGATAGGGACATCCGATGCAAAAGCATATGATGTGAACAGGAAAAGAGTATTTTAGTAGATGCCTCTCCTATCTGATGAGCAATGGTCATTTCAATGTCGTGTCTTTTACGTATCGCACTTTATGAATACGCGCTGACTGCTTAGATCCACGTTGCTTTTGATACTCGGGTTTCGAAAAGTAAAGGGTTTGCCTACGTCCAATTTGTCGACCCGGATTCGGCCGTAGAGGCTTATAGAAATCTCGACGGCAAACAATTTGAGGGTCGTTTACTACACATCCTACCCGCTACCGCCAAGAAGACGTATAAGATTGATGAGCATGAATTGTCCAAATTGCCCTTGAAAAAACAAAAACAAATCAAGCGAAAATTGGACGCTTCGTCGGCTTCTTTTAGTTGGAATTCCCTTTACATGAACGTGAGTTACCTTGGTCACCCCAATGACTTCGAAGCTAATTCTTGCAGGCTGATGCGGTTATGTCTTCCGTCGCCGAGCGCATCGGCGTCTCCAAATCAGATCTCTTGGATCCCACGTCTGCCGATGCCGCCGTGAAGCAAGCTCATGCTGAAACGCATGTTATTCAGGAAACGAAAGCTTACTTTACCGCCAATGGCGTTAACATAGATGCTTTCAAACAGCGAGAACGTGGAAACACGGCTATACTCGTGAAGAATTTCTCGTTTGGCGTGAAGTCAGATGAAATCAGGAAGCTGTTCGAGCCGTTTGGGCAGATTACACGTCTATTGATGCCGCCCAGCGGGACAATAGCCATCGTCGAGCTCTCACGACCGGACGAGGCACAAAAAGCCTTCAAGGGTTTGGCCTATCGGAAAGTAGGAGACTCAATCCTTTTTCTCGAAAAGGCTCCCAAGAACTTGTTCGACGGGACGGCAACGCCGTACAAGCCGGCAGAAGCCAAGGCTGTCTCGCAGGGATTCTCTACAGCAGACACCTTTGCGGCCAACGATCCCGATGAGGCACTTGCTACAGCAGCCACTGCTACTCTCTTCGTAAAAAATCTGGCCTTTCCCACAACCAACGAGGCCTTCCTCGACGTTTTTCGGCCGCTGGACGGCTTTATTTCGGGTAGGATCAAGACAAAGCCGGATCCGAAACACCCAGGACAGACCCTCAGTATGGGCTTCGGGTTTGTTGATTTCAAATCAAAACAGCAGGCCCAGGCTGCTCTGGGTGCCATGAATGGCTACAGACTTGACGGCCATGAACTGGTAGTAAGGGCATCCCACAAGGGCATGGATGCGGCTGAGGAGAGACGACGCGAGGATACGGCCAAGAAGGTGGCGGCGCGGAGAACCAAAATCATCATCAAAAACTTGCCATTCCAAGCGACCAAGAAGGACATCAGATCGCTTTTCGGGGCCTACGGACAACTGCGGTCTGTTCGGGTGCCTCAGAAATTCGATCGGTCGGCTCGCGGTTTCGGGTTTGCGGATTTTGTAAGCGCTCGCGAAGCGGAAAACGCCATGGATGCTTTGAAAGATACGCATCTTCTGGGGAGAAGGTTAGTGTTGGAATTTGCCAACGTGGAAGCCATCGACGCCGAGGAAGAGATCCGGCAAATCGAGAAGAAGGTGGGGGAGCAGGTGGACAGGGTCAAACTGCAAAAGCTCACGGGCACGGGGCGCAAGAAATTCACCGTAGGAGCCCAGGACGAGGAGGACTAAGACTCAAGTGCTCGCCGTCCTCCTTCCCTACGCATAAGGACGGGGGATTTGGTCAATGGTGGGCTCCCCGGCCAACACCCCCTTGCGTGACCGAATGTCGAAGAGGAGAAATAACACGCCCAACACGTTCCTTGTGTCCTGTCAAGGCCGGCCCTGCCTACCCTCCGACGCGTCCTGCAAAGGCCCGTCGCCTCGTGCAGGTCAATTTAGTTATACCCCATTATAGGATATCCTTAAACATCTCGAATTCAAGGCTTCTTATCCCCTCATCCTATATCGACTCCTATATCACACTAGTCTACCCGACCATGTCCCCTAGATGCCTATGGGAGAGCAGGTTCGGAGTTTGATCCCTCTGCCTGCATTCCTGCTGTACCTTCTCTAAAGAATTGTTTACATTCCGCACTCGTGGCGATTGGTGTTCTAGTTGGCCACGGCGCATTCCAAAGCTGATCTTCCCTACAACTTGCTCTTCATCGATGATGTCTACCAGGGTAACCATCCGCATTAGCGGCCTGGTGACCGTCCGACTTGCTGGGAAGGTCGCCGAAGAGGTGCTCACTGGATTGTTCGCCCTCGGTACCCCTTGCGTCGAGGGATCGTTCCTCCGCATCGAGCATGCTCGCTCCTCCTGATTTGCTGCCACAGGGCGACGCCCACTCTCGTTCCTGTCCTTTAACAGAGCGCGCCTTGACAAGGGAACCCGCCTTGGCTAGTCGTGGGGATTGCCCTGGAGGGGTGCAGCCAAACGTGAAGCGCGGTCCAACAATGTAGATACCACCCTTCTTCCCTAGGAAAGGGAATGGCGTTCTCTATAAACACCTTGGACTTCGCTCCCACATTCTATTTCCCAGGTTCTTACATTCTCTTCCAGGGGTCTGCGTGCTCGGTCTTTGGTCTGTGACTGCTGCTGCGTTGTTTGCCTGGTGGTCAACATTTGCCGTCCTCTCCCATCCCATCTCTTTGGAATTTGCCATTCTTGAGAGAGTTTATCCAGGTTTGCTCCCATGGCTACCGACTGGCAGCCTGAGTGCATCATCCCCCAGAGCCAGCCAGCGCTGGAGAGTGTGGGAGCCCATTCAGAGCGGGTTCTCCAGAACACCTCTGGCAACGTCCAGTCCTATTCAGAAGACCTTGCCCACAGCGACCCGATGGGGCGAGATGGCTATTTGCAGCAATTCGCCTACAAGTACCCTTCTCATCTTCCGCCGGCTGCACCCGCTCCCCCAGTACCGTCGGCATCCGCCAGCCTTCACAACTCGCAGCTGCTGGCCAGCAGGGCCCAGGCGAGGAGGCAGCGGCGGTTGAATTCCGCCAACCAGTTTCCCTCTGGGCCTCGGAGACGCAGCTATCTGCAATCCCAGAAGTATCTGGAGTATCGTCGTCGTCCTCGACGGGACACCGGAAAGGATGGCGAACCCGTGTGGTCTGATGAGCTAGAGGATGCTTTCCAGCAGGGTAAGCACATGCAAACTTACCAGCGAGAGAAAACAGAATACTAACGTAAGCTAGCTCTCGAAGCGAACCCTCCAATGGGTCGAAGGAAATGGTCGGGTCGTGGAAAGTCGTACGGGCGGAACGAGCTCATTGCAGAGTTTATATACAACACCACAGGCAAAAAGCGGACCAGAAAGCAAGTTTCTAGCCATTTGCAAGTCCTGGACTCGTTCCTGAAGGGAGATCTTGACTGTAAGATATCTGCCACCGTCCAATCAACGAAGACTGACACCATACACAGGGGAGCGCCTAGTCCGTGAACAGCAAGCAGAACGATCGAACAGCCAGTCTCACTCGGCTGGTTCCAGATGGCGGACTTCCATGGAGCATCCACTATCGAGTCATTACAGCCACCCCTCCTCGAGCTATCATGACCCCTCGCGGTCTATGCATCTTTATGGTGGGGAGCTCCCCCCGCCGCATTATGCATTGAGCTCGATGAATAGCCCCACGCCAAATATGATCCACGGTCTTAGTTTCGACATGTGGGTGAGCGCACCGAACAAACCGGATCGGGTTGAGGAAGCTTTTCACGCGTACACGTGTTTGCAAGGCGACCAGCGACACCCCGTCGGGCCTCCAATGCCGCTGGAGAGCCTTGTCAACTGGCGTCATTCATTCCCCCGTCTTGGTGACTTGATGGCTGATGTGAATACCCCAATAAACTGCGATATCATCTTGCTCGAGACCAATCTGAAGTTGATGGATGATTTCCCCCCCACTGGCTCCCGGCTGGGAACCCAGCTGCAACTCGACTATTCCCACCCCACTGCGGGGGATATCTCGATGACCCACGAAATGGACAACTGGGGTTGCAGTACCTATATGTACGAGGATGGCCAGACGATGCTGGAAGCCCACCACAGGGTCTCTAAGCCAGCTTCTCCAAAAATTAAGCCCCCGTTCGAGTCGATATGGTGGGCCAAGCTATTCACCGACCTCACGCAAGAGAAGCGAGTAGCGGAGAGGGAGGGGAACCACTACGCTGCTGACGAACACGCCCGAAAATTTTTTCGCTCTCTGACCGCAGTCCAGGAAATCCGGGCCACCCCGAACAGCTCTCGGCGGCTATCGAATCCGTACGGGGCGCAAACTGGAGAGGAAAGCCAGCGCATGGCGATCCTGCTCTGGAAGTTCCGCCAGACCCGACCTGGGGAGGCAGGAACAACTACCTGGCGGCGACTGATTCCCCCACCGAGCCGAGTCGCTACGAACAGTCCGCGAACAGCATCCGGCATCGACCTCCCGCCGCTCTCACTGGATGCGCTGCTTTCCAAGCCGGCTTCTAGCGCCTACCATGCGCCACAACCGCAGGATTCACTCCAGAACAGCGCTTCTCAACCTCCCTGGCTATATCAGCCGTCAGCAGAGAGCCTCCCGAACATCTATTCCACAGGGTCATTCGATTTCCTCAACGCGATCACTCGACCCGAGGAAAGCTTAAACGATAGAACCGCCGTCAGCTCGGTGCTAGACCCATACCCTGCTCTACCACCAGCAGACACCAGCCAGCCCTCGCATCTCAACGGCGCAAATTCAGGCCCGATGATGCTCCAGGTGCCCGATATGTCCTTATCTCACTCGAACCTCGGTGGATATGGAATGAGCCATGATGGGCACTACGTGCCATCGCAGTCGCACGGAGTCGGCGTTCATGACAACCAGGGCGTGCTCAACAACCTTTTCGGATCATCCACGCAACCCCTCGACGACCTCAGCCATAGTCATGCGGCGTGGTCCGCCACTCCAGCGACAACTCTCCCTGGTGACATGAGCAACAACTACAGCCATCTATCATACCAACCGTCAGAGCACCCGGCGTCCGTGTCGCGGGGATCGCATGCCGGTCAGTTTGAGGGTCTAATGAGCGCGGATGATTTGGGCCTGGACAAAATCGTGAGCAACATGCCGAACGAACAGAACCTGAACGGCGCTGGGCAAGACCACACGCATCAGTCATATGCGGAGGGGAATCCTGTGGAGGCTGGTTAACCAGGGTCTCCGGTGAATGGGTTTACTTTATGATATTCATGGGCATTAAAAGTATCGTTCGTGGGGGCGTGCTACTGTGGAGTTTAGCGAGTGGCGTTGGATTGATTGGTTCATAGTATCTGCTATCTGGCATACCTGCCTACCTACCCTAGTATCTAATATTCTCTTATAATGATACCATAATTGTTGATCGATCAGTGCTTAGAATGTGCAATACGTGGTTGTATGCTCAAGAGCAACACTAGGCAGCACAGGTAAATACGAGCTTAATGGAGATTCTTCAAGTTGACCTGAGACCCGTCTCTTAATAACATAAATCGACGACGAGTCTCCAAGACATAGTACCAGGTCGACTTGTTGGCGTAGCGGTCATGATCACATGATGCGACTGCCAGTCTCAGCCTCGTCGCGTCGACCCCGCTGTTTTCTTATCCTCATCAATACCTGACCGCGACTTGTGGGGTCTTCTACCTGGTGTGATTGCAATGATCCTTGTCTCCTGATCCTCAAAAGAACCTATATCGAATGCCTTTCGTCAAAGCAGTATAGATTCTTCTGTCATGTCCATCGAATAACCAAAATGAACATCAACGTTAAGCGATTTGGGCTGACGGCCATTCATAACCCTCCCGAGACGGCAACAGTTGAGTATGTGGTGGGCTTGCAGGGATCCTACCGCAATCTTCTCGTCTATGCAACTGACATTTTTGGTTCGCTAGCATTGTCTTAGTCCACGGGCTCAGTGGCCATCCAAAAGATACATGGACTAGCGACACGGGCACTTTTTGGCCTACTGATTTGTTACCACATGCACTGGGCCAGTCTCGGGCTAGAGTGCTCACTTATGGGTACGATGCCTCTGTTCAAGCATTTGCAGATGGTAACGGTCTTGGAATACATGCCATTACAAAAACTCTGGTATCGACACTCGTAGCGAACCGAAATGTGAGTGAATAGTAACCGCATGTGTACAGTGGCTATCTCGTTCGACTGACCCTTGGACAGTTTCAAGGATGCTCTGAGAGACCTATTATATTCATTTGTCATTCCCTCGGGGGTCTCATTGTTAAAAGAGCTCTCATTTATTCGCACTTAGTATCGAGCAAGGGAGTGGAGCTCCTGAGATCGATTTTTGTATCAACATATGGATTAATCTTTCTGGGAACCCCACACGATGTTGGCGATCGTGGACAATGGAGCCTGATTCTGCAATATCTATGTGAAGCAGTTCTGCCCCAGCAATTCCTCCAATATTCCCCACACCTTATAAAGACCTTGAGTGACAACAACGGAACTATACGGAACACCAACCGCCTTTTTGTAGATCTGTGGAATAGGTTCCATGTTTTTTTCTTTTACGAAACCAAGGGCATCGGTCTTGAAGAATACAAGTGTGTGGTAGTGAATGAACACAATGCTGCCCCAATCGTTGAGGGCGCTGAGCGTGCCGGAATTGCAGCCGATCACGTCCATATGTGCAAATTTGACCATGCAAGCGCCCTATCCTGGAAAATAATGGCGGAAATTCTTTCGAGATACTGCACCGAGGCACCCCGCATCATCGACGCTCAATGGCTTGAGGAAAAGCGGGAGAGAGATGTTCAGAAAAAAACAAAAGCCGAAGGTACGAAAACCTACCAGGATAAGTCGAGTTTTGCGCTGATTATACAGATTTTGCACCGTCTACCGAAGACAAGCCCGATGGACAGAAATTTGGAGCGCAGCCCAATATCGTTGTTCCAAGCCTACCAGAAAAACCTTTGTGGGATGTACAACAAAAGCCAGAGCCACAACCACTTTTTGTAGCCCCCCAAGGATTCCTTCCCAATGAGACAATTTTTGGACGGCAAAAGGAGCTGGACATACTGCATTATCACTTTTTCAATATTCGACGTCGCGAATCAATTCCGTCTTGCGTCCTTATAAGTGGAAAGCCTGGTTCTGGGAAGACGCATCTAGCGCGCCAATATACCTGGGACTACCGGAACGACTACCCAGGAGGGATATTCTGGATCGATGCCACGTCTAATCAATCGATGCTCACATGCATTGAGAGGGTTACAAGCGCCATGCTCCTGGACGAAAATGAGCGAGCCACTAAAAGGGGAAAAGCAAGCACCTTTGATTCACAAAATCCTGCTGTCTTTCGAGAATGTCTCAGTACTAGAAAGGGATGGCTCCTCGTTTTTGATGGCCTCATCTTTGATAATGAGAGAGAGCTCTCGGATTTCAGCCAACTTATATTCCCTGACATGAGATGCAATATTCTATATACCTCTGAGGATGAGACGCTGAGCCAAAAGCAGCAGTTGTTTAAGCCATATCGTGTTCGGATGTCGCCCTTGCAGATTGAGGATGCTTGTAAACTGCTGTTCAGAGAGTTTGGTATAAGGCATCCAACTACAGAGCAGCGGGAAAAGGCCAAAGAGATTGCAGTCCATTATGACTGCCTCCCGGGACCAATACATTCTGTCGGCCTAGAGATACACGCAACAGGCGGACCCCTTGAAAAATTCCAGCTCAATTCGCATTTGTCAGATCCTGAAGTTCGACAGCCATTTCTGAACAATGTGCTTTCTCTTCGCCGCAGGAACCACCATGCAGCTAATGAACTCCTCAACCTGATCTCTTTCCTCGATCATAAAATCCCTGTCTTTCTTATTGAAATGGGAGCAAACTCTCTCGCGAGAGTATTCTCTGGAAAAGGTAGAGATATCGATGAACCGTTAGGGATTCTTGTCCACTATGGAGCCATTGGTATTCTCAAGCCCCCGGCTGCACCCACACCTAACGAGGCTAAGAACAGCTGGAGTAGCTTCAGATCCACTTCGTCAAAGGCCGTCAACTTAACCCTGGCGGAGCGCATTGAGCATAAATCGAGATGGAATTTGAAGTACAGACCCGAAAAACTTGAGAATCTAGAAAAGTTTTCAAAAAATACGACTGTGGGGAAGGATAGTAAATACCCAGATCCACCAATAACCACCGACATTATCACGGTGGACAAAGACGTCCAAGCTTTCTGTCGTGACGAACTGAGACTTGAGGATAAAAACAGGAACGGAAGCAGCCCTCGCGGAGACGCTGCAGGGATTTACGACACTTGGCTCGTTCGAGCAACAGAACTTCTTTGCAAGTCTTTCGAAAACTTTCGACGTCTGGCTCCGGAGCTCATGATTGCTGTGGGCTACCCTACGTACATGCCGAATGCTGAAGCACTGGATGGCAACTTCCCCAAAGAATTATTTTCGGCACCAGCTACAGTTAAAGAGGCCCACCATGATTTGAATATACTGATGCTTAATATCGACTTCTTCAGTAAAGTCTCTAAAGCGCAAAACAAAGGTCCGATATTTAATTGGTCGAAAGAGCCTTCACCTCCAGGGTTATCTTCATTGGAAGTCGAAGGCGAAGCAGTGCCATCCGCAGAGGGTCTAAACCGGACCGTCTCTTCTGCGAGCAATGCTTCGCGAGAAGGTAAGATCTTGACCCTGGAAGCTGGTTTCAATGTGGTACCGCTTACACGGAAAATTCCGTTCCAAGATATTTCACATGCCGGCGATGAAGATCGTACAGACAGCGGTGCAGTGGAGGAAGACCTCGACGAAGATGACAAATCTCTGGATAGGAATACGACGAACGTGCCGCCTTCAGAAGGATCTAAGACGCCTAACTTCAGCGAGAAGCACAAGGGAGGTAATTATCATTCAAACGAAGCATCTATCTCCGACAATCTGCAGTCGCCCCCTGCTTCGGGCGAGAAATTTGACCCGGAAAGTACAGTAGAGTCTGTGTCACAGTACGTCTCTGACCAAATATTCTCAGAGAGCTCCCCCCCTACTCTAGACAAAGAACCTATCACAATTTCCCAGAAAATCGAAGTACAGACAGTTTACTCTGATGCATCGACAATTGATCCGTTTGTTAAGGAGGCATACATTCAGGAGCTCGCAAATCTGCTTCTAAATGAGGTTTACCAATATCGAACGGATAGCGATTCCATCAACCAAGTTGCTACGGCCTTGCCTGGGTGTTTAAAAGCATTCTCATTGAGGCTTGGATTCGCTCGATCATCAAAGATACATCGCGATATTATGGCTTTTATCCACAAGCATTGTCGGTAAGTGGTCATGTAGAACTAACTTAACGCTAATTCTTCCATTCGTGATACTCACTGATGATGCAAATAGAGATATTACCGATGCGTTCGTTGACAGGTCAACAGAAAGCCAGTACATACCAGATGATGTTAGCCCTGGTGACAAAATGAGTTTGGAGGGGCTCATAGATCTCTGGCGTAAACACGATCAAGGTCCTTTGGATGAAGCTCTTCAAGATCAGCATATCGAACGAGATTGGGAGGAAAGCGAATCTCTTAACGCTCCATCCACACCGATTCTCGACAACAGTGATGGGTACGATCGAGAGGATATTTATTTGCCTAAACTCAGAAAGTACCGTGAATCTATCATGGAGGCCACTGCATATAAATGGCTCTTGACAGACCTAGGAAGACACTGCTTTCTCAGTCCGTCCGACCCTGATGTGATGACCGAGATTAGACAGAAAATTGTGGAGAGCCTACCGTCGACGCAAAAATTTAGCAGAAGAGAGCCATCTGTTTCATATAAAATGACATACAATGTTGATTGGGACCCACTGTCATTTTTGAAGGACCAGGGATACAAGGGAGAACCTTCTGAGGCCGTCGCAACTGCCATCACATTGACAGGTTCTGCCAACACGGCTCAGGCACTAACAAGCTCACAGTACCTTGAGCAGACATGGCCCTCCTCTGCACAACTGGTTCTTGAGATTATCCAGCAGGCTCTTAGGAGCCAGCGAGGAGATCATGCTACAGGTAATTCGACAATATCCTAAGGGGATTCATCGTGTTAACTTAGTGATTGGTCTAGGCGAACTTTCCGACGGCACGAAATTTACAATATGGATTGAGACACCTAATCCGCCTGGAAAAAACACGCTGCTTGTCGAGGTCATTGGCACTCCCTATTCAGTTGCTGAAATAGGAGAGCAAATGGCCTGGATTGGTGCCTCACTTCGCTCGTCACCATATCAAGGAGTCACATTCAGCCGACCAATGGTAGACAATATTCGCGTCATTCAAGGAAAAGGCAAGGCTCCAGCGAAAGCCTATCTTGCAGAGCTGCAAAGCGACATCGGGTTCCAGGTTTATTCAAAACAGCCATCAGAGGCAAACGGCCTGTGCTGGCATGGCCTATTTCGGAATCCCGTGGTTGTAGAGGGCTTTCCAATTTTACGGCGGCCTGATGAGAGAACAGTGAGTGGCCTTGAAATACCGTTATACATTATGGCTGGCCTTGCACAAGCAAGATACGTGAATACTTTCATGGGTAGGGTATATGTCAAAGGGTTTTCGACTATGCTGGTCCCGACTGAGCAGTGTGATGACATGACCATGTGGCATCTGGTTCACAATAGGAACGGAGATAGAATATCCTACCTAGACAGCCCAGTCATCCCTACAGAACAAGTAACGGTCCCACAGCTTGAGAAAGCTCGCCATGTCCTTGGGTGGTGCTCGGAAGCTAAGTACCTCGCGGGTATGTTCTAATTTAAAGGAGAAGCCCTTATGGCTGCTGACGAGATCTGCTAGGAACATCGGATATCAGCTATGAGATAGCAGGGTCTCGACTTCCAAAGCCCCGTGATGATTGCATCCTTGACCAAACATCTGTCTCCAGTGGACAGATGATAGTTGGAGGAGTGCCGTTTGCCGTTGGCTACAAAGATACGCCATTCCACATATCGCGTGGTGGCTACATCAGGAAGCTCAAATGGATTTTCAAAAAGTCGGTAGTGCTTTGGGATGAAGGAGAAAAGCGGGGATGGCTGATCAACGGGACAAGCGCTCTGTTGCACCTTGTCCGTGCCTCCCTTGTGCATGATAGCAAAGACGAGTTCAGCTCGGAGTTTCTGTTTCGATGGGAAGATCTACAGAAAGCACCGGCTCCTTTTTCAAACAAGCCCCATGCGGCCATTTCCGTGCTTCTGAATCACACCAACCGCAGGCTCAAGATCTACCCTGAAAAAGACGATTTCACCCGTTTTGAAGACCGGGTAGAGCATTTTCTGAACATCCTAGAGCAGATCATCGACCATCAGGTACTCGCGGCAGGGCCGGACGGCAATCTCTACAAATCTAGACGTATCCCTCGGGCGCACCTGGAAGGCTGGGATTTTCATGACCTGACAGGTGACATAGATCCTGTTTATCCGAGGGTTGCAACACTTCCTGCAATGGGCAAGGGATGGGTTGACTTCGTCCGTTCCATTCCTGCTATAACGTTGCTGGGACGCGGATTCGGGGACTTAATACAGCCTGACAATGTTTCCTGTACTCATTGGGCCTCACTTCCTAGAGACAAGTACTACCTTGCTGCAGGAATTGTTGACTTGGAAGAAATCATGGATTCATCCGGAGATAAGACAATGTATCCCATCAGGTTGACAGAAAATCTCACGTGGCATAACCTTGAGACGGCATTCGTGCGTTGCGAGTGTGTCAGTGGCCATGAGAAACATTTGGACGTTGTCCAGGTGATTTTACCGCCTACAGTATTAGATGAAAGCGAAGTCCCGAGGAGTCCCGCTAATCTTGAAAAAAGCGGAGCTGTTGTTTTCGGGTATAACGAGCACATTCAATGGTGCTGGGACGATCACGGCGACCCGGAAAAGGGCTCACTCGAGTACTTCAATAACCAATCCTCTTTCATAGAGTCCGATGGTGGAAATAACCTGACGGTTCTATCGAGTGAGACCGCAACTGATAGTGCACAAGTATCGAGGGCCACAAGTCCATCAATGGAGGACCTGGTGGAAGAACCCAGCGATGTGATCTCTAACCGACTCGAACCACTGACTAAATCTTATACTAAGTGGAAACTGGAGGGGTTAGTGGCGGAGGACTACTCAGTTGGCATTGTATGTGCATTGCCGTTAGAGCTACTTGCCGTGCGTGCGCTTTTTGACATGACGCACCCTGACATCCACGTGGCTGCAGCGGACTCCAATCACTATGCGCTGGGTAGCATGGGCAGACACAAAGTGGTAGCTGCATGCTTGCCAGACGGGGAGTACGGGACCAACTCGGCAGCAGATGTCGCCTCGAACTTGCGTCGAAGTTTCCGGGGAGTCAAGTTCTGTCTGCTCGTGGGAATAGGCGGCGGCGTTCCCTGTTCGCGGAACGATATTCGGCTCGGCGACGTGGTCGTGAGCAAGCCGATTGGCATGAATCCCGGTGTGATGCAGTACGACATGGGTAAAGCTCTTGAGAACGGAATTTTCGAGCAGCAGGGGTTCTTGCAACCGCCGCCACGACTGGTCATGACTGCTCTCAGCAATCTGAAGTCTGACCCTCACCTCTCGCGGACACCACTCCAAGGCTACATCGAGGAGATTACTGCCTGCAGAAGGGAATACCGATATCCGGGCGCAGAACACGACAGACTATTTGTGAGCGAGTTTGCACACGATCCGCGATACCCCACCTGCGACCGTTGCAGTCCCTCTCAACAGTGCAGAAGACAGACACGCCCTAATACCCACCCACGCATACACTACGGGCTCATAGCGTCGGGAAATCGAGTTGTGAAAGATGCGCAACTGCGGGACCAGTGGAGCCGAGAGAAAAATGTCCTCTGCTTTGAAATGGAGGCGGCCGGAATAGTGAACACCTTACCCTGCTTGGTTGTGCGTGGGATCTGTGATTACTCGGACAGCCACAAAAACAAACGCTTCCAGGAATACGCAGCTGCGACTGCGGCGTCATACGCTAAGTTACTGCTATCCTACATGAAAGAGACGAATGACCTGGAGGGAGTATTGCGGCCGGCAAAGATGGACGAAACCGCTCTCCTCAATGTGTTTAGGAGGGGGTTTTCATTCCTGACATGGGGGAATGCATGATTCTGGGTTACCCGTTTGTATATAGCATGGAAACCTTGCAATCATATAGAATTGTCATGTACATATCACTTTGAAAACTACCCAAGTCCGTCAACACCACCAACACATCTACCCCATCATCCACCCAACTAGGCTTTCTCAAACTTTACTCTCTCTCCCAACCGGCAAAAGCACAAACTCCCACTCAACACCCAGCATGAAAACTCGCCCATCCCAACTCATCAAGCCCTCCTCCCCAGCCGCAAAAAGCACTCTCTCATACGCGTCCTTTCCCCTGATCCCCACCGTCACCGAAACCAACCCATCTGGGAGATCTCCAGGGTTAGGCACGAACCGCAGTCGGCAATTCGTGAATACGTTCTCATTTTCCTGAGCACGCACGCCGAATAGCTCTTCCCATTTTTGCGCTGCGCTAGTAGTATCCTTACCGCTGCTGACGCTCTTGTCTTCAGGTGCCAGTCGACACGTAGCGCCTAGTAGTTGTAGATGTGTCCGATGAGACATTTTGCGCGAGTAGGTAGGGTAGTCGGCTCCGCAGGGGGGCCAGGGTGCTACCGCAGTGTCTACAAATGACGGTATATTTGATTGATGCTGGTTTGGAGTGTAGGTGTCCAGCTCGGGCATTATGTTCCCTACCCCGCAGTTATTGACTGATCAGTACTATTACTAGAACCCCACCAGCGTTCTCGAGGGGGGACAAGGGAAAAGAAAAGAGAAAGACAAACCAGGAATACCCTTCGGACTAAATTGCGCACGCTCTACACTCCCACCACCATCCTCACCCTCACTAGCACGCTGTCGTAGCGCGACTGCCGCCAACTTCTGCTCCTCTATGAGCTGCGTACGCGCTGCAGTGTCACCCACCTGCATGATGAGCATGTATCCGCCGTCTCTGCCGCGCTTGTGGAGGAGTCGACTCGCTGCAGTGGGTGTAGTAGGGTCTATGGGGGAGAGAACTTCGATGATGTCGCCTCCTAGGGGGACTATACACATATGATATCGTTAGGCTTGCGGGCTGATTCTTCGGCTGGTATAGTATTGGGCGAATGGGTGTACCGAGAATGTTGCGTAATCCAAACTCCGCGACTTCTGGCTCACGATTGATTACTTCTGTGTTGAGGACTTTTGTCTGTTGTTTTAGTTAGTGGAGTTGTGGGGAGATGGGGTAGATGGGGAGGGAAGAGGTACAATTTGGCGCTCGGCTTTGGGGAGGTCGTGCACTAGGAAGGCAATTTGGCGGAGGCGGACGGGTTCGGTCATTTTGCTCTCTGATTTTCAGTTGATATCAAGAATATGAATGTTGAACGGGGGAGGGTGAATGTTTGGAGAGATGTCGGCTGCTTAGGATGCGGGGTTTGTCTATCCTCGGCACAGGGATGTCTATATGAGGCGGCCGATGTCAGAGCGTATATGCGAGTTCGTATTTCTGTGATGAACTGTTCTCAGCCAGAAAAGACCCTGAAATGAAATATAATTACATACTCGATAAAATCATCTGATATAATAGAAATAAATGTTAATAAACTGACAGACCACGAAGAAAAAGTATAGTATAGTACAGTATAATCCAGACCTATCCAATAAACAACCACGCCACCAACCCGATCCACGCTCCACCAACAATGATCGTCAAAACAGCAGCACCAGCTTTGTCGCCAGTAGTAATAGGTGCCAGCTTCCTCTTTCCACCCTTTTCGCTATCACTACCCGCATTAGGGTCACTCTTACTATCGCCGCCCGTCTTCGCAGACACAGGTGGCTTATTCGACCGGACGATGAGATTCGACAGGAACGCACCCAGCGCGCTCATCTGCTGCTCCATGCCCGTGCTGCCGTCGTATTTATCCTTGTACCAGCGCTGGCCGCATGCGTTGTTGGGGCCTGTGCAGGAGCGCGCGGCTGCCTGCGCGGTGGATTCCAGCTTCGGGATGATGCGCTCGGCGGTGCTTGGGACGATCTGAGTCACGAAGGCGAGCCACGTCGTGTACAGACTTTTGTAAGTTTTCATGTTGTTGTCGCAGGTTCCGACTTTCTCACAGTAGACTTCGACCATGGTTTGGCCGTTGGGGTTGAAGCCATCGTATTTCAGCGGGTAGAACTGCTTGAGTCCGTAGTCGAGGAGGCCGTTGACTCTTTTGAGCCACTTTTCGTCGCCGTTCGTCTGCGTCTTGTTAGCATGGTATTGGTGTGGGAAGGACGGGTTGGTGGGGGGGGGATACAGACCAGGTTGTAGAGGTACGCGGCCCCCGTCATGTAGTGCCCATAATTGTATGTCCACTGCTCGTTACCGGACTCCTTGCACTGCGAGTCAATGCTGACAGTATCGGCGACGTGCCAGGTTTGATCATTCAGGAGCGGCGTAGACGCCGACCAGTCCCAGATCTTGATCGCCCAGTCCTTGTACCTCTTGTCGTCGGTGTACATGGCTAGCCGGGCCGCTAGGTGGAACAAGCCCCCGTTGGAGACACTATTCTTGAGTTCCCACCCGGGAAGCCAGTTCCACATCTGCCAGCGCAAGCCACCGCCGCAGTTCCCCATGTCCCACCGGGCGATCTGTGTGTTGTAGACGGCCTGCGCGAGGGACAGCCAGGAGGGGCCACCTTTGGGATCGGGGAATTGCATTTCGGCAGCGGTGATAGCCGCTAGGCCCCAGAACATTTGATCGTCGTTGCCCTGTGATGATCATTAGTTGTTTGCTTTGGATGATCGCCGGGCAGCAGGAAGCAGGAGCGCTGTGGGGGTAGAGGGGCGGCATACAAGCCAACTAGTCGCATTATCGGGCATATAGTCATGCTTATCACCCGACTGATGCACCATGCCTTGCGTCGACGCGGCGTTGTAGGTGTCATCGTCCGTTACGCGCCAGTACTCGATCATGTGCATGAACATGATACCGGCCTCCCACCAGGTGCCGTCGAGTTTACCGGGCGTTTGACCGGACTCGTTGCCCTTGTAGTAGTGCATCATACCCCAGGCGGCCGTGGAGGCGGCATCTCGAAGGGAGTCTTCACTCTCATCAGTACGTCATGATCGGCTTAAAGGAAGGCCACTTTGGAGGGGTGGAGAAGGGGAAGAAAGACGCACCATCGCTCTGGATATCCAAGTCGATAGCTGTAGCCGTGGGGACCAACAGCATGGCCAGCCATACTGTCGGCAGATATGACGAAAGCTTCATCGCGAGGGGCAGCCGCAAGCTTCCGAACCCGGTATATTAATGATCAACAAAGACGAACGAGCACGCGAAAAGAGGCCGTCTAGGGTCGAAGGATCCTCGCTGCAGGCGGCTCTGTCCGTTCCTTGAACTCCCGTCCTGCTGTCTGTGTGTGTCCAGCGTCCAGTCGCGTGTCGCGACAGACTAACAGGATGCGATAGACTTGACTCTGTCTACTAGCGTCTTACTCTACCAGCTCTGCCCTGATCGACTCTGTTCATCCAATGGGTGGTAATCAAGCTCCGAGAGAAACCGATCTTCTGCTAGGGGTACTCCGATGGGTGGAAGACGTGAGCGCGCGAGCGAGGGAATGCTGAGGGAGTGCTGAGGGAAGGAAGTCAGATCCTGGTCGACAAAAGTCAGAACTAAGGAGTCGTTTACAGCCCCTTGGGTGCTGATCCAAAGCCAATCTGAGACGAGTCGACGAGTAGCTGCAGCCGTTTTGTTACAAGAAACGCCTTTACACAAGTGTGACAAAGGATGGTTGGATGGATTATGGGAAGGATCAGGATCGGACGCCTGAAAATGACCTCTGCATAATATTTCCTGATATATTAGGATATAATTGGGGGAAACTACCGAGTCAATAGTTCAGGATGAGATCCTTCCGACCCTGACCTGACCGGGCTTTCCCAGGGGCAATATTATCATGCTGTTCATAACGTGGGCATAATCCGCCAACCCTGGATTTGGGGCCTGAGGGAGGGACTAACCCGTCATGAAGATATCTTGTCAATGCTGACTGTTCTATTATTATTCATTCCCATGAGGCTGGTGTCTGATGGTAGTGGGGGTATCCGTTCGGTCTAAAAGCACTAAAGCCACTAAATTAGAAAGTTCCCAGGTTGAATCGACTGACTTCATCCCCCAGAACTAGGCGTCTTAGGGCTTTTGCTGGTTGGAACAAGCGTCGCCAAGCGTAAGACAGTGGGTCGGGGCGTTAGTTCTCACAGGATCCATCCCACAGGATTCGTCGGGCATGGTTCGAGTCCAATCAGCCGTGCCAACTCAGTTGGAGTCTGGGATTGTCATGTCAGAGGGGTGACACGAGTTGGCCAATTGAATGTCGATATGAACCAAAAAGACAAGTCGATCTCGGTGGAGTTCCGCAAGACTTCTCTAAATGACGGAGCATCCATCGTTCATACCGAGTATCTTGATGGGTCGCCACCGATCTCTTGTATCCATTCTACCCTCACCCCCGATGTCAACCACATCGACGAACATGGGGGATTAAAGAACGTCGGTAGACGTGCATGAGATGAACAAAATTAAGGGGAAAGAATAAGATCTTGGACAGAAGCGAGGGGCCAAAGGCTCGGACACTTGCATAGCCCTGCTGTCCCGAGTGGGTGAAACCGATGCCGATCACCACGAACAGCCTCATCTCCAGGACGAATGCCAAGGCGTGTTTCGACCAGGGTTTGATATGCTAAGAATCCTTTCAGTCAATGCTTTTCAAAATTTGTTCATTATTGGGCACGCGGGATCCTGCAGGAATTAATTAAAGGATATAATACGGAGGGGTTTGTGACAATACAATTCCGAAGGATTGATGGAGGGCAGCCTTGCTCCGTACAGCCTGGCACGGGGTTTCCTAGCCCTAATTTGGTCCAATGAACCAACACCTGGATGGGCACTGCGCATGATTCCCTACCTGTTTGGAAACAACAGTCTCTCGTTGAAAAAGGAGAATATTCATAGAATAGATCTAGAATATCGTCAAGAAACTCCGTAAAGGTTAGATAAGTGAGGTCGTACGGAGTACATACTGACCTCATGGGAAAAGCTCGAAAACTTTCCGGCCCCAGTCCGATTACACTGTATTATGTAGATCCGATGGATCAACGTAAGCAGTAGAGTTCGGCCGTGCAGAGCTTACAGACAGAGCAATCGGGCTGTTCTGTTTTAGACCTAGGAGTTCGATGCCTTTCGTTGAAAGGTCGTCGACCAACAAGACCCCTTCCCAGTCTTCCTTCCATACTCCAACCGCCGCCGAAATGCTATCCATAATTAACAGTCTTCTCCGGCAAAGGAAGAGCCGGTTCTTGCTTTTGGGGACAGTGCTCCTTCTGCAAACCTATGCTCTCCTCTGTCTCTTCTCCTCTCCCGCCGTCCCAGGCGAGGACGACTCCGAGATCAACAGATACTTCACAGTAAGCCTTCCACCCTTTATCACCTCAAAGTAGACAGATAGACACCATCAGTCACATGAAGTCCCCCATATCTGACTGTCCAAAGTGGGAGAACCCCTCCTTCGCCTACTTCAACAACCAGTTCATCCTCCACCTCGCCTCCGCCGTGAACAACCCCCTCCCGACCCGCAAACTCCTCTCCCCCGGAATCACCATCCCCGCCGTCCGGGGCGTCCAGAGCGAAAAACATGTCCCAGTAACAGACATCTTCGACGGCGCCAGCCTCAACAAACTCGGATACGAAACCAGTCCCGCAGCGCAGGCCTTGGTCGGAGATGACACCACACCGACCCTGCAGGTAGACCACTACACCGAGATCACCGACTCACCATCGCACCCCATCGTCCAAGCCACCGCCGCCACCGAGTCCTACTGGCAATGGAGCGCCATCCGCTTCACAGCAGAGGCCTTCCTCCTCCCATTTACGGGACACCGCTGGCGCAGCGCAGCACAGCACTTCCAGCTCGCGGAGCCGCTCCAGCGCTGCGTAGACAGCCTTCTCCCCGAGATCATGCCGCACGCAATCGCCATGCACCTGCGCATGTGGCCATCCGACCTCTCTTTCGGCCAAAAGGACCCATGCCACACCAACGAAGTGCCCGTCCTAAAGCACGTCTTTTCCAAATGCGACTGGTCCGCCAACTACCTTTACCAAAACGTGCAGCGCGTGCAGACGAGCGCCTCTCAGCCCGTCGTCATCGCCACCGACGACAGGAAGCACCCCGCAGTGGTAGACCTGATCGCCCGTCTCGGTGATCGTGCCCACTTCATGGAGCCGACGGGCTCCTGCGCCGCCGCGCTGAACGCTACCGTTCCGGAGAATGAGCGGAAGTGGCGCGCGGCCGCTTACTGGCCAATCCTCGAGGCTGCCACCATGGTGCAGGCGGAGGCGTTCGTCGGCAGCTTCTGGTCGACGTTCTCGCAGCTGATTGCTGTCCGCAGGATGGATACGTCCCGGACGTACTTTGTGCAGAACAGGGCGCAGGCGTTCCTGTGGTGGTATCGATGGGGCCTGATTAGCTCTGCGTTGGGTGTGGCCGCTGTGCTGACGGCTTGGACCTTCAAGCGTTATTCTCGGAGCCGGAGGGCCTCGATGTTGAAGGGAGACGAGGGAACCCTTCAGGTGTAGTTTATATATAGCTTTTTTTTTTTTTTGTATATTGGCATGGGTTTGGCGGGTTTGTTTGGACACTTGTATATCAATTGGGTGGAGTTTTCTTTGTTTTGAACATAGTATGGGATTACTATAAGGACCAGGGGTATATATCGGCGATGTCCATACAACTGACAACTTCATTAGAGGGCATATATCATTTTCTTGGTCAAGTTCCTATCATTTATTTAGCTTTTCCAATAATATATATGGAGAGTATGATACCATTTATCACTACATACTGGATGTTCCCGTTTTTGCATCGTATATGTTGAATTTCGACGTCTGCATCCGGCCAAACAATTGAAGATAGTAGTGAGGTAATGATACCGAAAGACCTCAAATAATGCTCACTGATTTTTGGATAAACCAGCATCAACAGACTGTCCCGTGTTGCTCTGGTTGCAGAAATAATTTAGAGTTATCTCGACTCTGCCCAAAAAAAGTGCATTGGTACCATCGTGCACATGCGTTTTCGGAAGTCCTGAGCAATCGCTTTCTCTTGCCGTAACTGATTTTCTCTATCAGAGTATTTTAAAGAAAGATTTAGGTATGTGCTGATCACTATTAATGAGTACCTCTGCTTTAGTAGTACGTTGGAGAGAAAGATGTGGGCAAAAAGCGATGAAGTGGTCAAAATCTTGGGATGTTGATATCAAGTCTATGGATAAGGTTGCAAGATTGTATATAGATAATAATAAAAATATATATAGGGACAAATGAATAAATAAAAGCAAGAAAGAAAAACTGCAGAATTAACCGATCGCAATCACCAATACCACCAAGAATAGTAAGCAGACAACAGCAGCAGTTGCCTATTCGAGTAGCAACCCCGTCAGACTATGATTATCTATACAACATTTTACTACTACCTCAGTCACCGGACCATAGAACAATCATGGTAATTCAACAGCCTATAAGTTTCTGCTATAAATTAAATTCACAACCCATCCATAGGCAACGATCTTTATCCGGATGCCTAGGATCAGACTTTATTGAAGTATAAATGTTCGTGGCTTAGATGCCCAGCAATTAGAGAACAACGATAAGCTGCTGTCTACATACGGGCTAAGCCTCACGAGCTGATGGGTCCCCTGCGCGCGGGGAATTGATAAAACTGCGTCTTATAATCATTCTAACGTGTTTTGCACCTTAAAACGCGGTGTGAGAAATGTGTTGCCTCGACACGTTTATCTTGTGTTAGTTAGGTATCAACAATTCTCATCTCCTAGGCTGAGACATTATCATCCATTCTATCCGTATCTTGGTGGTATGTGACTACATTTTTGAGAGCTATCATATGTATAACTCCACGTATACGTTTTAGCCAAAAGCTATCGTAATATGATTAGATATCTCCGAACATTTCATGTACACCTGCAGATGGCATTAATTCTTCGAAGAGGTCCATGTCAGATAGTCATGCGCCTTTTGATAGACTATTATTGCCAAAGCAGGCCTGCGCCTCCTGCTATTTTACCATATTTCCAGACCCTCTCGCAGGATGACCGCAGGATTATTCCAATGCGTGGAATCATCTAACTTCGTTGTAAAAGCGTGTACCTTCTCAACAGCCTACCATTTAGGCATCATAATAGATGTGGCATTGGCGCACTTTTGTTTGGCCCAAGCGCCGCGATGCATCTACTAGACGAGCTGTCGGGGCGAACTCCGAGACATTGTAGCGAGGGAGTGTAGGTAAGATGATGACGGTCATGATTAGGCTAATGGATCCGGAGTTTAAAATAGTTTGTGGCTGGCGTTCAGGCACCTATATTCCACGCTTAGTATCAACACGACGCTCTGACCGACATCTACACAAGCCTTGATAGGCATCATGAGTTGGTCAACCTTAAAAAGCACACTTACGCCCATGATCAAAAGGGAAACTGATATTCACGAACCCCCCGGAACCTGAAACCCACTTACTCATCGCCATGTCCGACTCTGATTTTGTTTGTACGCTCGACACCTGCCCTATCGAATATGGCTACATCAATTATCAGCCAAATATTGCAGGGAACCTCTTCTTTGTGGCTCTCTACGGCGTCCTTCTTCTCGCGCAGCTGACGCTAGGAATATTCAATCGTACATGGAGCTTCATGATAGCAATCATCCCAGGCCTCATCCTGGAAATACTAGGTTATTTGGGACGATACTTTCTTCACAACAACCCATTTAGTTTCGATAATTTTCTACTGTCAGTATATTCCAAAAGCCTCCTTAGGCAAACACCAGAAACTGACAAAACCAGTTACCTCATCTGTCTGACAATAGCCCCGGCCTTCTTCACCGCTGCGATCTACCTATGTCTCGCGCGAATCATCATCGTCCACGAAGGCGAGGACATATCCCGACTGCGTCCCCGGACATACACTATCATCTTCATCTGCTGCGACGTGATCTCACTGATCCTGCAAGCCGCTGGAGGAGCAATCACTTCCATCGCGGAAACTGATTCCCTGCGAGACACAGGCGTCAACATCATGATCGCGGGCCTGGCCTTCCAAGTTGTGTCGCTGGCTCTGTTCATGGCACTTTCGCTAGAGTTTGCGTATAGCGCCTGGAGGCGCTCGCGAAATACCACCGCAGCTGCAGACAAGGAAGGTACATACGCTGATGTACGAGAAAGTTTGAAGTGGAAGTTATTCCTTGTTGGTATGTTCCCATTTTCGATTTTATCTCCCTAACTTTTCAGATGGTGGGCTTATACGGTACAGCTCTCGCGGTCGCCACGGTCACCATCTTCGTTCGGTCGTTCTTCCGTGTTTTTGAGCTTAAGGGAGGGTTCGATAGTCGGTTGGCGAATGATGAGGTGGCTCTGATGATACTGGAGAGCGGTATGGTTGCCATTGCGTGTATCTGCCTGACAGTGCTCCACCCCGGGGTTGCGATGGGAAGAGCTTGGGGACAAATTAAAATGTCTACTTCCAGGCGGGGTGCGTAAATATGGATGGTTTTTTCTCCTTTTTCTTTTCCTTTTTTGTCTTGACAAAGTTAACATCTTAGCATGCGGTTGAATACTGGCGAGTGGTTCTTTTGGAAGTTTGCTGTTTTTTGTTGGATGATTGCCCCTTTATATTTGACACTATATATTCGTTTGTTCAAAGAGCCGGGATAGTGTTTTAAACAGAAACTATACGTAGTAACAGCTGAAGGAAAAGAAATAACTGCATTACAATGGTCTAAGTCGTGATGATGGAACATTTCCCACGTCTTCTTGCAATAGCATCAGTCGCCCATGTTGCTCCGAGTACTGTAGTCGAACATTTGTCGACGCCGCTCTCTTCTCCATAAAACTACTAGTCGAATACTCATCGTCCCCAAGCTTCTCCAGTCCGTGGTAAAAGGACGGCAGGGTCGACGATTTCCACAACGGGACATGGTTCTTTCGACTCAGCACAATGGTGACGACCAAGAAAATGGTACCCAGGAGGACCAAAGAAGCCGGGAAAGCGAGCCATGGCCACTGTACGCTGACGAAGATCTCGTCGGTCTTGACGGTCCCACGAACGCTCTCGTTGGTTGACTTCAGGCCGAGTCTCGTCAGCGAAGCGGCAATTCGCTTCATGGCCTCTTCAAACCCGATTGTCACGATGCGATCGGCATTGAGCTCGATCCCGTTGCGCTCAAAGTCTGACTCGCCCTCTACACCTGTAATGTCTGCGTCTGTACGCCATCCTTCTATGCTATCCCACTGCCAGTTTATCTCGTTCACAACGGGCAGAACATCGGACATCTGGCTCTGTAGCTTCTGCATATCCCAGTCGCAGAAGGTGAGATTCAAGGCGGGCTGGGCATCTGTTGTGTATGGATCTTTTGGTCGCCAGCAAGGTATCGTCTCACCGGGTCTCAGAGTGTCTGGGCTCTGGGCCAGATACAGCACACCGAAATCGGGGGGGGGAGGTGTGTATTGACGCGTCCCCATTGGTAACCGAGATGTCATATTGTCGGAGACAGACCGAGAGGCTGCACTCGGTCACTTTCTGGAAAATCACATCATCGGAGGTCGGGGCGTTCTCTGAGAGCTGGCCTTTCTTCATTCCAATCTCAGCGTACGCGTAGGCTACCAGCGGATTTTTGACACCGGCAAAGGTACTATTAGGGTGATCCGGATCTTCACTAGAGAGAAGACCTGAATAGTTCTCATAGGCCTCATCGCTCTCGTCGAGATCCTGCACTGAGAACCGCTCCCAGATGGCCACGTTCGGCATAGACATAAATCCCCGTTTGTTCGATATGGAAAAAGTTCCAGGAATAATCGTATCTCCGTGTAAGGGATCTTCCCCCACCCATGGATGGGGCAATTCAATATGGCACCTTTCATTAAAGTTCTTATCCGGAACAGGCAAGGAACAACTGAGCTTAGCAATAGAGGTCAGATCGGCACACTGGCTACATATACCGATCGATGGGAATGGATCCCAGGTACAGTTGCCGGACGAACATTTGGGTTCGAAGCTCATGTCTTCGCTAGACCAGAGTCCTTGCATGATTGCATTCTTCCAGTCGATAATTTTCGGTGCTGGGATGTATTTAGTTACCTGGGGTGCCGCAGCTCCACTCAGATTATCATGATCCGGTACTGATACTAGAGGATAGCTAATGACCTGCTGTATAAACGGATCAAATGCCAAAAGGAGGATAATCAGGGCTGCACCGAGACAGACAAAAGAGCGAGCACCATGATTGATGACGATCATCAGCGATCCCAGCGGTCCTCTGCTCGCAGAATCAAACGATTGCATTCCAAATAATCGTCTCTGCCTCGGATCCTGAAACCACAGCCATTTCAGTTAACATATGGCTTCTCCTATCACCAGAACCAAAGAAGATTTACATCCCGTTGCCAGCACAGAGATAATCGTATTCAGCGTGATCTTATAAGCCAGCTGCGGTCGCTTTTTGTTGTCGTACGCCACAAGAACGCCAAAGATCGCGACCAGACAGGCGATGCTAAACGACAATGCAATGCCCTCGAGAAGCCATGTGTCAAGCCAGAGAGATCTCTTGGCTTTGGGGTATTTTTCACGGGTCTTTGTTTCGGATGGCGCCGACATGGTCTCCTCGCAGTCTTGTGCCTGGGCATCATTCAAGGGCCCTGATTCAACCGTCATCTTCCGACGATTCGGCTTCTTCTAATCGTAGAGGGCTTGGAATTGAGAGATGTTCGGTGTTCATTCGAGATAAAGAACTCAATTCATAGCGCATCGTACCAGTAGAGGGCACAAAGCAGCAAAATCCGACGAGGCGCATGGACTGCACAACGCGCTCCTTGGCTTATAAGAGGAGGCATTGCTTAGGGTGGCATTGCTTTAGTCCCAAACTCAAGCAATAAGATTTGAAGCTCAGCCACATTGCTTGAATCTGTTTGTTTTTGTCCCCTGTATCAGGCTGAGAAACCTGGTAAAGACCAACGTGGGGGCCAAAACGCCCGTTGGACGGAGCAATTGGGAGGATATTAGCCGAAAGGAATTACCTATGGATAGTTATTAGCTATTGTTGATGATCATTCAATCACAAGGGTACAAGGGTCGTTTTGAGAGCGATGGGCGCGAGGGAGCAGTGAATCTTGGTGTCATAAATTGAGGTGTAGTTAGAGTTCCTGGACCTGAAGCTGCCATGGTTAGCCTACAGCCCTGAGGTTACTATTTGTGAAGATCTTTTCTTACTTTCCACCCTTTGGTTGTCTTTTTCTTGTGTTTATTCTATTTAGATGTCTTGGTTTTTTTCTTCACCTCGTTTCATCCTCTTGCCTGCCAGTTTTACTAATTCATAGGAAGGCTTGAGAATTCTCATATCGTATATCTTGAGTGCAATTTGTAAACAACTTAAATGGTATCCAGCTGATGTGTCACGCCCGGCAACTCCACATACCACGCCAAATCACTATCCTCCTTCATCTCCCAAGCCGTAAACCCATTCCCCATAAATCGGAACCGATTAGCACTCGAGTACTCAATATCCCAGTCCTCCCCACGGATCTCCTGCATCATCCGGCGGAACAGGATCGCACTACCACCGAACAGCGCCACAACACGGCCGTCTGCCGTCCCCCGCTTGTACCAGCTCTTGCAGCCACCCGTCCACACAAGCGTCTGATGCACTTGCTCGCCGTATCCCACAAATGCCTTCTCCGCGTCCAGCTTGGGCTCGACGGACTTGATGTCTTCCGTGGCGATCTTGCGGATCCACTTCATGAAGTAGTCGCCTGTCCAGTTGAGAGACTCCACCAGGGAGCCGTGCCCGCCGAGACAGTTGGGGCCCATCATGATGAAGTAGTTCGGGAAGCCCACCGTTGACACGGATAGGTATGTCTCCGGATCGACGTTCCACTTGTCGGCCAGTCGTTGACCGTCTTTGCCGATAATCGGGAAATGGGGAATGTGCGAGACATCGAAGCCGGTGGCGCATATGACTGTCATTGTGTTAGTTGCTAGCTGACTAGAGGTTACGTATATGAATATGAACGGAAGACATACCGACGTCGCACTCAAAGGCCTTTCCGTCTGCGGTGTGAACGGCGTTCTCACTGATATGGGTGATGGTGCTGTTACTTAGATTGCAGTTCGGCAGGGAAAATGACTCGAGATAACCCTGACCCGGGGTGACGCGACGACAGCCCACCTCAAACTTGGGGATGAGCTTCTCGCACAACTCCGGGTCGTGGTTGAGTTTCTCGGCCATTTGATTTGTGCCGAAACGCTGTGCTTCTTCGTTATTGCTTCCTTTGATGAACTGTTCTAGTCAGCACCATGCTTACTTCTACATAAATGGGTAGACATAGGGAGAGGAAGACATACTAGTCTGAATGTTTTATTTGTCCTCCCCAAAATGCCTTTCCGGTACTGCCGATGTGTCTCCGGATCTTGGAAGGCCTTGATTTGCTCCTCGGTGTATGGCGGGTTCGGATTAGGGTCGTCATTGCCATGGTGCCTGGATGGCGGAACGCGAAGGTACACCCACGCGGGACTGCGCATAAAGTTCATAACCGTTGTTCCTGGCAAATTTGCCATCTGAGGAGTAATCTGAATGCCCGACGATCCATTGCCAATGACGGCGATGCGCTTCCCCGAGTAATCAAACTCGTGGTCCCAGTCTCCCGAGTGGGTGAGGTGGCCCTTAAAAACGTCGAAGCCAGGGATTTTGGGCCACACAGGATGTCTGGTTTCATTAGTCCGCTGCGTTGGTAAAAGTATAACATCACATGGGAGACATACACAAGAACTCCCTGGGCTGAAAGGACAATCTCCGCATATTCAACGCGCTTCTCGCCCGTGAGTGTGTTTTCCACCTCGACTCTCCACTCCCCCTTCTCGGCCTGCCAGGCCATCTCCACAACTCGCGTGTTCAACTGCAGGTCACGATCAAGGTTCCACTTGCGAACTGTCCGATGGATGTAGTCCTGGATCTCTGTTCCGCTGGCATAGAACTTGCTCCAGTTGGGGTTGGGGTCGAAGGGGAAGGCATATGCATGCGCGGGGACATCGCATTGCACGCCGGGGTAGGTATTGACGAGCCAGGTCCCGCCTACATCCCCTCGAGCCTCGAAGATGGTGTGCGATACGTACCCATCTAGCTCTGGGAAACGGTGCTGGATCTTGTGCGCGATCAATAGACCGGAAAAGCCAGCGCCGATGGTGATGACGCGGATCTTGCGAGCTGTGTATGCGTGCTCGGTCTTGAGAGGGATCGCATATGGGTCATGCTGGGTCGTCCCCGAAGGGCCCGCGGAAGTCCCATTGGGGACGGAGAGGAGGCGCTCGACGTGCGCTTTGAGATGGAGGGGGTCGGAATCAGGAGTCGGGTTTTCAACGGAGGCAGTCATTTTGGCTGGTGCTGATTTTGTTGTGGTAGTTGATGGTATACAGATAGTTGTGGTGAATGGGATCGATTCTTATATAAATCAATGCTAAGATAGAAACCATAAGGGTATCGCAAGACAAGTCCCCTAATTATCTCTAGACATGGCCCGGCACATTCCCCTCCTGCACCATGTGTTCGGGTAAGTGAATGCATTGCCTGAGGGCTGGTATCTCTGGTTGTTCGGCACTCGGTAGAGGCGAGTGGATCATCCATAATTTTCCCAGTAAAGATTCCCGGTTACCTAATTTGGCAATGGTAATAGGAGGCATATCCTGTAGTCAAACCACCATGCTATGGTTATTGGCTTCTATCAGCCGAGACTTCAGTAAGATTGTCATTCTGATACAATTCAACGGTACCAACGGAGGGTAACTGCTTCGGTTGGATGTGGTAAAGGACTGATGGTAATAGAGAACATTTGCAGAGCTATCATACCAAGCGTAACTACTCAGCTACAAAAAGATACCATACATTTTTGGCCTTCGTAAAGAACTCCATATTCAGTTCGATAGTAACTAAGTAACGCTGTGAGAAATTTGTATGTAAATTATGACAAAAAACTATAGACTACTAGACACTGCTTCGTATGTCTTATCCGCTCCATGCTGCATCTTCAGATCGCAATAGTTCCTATCCGCCACATCCTGTGCACGTTGTCGATATCCTGGCGCAGGCCCCTGGTATCGGGCGATGATGCGTTTCTGCTTGTGTCCCAGCTCACGATTAATGCCTGTCATCCATGAATCCACCTCATTAGCCAGAAGACCCTGCGCACAAGTATGCACATGCTCCGTCCACTCCGCCACTTTCTTCGAATTCGTCTCAGCACAGGTGATTTCATGATCCCGACAATACCTCACAAAGCCCGTCACCCACTCCACGGCGTACTCAATACTGCGCGGGATATTCCCAAACATCTGATGTGGACCCAACACCATGGTCATGTTCGGAAATCCCTCGACAAAAAGCCCTAGAAAAGTGCGAGGCCCCTCCTTCCAGCGATCACCCAGCCGCACACCATCCCGGCCGCGGAAGTCCACCGCCGTAAAGGCGCCCGTGATAGCGTCGAAGCCCGTCGCGTAGATGATCATGTCGAACTCAAAGTGCTCCTCACTAGTCTGGATCCCTTTCTCCGTAACCCGCCGAATAGGCGTCTCCTTCGCATCGACCAGGCGCACATTACTTTGGTTGTACACCTCAAAATACCCACTCTCCAGCGGGACCCGCTTTGTCCCAAACCCATGGCACTTGGGGATCAGCTTTTCCGCCGTGACGGGGTCATGCACGCGCTCGCGGATCTTGTTCGCAATGAACTCGCTGAATAGGGCGTTCGCCTCACGGTCGTAGCCAATATTCTTGAAATTCCCCAGCCATTTGGCAAACCCACGCTCCTCATACAGCTTGTTCCAGAATGCTTCTCGCTCGTCCTTGGGCACGTCCTGCACGCGGCGCTGGTCCGAGGTGTGGACAAATCCGGAGTAGGACGAGCGGCACTTGGTGAAGATTTCGTCGTAGCGCGAGCGGATGTCTTGCATTTCCTCCGGGGAAATGCGCGCGTTGCGCAGCGGGGCGCTCCAGTTGGGTGTGCGTTGGAAGATGGTGAGCTCGCCGGCTGTCTTGGCGATTTCTTGCACGGCCTGGATGGCTGTTGCGCCGGTGCCAATTACAGCGACGCGTTTGTTCTCGAACGAGATCGGGGTGTGCGGCCAGCGGGCCGTGTGGTACCACTCTTTCGTGAAGTCGTGGATACCGGGGATATTGGGCAAGGTGAAATTACTGAGGACGCCCATGGCTGTTACTAGGAAGCGAGATGTGTATTTCTTTCCTTTTGCGTCGGTGAGAAGCCACGAGTTGGTAGGTTCTTGGAAGTGGGCAGATTTGATGGTCGTGTCGAACTGCATATCGTCGTAGAGGTTGAACTTGTCGCATATGAACTGGCAGTATCGGAGCGTTTCTGGCTGGGGAGCGAAGTGCTCATTCCATGACCACTCGTCGAGTAACTCTTTCGAGAACGAGAATTGGTACGACCAGCTCTCGGAGTCAAACCGTGCACCTGGGTACCGGTTCCAGTACCATGTCCCACCAGGGCCAGATGCGGAGTCAAGTACACGGACGCGCAGATTCAACGTGCGCATCCGATGCAGCGCGAAGATGCCAGACAGGCCGCCACCAATTATTAGGACATCGTAGTCGAGGTCCTGGTTGAGTTGCTCAAAAGAAGGTGTTTCGTAGCTGCCCATGATTGCGTCGATAGTTGGTGCTGGGGATGATCAAGTCACCCCGCGATCTGTCGCGGAATATATACAAATGACATCTCCAAACGAACGTCATCCTTTTCCGAGACATTGGAGGCCGGTAGTAACATGGACTAGTATTGTACCGGATAGCCGGCGGTCGAGTCGACCAAATTAGGGCTTCCCCGCATCCCCGGATCGTCCAAAGATCCACCCACCAATATCCAACCAGCTCAACTAGAGCTCCTCCAGGAAGGACGCCAAGATTGTATCTAGACACATTGCCGGATATGCCTTGAAGCTCCTTTTTAATCCCCAGGGAAATGGTTCTGCACTTGTTTCTTCATCATGCATACCCTAGTTCACGATGGACAATCCACGCGCCTCTGAAGAGTCTCTCGCCGACGATGAGAAAGCAACGAGCACCCACATCCCCGACATCAGGAAGATAGACACCATTGACACGCTTCATCAAGATGAAGCTCTCAAGGTGCTCGCTGCCTACACGGGCGACGAGTCATGGACGCCAGAAGAAGAGAAGAAGTTGGTCCGAAGAATTGACTTCAAGGTGCTGCCTCTACTTTGCCTGACGTATGGCCTGCAATACTACGATAAAGCGATGCTATCACAAGCTGTAAAAGCCCTTCCATCTTATACACAAGAGAGTTGAATATACTGATTGATTGAATAGGCCATCTTCGGTCTTCGAGATGACCTCCACCTCACGGAGGGCAACAGATACTCCTTTTCCGCCGCTATCTTCTACCTGGGCTTTATTGTTGGCGCCTATCCAGCCATGACCCTGGCACAGAGGTTTCCCATTGAACGTGTTGCCTCAGTTCTCGTTGTCGTATGGGGAATTTGTCTGATACTGACACCAGCGTGCTTCAATTTCCAAGCGCTGTTCGCGCAGCGTTTCTTTCTAGGTCTCCTGGAAAGCGGCATTAGCCCTATGTTCATGCTCATTGTCGTACGTCAACGATCCATTCTTTCCAGTATATGACAAAACACTGAACGGTTCAGGGAGGATGGTATAAAAAGAACGAGCAAGCGCTACGCATGGGGTATGCTACCTACCTACACACTCTCCACTCCAACGGTACTAAAATCTTTCCAGTGTATGGTACTGCTGGACCGGATACGTCTCCATCTTTTCCCCGCTCATCAATTACGGTCTGGGCCACATCCACGGCACCCTATCCCCCTGGAAGTACATGTACCTATTCGGCGGATCAATCACCATCGTCTGGGGCGTCTTGGTGCTGTTCCTCCTCCCGTCCGACCCTATCCGCGCGCGAGGCTTCGATCCCCGCCAGAGATACATCGCGGTCGCCCGACTCCGCGTCAACAACGCCGGCGTGCGTAACACGCACTACAAGAAGTCCCAAGTTATTGAGCTTCTCACAGACCTCAAGTTCTGGCTCATGTTTTTCATCGCCTTTCTGAGCATGATTGCCAACGGTCCCATCTCAACCTTCACGCCCATTATCATCAACTCAATGGGCTTTGACACGCTGACCTCGCTGCTTCTGATGATGCCATCTGGACTCTACGCAGGTAGCCTGATGCTAGTAGCGCCTTACCTGGCCTACCGGTTTAAGAATGTCCGCTCGTGGCTTGTGTGCGTGTGCGTCATGATGTCGACGGTTGCGGCGCTATTGTTGCTGTTGCTGCCGTTCTCGAAGACGGGCGGGTTGCTTTTCGCTTGCTATATTCTGCCCTCTGTTGGAGGCGGATATGCTGTGCTCATGGGGTTGCAGATTGCGAATATAGCAGGGTACACAAAGCGCGCGGTCGCGTCGGCGGGGTTGTATATCGGATACTGTCTCGGTGAGTCCAAAGTCCTGTCTTGACAGTTGGGAGGTTATTGACTGTGGTAGGTAATTTTGTGGGACCGCTCGTCTTCGAGGAGAAAGATGCGCCCCGCTATGTACCTGGTTTTATCGTGGTCATTGTGACATCATTTGTGTCAGGGCTGCTGGTTCTGGCTTACAGGTTTGTTTGTGATCGTGACAACAAGCGGCGGGATGCGGCGGGCACGATGGAGGCATTTGATAATGCGTATCAGGATGATTTGACGGATATCACCGTAAGTCTATACCTCGCCTCGTTTATCACCTTGCTAATATAGGCAGAATCCCGAGTTTCGCTATATCCTGTAGAGCCATGGTTGTGATGGAGTGTATGCTCAGGGAAAGGGACAGGGACAGGTTTAGGGTTCGGGTTAGGGTTAGGCCGCTATACTATACAATGCAACTCCTCTCATTATCATCTGTTCGATTCCACTCCGTAAACTGTTTACCTGGCATCTCCACATGAACGACCCTTTCCCCAGATTCACAGGCTATACCCCAGATTCTCCACCCGACCGCCGAAAAACCCCACGCGCCTAACCCCCACGTATCTATACAGCGTTTCAAAACACCACGGGTATACTGTAGCCCCATAGACCCTGCCGGCACTAGGCCGCCTCAGGCGCATACTAGCTTCAACTTGGAAGGAGGGACGGACAGCGGGGGCCTTCCGCGCATGGCTACCGGCACCCGGTTATCTTTAGGCATTTCGTTTTACCTTTACCATTAGCCGAATGCCGAGACATCTATGGGGTGCATCTAGCCATACGTGGGACAGTTTGATACAAGACTAATATCGGTGTATACAATTCGAGAAAGACACTTGCAACCACAATCAACACCGAGTATACTGCACAGCAACCATGACTATCTCAATCCCGCTCAGTATGCACGCATGGAGGAAACACAAGGGGAACCCATCGCCAGTAAATTTTCCTCGGCATTTTGAACATCTCTAGAAACTCGTCATGCTGATACCGACAGGTGTGGGAAGAGGTCCCCGTCCCTGGAGTACCCCGCCGTGGGTTCTTAGTCAAGCTGCTCGCTTCTGGGGGTATGTTTTGGTTTCTTCATTGTTGGTTTATCACTTCTGAGGCTTTATAGTATGCCACAGCGATCAGGCACTGCTTGACGTTGAAGACCGCCCGCATTTCAACGAGAAATACACCCTCGTATGTGTAATGAGCCAACAGAGAAAAGTATATACTGACTATACAGGGCCACGAAGGGTGCGGGGAAATCATAGCTATCGGGGAGGACGTCAACGATTCTCGATTCCGTCTGGTGGGTTTATTAGCTTTCTCCATCTGATGGAATGTATCAAACTAAACCAATTTACAGGGTACAAGAATCGCCTGCGTGGCCGTGCCAGGCTGCGGCGCAAAGAGCTGCTCCGAATGCTCGCGGGGTCTAGACCAGCTGTGTCCGAACGGACAACACCATGGAATCGGACAAGACGGGTTCTACGCCCCATATGTTGCGATAGACGCTCGAGGAGCCGTTCTCGTTCCTGAAGGTGACTAATCCCAGTATATCCCAACCTATCTCAGGAACCCTCTGACAGGATGACATGAAGGCGTCCCCTCTGCAGTGGCTGCAGTAGCCACCGACGCCGTAAACACAGCCTACCATGGGATCGTGCGCCGGGCCGAAGTAAAAAAGGAAGAGACTGTCTTCCTGTTCGGGCTGGGCGGCTTGGGGTTCAATGCTCTGCAGGTTGTGCGGTACATTGGGGCCCGCGTCATTGTGTCGGACTTGCGGAGCGAGAAACTGGAGTTGGCGGTGCAGAAGGGTGTGCCCCGTGAGGATGTCGTTTCTGTGGGAAATGGCATTCCTGAATTCGTGGTGGATAATGGGCTGCAGGGGAAGATAGACACGGTCCTGGATTTTGTGGGATCGCATCAGACATTTCATGATGCTCAACAGATTGGTGAGTTTCTTTTTTCTTTTACTCTCCACTCGTTCGTATACATCTATGTGTATTTGTTTCGGGTGATATGGACGAACAACATCGCTAACAACATGAACAGTCCGACCTGGCGGAAAGATTCTCTGCGTGGGCACCCATCACCGCCAAAACGAGGTTGACATGAAGATCGGCATTCGCAAGAGACTTAGTATTATCTTTACATATGGAGGGCTGCCCGAAGACCTGGTTGCGGTCCTGGACCTGATTGCTAAGGGGACGATCCAGCCGCGGGTGGAAACAAAGACTCTGCCGGAGATGCCGACTGTGTTGAAGGATCTTTGTGCTGGGAAGATTCAGGATCGAGTTGCTTTGATCTCTTAGGCACACTGATTTCGAATTCAAACCTATATAATGTCTGAACGATGCGTACTAGACAAAGTAATCTGCTGGATAGATTTGTTTGAATAGACAGCAGTATATAATTGCTGCCCTCTTGTTCGGTTTCTATCGTGATTGGAGCACTCTGGTATTCTTTGCCTTTGCTGGTCTCAGTTTCGAGTTGCAGACTTGTCAAGGAGAAAATTGTGATAAAATCTGTTATATGTACTACCGCCTTACGTAGATCCATCCCAAATATTACTTAGGTACGTATATTCCTGTCTAAGAGCATTTACAGGCTTAGAGAAAGTGTAATGTAGACTTATGATCACATGGAAATAATGTCAGAATTGGTGTGATTTGCCTTCAAAACAATGAATACTACGGAAGCTATTAGTGATAAAATGATTCTCATGCCATAAGCTTAGTGGCAATCAAGCACTATGCCCCCTGCTGTTGTGCTCTCCCACTGACCCGGCAAACCGTAGTGGGAAAGCCGGACAGTTCCCCGCACTGGGGGACTGTCTAGTGAATATATATTGAATCACTACTTGGAGCTTCAGATATCAATAAATAACAATCACTGGCACGCTGAAATAAATCTAAATGATCAATTGACATTTACTTCTAACTAACTTAACAACATCTATTTGGACCAAACCTCAGAGATGCCTCCACTCCCCAAATACGAATACACCGGGCCGGTGGATTGCACTATCCCCCCGGACAGGGCCCAACTCAAGGGAAAGAGTGTAATTGTGACAGGAGGTACATCTCCCTTCCTACCAGAGACCGCAATCACTCGACTAACCACTCCCAGGGGCCAATGGAATGGGCGAGTCAACTGTTCGAGCGTTCGCCGCAGAAGGGTAATTCAGCTCTATCCCGAACTTCAAATTCCAGTACTAACAAGACAAGCGCATTCGTCACTATTGCCGATGTTAACGACGAGCGCGGCAACAACCTCGCAAAGGAGCTCCACCCGTATGATACCCAAAACCCTTGACCTATACAAGACTGACCAATTCTAGGAACGCCCAATTTGTCCACTGCAACATCACTAGCTGGGAAGAACAGGTGCAAACCTTCGAAGCAGCCATTGCCAACTCCCCAAACCGCAGCTGTGACGTAGTCATCGCGAACGCAGGCATCAGCCGCGCCAGCGGAGATGACTTGTGGCCGTTGGACGGTACGTCCCTCATTCATTCCCATGCCGCTTTTGCGACGAGCACACTGTTAACAGTAACTAGATCCCAATGCCCCTCCAGTCAAGCCGGGTCTCGCTATCATTGACGTGAACATGGTCGGGACGCTGTATACGTGGAAGTTAGCTATACATTACTTTCGCAAGCAGCCGGATGTTCCCGAGCGGGATCGGTGCTTTATCATCACCGGGAGCATGGTGGCTTGGATTGACTCTCCGGTATGTCCCCTTTCCCTGGAAATATATAACTTGCTCGCTAACAAACGTTCGCAGGCCAACTGGCAATACACGTGCACTAAATACGGCCTGCGCGGGCTGATGCGCGTTGCAAGACGCAGTTCATGGGAACAGGGTATTCGGATCAACTACGTTGCGCCGTGGTAAGTGTCTTCCCGTTGAGTATCTCCACGAGGAAGTACTGACACCCTCCGCTAGTTATATCAAGAGTGCGATTCGGTCGCCGGAATATGAAGCAGAACTTACCCGCAAGGGGGTGCAATTTGCGCCGCAGGAGGATGTCGCGATGTGCATGATGAGGATTGCTACTGATCAGACTATTAATGGTAGGTGGTGTCCCTCTTTATTACGCTAGGTAAGCATGGTGCTGACAGGACAGGACACTCTCTGATGATCACGCCCAAGTCGGTGGCGAAGGAGGGCTTCAAAGATGCTGAGCAGGATGACCATATTGAGGAGGGACACTTGAAGCGCAATCAGGAAACGCAGTTGCGTGTTATTGAGGATCGATGGCAGGTGGGATGGAGTAAGACACGTACGGCTGAAGGGGCGACAAAGAGTAATGGACATAGTTGAGTTTATCACTAGCTGTATTGAAGGTGTTTCCTGGAGCGCAATTAACCTCAATGCCTTTTGCATGTATATACTGGCTCTCCGTGTGTTATTCGATGACAGCCACTGCACCAAGATATCAAGTCAGCATTTGGTCGGGATTTTCATTACTGAAATCTCAGCATTCTATGACAACTTCAGTAAATAAACTTCTTATGAATTTCTGTATTGCAAGAAGGGATAGTAATTCTTGTTTGGGTGTCACCATCCAAAAAAAGCTAACCAAGGCGATAGGCCATGCCCTATATAAAGCTGATCATGGAACCTTGATCTTGAAAGCATTTGGCTCCGGCTTATCCAAAGCCCACTTGATCCCATCCGTAATCACATCATCCCACTTCTTCGATCCCGACAATTTATCTCCATATCGACGGAATCCATGAGGCAGACCCGGAAACACGCTCACATCCGTCGGAACCCTATTCAGCATGTCAGTCTTCGACCTTTCCCAATTCACACTAATAAGAGGAAAAGCAAAGAAAAACCTCACCCATTCTCACTAAGGAGCTTCGCAAAAAGCAGCCCCTCATCGCGCAGCGGATCCATCCCCGCAACGCCAAACACCGCAGGCGGCAACCCCCTAACCTCCTCCGGTGTCGCATACCCGGGATTTGACCTACGATCCTTCAAATCCGGCGCTGGCCCCAGCAAATTCATAAACAGTTTGATCCTCTCCACCGGCAGAATTGGCGCATCCCGACACTCCACGAAGCTCGAGACACTCGGGTCGCGCATCTGCGCCAGCATCCCGTCATAACACGTGTGATGGACCAAAGGCGGGATTATGAGTACCTGGCCTCGAATGCGAGGCCGCTGGGCCAGATTGGCGTCTTCCCCCGAATTCTGCTGGAGCGCCAACGACACGGTTAGCAGGGCCCCTGCTGAGACCCCACCCACTATGACCTGGTCGCCGTCGCCTCCGATCTCGGAGAGGTGGTCGTGCACCCAGTGGAAGGCGTCTTCGGTGTCGGTCCATGCCACAGGAGCCGGGTACTCCGGGGTGTGGCGGTAGTTGAGGTTGAAGACAACGATGGGGCATCCTGCGGCGGCGAGGGTGGCGACTATGCGTGCGCAGGCGGCGTCTTCGGAGCTCAGCGTTCCAAAGAGGAAGCCCCCGCCGTGGAGATAGATGAAGACGGGGAGGACTTCCGATGGGGGTGCGCCGGAGGGCCGGTAGCTGCGTCCTTCTAGCGGGTGGCCGTCCCGCGCGGGAACGGTGTGGTCTTTGATTGTCACCTGGGAATCAAGACCTGACGCTGTTAGTTGCGCTGCAAATGTTTGTGGTAAGAGTGGGTGTACATACCTTCTTTGATCATTGCTTCTGCTGAGGCTGCCTCGCGGTGGTTGTTTGAGAAGACCTTCAATTCCTCGAGGCTCTGCTTTGGGGGTGGAGGGAGGGTCGCCTCTAACGCGATCCATTCCGGGCTGGGTCCGCTGTACTCTGTGAAGTCCATTATTGTGTTTAGTCTATTATGTTGTGGAGTCTATACTACGATGAGATGCGGCCTATCTCATGGCGTGGGTATAGCTGTCTTTTCTACGTCACTCCAACTCACTCTAACGCGGTGATCGTCCGGACGATAGTCCAGGTATGTCTGCGGGGAAGCCTCGGCTATCACGACGCGGTATTGCCGATTGCCGGACACTACAGTATGTACCGGGCTGGATATACCGTCTTATTATCAACGAGCAACCCCTTTGGACTTAAACATTGGGATTAGTATCTTTGCTAGAGATATAGACTGGGGTGAGTAGATATGCTTGGGCTAGGGTTAGTAACTGCCTGAGGTAGCTTTCACTAGGGCAAGATACCAGATAGCAGAGTAGTCAGTGATGGGAACGTACTCTTTCTTATCTCGGGATTAGACCGTGTTGCTGTCACTATGCTCAACTCCCCCCGCATTTCCCCAGACTCCGTAAATTGACCCACACCCAAGATGTTGCCAGTTTCTCATCGCCCAGCAACATGGCGGACGGGTATCGGTTCCACACTTTCAAGCCACCACAGACAAGACGACGACGAGCGGTGATTGTCTGTGTATGGTGCCATGAGAAAAAGGTAGTCCAAGACCGTACGACACCTTAACCAAGGCTAATCTCGACAGATAAAATGCGACCTGCAAGAAACAAGCGGCCAAGGCTTCGGCAAATGTACCAACTGTGCCTCTATCGGCGTTAGCTGCAGGTATGCGAGAGGACACTTGCTGTCTGTCATGACGTGAAGCGAAAGTAATTCTTGCCAGCATTCGTCCCTCCAAGAGGTGCCGACGGGAGCGACCGAGACGACTAGACGAATCCATTGCCGGAGCGCAGCCGGATCCACCGCTGGATGTCGGCGAACAGGATCAGCCTCTCACACCTCCCCAGGGGACAGAGGTCAGCAATGAGACATCTAGTCAGACCCGGCTAGCACCGATCATTCCAGAGGGGGCCTATCCTAGTCTGTTCGATCCGGCCTGTATGCCGACATCAGTCCCAGAAAATCATTCAATCGCGACTACTGAGCGTATCACTACTGCCGACGACGCAGCAGACAGCTATCTCGGTGAAGTCAACTACGAAGTCGTGTACGGATCTGAAATCCGCTCAGACGCAGACGGACAACGGCGTCAAGCGCCCCCGTCTCCAGAGAAGCACGATCTCCCGCCACGAGACCTGCAGCAGGCGTTCCAGGAGACGTTCTTCGAGAGCTGTTCTACGTGGTGTCCTGTATTTGACTACGACACTATCCAGCATGACCTTGCCCAATCGCCACTGGTAGCCAATGCGCTAGGCCTAGCAGCTGGCCATATCAAGCCGCCAGTGATCCAGCACGCCGATCCTGCCACGTACTACGACCGCATGAAGCAGTTATTCTATGGCGATAAAGAGCCGAACCTGCTTATGTGTTTGAAAGCGATTTCGCTGACGTACTGGTGGAGCCCCCGTCCGCCATCGCGTGTGCATCGCGACACTTCCTGGTGGTGGACGACCGTGGCCATTCGACACGCTCAGCATGGCGGGTTTCATCGCGAGCCACGACCAGAGCAGATGGTGCGCTCCCAAGTTGATCCCGGCTTGCGGCGCCGAATTTGGTGGACTTTCTTTGTCAGTCTCCCGCCCTCCTCTCTGCTCAAGATGTCAAGTTTAACAAAGTGCCAGGCCCGAGAACGCCTGACAGCCCTCTGCCAATCTCGCCCCTGCGTGATTGACCCCGCAGACTGTACCATCCCGCCCCCCACCATCCACGACTTCCCCGAGCGCCAGCGCGGCGTTCAAGCAGAGATCTTCCTGCGATGGATCAACCTCTGCAGCACCATCGGCGCCATCGCAAAGCATCTCCAACGCACCGGCCCCGACAACATCATCAGCACGCCATTCCCCATAGGGCTCGCCCGCGAGCTACTTGCTTGGGCTCACGAGACCCCCATGCACCTGCGCCTGGACTTCCTTTCATCGACCACCACCAAATTCGACCGCAACGTCCACCAACTCCACCTCCCTTATCTCTCCACGGTGATCGTACTCCATCTCAGCCGGACCCCATCCGCCCTGCCCAGGGCCTACCCAGCCGCCATGGTCGCCGCATCATGCATCGCACGCATCCTGCGCGACTGTCTCCTGCGCGGCCACATCCGGTATCTAATGGGCATCACATGCTGGTACTGCAGCATGGCGCTCGTCGCGCTGCTGCACGCGCGCCAGATAAGCCACCTCTCGCGCGCCGCAGAAGCCGATATCGAGTCCGTGGTGCTCACGCTGCGCGAGCTGCGCGCGATGTGGCCGACGGCGAACGTCTTTCTCCGGGGGTTTGAGAGGCTTCGCACGATTAGCGATACCGAAGATGCGATCCCACCGGGCGAAATGGACGATATTAGCGCTGCCCAGGGGATTGACTGGAGGGGTTATTTCCCGTTTGCGTCGGCTGAGACGAGTGAGATTACGGGGTGGTTGTTGGGGAGCGGCGCGGGTGGGGAGGTGATGGGCGCGGAAGAGGTGGGGGTGGAGGAGCTGCTGACGTTTGAGTTGGTGGACTTGTTTGGCATGGAGGGTCTTCTTTGAACACACTATTTACTGCTGTAGATACTTCTAGCTAGTGTAGAGCCGGGGTGTAGCTATTCTGTGCACCATTCCCGTCCAGGATAACCCCCGCACGGCTATCCGGCAGTCGGCTGATGCCTACTAACCCTAACTTTATATATCCTCTCTATACCATCGTTATCACCATTTCCTTTACAGCTATATCAAGAAGCGCAGATAACAAAAATGATCCCCTCCAGTCAATCCACACTCAGTGTTAAACTCATCAACCCCGTCAATGCCGGCCCCTCCCGCCTCCACCGCTTCATGGCCCCGGCGGTGCCGGGCATGGAGTCCCACGCCGACTTCCCCTCATTTTCCTTTCTGTTAGAACACGCAGCGTCTGGTCGCAAATTGGTCTGGGACCTAGGCATCCGCAAAGATTACCAAAACTACTCGCCAAAGATTGCCTCGTACATTCCGACGACAGGATATAACATCCAGGTGGAGAAGAACGTGGCTGACATTCTGGCCGAGAACGGCGTGCGGGGAGAGGATGTGGAGGCGGTGATATGGAGGTAATTTCTTTTTGATGGTTTTATCCCGTTGAACCAGTCAATTAATTAACAGTATACTGCAGTCACTGGCACTGGGACCATATCGGCGACCCATCCACCTTCCCCCCAACTACCGACCTCGTCGTGGGGCCAGGGTTCAAAGAAGCCCTACTCCCAGGGGCGCCCGCCAACCCCGACTCCCCCATCTCAGAAAGCGACTACGCGTATGGCTCCCCGCACTTCTTTTCCTCTCTCCCTAAAACCCCCAAATCAAGCCAGACCAAGCCAAACCAAGCTCACTATAGTGAAATAGAAACCGCAACCTACGCGAAATAACATTCACCGGTCCCAACACCCTCCAAATCGGCCCCTTTCGCGCCTACGACTACTTTGCCGACGGCTCCTTCTACCTCCTCGACACCCCCGGCCACGCCATCGGCCACCTCTGCGGCCTAGCCCGCACCACCCCCAGCCCCAACCCCACTTTCATCCTCCTCGGCGGCGACGTCTGCCACAACGCCGCCATCTTCCGCCCTTCCCCGCAGCGGCCGATCCCCGAGACAGTCACCATTCCGCCCTTCTCCACCTCGTCCAGCAACCGTCCAGGATACACCATCTGTCCCGGCCACGCGTGGGAATCCCTCCAGACGAGCCGCGGCCGCAAGCCGAACCAGCCGCTGTTCGACATGACCTTTGGATACGATATCCCGCTTGCGATGAAGACGCGCGATAAGTTGCAGGAGGTGGATGCTTTGGATGAGGTGCTGGTGATTATTGCGCACGATGCGCAGGTGCGCGACGTGGTGCCGCATTTTCCGGAGGCGTTGAATGGGTGGAGGGGGAGTGAGTGGGCTAAGGGGTTGAGGTGGGCGTTTTTGGATAATTTGGAGCCGTATTGGAGGGAGATGGGGAGTTTGTGTTGATCTTTTCTTGTTTTCTACTGTATATATGGGTTGGTTCTTATACTAGGTTTGCATACTCTTTGAATGGCTGTGTCCGCTGGAAGAAATGGTCGGATATGCTCGGAAAAGGCTTCAAATGGTTGATATTCTTCTTTAATCATACCCCCTTACCGAATCAAAGTGTCGAGTGAATTATCTGTTTTGGGTTATTTTCTGTCCAGCTTTGATAACTCATCCCATACACGTACATAAGCTCTATGTCTCGATTCACGAGACTTGATGAAGAGGATACAGGTCCAGTCCTTTAACAGTACCAATGATCCTGTTAACGCAACTGACCAACATGTTCAACACCGACTCCAGAGGGCAGGACGTGGCCGAGCAACCGTGTTTGAGGTGGATCCCTATCCTCGAAACCATCGACACTATCTCGTCTGCAGAACAGCGTTGAAACGGCTCCAGCGAAGGCCAGAGGCCTGATTTCCCCAATAATGCAAAGTACTCCGCAATGCGGAACTCACTGGTACAGTATTTGTTCAGCAGGTCTCTGTTGCTGCAGGCATGGCACTTTCGCGCGGAGCTGGGGTGACTCCTCCCACATTCTGTGCATAGTAGCTGCTGCATGACGTAGCACGTTTGCTTGTTTCGCAGGACGCCCTCCATGGTATGAACTTCTTCTTGCAGTTTGTACAGAAGTTGCCGGACCCGCCTTGTGAGTTCAGCTGTTTGTTGCGGTCAGGTCAATTATTCATTCATTCTGTCATTGGCTGGGTGGCTTCTAGAATGCGTATAGGTAAGACTCACTGTGGAGCCCGTCGGGTAAAAGGCTTAAGATATCCCTTGTCTCCCATATGGCTGAGAAGTTCAATGGGAGCTGCGTCTGGGCCTTTGCAGATATTCGGGTGAACGCTGCCGAGGACCTGAAAAAATGCGCCGCAAGGAGGAGGTAGCCATATTCTTCTGCAGTCTTGGCACGTTGTAAATCGTTGAACCATTTGTACGTCCAAGGCAGGAGTGCCCTGACACAGTCATATTTATCACAGTGAATTGCAAGCGCGGCGAGTTCCTCGGCAATCATATCGTCGCCCGGCGGTGGTCCCTGGTAGTGCAGGATGCTGATGATGGTTCGCATGGCTGCTGAGTCGTCTTCATGAAGGGCTATTGTGGGGCAGCTGCAGCTCGCCATCTGCGCACCTTCGTAGAAATTGGGTTTGAATAGACTAGCGAACACCGGGGAGGCCATGCTAAGTATCTTCGATGACACGAGAAACCGCGCCGTGCTGTTCGGCCCTGCGACGGAAAGAATGACGTCTCCGTCGGGGTCGATTCGCTCAAGATTGGGTGCGATCCGCCCAATATCGGGTTCACCATCTGTCGGCTGGACTTGGTTAGAGACTTGGTCTGACATCTCCATCTCGCACATGGTTGCGGTTTCTGGGAGCTAGTATTAGCAGATGATACATCTGTCTAGAAGGCTAGAATTGACGTAGATGGCACCGATGCCACCCCGCTTGGTAAAGCACGTGATCCACACAGCCTTGTTTGTCACTGGACCTGATGGAAACATGACGCGGTCAATGAAGCCCATACTATTGGCCATCTAAGAGAGACCCAGTGGGACATAATGCAGATACACCGCAGTCTTGGCTGGGCTAACACGCGATCTGCCTTGGGTATGTGCATTGTTGGGCTGGTTGCATCAGGAAACTTCTAGCCGCCTTATAAACAAAACCAAGAGCCATATATGTACGAGCAATAGAAATCAGTATGCACATGAGAATTCTCGCTAAATATCCCAAGCAGATGTGGCATCAGGGGTCCATGATATATATCATTGAAAACACTCGGTATACAATCCCCAGGGCGACTTTGTCCTCCGGCCATCGGCCATGTAGCAATCATTGTTCTGCTAAAAGGACAGGATGATCGGGGTTTTCCACTCTTAAACATGAATGATTTAGAATGCCCCCTTGCCAGGATAAGTACCATTGAGCGACGCACACTCCCTTTGAAACTCCTCCGGGTCAAGCAATCTAGCAGTAGCACCATTGTGATGAGCCAGCCCGACCAACGTTTTTGCTGCTAAAGTCAGTAACCACTCACGCAGGTCAATAGGCGCAAGCAACGACAACAATGATAATGATAAACATACCACCCGGTTCGTACCCAGGCCACCCAAGCCGACTCAGACCCTCATGCGGATCAGCCGCGAAAGCCACCCACGCTGACATCATATATATCGAAAAGCGATGCTGGTTAACGCTAGGCGGCAGCCCAGTCACCTCCTCGGTCGTTCCAAAGAGAAGGGGCAGGTCGCTGCCGTGATAAGCCCCACTGGTCGGGTACAGGCGCTGACTGGGCCAGTCGCCAAAATAGCGCGAGTGCCAGGTCGGCACGCCGTGGGATACGCGGTCGGCGGCTGCCTGGCCGGTCGAGCATGTGAAGGCGGCTAGGTCGAAGCGGTCCCAGACGGCGTCGGGTCGGGAGATGTTGGCTGCGAACGCGTTGATGCGGTAATAGCCAGATTCTCTGTCGGTCATTGTGAAAAGGTATGGCTGGAGAAGATAGTCAGCGAGAGTGCATAGTGCGACGTGGAGGTTGGAACTGACTGCGTGGATGAATTTGCCGGCTGCGGAGCGTGCAGGATAGTCATCGAACACGGTGATGCCGTCAATGGTGGGATGGAAGACAGGCTGGGGTAGTGTTGGCGAATCGGCGGGAGGGACCTTCGCGACAGCTTTCAGAATTTCTTGGAAGGGTCTCTGGCGAATACACTGGACGGCTTTCTCGGTTTCTATCTGGGCGTCACCGCAATTTAGCGTTTCAGAAACGTGGAAGAAATAGCTGGCCGACAGATCGGCAGAGTTAGGCTCAAAGCTGAGTGCGGTTCCGGAGTGCGAGATGAGGCCATTCACCAGTGGCTCCTCGGTCCATGCATACGAGTAGTAGTCGACTGAGGAACCGCCGACCGACTGCCCGAAGATCGTAATACGGTTAGGATCGCCACCAAAATCTGCGATGTTTCGATGCACCCATTCGACGGCCATCCGCTGGTCCAGAAGTCCGACGTTCTGGGGGAACCCTGGCGCGCCGGAGAATCCAAAGATATTGAGGCGGTAGCTGAACCTTGTCAGTTTTCTGTTGCAGGTTCTGCGATTGATGTGACACCTACTTGAAGGTTACTACGACCACATCCTTCTCATCGGCCAGTGCCTGTCCATCGTAGTAGGGACTATGGGCACCACCCAGGGTGAAACCTACTCCTGTCAGTCTGTTCTGACATCGGCGGGGTAGAGACAGCGCGTACGGCCACCATGGATGAATAGAAGGACGGGCTTCCGGGCGTCGCTCGGTCTGGTCCACACATTCAAATACAGACAGTCCTCGCTCTGCGGAGTGTTCAATTGCTGCGCAAACGATTTGAAGATGCGAGGGGCTTGCGGCCTAAACCCGGGGTAGTCGGGAGTGGTACCGACGATTCCCGGACAGTCTCTGTTTATTGATACCTGACGTTAAAACTGTCGCCCGATCACCAGAGAAACAAACGGCAGTACCTACGGGCTCTGTTCCAGTCAGAGATTCGACAGGGGAAATAATTGAGGTAAAAGTAAAATAAAATAAAAGTCACATACATATTTCGCCGCGCGAATCGTGTCGTTGGCGCTATATACAACCGGCGGCACAAACCGGAGGTCCCCGATTGGGGGCTCAGCATAGGGGATCCCCAGGTACTCCGACACGCTTGGTCGTCGAGCGGCTGCGTGGCCCTCAATCAATCCACTGCTGGTTCGGACGGGCGCGCCGACTTGACCTAGCACGCTGTGTAAGCCGAGCAGCCAAGTAGTAACCCCGACCGTCAACTTCATGGTTGCGTGTTTTCGATCTTTTCGAAATGAATACAAAGGCAGGATGCTTTCATATGTTGGGCTCCTGAGAATTCTTAGCGTCCTGCCCGTGCGCTAAGCTCGATCGATTGATGGGGTCGGCGTTGGAGCCGCACTCGGGGTTTAAGCCGCGCCCTTGCGCCGGTGGCGGTTTGTATCGGACGAAAAATTGGCGGAGACACTACTGACTTCATTCTACGGCTGTCATTTTCCTATGACTGTCGTGGGTGTTGGTTTGCATGACTCGTGAGTGTTGCTGTTGGGAGGTGACCTTGGCTGGTGGTCATATCGCGGACTAGGGCTTGGCCAGTCACCTGCCTTAATCTAGTCCTAGCTTCGATGCAGATATGAGTGCAAGTGATTAAAAGGCAGTATATCTCCCAGAAATCATGACTGCTACGCCAAAACGATGATCAACGATTGGTATAGGGCTTAACCTAACTAATATACCCAACAAGAATTGGCTGGCATTGAATCAATCTCTGGAGACTTCCTGAATAGGTTGGGCCTGGTTTCGAGCTGCAGATCATGACGGAACTAGTTTTCTCCTATCTTGCAGATACGTCAACGCATGGCGCTATGTGTTCCAATATTGATTCGACAGGAGAAATCGCCGAGATCTATTGTGAATGTCAGTAGCTTAACTGTCGCGCGGAGGAAACCGGTAAAACAGATGAAGGAAGCTGGTGGATCAGCAAGTAGATTGTGTCGCACACAGTTATCAAGTTCTTTAGGTGGATCAAGGCCGAAAGAATCCCAGTGTCGTCTCACATAGACCACCGACCCAGCGGCTCGAAACATTTTCAATTACAGCCGTTATTGAATTGATGGTTCGTGCCAGAATCGCCCAGTCGAGCCCGACGTTTGTGGAGACTCGAACGTGGGTACCATTGCGGGCCGGTCTTTGCTCAATCCAATCAAACCATTCTTCAGTCCGAGGATCCATTGCACCCAGGCAGGTTTAATCATTGTTCATCGCGGTTGCTTTCTTGCGCATAATTTCTACCAAACAATATCTCGAACAAAAATCACGTATGCCAGTGACCATGTCGAGGAAATTGGCATGGAGCCTGACCACGTTGGTCGATGGAGCCGGAACCTTGGATCCGAGCATGGCACGCATAGTCTTGTCTCGTTTCTACCATCCCACTCCGTTAAATATTGGCCGGGCCGCCCTGTTCTGCGCAAAATCACCCATCAGTCCCTTTCAAATGGCGTACGAGATCGGATTGAGCACCCCGGAGGTGCCCAATCGCGGCTTTCCCCTCTGGGTCTGTAGCGTGGTGTTCGTTATAATCGCGGGAATGTTTGTGATGACGCGACTAGCGGTCCGATTTCACTATCGGGGGTTAGGAACAGACGATTGGATGATCCTGGCATCTCTAGTAGGTCCCCGGTGCAAGGTTGAGGTCGAGGCGTCGGCTAATCGAAACAGATCGGTTCGATCCTCCTATCGGTGACCCAGTGTATGGCGGTACATCATGGATATGGCAAACATTCAAGGGATCTCTCCGAACATAACCGGGAGGTAGCCCTCAAGGTACGTCGCATACTTTCCTCTGCCATGTCTGGAAATTAATTTTGCAGTGGATATTTGTCGCGCAAGTTATGTATAAGGTCGTCATCACCATCAACAAGACCTCCTTCCTCTGCCTGTATCTGCGCATCTTCATCCAGCCCGTCTTCCGTTGGCTCTGCTTTGCCGGCATCGCCTTTTTAAACTCCTGGGGTCTCGGCTATATTCTGGTCACCATCTTCCAATGCCGGCCCGTCGCCTATTTCTGGGACAAGTCGATCACGAATCCGAACTGTGTCGACACCAAAGCGCAGTGGCTTTCGTACGCAATAATCAACATCGTTTGCGACGCGCTCATCCTCATCATGCCTTTGTACCCAATCTCCCAGCTACGGCTTCCGCGCGCAAAGAGGTTCGGACTTGTTGGCATAATTGCCCTAGGCGCATTGTACGTGTCGACTTCTCCTCAAGCTCCCCATTCATCTATCCGTACTGACCATAGAACAGTGTCTGCGTTATTAGCATCATCCGCACCACCACACTCGCCGAGTCAGCCGATAACGAGGTCAAGGACGCGACTAGCGGACCCATCCCGGCTGTAACCTGGAGTGTGATCGAAGCCAACACGGGCATCATCTGCGCGTGCCTCCCAGCCTTCAAGCAACCCCTGCAATACGTTTTCCCCAACTTCTTTAGCTCCCAGGAGTCGCCCGACCCGACAGACAAGGTTCGCGCCCGGCCCGCGCGCTCGGCTGTCGCCACAGATCCCTTCAGGCGTGGAGTGTACTCAGCCAGTGGCTGGTGGCACCATGTGTCGTCGCATGGCTTGGACGTGTTCCAGGTCAGGGGGAGAGAAAACCCACCGCTGGGTATCACGCAGATTACGGACGTGCATGTCACCTACCAGGATGATACGCGGTCTGATGCGTCGTGGCGGCCCATGCGCGGGTATTCCAGGATGGAGAAATAGATATTCTATTTTCTCTGCTGACTTTGTACATATAAATATTATAATAATGATGGTCTTTGTGACAGTTTCAGTCTTTGCCGCAGGCCAGCTCCCTAGAATGGACGTAGGCATTCGTGATGCAGCTTTTGGATCGTCAATCATATAAATGGGACCTATAAAGCTGCAAAAATCAGTGATGTGTTGAGCAAAGGTTTGAGTAGGTTTGAACAAATAGGAAATACGGTGGGAAAGTTTAGATTTATTTCTTTGTCCGGGACAGACCAAATAGTCTAACTGTTTACATTCGCTGCCATTCACTCCATCTTTCACTCGATCTTCAAATATCACTCAGCTCCTGTTATAATCAAATTGTACTATGTCAAGTGGTATCCAAGTTTGCAAATAACATATAACTTTACCTCCATCTTTCACCTCAGATGAGAGGATTGGTTGAGTTGGCATCAGAAACTTCTCCAATCTCACTGGCCAAGAGCTTTATAAACCTCCATCTCAACGGCTACCCATAGACCAAGAACCTCAGCATTCAAAAAGGGCAGAATTTGCGTACAGACAATTCCTGCAACGCCCTTCTCCCGATCTGCCCACCACCACAGATTCGGCAGTCCAGCCCAGTGCCCTGTTCCACTCGACCGTCCTGTCCCGCTGCCATTGGCCAGCATGAACGTGAGACCCCAGCCTTGTGGCGGATTTCCAGGTACTGGGTACAACTCTGAAATTGCATTGGTCAGGTCTGGTTTGCCAGTAGGTATGCCCTGGCGGCTGTAATTGGGGAACTGTGGGATTTGGTTGGAAAACATCTCGTCGACAGTTTCCTTGCGCAGCAATTTGCTGCCTGTGGTTGGGCACGTTCCATCGTTCAGCAGGACCGCTAGAACCTCTGCAGCAATAACTTGTCAGCTCGTGAACACCGGCTGATAGATTCTAAAGGTACTACTCACTGCAGTATTCCTGCGGCTTAGCGAACAAGCCCGCGCCACCGCTGTTTAAGATCCGGGCGACTTCGGCTTCATTGTCCGGATCAACAACCAGTGGGGCTCGGAGAGGATGGTCTCTGGCCCTCAGTGTGCCGTCGGAATTTTTGGCATTCATATATGCTAGCCTCCCACGCATGTCGAGACTCGGGATCATCGACATGTCGTGGATACCAATCGGCTGAAAAACGTGTTTCTGGAGGTAGGTGTCGAGCCTCAACCCTGTTACACGCTCGAGTGCGATCCCCGCCCAGTCAAGACCAAGCTACTTTAGTTAGCAATATATAGCGCTCCTAGATATGGGGTACTCACTCCGTATTCCCAGCCTTCGCCTGGCTGGAAAAGCAAAGGTTGCGTCACATCTTCGATCCGTCCGGAAAATTCATCCAGGCCGACTGGCAACGACCATTCTTTCAATCTTTCACTGAACATGGAGTATCCAAATCCGGACGTATGGGTCAGCAGCATGCGCAGTGTAATCTCTTTTTTCTTCTCTTCAAGACTCCCATCTGGACGTAAGACCTTGAGGCTTTTCAGTTCAGGACAAAGAGTTTCTATCTGGGTCCCGTCGTCCAGCTTGAAAATTCCCTGCTCCACCAACTGCATGCAGGCGATCCCCACTATCATCTTTGTGCAAGATGCAATCCAGAAGATGTGGTCTAGGGTCATGGGTTCTTTGGACCCCGAGCCACGTTTACCGGCAGAGTGGGCGAACAACTCCTTCCCATCTTTACCAACGACCACGACTGTGGCCCCAGGAATACCAGTTTCTTGGTTCTCGCAGGCCTTGTCTACAATCCCGCGGAGATGCGAGGTCGCTTCTGCATCGAGGGCCATTTTGGTGGCTTGTGGAGTGTGTGAAGATTTGATAGTGTGGATTGGAACGTCTGTCGTGGAGGTAACGGCGGGGGTGTCCTGCAGACTGCAGACATCGGCTACTTAAACACAATTGCTGCAGATCCCATTGACAAATACTACCCTCTCATGTCTGTGATAGTGATGCGGGGCTACTCTAGCTGCATAATGCTGCGGACCGCGCTTTGCTGAACCGCTGCGGACTGCAGAACACGGGGCTTGGCTACAGGAAACGTGCATTCGGCACTGCAGCTACATCAACATGTGTGACGAGATCCAATCGCTTGCTGTGGTTGCATGTTTCATGATGACGTGAGAACCAGGGGGGAGGCGGGGAAGCTCGATGGACTGTGGAGCGGGGTCAGATGTATGCAGTACCGATGCCTACAGTATATCGAAGACACAGAAATCGAGACACTTGTACAACAGCAACTCATGTGATACTGCAGGCAGTGTTTGGTGGCTAGCTGAGCGGCAAGGAATGTATAGGCAATGGGGCAATATAAATAGCTGTCCGAGATATCACAACCTACCCACCTTCTGAGGAGCAACATCACTACAGTTCCACATTACTGAGATCCGCCTGTTACTCACAATGGGTAGCTTAGGACCAACGGACACGTTGCCCAAGAAGTTCAACACTGAGCTCACCGACTACTCGACGGTCCACGCCGAGAAGACCGGGCCATATGCCGAAAACCTCGAAGTCGATGCGTTGGTCGTGGGTGCCGGTTTTGGTAAGCCACTTCCCCATAACCGCTTCGTCCATCTGCTCATAAGACAGCCGGTATCTTCATGCTCAAGACCCTCCGTGATCGCGGCCTAAAGACGGTTATATTCGAGGCTGGCAACGATACAGGCGGCACCTGGCGATGGAACTGCTACCCCGGCGCGGGCGTAGACTCCGAGGTCCCCGAGTATGAGTTCTCCTGGCCTGAGGTCTACAACACGTGGAACTGGCCCAGCAATTACCCCGACTACAAAGACCTACGGGCCTACTTCGATCACGTTGACAAGGTCATTGGCATCAAGAAAGACTGCGCTTTTAACACCGTCGTGGTTGGCGCGCAGTTCGACACTGATGAGGGAAAATGGAACGTCAAGACTGCGGATGGCCGTACGACTAAGACTAAGTACCTCGTCCTAGGAACCGGTTTCGTGAGTTAATACATCACTCTTATCACAGCATGTCAATCGACTAATATAAAGCCCAGGCCGCCAAGAGATACATCCCCCCTTGGTCCGGCATGGACAAGTTCAAGGGCGTGGTGCACCACTCGTCCTTCTGGCCAGACGCTGAAGTCGACGTCAAGAACAAACGCTGCGCTATCATTGGCACCGGCGCATCAGGAGTGCAGATCACACAAGCGTGGGGCCCCAAAGCCGGCGACCTCAAAGTCTTCCAGCGAACGCCCAACCTCGCCATACCAATGCGCAAACGTGACCTCACCGTCGAGGAGCAGGAGCGCATCAAGCCCTACTACCCTGCGCTGTTCCGCTACCGCGAGACCAGCTTTGCCGGTTTCATATACGACTGGTGCGAGCGGAACACCTTCGACGACACGCCCGAGGAGCGTGAGGCGCTCTACGAGCGCGTCTGGAAAGAGGGCGGCTTCCGCTACTGGGTCGCCCTCTACAAAGATAACCTGATCAATCCTGACGCCAACAGGGAGTCGTACAAGTTTTGGGCTAAGAAGACTCGCGCCCGCATTGGTGACCCCAAGCTACGGGAACTACTCGCTCCCAACGAGATGCCGCATTACTTCGGTATCAAGCGCCCGTGTCTTGAGAACAACTACTACGAGCAGTTTAACCGCGAGTCTGTGAATCTGGTCAACATCAAGGATAACCCAATCAAGGAGTTTACCGAGACCGGTATTACCCTTGAGGACGGAACTCACCACGAGTTCGATGTGATTGCCGTTGCCACTGGTTTTGTAAGTTTCCACTGAATTCACCCTTACCGATAAATGTCCACACAGAAACACTAACATAGACTACAGGATGTTGTCACTGGCGTCATGACCCAGCTCGGGCTAAAGAGCATCAACGGCACCGGGCTCGAAAAGGAATGGATCCCAGGCGCAAAGACCTACCTCGGCATGACCGTCAGCGGCTACCCAAATATGTTCCACATCTACGGACCGCAGGGCCCGACGTTGCTGAGCAACGGGCCCACGTCCGTCGCTGTGCAGGGCAGGTGGATCGCGGACGCGATTGCCAAAATGGAAAATAACGGCATCAAGTACATCAACGCCAAGGCTGAGGCAGCGGATAAGTGGAAGGAGCACATTGTCCAGCTCAACGACAGAACGCTCTTTCCCACGACGAGGTCGACGTACATGGGTGGTAGCATTCCTGGAAAGGTTTATGAACCGGTGTGCTACAGTCTTGGTATTCCTGCTTATACGATTGAGGTTCGGGGTGCTTTGGATAATTGGGAGGAGGGCTTTGATGTTGTTAAGGCTTAGGCAGGATGGGACGAATGGATGTTGCTCTAGTTGAGATACTTATATATATTGAGCCATAGGTTATGCAAAGTGAGTTCAAGAGTCATTTGAGAGTGTAATATTATGGTAGTGCCCCGATATTCAATACTGGAAGGGGAACATCCTCAAAGCTCGTGCATCGGCTCAAGTAGATTTCCTACCTAAGTCTACACATCTTCTCCAACAGTGGCTAACAAACAAAGTAAAGAATATGGTGCAGTATCTTCAAGTAAGTCTGGGCACCACCAACTCGGTGAAACAATAGAAAGACAGAAATAATGAACAAAAGAGAGAGAAAAAAGCCGAGCAGGATAGGGTTCCATTCATCACGTGTCCTATTCAACACCAGTCTCACAATTTCCTATCTTCGCTACACCATAGAATCCAGGGCGTAGTAGGAAGAGTCTGGCTGAATTTGTCACAAACGTCAATTAAAATCCGAAAAGACTAGAGTTGTTTGCCGTGGTGGAGGATAATCAGTTTCTGCATCGCTGTTGGGATGGCGCTGAGTGGCGAGTGGGAGTCGCTAGGTGGCCGGCTTGTCTATCCGGTCACGGATGTGACTTTGAGTCCAGACCATATTAGATTGTTTGGTCAGGGCATTAATAACGATTGTTTTCATAAACACCCAAGTTAAACGGAAGGGCGAAGCGATTGGGCTTTGCTGTGTGCCTGGGTCAGCTCTATCATCTCGGCGCTCTTGAGTTGGGGACCGGTTCGTCGCAGTGGCGATTGGGTCTGGCTGAATAGACCAGTTGGAACAATTGGGAGGCGCTGCATGGGGCGTGTTTGAGTCGCGACAGCACCAGTGCCTTCCAAAGAGACGTAAGCCGCTGCTTGTATCCTCACGTCTGGTACAATAGTGCATGAGGCACCACCTAAAATTGACAACAGTCTAATCAAAATATAATATACTTTACTGTCTCTCTGGGGACCATCGTTCAAACACCACATAACCCAGATAAACGGCACATCATTCGATCACAAACTCCTCATCCGGCCCCCTCCCAGCACTCGGAGCCATCGTCAGTGCTTCTCCATACATAATCCCATGAACATAAGCATCCCCAACCAGCATCACCCTAGACCCATCCTCAGTGCGCCGAACAATATACGGGGTATCCGCCCCATAAAAAATACAAGCCAAATCGCCCGTCTTCACCGCATGAGGCGCAAGACCAACGCGACCGCCCTCCGTCGAGACATAACACCGCAGAATCGTTATCCTGCAGAACTCTTCGAACATTCCTACAGCCTCTTGCATCTCAACAGATTCCGCATCTGGTTGGAAGCCATCTTGCAGAGATTTCACCCAGGCTACATAAACGCTCATCAGGTCTGGCACGCTGCAGCCGTCCGCATTTCCATCTCTGCTGAGCATATGTCGGACATGGTCCCACCGGTCAGCGATTAAGGTGCGGCTATGCGCGTCTAACGCCTCCTTGTAGTCTCCGTAGACAGTCTTCGCGACTTCCCAGCACCAGGAATCGTACAGCAGTCTTTGGTCGTTCCCGACGCCTCTGTTCGCCTTGTTTACCAACGTGCCCACGCGGTGGATTTTGTCGATGACGAATCCTCTCACTTTCAGCTGGTTGAGTTCTGGTGATAGGAAAAGAACGTCTGGTTTGTAGGGCAGATCATCCGTGTATCCGGCATTGTATCGCTTGTGCCATAGTTGTACTATTCCTTCTTGCCGCATCTCTAGGAAGTGAGAGAAGTTTGGGCACCAGGACGGAACGTTCGGGTGCCGAGGCAGCAGGGCCACCAGCGCAAGCAGCGAAAGCCGCTCGTCATGCAGGAGAAACGCGCGTACAAAAGCCTTGTATGTATTGTGGAAGTTGGACCGCGCGTGGTCGGAGTAATCGGCCAGATGTGCAATCGCCTGTCGCATATGCGGCGGCGCAAGCCCAGCCAACGCCCACACTCTGTCGACTGGCTCGGTAACCTGTCTCTGGCACGACCACAACAGAAGACGAATGAACTCGTGGGTGCTGAACTCGGTTTCCACCAGCCCCTGTATTCTGTCGCGCCACCTCCCTAGCTCCACGATCCCGCGACCACCGCTGTCGAAGTGTTCCGCCAGCCCTGGCTCCGCAAAGTTAAGACTTATAGCAGTGAGCCTGGCCACGGCGGCACGGAAACCATTCCATGAAACGGCTTTATCGCCGCAAACAAGAACCAGTTCTCGAGCCATCAGGATCTCAGGCACAACCCACAGCCGATGAAACCAGGGTCGACGGAAGAATTTGGCAGTGGCGACCCAAAGGGCGGCATCTGCTGGCTGTATTGACAGAGTGCCCTGTGGGCCTGCCTGTTCAACTGCCTCAGCCAATCTAGGAAGATTGGGGATGACTAAATCACTTTGATCCGCATGTTTACCCAACCAGCAGAGAACTTTCTGGGCTCTGGAGAAGATTCGAGGGATCAAGGCGACCTGTGCTGCCTTCTCGACTGGATCTTTCTGGTTGATACAGATACCATCAATCCAGATTAGGCTTCCATGCGGCACGTATCCGTGCAGGTTATTCAAAGCCTCCAATATGTGCTCTGATATTGAAAAGCTTGCCATGTTCTCGTTGTAGTATTGGCAAAACATGGCTCTCGTCATTATAGGACGACCCCACGCGTAGGACATGGCCGCGTAGGGCGGCGCATTGTCTATGTAGTGATCTTCCAAGGAGCACCACGGGTAAATACCCGGCAGGACAATCTTGAGCAGTCGAATCTGGCCCTCTTGGAGCGGTCGATACTCGAACGCAGTCTGGAGATCGAGGGGGTGGTGGATCTGCTGGAACCCTAGTTCCACTTCGCTGACATCTCGTGGCGGTCCGACGATGCGTGGGTTGGAAAGGGCTATCCCAGGACCTGTAGCAGATTTCACCTGTTCTGAGCCAACTGCAGTCTTCCCTTTGTCTTGGATACCCTGAAGGTCTCGCCTCTCCTGGGAAGTTGGTGTATTAGACCCATCGGGCGTTTTGGCCGGCCCAGTCACAGTCTTCGCCTGGCTCCCTTGAAGGCTTTCAGTCTCTTGGGAACCCGGTGTGTTAGTCCCCTTGGACTTTTTGCCGAGTTTGCGCTTCAGTGTGCTTCCTAATCCCATGATCTATTATATAGATGAGACTCAATGGGGAAAACCCACGTGCTGTCGCCTTCCAGCTATATACTTGAAGATCAGTCTTGATAACTCCCGACAGCCATTTGTAAGTCAGCCTCGCGCGGGGTGAGCCTTGGCTGTGCCGAGAAGCAATACGAGGGCACTAAGACATGGGGTGAAGATAGGCAACTCATGCGATGATCTTAAGGTTTCTGGTCTGAAGCCATATGCATGACTACTGAACAATATAAAATGGACATGACACAACGGGCAGATTGTGCGAAATAAATATGTTTGTCCATGGTTTCAAATGCCTGAAGCCCCGGTTTTCTGCTTCACATCACACCCAGTATCAAGTCAAAGTATTAAGCAGATAAACTCAGCGTACTGGCCTGGAGGATTGGGTCTCATATAGTAGACATTCTTGATACGTCCCTACCAGCTCTATGCGCAGGAAAAGCTATCCCGATGACCCGTGGTTAGAAAAGCATGTCCATAGCAACGAGCGATATATATAAACCACGGCACCTTGAACTCCAGACCGGTATTTCCTACATTAGTATTAGTAAAGCAATAGAACCAATATACCATCATACTAATTTCAACAATAATAGGCAGAAGAAGTCCAATTATCTCAAGAAGAGATTATATAGACATACAGTCATCAGGTCAAAGACAAACCTCCCAAACAGACAAACCGCACACCCAGTCATCCCAACCCACCCAAGGCGGTGAGCCTCCCCCAACACAGCTACAAAAACCCCTCCGCCCCCCACAATAATTTTCTTCCCTTTTTTTTTTTCCCCTTTCCAAGCGCCATCCCACCAATGCTGCGTTTCTTTGCTACACACGACGAAAAGATTTCCACATCTTCGTCACTCGGGGTCTCCCCGAGTCCTTTCGCAAATGAGAAATTCGGAGGAATCTCGAACACTCAACCCGTCTTTCTTCCCCTTTTGGGGGAAGGAAGGTCCGGTACTGCCCGCAAGGGCCTGGTGTGACTCAACACCTGTATCCGGCATCAGAAACATCGGGGTTTCTTTTTCCCTTCGGGGAAGGGAGCTCCCTGGGAGAGTCGGTGCAGAGATTGTGTGTGCGGGGTCGTATATCGATTCAGCGCATGACACTTTAGTGCAATACGCGGCATGCTGTTTCTTTTCCTTTTCTGTCTTCCTTTGGAAGGTGAGGGGGGGATAGAATGGTATCATTCGATTCCGATTATTCTGGTGGGATGGCGCTTCATCTCTTTTTTCTTAGGTCAGTTTTTCTCCTTTTTTTCTTCTTTTTTGGATGGACCTGTCTTTTGGTGGGTTTGTGCCGTTGAGGTTTATGAAACTGGAAAGAACTTGGTGATTCTCGCTAATTTGTGGGAATCTTACCTCTCAACACGATGTGTTGGGTTGGGTTTAGGTTGTTGTTGTTGCTGTTTATGGTACGGACTTTTTGATATCGGTTGTGGGTGGTTATATAGACACAAACCTATTTAGGCCAATGGAAGATATTCTCTCTCAACTAAATCTCTATATACTATATCTCTACTATGATAGCCCTCAGTATACTGCGAACTACAAAATAATGATCATGGTCCATAGTCTAATATATTATGTAGACTCAAGGTCATCTGCAAACATTCATGGGATATTTCGAACTTCAAAACCAAACAAACAAACATAAGCAAATCAAATCCTGCTCCCTCTCGTCATCGTGAGTATGCTACTTTTGTACGCGCGTATTATATCTGCATCTAGTCCTCATCTCCGATCTGTACCAGTCAGTCAGTAACATATCATCACAAATCGTAGTAGTAAATAGAGAAGGGAAAATCTCACCTTCGGGGCAAGGTAGAACCGAAGGTGGCCGCTACCCAGGCCGTACTCCACCAGCAGGGGCACCTCCTGCGACAGACACAGGCGCACCTTGGCGGACAGGTTGGTGGCCTTGCAGAAGTTGACCAGGTACTTGAGGGAGAAGGTGAGGGCGACGGGTTCTACGAGCTCAATGGAGACGTTCTGATCGGGCTTGTCGACGTTCGTGTGCTGGCGGATGGTGACAGAACCGCTGCCAATGTCACCCTGGCAGGAGAACTTGACTCCCTCCTTGGTGGCCTCGATGACCACTATTTCAATTAGTATATGCTTGAATGAGAACACAAAGAACCATGTGAAGTAATAAATAACATACCCGACTCAGACAACGCGTTCAAATCCCGGCAGATACGCTGGAACTCAGCCGCGGGCATCTCCACCGTAGCGGCGTAGTCCGTCTCCGGGATAGCCAGGTGCTCCTGGTCGATATCCATGAGCTTAATGTCGTACTCGCTGAGACGGTCGGTCTCGGCGCTCTCGAACATGAGGTTGACGGCATCGGGCGAGTCATCCGCCTTGAGCGTCAGGATGTCTTCGTTCTGGGCGGCGCGCAGCACCTTGGTCAGGGAGACCAGGTTGATACCCAGGGCGATGTTGCGGTCGCACCGGTAGGGCGAGAACCCTTCTGCCTTCAACAGCATCGACACGAGCGCCACGTGCGAGTTGTCCATGGCCTGGAGGGCGATCCCCGAGTCATTGCAGTCGAAGTTGCAGTCTTGAACCAGGTCCTTGATGGCGTCGACGACCTGTATATACCAAATGAGTTTGTCAGTTCTGGGCGAGTTCGCTGGGGGTAGCTGGGGTTCGTGGTGGGACGTACGCGCTTCAGAAGACTGGCTTGTTCGAGGCGGGCTTCCAACACTGGTTCGTTGTTAGATATAGGCCAGCTTTTTAGACTCTGATGGTGTGTCCTTACTCTTGATCTGTGTGTGTGTGTGTGTGTGTGTGTGTGCGCCGAGTATCGATGCGGTGAAGGATAGGCGAGGTGGTGAGGGATTGGTAAATGAATTAAGGACTGGAATTCGTCAGTATGGAGGGGATGGAAAGGATTGAGGTATGTGAGGTCTTACAGAATAGGAGATCTGACAAAAAACAAGAGAAATAGGTGGGATGGAGGAGGAGTAATTGGATGAATTATAGACCACCAGGCTGGCGCGTTCGAGAGCCGAAAGAGTCAAAGTTAGGAAAGCCGGTGGGGAAACGCGGTCGCGGGTCGCGTTCGCGGTCTGCCGCCCTTAAGCCATATCACCCACTTGGGTTAGCGCGGTGTATATGTACCTGAGGCAGCACCCTTACTCGGGTGGGCTGGTATTAAAGTGGACAACTTTAGGATATGCAGCTTCGAAGCTTGTTTATTCCCAATTATATACAGAATTTCCAGGAGTATAAATCTTGGAATTCGTCTAGTATTTCCCCAACATGATGTATACAGTCCACAGTATACAGACAAATGAAAAGCCAACACTGCTCAGTGTACGGCAACGAGAGACATAATCCAACACTGGCAAAACGAGACAACCAATACTGTACAGCAGAAAGATAGACAAATAAAAGGTCGAAAGAAGGAACACAATAAATGAAGAAGAAAAGGGTAAAAAGTAAAAAGATCAAAAGATCAACGCCTCCAACACCAGCCCGCTCTATGCACATGGGTATCAACCTGCCGCTGTGATCGATGGTTGTGGTACGGCCCCGTGTCTCAGGGCCTCGTATAGCTCTAGGTGGTAAAAAAAGAGAACCGAAGGGAAGAATGGGGAGAAGGCTCGACGGGCTATCAGACGCTCGTGACCCGCTTGGACGTCCCCGCTGGTCGTTGTTTGATAACCATCTGCAGCTCCTTGAGCATATTGGTGTTGGCATCGGTGTTCTCACGGCCCGCCGCCTGTTTGGCGCGGTCCTCTTTGACACGCGCAATCCGCTCCTCTCGAGTGAGAGAAGCTCGTTTATGTCGCGCCGGAAGCGCAACAGCTTCGTAGATCTCGGCCTCGTCCATGATGCCCGATTCCGACCGTCCGTCACCATTCAACGCTTTCAAGGCATCCGACGGGCTGCCTTCGACCGCCGTAGCGCCCCCAAGACTGGGCGTGGGCGACTCCGGGACCTTCAGGTTCAGCCCGCTGAAGCCACTACCCGGCCGAGACCGTTCCCCAATCGACTGTCGATCCAAGCTCATCACCAAAGCTGACTTGCCGGATTCCCACTCTTGGAGCAAGCCGCGGATGTCCGTCCCGATCGACTCATACTGGGACATGAGGTTCGACTCGAACTCGGTAGCATCCATATTTTCAATGTCGGCGTTCGACGCCTCCCGCAAGACATGCATCTTGGCGTGCAGAGCACGGATCCCTTGGGACAACGAGTTCAGCTTTCGGTATTGCGCCCGCAAATTATCCTTATTGGGGGACGCTGTCGGCAGCGGAGAGGGAGGGATGGCATCGCCTAGATAGCAACAGTCAGCGATGTTCCTCATTCGACTCGTGTAGCACATACGGTCCTCCTCGTTGAGGATGTTACTCATTTTCCGAATATTGGCCGCCGTGACCTCGGCCAAGTCCCGCATCTGTTCCACTGCGGTGCTCCATCGGGCGATATCAGTGCCGCCACCGTCGGCCCCAAACGCCAGGAGGCAGCAGAGGATACTCTTTCGCACAAGATACAGCCTACCAAAGAGGCTTCGGAGGGCGCGCAACGAATACTGGTCCTCGGTTTCTCGCTCGGCAAAGGCAGTTTCCGCCTCGGCCAGTTCCTCATCGGTGATGTCATAAATATCGTGGTATTTCGCAAGATTGTCGGTATCCGTCAAGGGCTGCAGGGTGCGTTGTGCGCGGATATACCGTCCTAGCATGGTGTAGAAGCATTCCGAGACCGTCCGGCGCAGCCTCAGACACCTGCGCGTCTGGGCCTGATCCTCCAGTCGACTGATCGGGGGTAGTGGGGTGCTTCTATAGGCTTGTCAGCGGCCTGTGACTCCGAACAGTGAAAATTCCACGGGGATGACTCACATGCGGTAGCCCCTCGAGACCAGCTCTACCTCCTGAATGAAGACGACTGACGCCGACGCCGCCGAATCGAATGCCTGTGCATTGCTCACGAAAGCAATGGCGCCATCAACGGCCTGATGGCGTACGTATTTGACCCATT